ATTTATGGTGAGGGTGTAGGAGTGTTCTTTGACAGGGACAACGAGATCCGGACTTTCGAGTTTATGTCTAAGCATGGGCAGGGGCCTCGTCTGTTGGGTAGGTTCTGTAATGGGCGAATTGAAGAGTTCATCCATGCGCGGGTAATTCTCTTCCCTGTTTTGGTGGATTCTTGGGCATTCAACTTAGGAAGGAACGCATTATCATGGTCCTATGAGACTCAAGACGATGTTGATGTAGCTAGTTATAGGATTGAGGATTTGGAGTTTTGATGCGCTGATGGGATCTTTTATAGATGAATATAAGAAGTGCTTAAACTGTTATTTGAGAATCAACATGTCAGATATATGCTAAGGTCAGATATTTCTGTTGGCTCTTAGAGTCTTCACTGGTGTTTCAGTAACATAAGTATTGAAAATTATTTAGATTGTTACACAGATTGAGATACTCAGGGTTGCGTGCAAAACACGAAGTACCTTTATTCCTCAAAGGACATGTCACGGGCAGAATTTGAGTACAGGAGTGCTCTGCTTGGGCATCACTTCTTTTTTACCATCATGCTGATGAATGATTCTCCAACATTATCATTCGTAAAATCATAAGGACAGATCTAGTTAGTTTCATGTTATTCATAGCACGACAAAAAAATTTCTTGTGTCACTTGGTAATTGCTATGAAGTCGCTTTTTGGGAAATCTGGTGCATATAATTTATCACCTACATCAGAGTTTTGTAAATGGTACTCTTTGCCAACTTGATATCAAGAGATTGTGGACATAATAAGCTTCTTTTAAATTTGTTGATCTTATTATTTGTATATGACAACAAGCGTTAAAAACTAAGCTTATCTAAATCTTTGGATCACAGACACTTTCAGCTCCTGATCTGCGTGACTCTGAAATTTCTGATCGTATAGCGGCTAAAATGAGGGAGTTCCATACTCTGGATATGCCCGGTCCAAAGAACGCTGTTCTCTGGGATAGACTAAGGTATCTGTTTCTCTTGTTGCCTAAAAGAGGTGTTCAGTTCTTTTCTTGTATCTAATGTCTTTGGGGAAGAGGAAGTATGACTGCTTTATGTGTCTCACTCATATGTAATCTCTATCTCAAGACCTAGCTAGAATAAATTCTGACTTTGATATCAATAATGTCAATGGAAAGAAAGTGATCATCCATGCCCTTGTTAATGCTCCAGAAAGTGGCTGCAGACGGCCAAGGATATGGCTACTTCAGAAGAAGCAGAGGCTGTAACATTGGATGCCATTGAGGATGAAATTCTTTTGCTGCAAAGGGAGCTGGCAGGGAAGGAACATATAGGATTTTGCCACAACGATTTACAGTATGGTAACTTAATGATGGAGGAAGACACTAAAGCAATAACCATTATTGTAAGATATTTTGCTGCATCCTTCTTTCTATTCATTGCAATGCCGGTGTGTAAGTCTGCATTGTGAATACTGAAGTGTCGATGCAAACAAATAGTCATGACGCTAGTGCAGATTATAAAGAGAAAAAATATCTTGTATCTCATCTTAATGTTTTCTGTTCCACTACAACATTTCTCTCCTTTTTTACAATGAAGAAATCTCCTTAAAATTTGCTCTTTTTTTCTTCAATTCCCATGCGGAAGCTAGACAGAGAAGAAACCTCTGATAAGATCTATTATTCCCATTTTTCTCCATCTCTTTCACCTCATCAGGATTATGACTATTCCAGCTATAATCCCATTGCCTTCGATATTGCAAATCATTTCTGTGAGATGGCTGCTGACTATCATACCGAGACTCCTCATATTTTGGACTATGGAAAATATCCTGGTGAGCAGTTATTGTTTTTAGGTTCTCTGCTGTTGCTTCCTTGGTCATTATCTATCTCAAATAGAAATGCTTTCTCTAAAACTATGATTACTAACAGGTTTAGAGAAACGCCGAAGATTTATGCGTATATATTTGAGCCATTCAGGTACTGTTCTTTATACTTCTCTTCGCTGACTGTTGCTAGGCTTGTAGTCTAGGAAAAAGCATGTTAAGTTGCATTGCACTTTCTTTTTTTCCTCCATTTGATTTTTCTGTGCATATCTTGTTGAATCTTTTTCCTGGAGCAAGATCGAGCACTGATTTATTGCTAAACCTATTGAAGCATCGTACTTTTAGGGCACATTGAACTAGCTCTTCAACATTTGGTTAAACAACTTAATAGATTTATAATGTCTTTCTGCTTGTATGGGACAAGATGCAAAGGATGAATCTTTACATCATCTGGAGTAAATATTTATCATGTTTTCTATTTGAACATGCTGAATTAATCTTTTAGACTTTAATGTGCGACCTGAAACTGTTAAAACTTTGTGCAGGTGATGTGCCAAGTGATGCTGAGGTAGAGCAGCTGCTCCAAGATGTTGAGAAGTATACGCCGGCAAGTCATCTATTTTGGGGCTTGTGGGGAATAATATCGGTACGTACTTCAATGTTAGCCCTGATTGTATCGCGAACTTTGTGGCTTAGTGGTGGGAATGGCTGTGCCAGTGAGACCAAGCACGGTCCTTATAAATGTGAAAGCCCTTGTACCGACACGTGAAAACTAGAGTTTTGACTGTCGATGGCTACTCTTTAAGCTTATTCAATACACGTGCGGCGCTCTGCTTTCTCATTACAACTATTTCCTGGCCCTCCTCTTTGCTTTTCAGGAGCATGTGAATGAAATCGACTTTGACTATATGGGATATGCAAGGCAGAGGTTCGAACAGTATTGGTCGACGAGACCCATTTTGTTGAGCTCACATGGAACTTCTCCCTCTGATGGTGTGACGGACAGCTAAACGTACCCTCAAGTACTAAAATTTGCTAATTTTGCTTGCTGTATTGTACATACAAAACCATGTGAAAGTCTGCAGATAGTATGTGGTTAGATGAGATTTATTAGGAAAAAAGAAAATAAATAAGACAAGGTTAGGTGAGGATTTTTCCTGTAATAAAAATGCCAATCTCTTGGGTATCATTAGCTTTGAGCCAGTAATGTGGGCTTTATCTTTTGATTGTGTATTTTCGTGGTATTTGTGCAGTTCTGGTCTTAGCATCTCTATTTTGGCATTTGCTTTGTGAAGAAGTCTTGTTCTTGACTGTGTAAGGCATTTAATTTCTGATCTTCTTGGTTGCTTTGCCGTCGTTCAGCCTCCATACATTCAGGTTTGCAACTAAAACAGACCTTGTCATCGCGCTTCTCAGTATTTGTGCAAGAGCTAATTTGATTATCTCGTCGCTTTGCTTTCGCTATTGAAGGAAAGATTAAATCCAATGAGAACTCCTTTTTGGCCATGGAGATGTGTAATTTTATAGTTTGTGTTGGGTTATTTCTGTTGCCTCTGTGCTGAGAACGAAGATCATTTTGTTCAACAGCCGTCAAATGCTCGTTGAACAATTTTTATAAGAAAAGCTTGCCACGTTGGACGTCCAGTTTCTAATCATAACAAACGTATGATCGATTTGGAAAACATTTCCTTAGAAATGGTCACTTATAGCTCTTATAAAAATGAGTGAGCAAAAAAAATTTTCATTATTCATGAAAATGTTTAGACATGAATTGTTGATGATGATTACTAATTATTTTAAGCCGTATAAATGATTATTTTTAAGAAAATATCTTTCAAATTATTCATTTTTCACGAAACAAATGCAATGCAAGTGTGAGGTGTTCTTTTTTCAATATGCCATTTACTATTTTCTAATTTACAGCCGATGAGTCTAGTAATTGTTAGGATTCGACGTACAATCACAAGGAAATAGAGAATAAAAGCGAAAAAGAGAAATCGAGACACAATGTTTTATTATGGTCCATCCTTAAATTAGGACTATGTCCAGCAGATGATTCCACTATAATTAGCACCTCGCACGTTTCTATTAAATTCATCAATTATAAGAGAAAGAGATTATACGTAATAGTAGTTATTTATGGACCCAAGCCTAAGCTATTAATAAAATACAAATCAAAATTATAAATAAATAAAAAAAATCCTTTAGTTTTGGGGCTCTGCCCCCTACGATCTCGGTCAAGGCAGCCCTTTGGACTTTCGGCTGCTCATTGAAGAGTGGAACCCTCGTGCCTTCCTACTGCTGGAAAGTATGAACAACACTCCAACAAAAATCCAGAAAATATTTTTTTTTCTTTTGCTTTGTTAAATTTTTTAAAGGATTAATAAATAATAAAACACTTTTGGTAAAAAAAATTAGGGGTCACTTGATTTTTAGGGAACTTGTTGGTGACGCAATGACAGCTTTATGAAATTACAATATTTTTAATAGCTTGCAAATTGCTCACTTTTCTAATTTTCTTCCAAAACTTTTGTTTGTTTTTCGTGTCGTTGCCTTCAATTCACGGACTCTTATATAGGACTTACCAATTGTTATATGAGTGATTTACTAATTTCTTTTTCCAATTGAATTACCAAGTGATTTTGAATTAGCACCTCCCATTCAAATTATTTATAATCTTTTTTATCGACTTTAATGTATAATATGGTCCCTGAACTTTTGTCCAATATGCAATATGTTCCATGAACTTTTAATTTATTTAATGTAATCCTTGGATTTTTTCAACTTAATCCCTAAATTATATGAAAGTTTTAAATATTATCCTTCCATTAATTCAAGTTCAGGGACATCATTGAGCATGTTTATATAGTTCATTGACTAAATTAAATATGTAGCACAAGTCTAGGAATCGCACTGAACAAATTAAAAGTTTATGAACTACATTTCATATTTGATTATAGTTCAGGGATTATATTATATAGTGAGTTAAAATTCATAAGTTATTTGTGCCATTTTCCGTTCATGTTATTTACCTAAGCCGGGACAATTTCTAAATAAACCAATGCCCACTAGAATTGTGGAAAAATCCATTTCCTTTTTTTATTTACCACAAAAATAAAAATCTGCGGATTCCAGCAACGCAGATGTTGACACGTAAGCCGCCCACTATCCACTCGAACGTCGAGCCGTCCACAGACACAGACATCGTGCTGCTCTGCTTCTGGTGGAGGAAAAGTCTCGCGACTCTCGAACTGAGCCAGCCCCCACGAGAAGCTCGGGAGCATTTCCGTGCGGATTTGTGGTGGGGAACTGTGAGATCATGGCGTGCGCATCGCAGGCTCTGATGAACACGCTGATATCCGCGAACGGGTGCACGTTCAGCAACCCTTCGCCGAGGTTCTTCTCCAGGAGGCATCGACCCCTGAAGAAGCAAGAACCCAAGCCCTTCGCCGCCCGAGCATCCGCCACCGATGATGATGCCGACTGCAATGTCGAAGAGTGTGCTCCTGATAAGGAGGCAAGCGTCCCTCGATTTCTCTGGCTCTCTGTAGTCTAGTGCCTGATTTGGTGGGAACGGAAAAAGAAAAAAGGAACGGCTTTTGATGTTTTGCGGCATGTCTTGTGGGTGTTTATATTCGTGTGTATTTGTGTACGCAATGATTTCGTGTCTGAACATGACGTTTCTTTGTTCATGCCACATGGGTCTTGCATTCCGACTTGAATTGGTTACATCGTAGGCTAATATCATTCGGTGTGCTGGGTTTCATGTGGCTGAAGAGCTATATATCAACTTGAGAACGTGAATTTCGATGGTGGTGATGGGGAATGGACTTCTTGCTGTAGTCCAGTTCCTTTTGATACGGTGCTCCTCTTGTGGACATTTTATGCTCGGAACACAGCTTTCTTTGGTATTAGTTCCATAGCTTGATTTGTGGACATGAGAAGCTTGTTTGCTTATGGTTATTAAAGCTGAACTGCCTAATTTCAATCCCAAGAGACGAGAATTTGATGTTCATGGCGTGGCGTCTTTTTCTTTTCTACCTGATTGTTTTGGATATAAGATGCTGTTTTTGCTTTTCGCAGTTATGTATAGCTGAATAAGGCAATTTCTTGCTAATGAGATGATTATTGGTGGATAAAAATGCTTTTGGCTGTTTATGATTGTTCAAGCTGAAGAATATGAATTCGCTTTTAGATACAACTTTTGATGTCTGTGGCTTATGGGTCTCGCTGTAATTCGTATAAGAGGAAGTTTCGACTGTTCATGGTGTTATATATAGATGGAGAGTGGGAATAAGTCTTCTGGATGGAAATGAACAGGTAGGAAAAGTGAGCGTGGAATGGTTAGCAGGAGAAAAGACCAAAGTGGTGGGCACTTTTCCTCCAAAGAAGAAAGGTTGGACTGGATACGTTGAGAAGGACACTGCCGGTCAGACCAACATATACTCTGTTGAGGTTTGTGAATGATCGATTGGTTTACTAATTTTGCACTTTGTCTCTCCTTTTCTTTTACCCCTTCTGTTCCTCCGGCATAATGCAAGACTTAGATTATGCTAAGCCCAAAACCTAGTTCAATCAATCCGTCAGTGGGATTTCATTCTATGATCTGTTCCACGTTTCTCATTTTTCTCAATAGTATTTAGCTCTTAATTTCTGATGTGGCATTCCCATTTTAGTGCTTAAAGTGATAACATTTAGAATTTCGGAAAAGAGTCCGAATTCACAAAGTCAGCTTTCTCTCTCTTACCAACTTCCCGACGTGCAAGTGCCATGAAAGAGGCTTTTCCGGAGGCCCTTTCTTGGGGGGGGGGGTACTCCCACAACACTATGATGCTAAGTCGGAATTCTCCGTGATATTCTGGGTAACATCCATCTGGTCACTGGTACTCTAATTCTTCTGTTTGGACCAGTTTTGAAATTATACCTTACGAAATAAAGTTTGTTCCATTTCTTTTGCAGAGCAAATTTAAAGTGATAAGAACCAGATAAACACAACCAGCAGTCATTCCTTGGGATTATTCTTTATGTCCAGTTTCTTGGACCTTTAGTATAGATGCAGGTTCTTCTCCAAATTTTGAATTATGCAAAAGGATTATTAGCATCATAAGCTAGAGCCCCCCCCATCTGTTCTCTTATCGACACCTCATTCAACGTCGATTCATACTGCCTATTCTTTCTGTTTCTTTGTTTGTTACCTTGCTTTCCACTTTATGTGGCCTGTTTAGGTGAATAATTAACTTTTCTCAATATTTATCTTCGTAATGCATCAGCCTACAATTTACATAGCGGAAAGTGCGATAAGCTCGGGAACTGCGGGTTCATCTGCCGATGGAGCTGAAAACACGGTAGCGATTGCTGCGGGTCTTGCTCTCATTTCCATCGCCGCTGCTTCGTCAGTACTCCTCCTGGTCAGCAAGAACGAACCCCAGGTGCAAAAGGCCGTATACTCCGGGCCATCGCTAAGTTACTACATCGACAAATTCAGACCGCCAGAAATTATCCAAGCATCGGTGCCGAGCCAAATCGAATCTGCAGTGGTGGCACAACCAGAAATGTCTGCCCCGGAAGTTTTGCAGATTCAAGCTGCTTCTAGCGGTTAGCCCGAGGCCTCGTCGTGAACGTGAAAATCGGAGTTTCTTGGTGGAATTTAAGCTCTGTTTTGTTGAGGGCTCTTCTTCTGTACTGTAAATGCAAAATATAATCTCGGTGATATGGTTTTTGATGTTCCTTTTAGTCAAAAAGGAAAGAGCAAGGAATGTTTTGTTACTGCAGATATTCTACTCAATTGATGTGCAGTCGAAACCAATCGGCCCTGTTGTTACATTCACTTGTTGCATGTAAGCACCGTCGGTCTTCACCCTCAAACCATTTCGGCCAATCTGAGATCCGCATGATATCACAGAGATATGTATCGGACGCATGCAAATATTTATCCTTCAGAGACCCAAATGACTTTGATAAATTGCACTACAAGCATAGGCTATTCATGTTCTCAAAAGGTTCGTGGCATGTAATTACCGATCATGTATTACAAAGCAAAAGAATTCTATCTTCTTGTTCTTCTTAAACTTATAATTTATTCAATATGATCTCTGCATTTTAATTTAATATATAATGTGATCTATGAACTTTTCATTTATTCAATGTATGTTCAATTTAATCACCGAACTATTTGAAAATATTCAAACTTGCTCTTGATCTTGAATTAATAGAAGGACAATATTGAATATTTTCATATAGTTTATGGACTAAATTGAAAAGTCCATGGACCACATTAAACAAATCAAAAGTTCAGGGATCACATTACACGCTTGATCAAAATTTAGGGATTATTTGTACTGTTGTCTCTAATTTTAAACGAACCGAGCGAAATTAAAAGAAAAAGAAAATACTTTATACGTGCACAATGGTGGGAACTAAGGAGGGAACAAGTCCGTTTGGCGCCAACTCTCTCTCTCTCGTTCCTGTCTCTCTCTCGTTCCTGCTTCTGCTTCGATTCGTCTCTGCAGAACAGTTGCCGCAGCTCGATGGCAAGTCTAGGGTTTCGCCATCCTCAGTTCTCCGAGGTAGCAGCTCGTCTCTCCTCTGGATTCGTCTTTTTCCCGTTGCGCTGATTCTTCGATTCGTTACAATCTGATCGGTCGATCGTTCCTTCGGTTTCGATTGCAGGATCTTGCTTGGCTACCGGATTGGCTGCAGCAAGATCAATCGGAAAGTCCGGCGGAGCAACCGTCAGAGGTCTGTTCGATGATCCGAGCGCCCTCGTTTTTCGTTTCCGCTATAATTCCTCGACCAATCGAGCGAAATATCAGTTGAATCGTTCTTGTAAACAGGACGCGGCGCCTTTACGAGAAAACGTCGGTGAAGACGAGTGCTTGGAGCTGTCGTCGAAGGGCGAAGGTGGATACACCGGTTGCCGTCTATTCTTGTCGGGGGAAGATGGTTCGCCGTTCTTGTCGGGGGAAGATTGTTCGCCGATGAGCTATGCTCGGTCTCCTGGGAAAGTGAGTTCGCTCATTCTTTAACTAGTTAGAAGTAAAACTCGGTTGCGATGGAGCCCCCAATTTCCATTTTTATTTATTTATTTATTTCTAACTGTTAGTCTGACCTAGTTACTGGCCTACGTGCTCGCGCGAGAGGGAAGAATTTCGCCGTGTCATTGACCAATTATGTTGCTCAGGCACGGAATTTCTCTGAGTTTGTATGCAAGTCTGTAATCATTCCACAACTCGACACTTTTTCTCTATGGGCTGGGAGACAAGAACTTATTCTGTATGTCATTAGTCTAATTTTTCGATTTAAGTGTTCACCTTGAGGAATATGCGTTTGGACACAGTCACACAGATGATGGTTCTTGATTGTATGGGTTATTGACAGATGTCAATAGAGAGGAGCCAAGGTTTCCGTTGCACTACTTATGGAGATAATTCCAATTTGCATTAATGAATTTACCAATTATGCCAGTATTTTCTCAGTTTTTTTAATTTTCATGTGTTTTCGTTTGATACATGTATGTGTAAGGTATTCTAAATAAAGTATGTTTTCTACCTTGCAGGTGCTTCATTTTCACTTACGTTTCTCCTACAATAGTGGCACACAGTCACAGTTTACCGAAAAACAAGTATCTAACACATCTCGGGCAGTGCTTCAGTCTTCAAAAGGTATGCAGATTCAACGAGTTGAAGTTGCATCTCAACCTGTTGAGAAGGTTAGAGCAAGAGAGTATGGAGAGAACTTGAGAAGACATCTCAAGGATGCAGATCTTAATGCGACAGTTGAACTCTCAATTGCTGCATCTGAAGCTATGGTCATACATGAATTGGTAGAGAATGAATCAGCTTTAGAATCTCTACCTGCAGCAGCTGTTGTGGAGGTTGCACTTCGGGTGAAGGAAGCACGCTTAAAGGGATCGGAAGAGGTGTCTGATTCTGTGATCAAGAGGACTGATGAGGATATAGACCTGGATGATATTGCTATGTTAGATGCTTTTAAAGATGTAGGGCTGTCTTTCATTGACTATAATGAGCGAGGTATGAGTGATTTTGACATTTCTCAAGTCAAAGAAACTCCATTATCTCAAATTCATTGTGACAATAGTTCCCCAAGAGAGGAGACGAGAATTGATTTCGGTAAGATGAATGCACAGAATCATGCTCGTGACGTTTTAGCTCTTGATAAACAACCAGAAAGCAACTCTTTATTAGAATACACCCAACATGAGTGCAGAAAAAGCACTTTTGGTGATAAAGATCGGGGTTCACCCACCTTCGATGTGGCAAGTCATGTTGACACTATGCTGCATCAGTCAGCTCTGAAAGAATCATTTGTTTTAACCGTGGAAAAGGTAAGGTGTCATTTTTCTCCCTCTGTTTTATTTACTTCAACTTCTGAAACCTTCGATTATCGTCTTTAAAGAGAATAAAGAGATGGTTCAATCTTCTAATTTGCATCGCTAGATGACCGAAATGCTATTCCATGTGGAAGGTTGGTTCTGGCATGGTGGAGAATGCCTTATGTGAGCGACAAGCAGAATCATTTGTTAACAATCTCTCTCAGTGTCATGGTAATACTGGTGAGCTTGTGTCTCCTCTTTCCATGACCCTCTAACCTTATCTTAAACTAGCTCACTTATGCTGCTGTACCTGCAGGAGAATATAGACAAGATCTAACTGAAGAAAGATTTCGGAGCCGCTGGTTAGGTGGTTGGTCCACGAAGGTAGTATAAATTTTCGTGTTCACTGGGCTTTTGATAGGAGATGCATGCAATCTGTACTTTGTCACTGCTTCATCACCTCCCAAATGACCAAAGGTTGTGTCAATGTACATTGCCACAACGGGCATTGTGGTGTTCGTCCTCCTTTGTAACCCGACTGATTTGAAGAAACATATTTTGCCTTTCTCATTAGTGCTTCTTAAACCTAGCATTAACTCTTAGCTTCCGGTTCTTCCCTAACTATCTCTTGATGATGTCCATGTTCACTCATCTAGTTTGAAAGTTTTCAACAGATATTAATCTTTGTTTCTTTTCCTCTGTGAATTTGTTCATTCTCTTTGTTGTTCTTATCATACTAGCTCTTGGTTCTGTAAAATTTTCCGATCAGTTCACTGACAGGATGCCTTATCTCCTTTGTTTGTTGTCTTGTCCAAAAAACTTTTTAAGGACATAGAAGCTCCTGTGGAGTTGAAAGAGAAAAGCACGAGAACTAGAAGCATTGCCAAGTTCTTTGTTCATGAGACAAGCTTTCTCTCAGAATCAGCAGATATTGCGCCCGATGAAAATTCTGTTGTGCAGATTGGAATCAGTACCCAGAAAGCTTCACAGTTAAATATGGCTTTTGAAGGTTCATGCGACGAAGTCAACGAGGGCATAACTTTCTCTCAAGAAATTGTGAAGTCTTCAAGTTTATCTTCAGCAGATCCTCTTTGTTCCTTTGTTCCTTGCAGTATTTCCACAGAAAACCATGGATTACATCAAGAACCTAGTCAGAATTGCATTGAGATTGTTGGTGAGAAATTCAATGACCTGGCTTCAGAACTTGGGTTGGCAAGCCCTAGTAAAACCTGTGACCCAAAATTTAAGGCTGACAATCAGAGTGCAGTTGTTACCTCTGAACCTAAAGAAGGTTTCCGGACATTAGCAAGAAGACAGCTATCCTCTTTAAAGACTTATAGTGTAATCTTATCAAGCAATGAAGCAAAGTTGGAGAATGGACATGAGCGCTCTAAGTTATTGTTATTCTCGAAATGCAACAGGGAAATCACATCCTCATATCCTGATACTAATTTCACTCAAAACTATGGTTGGAAAAATTCTGTAGGACTGAAATCACCAAAATCCGGACATGATATCCCTGCTATGGGTTGTGGTGAGGAACATGTTCCAGTCACTAAACATCCAGCTGAGAAAGTGGCATTCCATAGGAGTATTTCTGCTCAACCTGCAAAGGATGCAGCAGCATTGCAGGTTCATTTGCCGGGAAAAAGAAAATTGCCTCTGATAACAGATGATAGAAAATGGCGACATATATTGGATTCCCAGCATCTTGCAGGGGAACGTTTTCGAATAAGCAATCTCAAACAGATCATATTACCACAAAATGCAGTTAACATTCACCAATGCAAAAATAGTCATGTTCCAGATAGAAAACGAGTGACTTTCTCATCAGAAGTTGATGTCCAGCTTCAGGTGGATAAGAGTATGAACGGACTCTTGCACCAAACTTGTAAGACCTTCTATGATGAGCATTTAAGTTATTTCTATTCACCGCTTTAATTAACCTTTAAGCCATCTAATGAGTATGTGTTCTGTTGGCACCGACAGGCTCAACCACCAGATCATCGAAAAGGTCGAGATACTGCAACTCTTGGTTAGACTGTCAAAGTCAAGGTACAAAACATCGCACTAGTTTCATGGCTGAGCAGCCACTAATTTTTCACAAGATGGAATTCTTGCTTACTGGGTTTTCAACCCACAAAGAAAAGGAAATTGAGAGGTTGATTCAGAAACAAGGAGGCGAGGTCCTCCTGGATATTCCGCCCATGAATTTAAGGGGGAAGAGAAGTTCAAAAGTTGTTTCCAAGAAGCGGCCTTTTGTCATATCTCCGAGAAAGGTCTTTTTCTTTAAGAATTAACTTGGCTAATCTAATTCTTTATTTTCTAGAGGAGCTGATCACATTGCATGTATCTGAACTTTCATTCATTTTGAATTAAGTACCTAATTTACCTCAAGTTTTTAATTTGACTTCAGAGAGGGAAATTGCTGATGTGGCACAAAGGCCTTTAGTTAGCCGTTTAATATGATGATTTGGATGCTTACATGGAAAATTATTTTCTAAGTTTGCAAAAAAGTTTTTTTGTCAAGTGTCAATTGTGTGTGTATTTTGTTGATTGATTTGATTTGAGGTGCAGATTCTGAATCTATGTCAATATTGTTCTTTAAGGTAAAGCCGCATCTTACTTAAAGATAAGCCAATGCATACAGGAAGTATACATTCTCATTATGTATTTGTAGGGCACTTAATTTACAAGACTAGGATCTTGATTCGCTGTTGCAATATTATTTTGTGACTTTGAGGTTGTAATTATATTTCTGTCTGCAATTCTGTCGATAAACGTAATGTGCACTAATTCTAGATCAAGCAGATCTTCCTTTATGCTTGCTAAATCGTTTAAAAATAGATGATGCCTTTTGATGCTGTGAAATTAAGCGGAGCTCTGTTTTGGTGGAAGTATGTCTGACATGGTATTTTGATTATTCAACAAATTCATGTTTTTCTCAGTTGAAGACGGCCAAGTTCTTGTATGGATGTGCAATACGTGCCTTTATTGTTAAAGTCACCTGGGTTACTGATTCAATCGGTGCAGGTTCTCTCATGTTACCTGATAAGTAAGTTGCTCATTTGGCACAGTAATGGCACTGATTCTCCTGTCTTTCTCTATTCTATTTGTATGTGTGAGATTTATAGTGATGGTACACATTTTTATGTGCTTGCTAGCACAACAGCAATGACCAAACATTTTCCCACTGAACTTAGTTGGTTATATGGATCTTTTAGGTCGTTACACTTTGTCCTGAAGGAGATCTTCACAATATCCAAGTGCTCGATCTTTCTTCAAAACATGTGCCATGTCTTTTTAGGCCTTTTCTACTGTAGGATAGGAAATTGTATTGCTTTATCGAAATCTCTGTCATTTGTCATAAATGATTAAATATCAGCTGCTCCTTTCAGTTTTGGAGATTACATCAACATCAATTTGTCTTTGTAGATTGTCATCTTTGACTGTGAAAATTTTAAGCCTGATATGTCTCCAAATCTGCTCCTTTCTTTTCCATGAACAATTTTCAAAACTTTATTCATTTATGTTATAACTCTTATGATTGGTGACTTTTTGTATTTCTTCAACCTGTAAACTCACATACAATTGTCTTGTGTGCCATTACTAAGTACAATCAATCTGGATAAAGAGCCGCAGTATTCCTGTAAACTCACATACAATTGTCTTGTGTGCCATTACTAAGTACAATCAATCTGGATAAAGAGCCACAGTATAGTATGACCAAAAGAAGTCTTAATCAACAGTTGCCTGCTCTTCCCTTCTTTCTTTAGTGTAGCTTCATTTTCCAATTAGCCCATTAATCATCTTAGTCTGACTGATTGAATTGGAGACATCTCTCTCTCTCTCTCTCTCTACTCTTTTTTCTACAGATATATGATCATATCAAATCAAGCTGATGCAATGTTTATCTGTATTGGAAAGTCATTGCCACACTCTAGCAGCGGATCTATCTTTGGGCAAGTAGGGATAATGTTACATGGAAAGAAAAGTTTTTGTAACAAATTTTCTGAAGTAATCAGGGTAACGTACTCCTCTAGTTTATAAGTACTTTTGATGTTAAAAGCTCAGATATTTTGTGTAGTTACATAACAGCATTATATATCCCTCTTTTTAAATAAGAGAGGGGAAAAGACATGTATTTTGGCTTCTTCCTAGCTTTAAGTGGCAAAGAAACTCACCAAGAGAGATGGAATTTTCTAGGGTTGGACAGGTCTACAGCCTCTAGGTAGTTGCCTGCGGAAGTGTAATTAGCTTGTGAAGACATACAGATAAACTAAGCCTATCATTCACACCTTGTGTTTGGTCCTGTCATGTATCCTGTCACTTTACCAGGACTATGAGCCGCAATATTTGATAACTATGCTAGACTACAATTCTAAAGTTTCGTGGAATTTCAGCCATCTTGTGCGATATGATTTCTAACCTACTTACTAAGTCCCATATAGTTAAGATGCAGCATCCCTTTGACCTTCCTACGGGTAAGTTATGTATTAATCACTATGATGCTAACAAGGGCTTTCGAAGCCTACTCACATAAAGATGGCACCTTCCTTCCACGAGGGTGGATGAAGTTTTAAATGATTGAATTTTCCGCCTAGGTTTTCTCATTCTCTCTTTTTGTTGTACAGAATAATTAGGATGCTAGCATTGGACCTTTACAAGTGATAGTTGTACTTTTCCCAAATAGCAGCTGACTTCATGCAGTGTTGCTGCATGATCTTCTTTATTGCTTGGTCAAATACTCTGATTCTTCGCGCTCATTTTCTGAATGATGAATTGTGGGTTTGACTGTGCCCTCTTGTTGCACAGCATGGAGGTGGGGTGGCATACAAGACCCTTGAACAGTTGGTCTGTTGTCTTCATAATGGAAAGGTATCCATGGGAATTATTGTGACAGAATATGAGAGTAGGCCATCTCGTCACTTGAGGCAGTGTGCTTTGGAGAGAAAGATACCAATAATGGTTAGCATTCTCTTTCTAATCAGTTATATAATTCTGATTTCTATTGTATATCCTGAGGATTCTTAGAGATGGATCATTCTCACTTCCAGTATCTAAAAGTAAAGATAGCCTCCTCATACAGGTGTATTGCTATGCTACGAAGCTGAGTACTTTTTCTTTATTAGAAAGCTGAGTACTTATTTGAAACAAAACTCCATGCTGGACATCCAGCAATTGCGATATGGCAAGACTTGTATACTGGATATTTCCATTTACTTCTTTTCTTTTTTCTTGTTTTGGGCTCTCACATTGACACCAGCTCTTAATGCAGACAATGAGCTGGATAATAGAGAGTTTATATGCAGGGAAGCTGCTCTATGTATTGGAACAAAACCAAACCTAGGTTTTGGAGGTGACAAAACTACTAGTTTAATTGATTGGGCCAAGGAAAATGATGTTTGTCGTCTTTGGCAGACAATAAGGTAATTTAGTACGTTTAGGTCATAACTTTTATTTCTTGAAGTTATTACATGTCCCATCTCATGCTTCTTTCAGTTGTTTGCAGTGTAATCTAAATACAAGAGTGAGTTTTGTGTGAAGTAAAGAAATGTCATGTTTTTTCAAAAAATTTAGCTTCTAAAAGAAGCTAGTGGCTTTTATGATTGCAATCTGCAACAGTTATAAATGAAACACTTAAGCCAGAGTTGCCATTGTGCTTTCTCTTGGAAAAGAAAAATTGGTACATCATTCTGGAGCTAAAGATCATTTTCTGCTGAGGGTGCAATTATCTATCTTCCTTTTATTCTTCAATACCATTTGAAGGCATCTTTATATGTTACTGACTCATTTGCAGATGAATTGCACATCGGCACAAGACTGATTCAGACTTTACAAGGTTCCCCTTGTGCTTGCATGGTATTTCCCTCCATCCCGGTGACTTTACTTATCTTGGTAGTATTAGTTTTCAAACCACTCTGAAACATGAACTGGTTCTTACTTTTCCCTCTGTCAATTCCACTGGATTCTTGAATTCAGCTATATGTGAATCCAGTAGAGCAAGGGGTACTTCATTAGTAGACTTAGTCAGATGCGCAATCTAAAAACATGGTTGCGACTGACATCAGCATAAGTTGGTATTTTGCTGCTAATTGCTCTTCGATGAAATGCAGATTTTGCAGGTCGTACATGTAGTCTACCAGATGGCGTGGATCACTTTCTATTGACTAGTGGTTTAGCCATTCAATTCTAAGCATTAGCAGGGTTGGACTCCTATGCATGTTTGATTAAGCAGAATGATTGCAGGTCCTTTTTCACAGTGATGCTCTTCCGCTTGTTCAAGCACCTTCTGAAAAGAAACGGCTAAGGTGTGTTCACGGGATCACTACTCTGTCTGAGTCTGGATTAGAACTCGAAAACTCAGCCGCTTGTAATTCTGGAAGATGAGCCAAATTAACTCTTTGTTTGGCTTTACATTTCTAGCAACAAGTGACACGTTTTTCATGTGAATGAGTTACTGCTAATACGATAACTAATGTACAGAGAATTGAGAATAAACGGGAGCCAATTACAATGATTGAGCTACCTACGAGTCAAGTAATGTATATTTGTTGATAAATTCTTCATTTCATTGCAATGGCTATTCAGGCTTCGGAACGTGAAGAATGGCTCAAATCTTATATAAATTTCAAAAGCGAGGTATTTGACTGGAAATGATTGAACAGTAATTGCAGTTATTTCTGCCTCCCCTTTGCTCTATACAACTAATGTTGGCCATGTATCTATATCACAACTTACACCAAACTGACTAAAATAAAGAAGACGACATTTTCCATCTACTTTTAAGGTCCATAGACTCTCGCAAGCACTTATATCCTGACAAAGAAGATGCTAAGTTCTGGTCCATTATTGCCATCAGGATTCATCATGTAAAGCGTTTCGGAATCCTTAGAACCGACCACTCGCTCAAATTGTGCTCTCATGTAGGTCAGCTCGCCATCCGGGGGAGCCAGCACCTCGGTTGGAAGCACCCCAGCTCCCATTGAAACCGCATGCAATGTCTGCATGATGCTCAGATCATCTTCGGATGGCTCCCTCTTCACAGCGTAACCCACTTTCCGGCCTTGGCAATACATCGTCCATATTGGCTCGTCGATTAGCTTTGTCTTATCAGATGGTTGTTTTTCGCACTCTAATGCTATCCTCGTGAGACCCGTTCCCATATCCTGAAGAAGCTTCCCTGTTGGCATTGCAAGCTCGAGTACGAGGATTGGAACGCTCCTTGGGTTTTGTTGGATGGCAAGATTAATCCGTGTCTTACGGTGCCCGAAAAGGGTACCGGTCATGCGTGTCCCTCCATGGAGGTGCGCCTCGGGTGCACGGCTTCCGTGAAGAGAAACTGGGATTTTACACGTGGGGTTGATGATTGGAAATGACTTGAATACCGAACGGAAGCGGCGGAAGATCTTGGAAGATTTTGAGCGGCTTTTCTTGTTTGATGGTTGCTCGAGGGTTATAGGAGGTGATCTAATGGGCGATACATGGTTGGATGAGGGTGAGACTATTCGAGGCGTGGCAGAGACTATTCGTGGCGTGGCGGAGACTATTCGTGGTGAGCGGGGTGGAGGCAGCGACGGCATAGATGATGGTTTGGGAGATTGTGGTTGCAGTGATTCAATGAAGGGATTTCTTGTATTAGGAGTTCGGGAAGAGGGGCGGGCGGTTCCGACCGGCATTGTGGCCCTTGGAGGTTGGTATGAGTTGGTTGGATGGAGTATATGAAGAGCGAGGAGTGTGGGATGCACGTTTGAACTCGGGAAGACACGGTTCTTGGTTTCATGGAGGGGATGTCAGTTTGCTGTTCACCGTTGACTTGTTGCTAAGGCTTTAGTTGAGGACACTTTCTGGGCACTCAAATATCGCCTAAAGAATTTGTTTATTGTTATCACTTTGATTCCTTATAGCTTACTAGATAAAGATAAGAGGGTTTAACACCCTTTTCCGTCTGCCCATGATAAACGTGCACACTTCAATGCATTCCCAGATGCACAAGCATCTGCAATGAGGAGAGAGAGAGAGAGAGAGAGAGAGAGAGATTTGCATGGGTAGGTGAACATCCAGTGCAATGAATCTGAAGAATATTTCCGGGCATTTTACATCAAAGAAAGAAGCAGAAACAAATTATGAGTGATGACCGTTCAAGACAGACAGAATTCATACACGAGGAGGTGCTCCTTTTTCCTTCTCAAATTTACTCTTCCTCTTCGAGTTCAGGTCGTCAGCCTAGCTCTACACTCCGGTGCGCCGTACAATCTCGATGAGAAAGCACAAAGATATTTGGGAGTTTCGTACTACAAAATAAGCCTCCGACTCATATTCGTTTGTTGATAACTTGTCAGATTATCCTACCGCAATGAAAATCAGCAAATTCTTGGCATATGACCTGAGAGAGAGAGAGAGTTTGATCCAGCAGGAGAAAGCACATGAACCACTGAAGATGAAGCAGTCGGATCCTCTGAAATCTTGTCATTTTTGGGACCTGCCTGTGCACCAATTAATGTCCAAATGATTTCAGCTTTAACCAGCTGTATCAATCAAGTCTCTAACTGTCTCAACCAGGTCAATTTGAAAGTATACAGAAGATATAAAAGCACAGCACCTATACTTGGACTTTTGTTCTTGCCGTACACTTATGGGATATAGGACTATCCAAACATCAAACAGGGAACATCCCATAAAAACACATAACAAAGCACAACCACCTATTATTCAACATTCTAAAATCACGACATACCTGTCACAATGCTCTTGTTCCAGTTCTGCTGAAACAACTGAGACGAAGATTTCCAGAACCCCCAAGCTTGCATGCTACCCCGTTCAGCTTGAGTCAGTGAATTAGTGCGTTGGCACATAGGCATGCACATGGATGAGGATGATGTCCATCCCATCCCAGTTGGGACTTCCTGCGGGGTGTACTAACTTTTATGACATTTACCAGGTACAATCTAAAGGACCAATCTTGAAGTGTGAATGGGATTCATGACTATACAATCTGACACTTATCCAAGTAATTTGGAGAAGTGTTTCAACTGTCCTGTACAGCCCCCACTGGTAATACAACCAAAGATCGGGACTTCTTCAATATATGAGGAAACTATGGCCCATTAGAATCTCTTTCCAGAAGAATTTAGCAGCGGATGCAGCAAGATGACAGCTATTCTCAAAACAGCTCTGCAGAAGAAATTGCCCACCAATAGTTAGAAGAACGCCAGAAGCATACAACCCATTTCATTAAGATACGTCACAATGCAATATGAATCTGCCACAATCTTTCTAAACTCCCTTGGAATAAGTATTCCATAATTGTCAGTGGAACCTTTTTCTCTTTCAAACAAAGACAGAATGTTTCAACATTACAATGATTCAATGAGGTGAAAAACAGACACCAGCCTGGGCCAACCATAGTAGATACTTGTAGCAAAAGTGAATGAATAAAAAGGCAAGCACCAATTCATTTTCTTTATTATTATTAATTTTTTTTGGCCAAAGCACCAATTCTTTAGATCATGGGAGAGTGAAGAAATGTCCTAAAAACCCACGTGACCTTAGTTTGAAGATCCCAGCCAGAACCTCACCTGCATCCCCATCATATCAAGATTAATCAACCCATATGTGCTTTAGGCCTCCTCTTCATTAGCAACAAAGATTCTCCTGGCCAAGTATAAAACATGCTATTAGCTCATAGACATGAATGGAAAGTCATTCCTTAAAAGGCATGCAGAGAAAGGTAAAAATCGAGTTATTAGCAACAGTTAAGTTTAGAGATCAGAACGACCATCTCATCCCTATGCCATCAGGTGCCACAATAGAGAAAAACCCATTATAGAAGAAAGATTAAGAGGAGCAATCAAATCTTCTCTTCTTCATTAAAAAGAGACTTCTCATGGCACTGGGCTGAAGTAGACCATTTCATTGATCCCCTGAAGATTTGAAAACAAATGCCCTTTAAAAAATTCCAGAAACAAATGTCATTACCTCATAAATCACACATGTTAAAAGCAATTATAATATGTTCATGCATATACACATTTACAGACCTACATGTGTGTGTGCTCCAGGCATGTGTGACTGTGTAGACAGAGATAAAACATGTACTAGCCTGTGTGCCCACAATGATGGACATGCGAGCCGTGTGCCATTGCCTTTTCTTTCTCAACTATTGAAAAAATAATACTACTCTCGTAGAAAAGGAGAAAAACACTTGCATTAATGTGAGATGTAATGAATTTTGATAACTGACAAACATATGAATATGTGGAACTAAACTCAAATCATTGATCTACGATAAAATTTCAGTTAATTTGATGAGTGTCTTGAAATTCAGATTAAGAAGGTGCGAGACCAAAGAGGCACTCCCCTTAATATGAGAATAACTATAATGCATAAACAAGCTTATAAGAATCTCAAAAAAACAACTTACATAGGAAAGAATATGGGAGCAACGTACGGTATGAGTGAGCCAAAGATTTATACAGAGCTTATTTGAAGATCAGGGTGAGACTTGCCAAGTTTGGACAAAAGGTCCTTGCATGTCATGCCCATACTTGATTTTGATTCAGAAAAATTTGGTAGGTCATTGACGTCAAGATTACTTGAATTCTGACATAGGCAAGAAACAACGGTAGCTATAATTTTTTTGTCTAGAACAACATCCAAATCAGACATCTGATGCAGCAAACTTATGACTCCTTTGGCGTCACCATTTGAACTAAAGCCTTTCAACAAGGAATCATACACAATACAGTCAGATGCATAGCCTACAGAGATCATCCTATCATAGATTTCTTTCGCTTCATCCAGCAGTCCAGCTTTTGACAACCTGTTTATCAGTGTAGAAAAGGTGAAGATATCAGGAGCCAAGCCCAGGTTAAGCATTTCTTTGAGTAAATCTTTGGCAGCTTGAAAGTCTCTTGCTTTGAAGGTTACATCGATCATAGTATTGAATGTGACCAGATCTGGTTCACCATTTTCTATTATATCTTTATATAACGCCCTTGCTTGCTCCAACTGATCCTCTTGGCACAGAAGGCCCAGCACTGTATTACAGTCAGACAAGGTAGGACCAGGCTTGCAAGCTCTCATTTTGTTCAATAGTCCCTTTGCCATGCTCACCATGCCTGTTTTGCAAAATGCATTTATCATGATGCTATAAGTGCTTGAATTTGGCACAAATCCCAACTCAATGATTCTTTTCCAGACTTCCATAGCCTGCTTTATATTTCCTTTACTTAGATACCCACCGAGCAAAGTGTTAAGAGTAACTATATTACCAATACTCCCCCTTGCAACCATCTTCCTATATATGTTCTCGGCCTCAGCTACACGTCCTTCTTTGCAAAGTCCGTGCATTATCATGTTAAATGTCATGATATCCGGCTTGGCATAGTCCTTGTCTTTCACCATAAGATTGAAAAGATGCAATGCCTCATCAACCCTGCCCTTATTGCAAAGTCCCATCAGCAGTGAATTATAGGTATTGACATCAGGCTTTTCACCTTTCGTTCTCATAGTTTCAAAAACTTCAAAAGCATCTCTAATCAGACCTTCCTTGCACATTCCATGAATTACGACATTATATGTAATGGAACTTGGCTGCTGACCTTTCTTTACCATTAAATCAAACATCCCCAAAGCCTTTTTCACTTTCCCCTCTTTGAAAAGGCTATCAATCAAACTCGTGTAAATAAAAACATCAGGAAAACTCCCACGTTCTGCCATAGCATCTAATACGTCTATGGCTTCCTCCCACTTACCCATCTTAGAAAGACCATGCACTAAACAACCGAAAGTGACCACATTTGGAGAAATCCCTTTCTCCAACATCTCGTAGAAAAGTTCTCTTCCTCGATCAAACTTCCCCACTCGAATGAATCCATTCATAAGAGCTCCGTATACGAAAACATCCGCATCCAGACCATTCTCCCTCATATCCGCCATTATCTCCAACGCCTCTTCCGGTCTACCTTCCTTACAAAGACCATCCATCAGAGTGGCGTACGTCACCGAATTCGGGCAACAGTTCAACCTCTTCATCTCAACCAACAAAAGCCGAGCTTCTTCAACTTTCTTGGCCTTGCACAGTCCATTCACCAGTGTATTATAACTATAAGCATCCGGCTTCACACCGTTAATTTCCATTCTGCGAAACAACTCGACTGCGCCCTGCACCTCGCCTTTTCTACACAGTCCATTCAATATAACATTCATAACGAACACATTCACGTTATACCCACGCTTCAGAATCAACCCCACCACCCCGCACGCAAGCCCCAGCCTACCCGCGTCTACAAAAGACTCCACTACACCTCTCAGCGTCTTGAAATATGGAGGAATGTCAAAATTCGCCATCTTCGCGTACACCGCCAGCACCAAATCGTAGTTCTTGGACTTTACCAGGGCATCGACGAGGTAGCTGCAGGTCGAGCTGGAAGGAGGCGAACCCGAATCGATTGCGAGGTGGAGGAGCGAGGCGGCCTCCGCAAACCGGGCATTGGGCCTCTCGCAGAGTGATCTCAATCGAGGCTCTATGTCGGTTTGAGGAGCAATTGGCGGCGCCGACGAGAAGAGCCTCCACGAAACGCGCGCGAGCTCAGATTGGCGGTTGAGCCTGAACGGAGAAGCAGAAAGTGAAGTGGTCATTGCATGCAGGTCACTGTCCGTCTTGTTGAGCGCGGAGTATTCACATAGAATTCATGAAGGATGTAGGAACAGATGGAAAAACTAGTTGCAGAAGAAGAAGAAGAAGAAGAAGAAGAAGAAGAAGGAGAAGAGTCTTGGGCCGTGCAAGATCGTTGGGCCTGCGAATTCCTCCATTGGACAGGTCCACCAGAAGCATTTCTCCAGTTATCTTTGGGCTGAACTTCCATTGAACCCAGCCCAATAGAGCTCACGAGTTTGACGGGTTACTGCCGCCGGCGAAGTCGTGGGATTTCTGGACAGAGGAAGAAGAAGAAAGAGGTACGTGACGATACCTATCTCCACTGCGATTGAATTCTTGTGTTTCGGTTCTGCCCCAAATCACCTACCGTTCAACTGGGTATTCCAATTTGATAGCGATCTGCAGTGGCAAATCGAATCCCGCGACAAAGCTTGCAATTTTATCTTCGACGAAACAGTTTTTCTGGTGAGAAAGTCCATTGATTCTTCGCTTGATGCGTCGTCAAGATCAGAGGGCGACGCCATCTTGAATTTCTTGCCTCTTAGCTCGGGACGTGCCTTTCGGAGTTGCGTTCTGATTGTCTCGTGCTTGTTCTGTGTGTTTACCCGTTCTTGCACCTGCAGGTTGAGGATCAACGCCGCGAAATGTTCAAGAACACTTTCCAATCCGGGTTCTTATCCATATTGTACAGCCTCGGGTACTTCCTTTCGGCTTTGGCATCTTGATTTCTCAGTCTTTTTTGTTTGCCATTTGTTCTTGCTCCTGTGCTGAAGCTGTTCGCAATCTTTGGTTTCTTTTGCAGGAGCAAGCCCTTACAGATTTGGGATAAAGAAGGTAAGTTGATTTCTGCTTTGGACAGCGGATAGTGTTTTGATGCCGCTTGGCATGTCCTTTCTTGGCTAGATCATGGATGATACTATTAATGCCGATTTTTCGCAGTTGTTAATGGTCACGTAAAACGACTGCAAGATGAAGACATTCAGTCGAATGTCCTCGAGATTGTCGGCTCGAATGTTCAATCCGCATACATCACGTGCCCTCCGGATCCGGCTGCAACGCTTGGTATTAAACTGCCATTCTTGGTTGTGATTGTGAAGAATCTGAAGAAGTACTTTACCTTTGAGATTCAAGTGCTGGACGACAAGAACGTGAGGCGGCGCTTCCGTGCTTCTAATTTTCAAGTGTGTAAGTTTACCCATATTGTCAGGCTGATATTTTGGTTTGGACAAGTTGTTGATTGATTTTAGTGGCCCTATAAGTGGAATGGTTAGGCACATCCTGCGATATGGTTATAGCGGTCCTTTGGTTTGGAGAGAGATTCCATATTTGGCATTTAGAAATTGATGGTTCTGCTGTTTGAATCGGTTCCGCAATAGTTATAATCACCATACTCGAGGAAAAGAGTCTTGCAAAAACATAATCATGTATCCTAAAATCTCATGATGTGTTGTTAATCAAGTGGCGAGGGATCTCTCAGTTGTCAGTAGTTTTGAGCCGCCTGTTCAGGATCTTGTTTCATATGAGCTCTAGAGCCAGTGGTTGGCTTGATGCCTTTTGATTTCTGAAACTGAGGGATTTTGTAGATATATTATCAGTCGAGATTGGAAGGTTGATTCCATATACATTTATCTACTGAATCAGCTGGACAAGAAGTGGCTGACTGAGATGTTGTGGCCTGAAGCCCTTTGTCCCCACATGAACGCAAAATTGTTGAGCAACCTGACACTAGTTGTGTATTTATATAGATGCAGATTTTTTTTTTCTTTTCGCTTTGATGATATTCTAGATGCACCGTATCATTCTTTACTATAATGGCATCCTTCTATTGATGTTGATGTACTAGTCGCAATACGCACTCTTTAATTAAAAACATACCCGATAATTTGTTGCTGCGTATGGAATAACCCTCTTTCCTCCATTGAGTATCAGGAGTTATATGCACTCGAAGAATTGGCATTGCATCTGATAACCTGCTCTCCTCCATTGAGTTTTATATTGGCTATGTTCACTAGAGGATTGGCATGCGTGTAACCTTTTCATTCTTGAATTGCAGGCTGTGACTCGAGTAAAGCCGTATATTTGCACAATGCCATTGAAGATGGATGAAGGATGGAATCAGATCCAGTTGAATCTCGCTGACCTCACCAGAAGAGCATATGGAACCAACTATGTCGAGACATTGAGAGTGCAGGTACATGCAAACTGCCGTATCCGGAGAATCTATTTCTCGGACCGCCTTTACTCTGAAGAGGAACTTCCGCCGGAATTCAAACTCTATCTTCCCATGCAGGTGAGACCGCTTTCTTCTGACATACCCGATATTTGAATGCCTTCTCCTTCCATGCTACCCTCATTGGTTAACTCTTGGTACTCTTTCCTGTTGCAGAAAAGTTAAGGAACTTTGGCAGAAAGGTTCCAGATCAATCACTCGCGACACTAGCGAGACTCTTCAAATCATGTCAACCCATTGGCGCCTATATCTTGAAGATAATTTAGGGTACTCCTACCAGACTCTCTGGCCTGTGCTCTTGAATCTTGTAGTTTTCCTCAGGCATCATGCCACTTTGTGTTTAGTCCGAATTGAGGCCTGTTATTGTTGATATAGGAAAGACCTATTGCTATAATCGTCTCTTGGACTTTAAATATGCTGCTACGATAGGTTGAAGAGGACCCCAGGGATGGGTTTTGCTCTGCTAATTTCTTTAAACTGAGAACTCTTTGATTAGTTGATTGGTTCAGCATGTCTGTGTAAGCATTATATGTTGGAAAAATATTAAATAACATGAAAAATAAGAATTGTTGGAAGTCTGTTGAAAAAGATGAGAAATGAGGCGTGCAAGCACTGTCCTTAAGGATAATTTTATCCCTTAGCATAGGAAACTTGGTTGTAAGACGGATTTTCTTCTTTATTCCGTACAGAATAATAGAAGGAACATAAATGGCGATGTGTGTATAACCCACCAACAAAAGGAAAGATATGTAACTAGAAAAAAAATATATTCTTGTTTTGATATATATTTATCTATCACTCTTCAATTATGCTCGGAGTAACAATGTGTAGGTAAAAGAAAGAGAGAGCCGTTTTCCATCATTAAATTCTTGCATTTAATTGAAAAGCGTCAGAAATCCGTTGCACATTAATAACAGTTAAGACCGTTACAAAATCATTATTAAACCGTTATTAAACATTACAATATCGTTATAAATTAACCGCCAACAAAAATAGTTATAAGTCGCTGTCATAAAAATAGTAGATTTCAATATCATTATGAAAATAGCAGCTTTCAATATTTCAAAACTTATTGAAATATACGAGATTACATTACATGCATGCTAACACTGAATTTCTTAACGCAAACCGCTGATAGGAATGGATTCCTATCCAGCCAGATTTCTTAAGGAAAATTTTTAAACTACTTTTGCTCTTGGTTGGGAATTATTATGCTTAGGTCACGAGAATTGCAGCCTTACCAGCTCCCCAGAGTACACACTGCATGATCAAGAACTGTGAAAATATAATTAACTCGGGAAGCAACAACCAGAATGCTGACCAATCTAACTCAAGGAGTTTGTATGGCCATATTAGGCAATACCCCAATCCCAATTTTGAACTTTGGCTATTGCACCCTAGGATCAAAAGGAGGTTACTCACTCGATTTTCCCGAATCTTTAGGTGACCTGGACACGAGAGATCTCGGCAGCCCAATGTCTTAATCATCCCACCCAGTTATGTAAAATGGTCCACTAATCTTGAGAATCCAGCGTGGGGCTTGAAGACCCTATTGCATGCATGCATACGGGCCTCGGAGGAATGCACCAATTATATCCTAATCGACCAACTTTTTATCGAGAAGTGTGATTATTCAGGCGTGCAAACATAGTAGAACAAGGACTGTCAATCATGTTCTTGAACTCGGGCTAGAATCAAGCGGTAAGGTTTTGGGGTCAAATCCAGTACATTTGTGTGCTCTCTAATAATAGAATCAAGATCACGATTTATATAGAATTGGTGGTGCTTACTAACTTTCAAAAGGTACATTTCTTGCTCGATATTCTATTCTCACACGAGATGTTTTTACCATATTGATTTGGTTAATGAAATAATTAACGAAAACACACGTCTATCTATTATAATTAAGGTGGCATGTGTAATAATCAACACAGCTCTTGCCAAAAAAACATTTGCCACCCTCGAGCTGGGTTCAGAAGCGGCGGAACAACCCTAGCTGAAACGGGCCTCACTTCCACGGGGCCCAGAAAACGACGCCGTTCCGGGGCCCCACGGGACCCTCCCTCCGTTCTCACCGTCACGGACCGGGGGGGGGGGGGGGGGGAGGAGAGGCGCGCGGCTCCCGTCAAGCCGCCGTGACGTAACGGCAGATTCCCCCGCTCCGAAGCGCATCCCGTAACGGCGAGGTATTTTTGGCGGCAAAACGACCCGACCCGCTGCCGACGCGTCGCGGCCTCATTGGCCGGCCGATGCATGCGGGCAGGACATCCATGTATGGCCATGCACGCATGCGCTGCCCCGCTGTTTCTTTTTTCCCGCGCACAAGGACGCAAAGGAGGGATCTTTTTTTGCATTTTTCATTTTCTCTCTTCTGCATTTCCGCTAAAGGGAAGTCCAGCTGAAAAAGGAAAAACACAGAAGAGATTGCTCGTTTTGGAGCGACGGGGACGCAGATAAAGGCGAGCTCCTTCGCGAAATCGTCTCTTCGCTCTGCATTTCGGCGAGGTTGATTCGGCGCTGTGGGCAGCAGCAGAGGTCGGCTCGATTAGGGTTTCGGTCAGGTAAGATCCGCCGGCAGATCTCTCCTCTCTCTCTCTGTCTCTCTGGTGATTTGTCTTGCTGAGATTGTAGTTCTCGAGCTTGATTGCCGGCCTGTGTGATCTCCTAGGGTTCGGACGAGCTCCGGTAGCTTCGGACGCCATGGCGGAGGCGGAGGCGGAGCCTGATGTTCCAGCTCCCGTCACTCCCAGCAACGACGGCGACCAGGGCGAGCCCGTCGAATTGCGGTTTCTGGAATTCTGCAAGGTTCTCGCGCGGCGAAACCCTAGCGCCGTTTGTTTGTTTTTTTTTCTTTTTTTGACCTGGCTTCCTTCTCCAGATTCGGTGTGAAGTTGTAGGTGTGTGTCGGGATTGGTTTCTGTGGGCTGACCGTGGTTTTTTGTGGCAGAGCAAATTGGGTTTGGAGGAGAGGAATTGCGTGGAGTCTCTGACGCTGCTGAAAAAGACCAAATCTGTGCTGCAGGCGAGCTCGACCGTTGTTGGTTCTGGAACGGTATCCGTTTTCCCAGATAACTCGAGTTTCTTTACGTTGTCCAAAGTCCCGGCTTTGTGGTGATCTGTGACCTCGTTATCAGGCGGAAGACATGGAACGCTATTGGTTCGCTTTTGTATTGTACACTGTTAGAAGGTTGAGTGAGAGAAAAGCAGAGGATGAGCAAAATGGGCCTGACGAGATCGAGGTCCCTTTGTGCCAGATATTGACAGTTACGGGACTAAAGTATGTTATGCGCGGAACATTTATCTTGTCGGGTCGAAACAGTTTGTTGTGACTTTTTGTTGTGTGGTGTGCTTTTTGCCTCAACTAATTACCTTTTGGGTTTACCAGCATCATTGAATTTTTCAAAGAGATTCCGCAATTTGTTATCAAGGCCGGGCCAATCGTAAGCGGCATTTATGGTGCCAATTGGGATAGCAAGCTAGAGGTATTGATTAACGTTTATGGCATGCTTGGATAGAAAGGTTCTTTTAAGGGTTAGCGCCGGGGCGATATTTTTTTCGTCTCGATTTTACTCAAGCCTGCTTGACGGACTAACCTTCCATTTCTGATTTTTTTTTTCTCGATCAGGCAAGGGAGATGCAGACAAACTTTGTGCATTTATGCATTCTGAGCAAGTGAGTATCTTTTACGTCACTAGAGATTGGAAAAGAGAGTATCTCTCGTGTTACTAAAGACTAGCAAAGAAATAAAGCGAGAAGAGCATATTAAACATTCTTTTGCTGTTTTGTTTGTCAAGAATGGAATGAAGGGAAATTGGCTGATATTCTAGGTAGGAGTGCAAGGATAATAAATATCCCTCCACTCCATTCACTTCAATCAATCGACCTCGTATCTTCTGATGTAGACCCAGCTCTACTTCTGGTTTCGTTCTATTATTTAGATCGATTATAGCATCTGAGTATCTAATATACATGTCCCATAAAAAATTACTAGTATTGAGCATGCAAATGCCGTAATGTACTAGCAGTTGCCTTGCGTTTCTTAATTTATGCTTTCGCGCATCTCCTTTTCTATTGGTGGACATGTTTTATAGATAGTGTTTTCTTCATCTTTGTTTTGCAAGGTATTATAAACGTGTATATGGCGAATTCTTCCTTCTAAAAGATGCGAAAGATGATATGAAGTCCGCTGTTTCGAGCGCTTCTAACCCTGTGATTGTGTACCAACGTTTTGGATGGTCGCTGTTTTTGGCGCTTCGAACCTTTAGCCGATTTAAGGACCTTATTTCTAGCACAAATGATTTGGTCTCTATACTGGTCAGTTACATTCCTGGACTACTTTGTTGAACTTAACAATTTTTCTAAGGTGTTTGCATTCACCCAATCACCATGTCAAACATGCAGTTTTCTACCCTGAAACATGGCTATCAAAAGGAAGAACGAATATGCACATTTGGCATGTTGCGTTGGCTTTTAAGACTAGTTTTTTTGGTAATATGAGTACGTGATGATCCGTTTTCAAATGATTTTTTTTTTACAGGCTATTCTGATAATACATCTTCCAACCCGCTTCAGAGATTTCAGCATTTCTGATTCATCGCGATTTGGTAATCATCTTGCTCTTTTGATTTTCAATTCTTGAAAACTCATTCACAGTCAGACTTTGAGATCGTTTATCCTCATATTTCTTCAGTCGGTCCTTCTTTTCCCTATTAACTTGAACCCGGCTCTTGCCGTGATTGATCATCGATTTCACTGTCATTCAGTTAAGAGAAGTGAGAAGGGGGTTGACCTGGTTGGATCACTCTGTCATCTTTATGACACCTCAGAAGATGAGATCAAGAGAGCATTGGAAAAAGCCAATAAAGTGTTAGCAGAGATTTTGGGGAAAACTCCGCGCCCAGCTTCAGAGTGCAAAGCGGAGAATCTGGAGAATATTGACACAGGTGGAATGATATCTCATTTATAAATGCTGAAGTCAGTGTAAATGCACGTATTAATGTGACAGTGCATATACATTGGTTTTTGAAATTCTCTTCCTCTCATATGCAGATGGTTTGATCTACTTTGGGGATCTCATGGAGGAAGTGTCTTTGTCGTCCATCTTAAGTACTTTAGAAAAAAATTACAAAGATGCAACTCGTAATAAGAGTGAATTCGACGAGACGGTATTTCTATATGACGAGGACAGATTGCTTGGATCGGGAAGCTTGTCTGGGGGCGCCATTAATTTAACTGGTGCCAAGGTATGCCTTTTCATTCAATCTAGTTGATTGACACTTCTATAAATCGTGTAATCATATTGTCTATTTTCATGTAGAGGAAATATGACTCATTTGCCTCCCCTGCAAAGACTGTCGCGAGACCACTCTCTCCCAGCCGCTCTCCTGCATCTCGCGTCAACGGTGTAATTGTTGGTACTAATTTGAGGATCACTGCTACTCCTGTAAGCACTGCTATGACAACTGCCAAGTGGCTTCGGACTATCGTGTCTCCACTCCCATCAAAACCTTCGATGGACCTGCATAGATATCTAGCGTTGTGCGATAGGGATGTGACCAGTGACGTGATACGCAGGGCCCATATAATTTTGGAGGCTATCTTTCCGAACAGTGCTATCGGTGAGCGCACTGTAACTGGAGGCTTGCAAAGTGCTAATCTCATGGACAATATGTGGGCTGAGCAACGAAGGCTGGAAGCCCTTAAGCTGTACTATCGGGTTTTAGAAGCTATGTGTAGAGCAGAGGCACAAATTTTACATTCGAATAATTTAACCTCTTTGTTAACAAATGAGAGGTTTCATAGATGTATGCTTGCCTGTTCCGCTGAGTTGGTTCTTGCAACGCATAAGACTGTGACGATGTTGTTTCCCGCGGTGCTAGAGCGAACTGGTATTACAGCTTTTGATCTTAGTAAGGTGATAGAGAGTTTTATTAGACATGAGGAAACTCTTCCAAGAGAATTGAGAAGGCATCTGAATACATTAGAAGAGCGACTTCTAGAGAACATGGTGTGGGAGAGAGGTTCCTCAATGTACAACTCCTTGGTAGTGGCAAGACCGGCTCACTCTCCAGAGATAAATCGGCTAGGCTTGTTACCCGAACCAATGCCGTCCTTGGATGCCATTGCCATGCATATTAACTTTTCTTCCAGTGGATTGCCCCAGTCACCGCTGCAAAAGCATGAGACTTCTCCTGGTAAGTCTTTCTTTCTAGGGTTCCCCTGACCTTTTTGAATTCTGGACTTGTCTTTTAAGCATCAGTTTGAATCTATGAACTTTCCTGATTTTGTGGGTGTATCTGAATCCGCCAATTGTCAACAATACGATATATGGATGCTTCCTATTTGCTTCGCTTTGAATGTTTAGATGCAATTATGTTCATGATTCGCCCAGCTCAATATCGCACGTTATCGTTCAGGTCAGAATGGGGATATCAGGTCTCCCAAGAGAATTTCTACAGACTACCGGAGCGTATTAGTTGAAAGAAATTTCACTTCGCCAGTAAAAGATCGGCTTTTAGCCTTGAGCAATATCAAGCCAAAGTTACCGCCACCTCCACTTCAGTCTGCGTTTGCCAGGTACTCTCAATGTAGAATCATGGGGTAGTACATAACTAAAGCTTGGTTTTGCACCACATCACTTCTTTTCTGTTCTTCAAGTTCTCTGTGTTTCGCTATATTGCAGTCCAACTCGACCACATCCAGGAGGTGGAGGGGAAACATGTGCAGAAACCGGGATCAATATATTCTTTAGCAAGGTACTGGAAAGCGTCTAGAATGGACCTGCTTGCCAAATGACCCCAAGAGAATCTTAAAAGTCACTGCAACTATCCTTCTACTCGACAAGGAAAACTTGTTTATAAGTGAATATAATGGATCTTGCATCCTTGTTTCTTCTCTTTCCTTCCTCTTCCTTCTCTGCTTGGGTTTAGATTTTCTAGCGATGCACGGCATATTGGGGCTTCATCAAGAGTTTTTATGTCATGTGAGATATTAATAGAGCAACGCAACATGACAACCTCCTTCCAATCATCCTAATTCTGAATGCGAAGACTATACTTAGGGATTTCATCTCAGAGACATTGAAGTTTTAGTCAGTTCCATGTCTGATTGTTTTGCAATAATAAAGATATATCCTAGTTTGGCTTTTACAATTACTGTGATTTATTCAGTTTTTTAATTGTTTTCCATACTTGTGGGATTGTCCAGATTACTAAGCTAGCAGCTGTCAGAATTAATAGCATGCTTGAAAGGCTACAACTCTCTCAGCAGATAAAGGAAGGCGTTTACTGCCTATTTCAGCAAATACTCAATCAGCAAACTAATCTCTTCTTTAATCGGCACATTGATCAAATAATACTCTGCTGTTTCTACGGTGTTGCAAAGGTTTGGACTCAGGAATTTTGTACGGTTTCCTGCGACAATTCAGAGCATTTAATATTTCTCTTCCTTGTTACTAATTCGTGTCGGTGTGTTTCTATTTCCCTTTTGGGCCTGAAGATCTATCAAACAAACCTGACCTTTAGGGAGATCATTCACAACTATAGGAAGCAACCCCAGTGCAAGCCACAAGTGTTCCGCAATGTGTTTGTTGATTGGTCAACCCGTCGTAATGGGGTACGTTAAATAATCTTACTCTCTTAGGCATCAGTTTTCTAGACAGCTCCTTAACGCGTTGATTGTTTTGGCAACAGAAAACAGGGAATGAGCATGTGGATATTATCAGTTTCTACAATGAAATATTCATTCCTTCTGTGAAGCCACTGCTTGTTGAAGTTGGGCCAGCTGGAGCAAATACTAGAACAAACCGGGCTTCTGAAGCTGGCAATAAAAATGATGGTATGCTTTTGACTGAAATATGACTTGTAAATCTGTCTTCACACAAGCCTTAGTCTGATTCTCTGTTGTTATAACTCTTACTAATCAGCTCAATGCCCCGGGTCACCTAAGATATCTCCTTTTCCAACTCTCCCGGATATGTCCCCAAAGAAAGTATCTGCATCCCACAACGTCTATGTGTCTCCACTGAGATCATCTAAGGTGCTCATCTTCTCTCTTGCAGTTTCTTTTTCTTCTTTACCACAGCTTTTCTTCTATTCTAAAGATTTAACCATGAAATTCCTTTCATGTATTATCATTTCTGACATTATTGTGAATGATTTGATTTAACATGGAAGTTCTTGAAATGGAATGTCACTAGGATACATGCAACATGGACACGGTGCTATGGTTGTATTTTTTTTCTTTTAATTGGCCTGCTCTGTCTTGATTGTGCGCAGATGGACGCTTCAATCTCTCATAGCTCGAAAAGCTATTATGCTTGTGTAGGAGAGAGCACCCATGCCTATCAAAGCCCTTCCAAAGACCTTGTTGACATCAACAGCCGCCTGAATGGGTAGGTTGCGATTAGATTGTGGGCTTTGGTATATTTGTTTGGGTGTATAACTTGCTTATTTTCCACCATATTGCAGTACCCGAAAGGTGAGAGGCACACTTAATTTCGATGACGTTGATGCTGGCCTCGTTAGTGACTCTATGGTGGCCAACAGCCTCTACCTTCAGAATGGGAGCAGTATGTCTTCATCAACTGCTAAGTTATCTGAGAAACCAGAATCTCAAAGTTAAATGATCCCCAGTCCAATTCCTATGCATGTAAATTCCAGTTCTTTTGTCCCCCTCAACTAGTTCAATCAGGAAGTGGAAGCGTGCAGTGAGTTATTTGTATAATAGCTGCCCTTTCCTTATCTTCTGTCCATGAGAAGGCTGCATGAAAGTTACTTTAGTAGTTCAGTTTAATAAAATCTTATAACCTCCACAGGATAAAATTATAGCCTATTCTTTTCTTACTCATAACAGATCAATTTCCCTATGGTACTATTTCTTGCTAAAATCACTGCTATCATGTTTGATGCTTTCGTGATTTAGAGTAGAAGATGGCATTTAAAATTTGGATGGGCTGATTAGGAAGATGTTGCGGTTTCATCATTTAAATAATGCCACTGAATTAAGTTTATCTTTGAGGAGCAATGGCTTGTTTTCTGGACATAGAAGTGAACGGGCTGAAGAGCTTGCAGATTTTCTAGCTCTGCACTCTGTGATGCAAGATAATCGTCATTAAATTTTGAGTACCTGGAGGTCACTTCATTGCTAGACTTGCTATCAGAAAATGGTCAGTTTGGCAAAGGTGGCTGCCACGTCCTGTAATCTGCTCAATACAACACGACTGGGACATAACCAATGGTCTGCCCCCTTGAGTGCGTCTGCTACAAACAATGCTGGAAAGAGGAACTAATTTAGACATTTTGCAGACACCTTATACTAAGTTTTAGTTTTAGTTAATTTAATGGTGTGCAAGCTTTTCTTGTCTTCGGATTTGATGCGATGTGTCGTTATGGGGCTTCATGAGGGTACGCCAGTGAGCTGAGTTTTCTAGGTAATATTTCCGGGCGTAACAGTCTCTCTTGTTAAAAAAAGCTTGGCATTCTGTCATATTCATTATTCAACGTGAAGATGTATCTGACAGATCTTGATTTAAAAAGCCTCCGCGAGACGGACAAAGTTCACCAATTCACCTCACGTTTTAGCTTCTGCATTGGCGGCATTGGCGTAGCGCTCACCCACATACTTCACTTTAGATATCTACCAAGCAATGTAACAGTAGCCAAGAGGACTGGCAGCAAAAGATTTCCAATCTTTATCATGCTAGTGACAAAAAAAATTAAATCAGATTTCCAATCAACAAGATGTCAGCTTTACAGATGGGAGTTCTTCAACGATAGATCACAGTTTTCCTATGTATCAGTATCGTAATCTTACAACCGCAGTGTGCTCCCGAACTAGATTTGTTTTGCTTTCAATCAAGTTAAAAAACTAACATAAAGTCATTCAACTATTTTAAATGGAAGCTCCCAATGCAGTTCCTACCTAATGTAATACGGAGCACCTAAGAAAGCCGAAGATGTCAATCAGGAAAGTTACATCCAGTCAAGAAGCCACCCATTGAAAATAACAGCATCCGTAACGTCTCGCAGCAGCCCAATTTGCACACCAAAAGAAGAAGCTCCCTTGCCTTGTACTTGGGTTCCGAAAAAAGCCTAGGCCGCTCTTGATTCCACAGAAACAACAAGGATGATACTGTGATTGAGGTTCCCGCAGATCCTTCTTTGTGTGTGGCTGATGGGGAGGCATCGAGTGCTGCGATATCAGAGTACGGTCATTGTCATACAATGTCAGCGAGTTGGTGATGGAAAATCTGATTCCCCTGTGCAAAAGTACGATAAGCAAGCGAGCTGTGTTTTGGGCATCATCTAAACCACAATGAGCACGCCCATGCCAGGTCAAGCCAGCCATCTCAACTGCCTCCCTAAGATTACATCTTAGACCTCCGAAAACTTCATGGAACGGGACTTTTAGGTTAATCCATCTAGTGAAAGGAAGAGAGAAAATGTCAGAATTAAGCATAGAAGAATCAAAGTCTGCACGATAGTTACATATCACTACCTCACCTGTTGAAATAAGAAGGCTTTCGAATTTTCTTATACCGACACTCAGATTCCAACATCACGCGGCAATCCCAATTGGACCAGGTAACAACAGCGAAATTTGTGTTCTTTATGCCCTTCTTCTCAAGCCATTTGTCATGACTAAGAAGAGCCTCACTCAGGGTAACACCTCGATCCACCTAGAATCACCAAAAAGGAAAACAAAATGGATTTAAAAGCCGTTATAATGAACAGGAAATTGATATGAGAAAGAAGATGCCATAATCCATAAGCATGACTGGAATGAGGGAACTCTCTATGCAAACATGGGCGGTTTCAGTAAATGTGCATGGCAAGCACCGAAAGACAATTGACTCGCCACTTTGGCATGGTTTTGATGTATCATCAAAACTATATGAAAGGTTCTGCACTGCCCATGGAATTTTAGCTTTATCTAATTATCAAAGAATCGATCTAGTAACTTGAAATCCTTCATCATCCTACGTACCCGTCTTTACCCTTTCCAAACTTCTTATTGCAGAAGATATGAAAGACAGACGTGCACTGGTAGCCCTTAAAACTTTCAGCACCACCATCAATTATTAATTTCGTCTAATGTGCTCCTTTACAGACCAATCCATTTCACGAGACAAATAAATGAACCAAAATCTATTTGGCGTCAGACAACACTCATCAACTTGCACAAGAATCCAGAACTGGCGGCATCCCCCGTAACCAGCTCATACTGAATAGATCAATCTCGCTTCCCTCAACATGCAAATGCATATGCTCCAACACATTATGTGCCAATCATCAGATAACACCTGCCATTAGATGCTATTTGCAGATGTATCATTTGCAGAACATCCAAGCACTGAGCAGCCAAGGTTATAGCAGATAGAAAACTCTACGTCCTCTTTCCTATTTGCACCAGCAGAAATTCTACAGGCTTACGATATATTAAGAGGGAGACGTACAGAAGATGAAGTGACGAACCCTCTTCCTGACTAACTAGCAAGACTAACTCCAAGCCCTTTGAACATTGGTGCAAATAGACATGGACAAAGGCAACACACTTTCATCCATGATTACAGCACTTCATCTATCACATCATAATCTGATACATGTTCCCCCATATAAGGCACACCTAGTAACCTTCCTCTTAATTGCTATTAGGGTTGAAAGTACGTAAAAAGCCATCTATAGCCAACTGAAAATAAAAACTACAAATGATTCTCCTATAGGAAAATTTAAAGGCTCGTAAAAAAAAAAGGCAACTCCCAGTGAGCCATGCTAATATCTACTGGGTAGAGTAAAAGGACTGTCAGTCTTGACAGGTTCCGAGATCAACCAACAGAAGCCTCCCTACTAATTAGGACAAAAAGGTCAGGGTATCTGGAAAAAGACGACGCCCCTCATGGTCCCGTCTAGCCACACTATATAATACTTTCCCCAGCCAAACTGTCGCATAATCAGAATAAAAAAATTTCTTCCATGCCAAGGAAAAGGTAATTCAACACAAACAAGAGATGAGAAGCCTGCACTGAGAGTGGAGGAAAGAGCTGAATCCATATCTCGCACTAAGAGAGTATTTACAAGCTAAGTTAGTTTATACATAACATCAATCCTCACAACTCTCCAACATTTTGCCTCTGCTTCAATTTTACAAGTAATGCATAAGAGAAAGATGACCTCTCCTCCTCCATCTTTAAGCTAATTATAGGAAGCTGCAGAAGGAGTTGGAAGAACGGCCTATTCTTTTTTGCTACGCAATCAGGGGGTTAGAAGATCTTCACACTTGAGAACATAAATTAAGTTTCTCTATACTTCTTCATCCCATCAACCTGAGGCTCACGTGGTAGAAAATATGAACAATGAACAGCAGAAAATCCAGCTTTCCCAGACAAAGAAAGAAAGAAAGAGAACGAAGATCGAACACGGAATTGAAAAAATCTGGTCAGTAGCAATGGAAGAATAATCCATCTCCTCATCTATACCATTTTGAAAGACACAGGAGAAAGTAAAATGAGAGTGCAAGTCTCAACCATTAAAATTGTACTACGATTTTCACAGGCCACCATCCTTAAGATACCAACCAATAAGTGATTATCAACAAAAGAACGGGCTTAAAATGATTGGGAAAACAGAATCTAGATCGATACAAACCTGAGATTGCTGGATACCAGTCAAATCTTTGCAAAAATCACTCAGATGCTGATTGCATGTTGGTCGAACATAGGTTTGGAAGCATGCTTCCAATTTGCCAGTCATGCTACTCACTATAACAGATGGGAATTCAATTATCTCTTGAGGATGGGGATTCTTTTCCTTGTCACAGGTTGCCTCGAAGTCTATGACCACAAAATACTGAAAGTCTTGGAACTGGTACTCAGGGAGGTAACGTTGAGAGAGCGTATCTGGTGGACAACCATGAAAGCCATTCCCCCCATGGAAAAAGCAAAATTGACCCTTAGAAGAATTCATTTGGTGCGGCTGCATCTGATGAGACTCGGGATACCGCCAGCCATAGTAGTAAGGATAATTAGGTCCATTGGGATGTTCACTTCTGCTAATTGACAAAACTTTCTTTGCGACATCTCCATCGGACTGACCTCTAATTCCATCCTTAAGCTTGGTTACCCCGGAGTGTGTGTTGCTATTTTCCTGAAGGTTGTAAAGGAATCCATTGCTTGAAAAACGTCCAGATGATGCCACGAAATTCCTTTGAGTATCTTCTGTAAACCCAAATATATATAAACAAAAAAAAAAATCAGAAAATCACACATTGTTCCTTTTTTACTTGCCAACAAAACAGATCCAAATGTACGCAGTTACGAAAGAGTAGTGTCAAATGATGTCACGTGAAGAAAGGAATTCTTGAGTGGAAGAATAGAAGGAAACCTCCTAAAGCGCAGAAAACTCGGTAGCATACTCCCTAAGATGTCTAATAAAACAAAAACAGGTACATCTTGTATGGCACCGCTCTTTTGTAACTGCAAGCAACACTTGCACTGCTCTTTTCTTGGACCGGGTGATAATTCAAGTGTGGCTGATGAATTTCACAATTCCAGACAAGACAGCACCAAACCAAGCAATTCCGTCGCTGTCTATGAGCAAGAACGAGGTCATCGACGACACTTAAAATTATCACCCAGTCCAAGAAAACCAGGCACGTCCCAGTAAACATCGCATCGACCCGTCTCGTCAGAGCTATTCACATCAACCCCAACTTCGTTTACCAGCAAAGCGCTCGGTCTGACTGAATAAAACAGTTCCCCAACACAACACCGAACGTCATCACCACAAGCCAAGCCAGCACCGACTTAAAATCAAACACATTCCTCCGTCCCACTAAACTTCCCCAGTTGGCACGTGAACCTCAATCGCGCCGCATAAAAAAAAAAAAAGAACGCCTTTTCGATCGTCGCTCAAAGACTGAGAAGAAAAATCAAGAATCTTGCAGACAGAGAGAGAGAGAGAGAGAACCCGCACCTCTGTGATCAAAGTCCATCGCGGTCTCGTGCTTGATTGCCGTGATCCGCCACCAAATACATTCGATCTTCCTCCGAAGTATGTCCCGACCTGCACGCGCAGATCAAGCACCCTCTGCTCAATTCGCTCTGTTCTCTGTTGCTCGCACGCCAATACCACCGATGATCAACGCACGAAAGCTTCGAACTTTCACCCGGCGCGACTGCGGTTCGAGGATGGAAAAGGCGAGGGAACGCGAGAGAGGAAGTGGGTCTTATATAGTTTGTCGATTACATCGTGGATGCGCAGAAGTAGCGACGCACTCCGCAGAGAATAGGCGAAGGAGCTACTTTAGTGTCACGAGAGAGGAAAGTAGCGAGAGAAAGCTTGGGGCCCACGGGGGGCAAGTGAGAGAGAGAGGTGTCTGGTTTTTTTTGTGGATTTGGTGGACACGTGTTCAACGTGGAGTGGTTCTCTTCGTTTGTTGTTTTCCGATGTTCGTGCAACGTGCGGTGGTCCTTGGCTGGTCAACGTAACCGCCGGTCTTCGACCCAAAAAAAAAAAAAAAAACGTAACCGCCGGTCCGAGATTTTTTGTTTTTTATTTATTTATAGGCGGCAATGTTGATGCTTGCTTGCTCTTTGTTTTTCTTTTCTTCGTATATTTCTGTGTTTAAATGACTAAATTGATGTTGATTTTAATATCTTTGAAGATGACGAAATAGGAAGTAAATCGTGATTTTCTGATATTTTCCTTCCTTTTCTTGAAAAATGTAGGCTAGATTTCGTTACGAATTAATAAATTGGTATTTTTAAGTCGTTCTTGCTCGATTCCTCTCTTCTTTTTTAGGGAATACGGACTAACCCGACCGTCTTTTGGATCTTTTTTTTTTTTGAGAAAATCATTCAATTTCAGATCTCAAGTATTAATTGAATTATCAAAGTGTATAATCGAGCGATGTAATAAGATAGATGAAATAAACTCAAAAAGATAATTATATATGGAAAAAACTAAGTTCGTGTTACATAAGATGGATTTTAGCTTACCAAGAAAGAGGCAGTAAATTAAATCTACACATGCATCAAACATTTGAGAAATCGTGAATTAAGAAGTGAGAGATTTAGGGTGCGCATGAATACCATTCTGTGTCCGGGCGCTATTTCTGAACAGAAATGATTTTTTTTTATTCTGTGCCCGGAAACAATTTCTGAGTATTTGAAGGCGTTTGATAAACTGTCCAAAATTTCTATTCCTAGAGTAGAAAAGAACAGAAATGCGTTTGGTAACTACATAAAATTTCTGTTCCCAAATAATATTTTAATAATATTTTGAATTGTTTAATTTTTTTTCTTTCTACTTTCTTCTTTGGCCATGGCTGGCGAGGGCGTCACGGACCTCGCCGGCCGCCGGCGGAGGCGAGGGTCGCCTCGCCGGCGAGGGCGAGGGCCGGACCTCGCTGCCCGGGCGAGGCCGACCTCGCCGTCGCTGACGGACGGCGAGGCTCGGCCTCGCTTGATCCGGGCGAGGCCGCTCGCCCGTGCGGCGAGGGTCGCCTCGCCCTCGCCGGCGAGGGCGACCCGCTCCCGGCGCGCCGGCGAGGGCCGTGACGCCCTCGCCTGGCCTGCGGCTGTGGCAAGCAGGCTTCAAATGAGGGAAGAACAACACAAAAATAAGAAAAGAAAAAAAAGAAAAAGAAAAAAAAATTGATTCTCAAAATTGTGCCGAGAAAGAAGCAACTTTTTTTTACTTTTTGTTTCTCTTACAAAACTGTTTCTCGGCACAAATTTTTGCAAAAATGTGCCAAGGAACAAAAAATTTACCAAACGCATTTCTGTTCCCAAACTATTTCTGGGTACAAAAGAACATAAATTTTCACTATTTGGCACGTTACCAAACGGGCCCTTAGTTTTACCTTTTAGTCACAAATTTGTTCTTCGTTCAAAATTTTACAGATATTTTGGATCCAAACCCGACCCGAAACAGGGTCCGAGCCCAGCATTAAATCCACGAGAGAGGCCCACAAGCCCATCCAGCAAAACGACGTGTGCTTCGGACATTCCTGTGCAAAACCTCTCAAAAACCCTACAAACACACGCATCACGGACACAGAAACACGTTCGACCTTGTTTGTCAGGGACAGAGCGAGAGAGAGAGAGAGAGACCGAGCATGGGAGCGACGAAGCCCGATGCGGTCGACTACGGGGCGTTGCGGGAGCTGTTCAGGCACCACATAGAGTCCTTCGACCACTTCTTGGATCGCGGCTTGGATACTATGCTCCTCAAGATCAAGCCCGTCCAAATTTTCGATCCCCTGTCCAACAAGACGCTTAGCAATATCCTTTTTTATCTGTTCGAATTGCTTCATCGCTGCGTTCATGTAAGCTGGAAAATACGGCCCTTTGCCGGTTCTTACTAAATCAAATTGAAAGTTCTCATTTTTTTTTTCCATGTATTGTTGTTAGTAGTTTTGAACATTGTTCTGGCTGCACACTCTTATACAAGCGTGATTTTCTTTTATTGGGTGAAATTCTTGGTAGGCGTCACAGTCCCCTCTGCATAATGTCTCCTTACTCTCCAGTCTGTTGATCTTTATAAATATTCTTGCCTCATTGCTATTTCTAGCATATGTTACCCTTTGAAGGATTGGTTTTGAACTTACGGATAAGATCTCTTTCCTACAAGCAATTGTCTCTGCAGTCATGTGTGCAAATGTCATATCATGGGCGACATTGGAAAAGTGCTCTTGTGGGTATCTGCAGTATATTTGCTCGGTAGTATCTACTCGTCTAGTTCTTGCAAGGATTTCTTCAAGACGAATTCCTGTTTTAGCATCAACTGGTGCTCATGTTTGCTTTTGCTAGAGTTCACTGGTCATCAAGTGGTGGTGAGACCAGTGGAATTATTTTGATAGTTGAAGTAAAGAAAATTTGGATGCTAATGTTCAAATCTTGGAATTGATATTCTAGTTTGCGCTCTGTGCGAGCAATTCTTCTTCCCAATTTTGAAGTTTTCCCTCTTTTTTTCGAATTTTGGGACGATAAGACAATTCCTTTTTTCTCTTATGCACTTGGTGCGAATTTCCAAGTCAATTATGTGAACAAGGCATACAAGTTTCATCCTTGACAATTTAATCACTCTCGTTTGAGAACCCTCAGGTATATCAACCTCAAAAGGAGGGTGTTTCAAAGACAATTCGTGATACTCTCTTACCCTACGAAGTAAGACTGCCGCGGTTGATTTGAGTCCCGCTTGATTCGTTTTTCTACTTGTGCGAATGGTTGGGCTGACTTAAGCTTATTTGTTTTGCATTTCAAATAGTGTAGACAAGCTAAACTTTCCTACTCTGGGAAGTTCATGGTGGACGTCTGTTTTCAATACGACAATGGACCAGCTGTTATACGCGAAAAATTTAATTTCGGCTATCTTCCAATAATGTTAAAGGTTAGTCTTTATTTTATTGCCGAAATAAGATTTCCAACATAAGAAATTAAGTGGCAATTATGCCACCTTCTGCTGTAATGATGGGATTTTACTCATCCAGTAGCACTTTGTTTACTCCACCAGACAGATTAAATCTCCCAAAGTGAAGTTCTCTTCTTTATACGATTCTGCCTTACTTAAGAGCAGTTGTTGAACGAGTGAATCTGCTCTCTACGTGAATGGAGGTTTCACAGTTAGATGATTAAAGCTAATGCATCAGCAATGTCTTGATTGCCTTTTTTGCTTATTTGTGCTTGCACTTGCTTTTCTTGCACAGTTGAGATTCTTTCAATATGTGTCCTTAATATTATGATCAAGTGATTGATATTTTTCTCCTCTCTAAATTGTGAGGCGGCTTGCATGCATTTTTCTCCTTGTAGAATTCTGTCTTATTATTTGGTGAACCAGCATTTCCCTAAACTTGCTTCATGCTAAGCTCCATAGAAGACACTGATGAGAAACCCGACAATTGTGCCAGAATTTCCTTATTTTCATGTCTTTTGTCCTGCTTTTGTGATGTATTAGAAGCAGGCAATGGTTCAACTTATCTGCCCTACTATGAAATGTAATCTGGGTAACACCAGCGTATCGTGAATGCTATTCAGTGTGATAATGACTGTACAATCTCTTAAATATGTCTTATAGCTATTATGCCTACATGTTGTTCTTAATCTAGTATCTTGAATGCTACCGCTCAAGTTGGTTGAGATCATGGATGCACTTGTCGTGTTGCTGTGTCTTTTGGATATTGGATGTTATTTTTCTTTAGTTTGTACAGTTTTGCTTTTATGTCCCATCTTAGTTAGAATGCTTTGAATTATGGATAAATAGGTGCATCCTTTCCATACTGAAAACATTAAAGACTATATACATGTTAAGGGAGATGAAGAAGATCGGGAATGGTAGATAGTGATTGAATTAATCTGCATTTCTTCGAGTTAATTGAAGTGATTCTTGATTTTGAGATGATTATGAAAGATCCATACTGCCATGGTAGTTAAGTAATGGTTGAAGATTCATAATTCAATTTTGTTGCAGTCAAAGCTTTGCCACTTGAGTGGCGCTGACCCGCAAAAGTTGGTTTCTTGCAAAGAGGAGTCTTCTGAGATGGGTGGGTAAGTTATTTTCTTTCTGTATCTTTAAGTAGTGATATGAAGCATCGAATATTTGCTGTATAAGTTTGGAGCATTGCATATCCACTGGATAGATTATATGCTATTGTCTTTTGCTTTATTGAAAATGGAGATTAATTAGTTTATGCTGTTGTCTTTTGCTTTATTTAAAACGAGATTAATTATCGTTTATCGACAATCTCTTCTTTTTCTTCCCCCTGACAAGCTCTTCTTTTGCTTTATTGAAAATGGCGTCTTTTTTAATACAAACCCCTCCCCCCCCCAAAAAAAAAAAGAAGAAGAAAAAGAAAGAACGCAACGCACACATGCAAACAAAGCAACCGCTGTTGTTTAGTGTGACTGTAGAAACTGCACATTTCTTTAGTTGTTTTGTGTGGTGGGTTTGCCGCCATTTCTTTAATGTCGTGCTTGTGACTTTCATCGGTCATCTCGAGCGGAAACATTTATATTTCTTGTTGAATGACTAACTTACTACAGACTGAAATAAAAAATTGTCCTTGTTGAAAGCGGCAAGTATTGTAGAGATGCTTATGTTTAGTCATTCTATCAAAATTTGACAAATTCATTCTTTTGAAGCTATTTCATCTTGAATGGGCTAGAGAGGGTGGTTCGTCTTCTGATATTGCCAAAGCGGAACTATGTAAGCACATTCCTTTGCCAATTGTTGTTCTTCTGCACTAGCACTCCTGATTACATACTATATTTTGGTAGGGTATTGGACACAAATGGACCTCTGCATGCTTTCATTATTTACCTCTTTTTTTTTTTGCAAAGTTTGTTGTATCCGTCTGTTAGCTTTGCAGTTTTTCATTTCCTTTGACCTGTTTATTTTATGGTGATGATATCTGAGTTCGATCTATATTTCAGCCGATGAGCATGGTGCGGAATTCATTTCGTGACCGACGTGAAGGATATACAGACAAAGCAGTAGTAATAAGGTTTCATTTTTATACACCATGCATGAAGTTGGTTTTAGTCATTTAAGTGGTTCATTTATTTGTACAGAATTGCATACAAATTTTCTGCTGTTTGACTCTAAATGCGAGGGGTTAACAATAACACGGCATTGCATGGTAATTGGTAACTATCAATGCAATAGGCTGTTATGTTGGAGATTCGCTGTTTAATGCCTTTACAGGTTTTTAGGTAATGATTGACCATTTTTCCGAATAGGTTTTGATTAAATCGTGCATGTTCTTAGTATATTTTATAAGCAGATTACCCTTAACTCGTGTTGGTAAGTCATGATTCTTATTGTTTTTCCTATGAAATTGAAGATGTCATCAGTTCTGACTTCTCTTATGTTGTGAGAAAGCCTAGTTCTCTTGTCCCATTGATCAAGTGTGACGTTTCATATGGCGATTTAAACTGTAACTTCCCTTGCTGTATTGGCCAGTGTGGTGGAAGCAAATACATTATCACTTTATGTGGGCTCCGATTTTGTTAACCTTTTGCTTTCTCTCTCGAATATGGCAGCTATTTTGGGAATATCCATATGATTTGGGACTATAGCGGAAGAGTGATGTTAGAGGAGTGTTGTGTGAATAACTGCTTAGCACAATGTTTTTGCCTGCTGAATTTATTCCGAACTTTGATTTGAGAAAATTAATGATTAGCCAAATTTGTGTAGTCAAAAGTGGTTTTACCTATGCAAATTCTGTCTTCTATAATGACTTGCAGCTTTCATGGGTTAACGCATCCAGGTGATTATGGTGGTTCCAATTCTGATTTAATCGCTTTTCAGGTGTGTCAGAGAAGACCAGTCTTCTGTGACAGTTAAACTATATTACCTTCAAAATGGTAGTGCGAGACTTGGATTTTGGTAAGATATTCTAATTCTTTAACTGGTGAATTAAACCTTTTTCTCTTGAAATGAGATTTTAACTGTTAGCTCTAAATGGTTTTTTGCAGGATTCAGGCTAGAGAGTATTTGCTTCCTGTTGGTGTTGTTTTGAAGGTGCTGTAATTCTTAACCTCCAATAAGAATATTTTTTTCCCTTTTTATCATCTTGGTTGTTTGTGGGATGTTGCAAATGGATAGCTGATGCTTCTTTACTTCCTTGTTGGTTCGTGAAATTTATCTCTTTATTGTTAGTCACAGTTGACTTATATATACAGCGGCAGTCTCATTTCATATCTTGTGTAATGGTGAATTGACCCGTCAAACTTTGTCCTAGATCTTTCATCTTGTTTATGAGTGTTGGCACCTTCTGCGATCTAGATGCATCTGAAGAAGAAAGAGGACTTGCGGTACAATCGTAGTGTGCATCTCTTGTATGTAGGAATTCCAATGAGTGCAATCCCTCTGCATTCCAGACGTTAGAAGCTTTTCCTCCTTATCTGGTGCAAGAAGGATGGACATTTGTATGGACCTTCCTTAGTCGATAGCCTTTCACTTTTAGGTTCTTATTTAGATGGCACTCAGGCGCTCGGCTTCCTTCCTTCCTTCCTTCCTTCGTCTGTCTAATTCCATGGAAGGATTTTTCATATACTTCCTTTTGTTTACTTTATCGCCTTTCATTTAATTATAGCAAATCTTGTTCAGCGCCTCAAATTCTGTTTGAATCTGTGTACTTTCTCGACCCTTCCAATAACTTATAAGAGATCTTATTTAGACGCCTCAAATTTTGTTTGAATACGTGTATCTGCTATGAACTTGTGGAGTGATCACTGGTTGCCGGAAATTTCCCATGTCATGAATTAATTGGCCTTGGATCAGAGCCAGGATTGGTTTCTTCTGCCATCAAGTTTTTATTGACCCGTTTCACCTTGCCCTTATTTGATGGTTGTGGATCAAGGCTTTAAGACTATAGGACAATGTTGTAGTGGAGGTCATTTTTCTGCTTTAGAGCATCAGAAGATGTTATGCAAATTAATACTTTTGCCTCCACTCTTGGCTGGCGTGCTATATATGTTTGTCTATGTCCTTTTCTTTCTCTTTGCTGTACTTCTCCTCATGTTATTGCTAATTGAGATCTTGACTATAATCAACAGGCACTTATCGACACCAATGATCATGAAATTTATGCTAGTTTGACATGTTGCGATAATGAGAAATATGGCAGAGGGAAGGGTGTTGTGGGTACTCAACTTGTGAGTGAAAGGGCTAAGATTATACTTGATGAACTTCGAGATCTGGCTCTTTTTACACGACGCCGATGTCTGCAACATATCGGTACTCTTGACATTTTTCACCGTTTCTTTTGCTTAAGTATCTGTTGTATGACTAACAAAGTTTTACCCTATATAGGAGAGCATTTCCAACCTGTTATGGGTGGTCTAGAAAACGAAAGTTATATCTCTGTAAGTTTTATCACATGCATGGCTTTATTAAATTGTTATTGTTTTGTGTCTTCAATGGTGCGGTTCCCACCTTCATTTCTCTCTTCCTTCACAGGTTGCGGATGCTGTTCTTCGGGACTACATTTTTGTCCACCTTGATAACAACTATGACAAGTTCAATCTTCTCATGTTAGCTACTTTCCAACTTGCCTTGTTGTTTTCTAAAGAAGTGGTGGCATGATATTCGTTCTAATAGCTCCACTTTTCATTATTGTGAATATGTTTCTGATTGTCTTTATTTTTCGTCCAGCTTTATGGTGCAGAAGCTTTTTTCTCTCATTGACCAGACTTCAGTTCCAGATAACCCAGATTCTTTGCAAAATCAGGAAGTTTTACTGCCTGGTCACCTGATTACAATTTATTTGAAGGTATAAGCTTTGTATCTTCTTTTCTTTTTTCTTTTTTTACTTTAATACACATTACTGAAGGATAATTACAAATTGAACCAGATAAATGTGAAATTACATATATCTATGCTCTACTTAATGTTAACTTTTTATGAACTGGGATTGTGGATCACTTGTTTCTGCCATAAGCAAGCTTAATACCAGCCTGGTCATTAATGCAGATGCCCTTGGTCAAAACCCACTTTCAATAGGTTTTGACCATGGGTAGACCTGTGAACTCTCAGCTCAGGTAAGGGTTCTGACTGTCTTTGGCCCTAGATGTCCGCTGCTTTCAGGGTTTGGGCCCAGTGCCTCTTTACAGTGACCCAAGTTGTGTTTGCTATTTCATGAACAAAAAAGGTTAGTGACCTTGCTGCTAGTAGGTTTTAAAATTGCAGCCTTTTGGTCTTTAGCATGTATGCCAAGCAAGAAAGGAACAGATGGTTTTTTTAACAAAAGCAAGGCGCTTAGTCGAACTATTGATCTGCAGTTCAGCCCCCTGATCCACTTAAAGTCTTGCTAAATGTATAGTTTTTTTAGCCTACATTCTTGGGGAGCCAAAAATGGATGGTTGAAATTAATTTCTGCACATTTTACCTTATAAATGTAAAATGATGACTTAAAACAGGTAAATAGAAAGATTATGGATATCTAATCGAACTGATTATAATATCTCAATACTTAATGTGCTTTCTCAATGCAGCTGAAGCTCAATAATTTCATTGCTTGTTTGTTACTTCTCCAGGACAAACTAGAAGATTGGCTACAAAAGGCAAAAAAGCTTCTTCAAGACGAGATAAAGAACAAAGGAAAAAACTTTGATTTCTGTAGCTGTATGTTATTGTACTCCTCTCTCTCTCTCTCTCTCAAATTTGTGTTTCTTCTTAGGCCCTTGACTATTATTGGAATGAACCAATTTTCCTAGGGAATATTCTGTTCATGTGCTATTTATTGTGCTAATTGTTGAAGGATTTATGATTACCTTCAGTTGTTACTTCTAAACTTCTCTCAAGATGTAGCCCCCTCCCCCTGCGATTCAACTGGGTTGGAGCTATTATTGTGATGACTAATGGAATCACGTGTCGGTTGTGTTTTTCTGGCTTCATTATCTGAGAAAGTGAGGGATTTTTCTAGTTCATAAATGCTGTTATTTTGTGTCTAATTATTGCCAACATTCTAAAAGTTCTTATGTCTGGCTTGTTTGTCCTACCTTTTGGTTTGTTTCAGAGTTCTTGACTAGGGTTTTTATGAAATGTGATTATGTAGTGGCACATGTTAAGAAGGTCATGGACAAAAATCCCGGAAGGCAGATTGGTTCAGCCATAGAAAATATGTTAAAAACTGGAAGGCTCATTACACAATCAGGTCTGGATTTGCAGCAGGTGTGTATAACTTCTGGCACTACACTGGATTCTTTTAATACAAATGAGCTCACAGTTCTCTTGTCAGTGCCTTATCTCTTTCATGTTATTTCCTGCAAGCAAAATACCGAGGGAGGTGAAGTGTATCATCTTATCGAAATTTTGGGTGTAATTGTTGAAGCGCTTTTTATGACTTGTATCTTGGTAGGGACTTGAATTAATCACAAGCTACATGAGACTTGCAATTTCTTTCTGCTCTTTAAATGGGTGTCTTTGCGTTCATATTTTTGCGCTTCTTACTATTGGGTGAGATGGAACAGCAGTAATTTCGTGGTCTTTTTCTGTATTGTCGTCTTTTAACTAGAGTGAGAACTTATTGCCTGTTTCTTGTTGTTTTTAAGGAAGGGTGCAACTGCTTCTAGAGTTCTATGATGGTTCCCATGAATACACTAGAAGCATAATAGGTTCGCTACAGCAGATTAGAAATAGGAAAGCTTACTTCCGAATTGATATCTCACACATGCATCCAACTAACATACATTCCTTTTTCTGTACTTGGGGGATTAATTTTCTTTTCCTTTTAGTCCTTAAAAACTAATGTGTTTCTACATGTTTACGTATTTTCCTAGCTTTCACGTGGAGTTGTATGTTCTCTCTTACTAGTCTGAGAATTTGATGGCAATTGCCTTCTGCAGAAATTTCTAGCATGTGACAATTTGTTATCATCTTATGGTTATAGAATGTGGAAATAGGTTGGAAATAACTAAAGGATTTGTTCTTGAGTGGCATCTTGTTACTAACCTTATCACTTTATTTCCAACGTTAATTTATTTAATCTTGTGTAATATTTTTCTGATGTTTTAGCTATGTTCTAGTGGTGCTTGACTAATGCTTGTATCCTGGATCTGCTTTATTAGAGGGCAGGCTATACAGTTCAAGCGGAGAGGCTAAACTTCCTGCGTTTTCTTTCACATTTTCGGGCTGTACATAGGGGTGCATCCTTTGCGGGGTTGCGGACAACGAGTGTTCGAAAGTTGTTACCTGAGTATGTGTTGTTTGGTAATCAGTTTGAACGTGTCTTAACTTTACGCTCTTCTTCCCAATTCTGATTGCTCTTGACTTGCCCTCTCTCTTTTTCCCCCCTCTTCATCTTTTGGCATTTTGCAGATCTTGGGGTTTTCTTTGCCCTGTACACACTCCTGATGGGGAGCCTTGTGGTTTGCTAAACCATATGACTTGCACCTGTAGTAAGTTAACATACCTTTTCAGATTGTTATCAAGAATTTTATTATTCCGTGAGATAGTCTGAATGTTTTCATGTCTTATGACGAAATTTTCTGGCCTTTGTGTTTTGAAAACTGCTATAGTGTCTGGAAGAATAGTTTTCAGAACAAGTTATTAATATTAGGTTTTCTTAACAAATTGACATTAACCAGTTTTTAAAACGAGTGCCTTTAGCAACCATAGTCATCACCAGGAATGTGGCTTGGCCCCATGGTGGTCCCACCTTTTACCAATTTCCAAGACATCTTGGGTTCGATTTTATTCTTCCTCCTTCCGCATCTTACTTGTAAAATCTAAAAAGAAAAAAGAAGTTGCTGGAGCCAACAATTATTTTTAGCTTGTAAACCTAAAGAAGTGCTTTTGTACGCTTCCGACTAGCATATAAAGGCCCTTGACATTCCATATATTTCTGCAACTGTTTTCTTTGACTAATTTATTTATCATATGATGGCAACAAGCATCAGTGATGTATCTTCTTTTTTCAGGGATCACATCCTTTTTTGATTCAAAAGGAAACATTCGAGATTTTTCCAAGATAAGAATTTCAATTCTAAATGTTCTGATTGGAGTTGGAATGACACCTTCACTCCCCAAAATCGCTCAAGCTGGCCCTCCTGAAGTTCTCTCTGTCCTTCTAGATGGGCGTGTTGTGGGCTCTATTCCCTCTGCTGAAGTTGAAAAGGCTGTTTCTTATTTGCGTAGATTAAAGCTGCCAACTACTTCAGGGGTCCGTGTTTCGTCAAATCTTTCTGCTTTTGTAGTTTCCAACTGCCCCACATCACTGCTTCATTTTTTTTTTGTCCTCATTGCGGTACATGAAATTGCAGATTCCTGATGATCTGGAGGTAGGATATGTTCCTCTGAGCTTTGGTGGGGCATATCCTGGTCTTTATCTATTTACAAACCCTTCAAGATTTGCGCGCCCAGTTAGAAATATATCTGCTCCTGTAGATGAAAGCCAAAACATTGAACTCATCGGTCCATTTGAGCAGGTTATTTCGGGATGAGTTTTTGTGCTGGATTTTCTTAGGCGGTCGTATTTAAACAGTTTATGCAATTTTTAGGTGTTTATGGAAATTAGATGCCCTGATGGTGGAGATGGGGGAAGAAGAAATGAATTTCCTGCAACTCATGAAGAGATTCATCCAACTGGAATGCTCAGTGTGGTTGCTAACCTCACACCATGGTCTGATCATAATCAGAGCCCACGAAACATGTACCAGTGTCAGGTTTTCATTATAGCTTCTTCATTTATTTTCAAAAATCTCTTTTCATTCTCCCGAGGCCCAAAGATGGTCAGTGGGACCCTTAAGTAAATCTGGCTAATATTCGGTTGTTGCTTTTGTTGATTGTAACTTCAGATGGCAAAACAAACAATGGCTTTCTCTTCACAAGCCATTCATTTCCGTGCGGACCAAAAATTGTATCATCTTCAGGTATATATCTAATTCTTCAAATTTTTGCAATGGTTGTTTGTATTGAACTTGGTAAATGGATCGTCTGTTCGGAATTTCTGCATGCTAAGTTGTTGATTGACATCCGTGACCAATGGCCATTGCCTTTTGGAACTTATTGAGTGCATGAACGTGTTCAAGTCTGATCTGGAAGTCGGCATGTGCAGCTAATTTTTTTGTTGTTATAATCAATCAATGAATTTTTAGTTTGTATCTGTGGGTGCTGCTTGTGTTATTTCTCTGAACCTGTACCTTGGGGCTTTGCAGACTCCTCAAACTCCAATAATACGAACAGGTGCGTACACAAAGTATTGCATAGATGAGTATCCAACCGGGACAAATGCAATTGTTGCTGTGCTGGCTTATTCAGGGTAATGCTTGGAATTAACTCTGTAAAATTCAAGGTGATGGATATATTTGCTACATTATTTTATGCCCTTGAGTATTAACTATATGTTACTATCAGGTATGATATGGAGGATGCTATGATTCTGAATAAGTCATCTGTAGAACGTGGAATGTTCCATGGACAAATATACCAGGTTTTTCTCTTTTTGCTTAAGCCATTATTAGACGAACAGACTCCTGCGATTGCTCTTCCTACGTCCCACCTCTTTAGCATGTGAGCACATGTATTTACCCTGTGTAACACTCGGCAAATATTCTTTCTCCATGAGCTTTTGAGACAGAGAAAAGCTTTTCCATGTGGAGTGGGTACATTCAACCTTATTTATATGTCTATCAAGTGAAAGTGGGCAAGTTTGTTCGTTGGTATGACCTGTGAAGGAAACATGTCTATGAAAGCTCATTAACATGTGTATCAAATTAAGCAAAATGTCTCGATTCATGTCAACCGTTGATGCTAAAGATCCAAAGAGTAAACTCATCAAAAAGTTGACTAAATGGTTAGCTGACCATCAGCATCAACTGACTCCATTCCCTGAAATGCTGTACTGCTCTTTCACAACATTTAAAAGATGTCAAAAGAAATTCCATGGTTTCTTGTAAAAAAGCAAATCATCAAACCTTTGATAGCCATGGCCATTGAATAATTGAATTTGTTCCCATCCTAGCAAATATGAAAGTACTCGAGAATAATTAAGTTGAAGTCATGGTAGAGTAACATGTAAGACATGGTCACCTATAATCTGGTAACGTAAACAGTTCTTGGATGCCCTTTCCATCTAAAATATCAGGTTATTGGTAGGATTGCATGTAATTACTTATGTTTAAAGTATTTTAAAGATGATAGAGCACTTGGTTATTTTAAAGTGTTTTAATTTTGCCGGTGGTAGCTGGATATATTGTCTTATAAACATGCTGGGTTTTGGTCTTTTTCTCTACTTCTGTATATGGGTTCTCTGATCCCATGAATTTGTTTCTTCCTTTTTGTGGAAGACATTTGCTAAATGCATAAACTGTAAGCAGCAGAACCTGCAATTATGGAATTTGTGCATAAGATTTGATTTGTTACAATCTCTTGAAGTAGACATGTGTGTTTCAAATTTTTTTTTGGGACTTTATGGGCTGGGTTGTTGTTTGAACTGATTGTAATTTTGCTACAGACAGAGACCATTGACTTATCTGAGCTAAGCAGCAAATCTGATCGAGCACAGAGGATGTTTAGGAGAAGTAACACTGATAAATCAGTTCACCCTTGGATTGATTCTGATGGACTTCCATACGTTGGTCAGGTCGACAATCTATTTCATGCTGTCATCGCTCTTTTCGTCCACTGAATCCTTTTTCTTAGAAATTGATAAACTCTTTGACATTTCTCTTTTAGATGATACATCCAAATGAGCCGTATTGCAGTATATATAATGAGGTGACAAATACTACCAAAAACCATCTACGAAAGGGGTCAGAATCTGTGATAGTTGATTATGTGGCTGTTGATGTGAAAAATAAGAAAAGTCTTCAAAAGGTCAGTGGACATGAAGAACTTTTTTGAGTCTTTTCTTCCCCGTTGATTTCTTCTAATTGCAGCATTAACATTTCTTGATATAATAATGTAAGGTTTACTGGAGCAAATTCCCCCAGATAATGTTCTTTTGCCGGCTAAACAGATGAACTGTCATACTTTCTCTTTGAGTTGATCTTTTGGAAGGTGCTGGAGATAGCGCCAGAGATCCCATGACGGGTGCCCAAGATATTAGAATAGTTGAACTTCCTTGTCTCTCTCTCCCCCAACCTCGTAGGTCTGGGAATTCAGTCTCTATCTCGAGAGAGCCCTATTCGTGTAGATCAGTACTTATTATGACTGCCATGTGTAGTTCTCCTGGTGTAGCAGTGTGCATAATCTCTCTACCTACCTAAAAACGTGTAACCGTATCTTTTGCTTGCTGACTGACTTGGAGGAGTTGTGACCATTAACACATCAAATGTGAAAACAAACATAAACCAGTTCTGGTTATACTTTGGTCTATGGCAGGATCTGACTTGACGCAAAATTGGGTGTAGAATTGGATAATATGTTGTGATTGTTTTTAAACATAACAGGTCATTGTGGAGATAAAGAAAGAGGACTCTACAAAAAATTAAAGAAAGAAAAGAGGACTTTAAATGTGATTTTATTTGATATTCTGAAAGATGGTTGTCTGAGTACTGAGTAGTGTTCCTTACATTTATATTAGAGATAGGGCGTCCAGGAGTTTTGGAACTTTTTTCTGTTGTTACAGGCTCTCATGTTTATGTTGGTATTTTGCGGATATTCAAGCCTACTTGGATTTTAAAATTTTTGTTCAATTCCATTTGATATTTGGAGTTGAATTGGTCTTTTCACAGTGTAGAATTTCACACACTTGGTGTATGCCAGCAAATAGGCTTTTTGTGAAATAGCTAGTCCTTTCGAAGGTTCTTCTTTGTGCATCGACGTCTTTACATTTAGCTGCATCCCCTGATAATGCTTTTGCAATGCAACATGAATTATAATTGCATGTTATCTTTCTTTCTCCCCCCTTTTCCTTTCTCCTTTGCAAACTTTTGGATGTGGAGCGTGGGATGGTCTGTCGTTTTACCTTTTCTTATTATCCCCTTTTGAACAGGCAAATATACGTTTTCGGCATCCAAGGAATCCTGCAATTGGTGACAAATTTAGCAGTAGGCACGGGCAGAAAGGTGTTTGCTCACAGTTGTGGCCAGACGTGGATATGCCTTTTTCAGGAATGACAGGGATGCGTCCAGACTTGATAATTAATCCCCATGCATTTCCTTCCAGGATGACAATTGCTATGCTTCTGGAGTCGATTGCTGCTAAGGTACCACTAACAGTAGAATAGCTTAGATGGAATTTTTCATGAATACAACATTTTGTCTTCATGGTGGAACTGAAGTTGTCGCTGTGTTGCTATATTTTATTGCTTAGTAGGGGTAAGGTTCGAGATATGTATAAATATACCTACAAAACTTAGAGAATTCAGTAACTTGTCTTGCAGGTGGGCAGCTTAGATGGTGAATTTGTCGATGCAACTCCATTTGCTAGCTCTGATAAGCAAACTAACGGAGAAGAGAAACCTGAATCTGAATCGCTTGTTGATCAAATCGGGACCAAGTTAAGGAAGAAAGGGTTCAATTACCATGGGGTGGAAGTGCTGTACAGTGGTGTCTATGGAACGGAACTCACGTGTGAGATCTTTATTGGGCCTGTGTATTATCAACGACTAAGGCACATGGTCTCGGACAAGTTTCAGGCGAGTATCTCTTTCTGTTCCCTCCATGCACACGGGTGATTTCATGACTATTGAAGGACGAACTGACATGAAAACCTATCAATTTCCGTCCAAAACCTTTCTTTTCCTTTTCCTTACTATTTTTTGGAAGAGTGTTGCATTTTCAGATGGGAAAAGTGGGGGGGAATCCTTTTCCAAATTTGTGCATTTTTTAGTACCAAAACTTTGTACTTCAGATCCATGAAGTGCAACTCTTGATCCTTGGATGTGCTTATTTGGAGCCCAAATCTTTTCGAAAGAGTTGCTAAATTGGCATTTAATTCCCATTGTCGTATTGTCATCTAGAGCTGCCATTCATTTCCATGCATACCTGAGACAGCAAGGATTACTACTAATGTTTCTCTCTTTCCTTTTTGGGGCTAAACGAAAAGGATTTCTATTCTTAATTTGCAGGTTCGCTCCACTGGAACAGTAGACCAGGTCACACGGCAGCCCATCAAAGGAAGAAAGCGAGGTGGAGGCATCCGATTCGGGGAGATGGAAAGAGATTCCATGGTTGCACATGGGGCGGCATATCTATTGCACGACAGGCTACACATGTGTTCCGATCACCATATTGCTGACGTATGCTCCCTCTGCGGGAGCATCCTCACCACGGACTTTGTCCAGCCTCAAAGGCGTCCGGGCCGGGAGATTGGAGGGCTCCCACCTCTCAGGGCTCCTAAAAAGGTCACCTGTCACTCGTGCCAGACGAGCAGAGGGATGGAAACCGTCGCAATGCCTTACGTTTTCAGATATTTGGCTGCTGAGCTAGCGGCGATGAACATCAAAATGACCTTGCATATAAGCAATGGAGCCGGGGCCTGATTCTTGTTGCCACATTTGCTAGGCGTCCACCCAATTTTTGAAATGCCAGGAGGCTGGTGCCATGATGGTTGAGCGGGTTCCAATTCACACTCATTTGATCAACGGACAGAATGATCTATCTCCCCAACAACAGGAGCACGGCGAGCCTGAATCGATCAGCGCAACTATAAGTATAGGCGGAATATCATTTGTTATTAGTGTAGGAATGAACTTTCTTGTGTCTACCCGATGGGGGGGAATGACTCGGCAACCTAGTGATCCGTAGTCTTTGTGAAAAGCCTGTTTCATAGGGGAAAATATGCACGAGCAATCCTCTCAAAATAGCAAGTTCTTCTGTTTAAGGTTTCCTGTTGTAATTTCTGACGAAGGAGTTGGGTTTTGAAATAGAATTTGGCAATCCAATTCAACATGTTTATATAAGGGTGCATTTGTTAATCATTCTGTTTTTCAAAATAATTTCGGCGAAAGGCGGGTGGCGGCAGGAGGAGGGTGGCTGGCGGCGGGAGACGGTGATCGGTGGACGGCGGGCAGCGGCCCATGGTGGCCGACGGTGGGAGGTGGGCGGCGGCGGGAGAAGGGTGGCTGGTGGCGGGAGACGGTAACTGCTGGACGGCGGGCAGCGGCCCACAGTGGCCGGCGGCGGAAGACAGCGAATGGTGGGAGACGGCGGGCGGCGACGGGAGACGGTGGCCGGCAAGCGGCAAGTGGGCAACGATGGACAGCGGGTGGGCGACCGGCTAGTAACGAAGGCGAGCAATGAGAAGAATTTTTATTTCTTATTTTTGTTCCAAAAATAGAAAAGTAAAAATTTTTTGCTTCTCATTTCTATTCCAAACCTATTTCTGAAATCAAAATTTGTTCCAGAAATAAAAAAATAAAATTGCGCTACCGAACGGATTTTTATTCCAAACCTATTTCTAGAACAGAAAAATAAAAACAGAAAGGTTATCATTCGCAGCTTTATTTTAAGGGACATTGTCAACTCGAATCGAGAAATCGATATTTCTATGCGAAAAATCGTATTCATAAATATTTTGAGCGCTATAGGGAAACTCTAGGATAGATCTATACAATATCCTTGACTGCTTATTGTGAAAAGATCAGGTCAATTTGTTGAATTTAGTCATTAGACTGCGTGAAAATGAAGTAAATGACAAGATTACATTGAACATTTATCAATAGTTTGAGGACTATATTAAATAAATTAAAAGTCCATGGATGTCATTGTAAAATGAGTCGAAGTTTATGGATCATATTGCATAAATTAAAAGTACAAAGCCGACATTGCATATTGAATCAAAGCTTCGGGTTTTAGATAAGAATAATGCAAAAAATTGAATTAAATAAATTTTTTGTATAATTCAATCACAATATGATATTCGAAATATTTTAAACATTTGTGACAGTTTCTTAGGGTTTTAAGCAGAACGGGGGGTTTTAGAGTTCAGACCGACTTTCTCCTCTCGCGTCACCGCAACGACAATGGCCACAACTCCCGACCTCGAACCTACGAACTTGGAGCGATATGAATCCATGGACGATTCAGAGGAGGACGAAGAAGAGCTCGGTGGTTGGGACGAGGACGAAGACGAAGACGAGGACGAAGAGTCCAGCTCGAGCTTCCTCTGCTTGTTCTGCGAGACCGTGTACGGCTCCTGCGCTTCCCTGTTCGATCACTGCTCTTCGGCCCACCACTTCGATTTCGATGGCATTAGGAAGGCCTTGGGGCTGGACTTCTACGGCTCGTTCAAGCTCGTCAACTATGTCCGCTCGCAGGTCAGTCAAGATTTTTAGCCTTGGAATTATCATTGCGAGGTTGAGATATAGCAAAGCATTCCCGTTTCTCGAGTATCAATTCTATCGTTTAAGGAAGTAGCAATTTTGTCATTTGCTTTTGTTTGTGTATAAGCTTTATAACGAAGCTGTTTCAGTTTGACGATTCTTGAGAGAAGCTTCAGTTTGCTACCCTTAATCTTTGGTGATTGCGAGTTTCTAGCTCCAATTACTGATTTTAGACAGCTTGGCAGGTAATTTTGAGGTCTGAGGCTTCCTTCTCTCTATTTTCTTTCGTGCTAGGTGGCTAAAAACCGGTGTTGGAGCTGCGGGTCGGAATGCACCTCGAATCAAGATTTGCTGAATCATTCACATGAAGCATATTCTGTGGAAGATGTTAAACTTCGTATAGACGACGATGAATATCTCAAACCCTTCCTTGAAGAGGATCCACTCCTGTACAGCTTTGATGAAGACGAAGTGGGAGAAGATGACTCTTCTACGTTGGTCGACAAAGAGGAACTTGTGAAGGACTTGAGGGAACTTGCGAAGGACTGGAGGGAAATTGAGGGTATCTCCTCGAACTTTGAGTTGCCTGTTGACGAGGCTGCATCTTCTTCTGAACCTACAAAGGGAGGCGGATGTCGAGATGTTGCATCAACTTCCAACGGTAAAACAGAGACAGCTGGTTCTATGAATTCCTGTAACCCCCTGAGAGGGGCAACTTTTCTGCCGAAGGAAATGGGAAGTGATCTGAAAATAAGAGCAGAAGTCAGATCGTCCAATGGTAATTATGAAAATGGGAAAGAAGGAAATTGGTTGAAAAGGCGTACTGCAAACGATGTCAGGTCTGTGAACGAGAACTATTTTGGGGCTTACAGTTCATTTGGCATCCACAGGGAGATGATCAGTGACAAGGTAATATGGTTTTTTTCTTAATCTCTGGCCGGTAAAGCTTAATAGTCTGTCAAAAAAGTTGGATTTTTATTCCGGCTTATGTTCCCTGAGAAAGGTTTCATTGGGAAACAGATGGTTTTTTCTTTCATTTTTGTGCCATTTTTTTCCCCGTAAACCAGGAACTTTTTGCTTGATTTAGTGTTTCTGCTCTGAGAGTTTAACTTGATGTTCTCTGCATATGCAGGTGAGAATGGACGCGTATAGCCAAGCTATCCTGAGGAATCCTTCTCTCGTGAGTGGTGCTGTTGTAATGGATGTAGGATGTGGAACTGGTATTCTAAGGTTAGTTGGCGTTTCTTTTTATCAGATGCCGGCTCCTTATAGACATGCATTTATCTGTAAAAAATTATCTTTAGTATTATGTATGATATAAGTAATGGACATAAATGAACTTTCTTCTATTAGAAAAATTCATGCATTGCTCTTTGCTCTTCATTTCTTCTGTCTGCTTAAATTATGATTCCTCTTGACTTTGGTGATGCTAGTGCTTGGTACTCCCCCCCCCCCCCCCCCAACAAAAGAAAACTCCCAAGATTAAAAGCTGTTCTCCTGCATCCTTGTGTGGATATCAATACCTTCGTCAGCTATATTGTGATGGTCATACAGAGAAGGCTTGGGCAGAATAGTCCTTACTTGTATAGGTCATGCTGCATTATTAGTTGTTCATCCTTTATTTTAAGCACCATTATGTTCAGTATAAGATTAAAAATAACTCAACACCTTTGTTGTGGTTAGATTGGCTCTTTTGGGCTATAAAACCCTTCAACCAGGGTATTCTCATTACAGGATGAACTGTGCTGGGACCTTAGTCGTGTTTTCTCTTGATTAATGTCTAGCAATTGCATGCACAGCTCACTCAGTTTATATTGCAAATAAGTTTTCTGCTTCCACTGCTGTTTGCATTCGGTTTTGATCTCTCAGGTCCCCTCTCCCAATGCTTTTGATTTGAATCCATCTTCTAGCAAGCCATTAAGATGCCCGAGTTTGTACCATCTATAAGCCACCTGGTGTTGCTTGCTCGAAGCCACCTGGCGTTGCTTGCTCAAATCATTTTATCTATTTGAACGGTCAATTTCAAGTGTCCCTAAGTTTGATAAATTCAAGTTGTGGGTGTTCACTTTATCCCTCACTTATGATGACCTCATATTGGTAATGTGCACCACCATGCTCACTTTCAAATTAATCGCCATTGTTAGCTTATTTGCTGCTCAAGCTGGGGCCTCAAAAGTGATTGCAATTGAAGCCAGTGAGAAGATGGCTGGTGTAGCTACTCAGGTAAAGTTTCTCCTGTCAGTGGATCTCTTGTTGATTTTTGTGCCTCGCCTATTAGTTTTTGCAGCACACTTTTTATCTCCCTTGTTGAATTCTCCACTTTCTCCATCCTGCTTGATCACTGCAGATTGCAAAAGACAATGGCCTCTGGCGGAGTGGGAGACCAGATGGATGTAATGATAGTTGCAAAGGTGTCGTGGAAGTTGTTCATAGCATGGTTGAAGAGCTTGATAAATCCATACAAATCCAACCTCATTCTGTGGATGTGCTAATCAGTGAGTGGATGGGATATTGCTTACTATACGAGTCCATGTTAAACTCAGTCCTATATGCACGGGATCGATGGCTGAAGCCAGGAGGTGCCATACTCCCTGACACTGCAACTATAGTAAGTTGGTTTTTCTTTTTTCCGGTCTTAAATCTTTATGCTGATATTTGCGGCTACAGAGGGTTATGAAATTGCCTCCTGTTTCTTTCCAGTTTGCTGCAGGATTTGGAAAAGGTGCGACGAGTATTCCTTTTTGGGAAGATGTCTACAGCTTCAATATGTCTTGCATTGGCAAGGAAATTGTTGAAGATGCTGCTCGATATCCTATAGTTGATGTTGTGAATGATGCTGATCTAGTCACTGATGCAGTTCTTCTTCAGGTTAGTGGTGGATTCCTTATGTTTATCTATAAGGTTATGTGAAGAGCAGCTTCCTAGTTGATTGTAATATTACCGCATGGGGGGAAAGTGGCGTCCATATTTTTGCTTTCTGCTTGGGTGCGTTTATTTCTTCCTAGTCTGTCTTACTAATCCAACTGCAAGCAAGCTGATGGAGTTAGCTATCCACATTCTGTTCATGTTTCATTTAACACGTCCAACAAAGCTAAATAGTCTACTTATCTCACAAGTCGCAGCGATGCTGCTATCCGGGCTGGGGTTGGATATCTTTTATTTGTTGTCCTCTCTCTCTCTCTCTCTCTCTCTCTCTCTCTCTCTCTCTCTCTCTCATGTCTTCTGATGTCACTTCAAAGGAAAATCTGGTGATGAGTAGTCCTTTAGGGTGTCTTAGCAGCTTGCATCCAAACAAAGTTTTTGCAGCTGATCAACTATCGTCTGTCTTCCCTCAACTTATTATTGATCTACGGCTTTGCGATGGTGGTTTTTATTTTGCTTCAGGCTTTTGACCTTGTTACAATGAAGCCTGATGAAGTGGATTTTACATCAAATATCGAGATAGTACCAAAATCGGCTGGTCTGGCAGACAAAGATGGCAAACCAACCTGGTGCTATGGCGTTGTTTTGTGGTTTGAGACTGGGTTTACCAGCAGGTTTTGCAAGGATTTTCCAGCCGTATTATCCACTTCCCCAGCTACCCCTAAAACTCATTGGGCGCAGACAATCTTGACGTTTCGTGAACCTATTGCAATGTCATCGACGAGGCCCTGTGCTGACAGGCTTGCTCCAGTTGGTACTGATGCCTGTCCTGCCGAGAAAATTCGCTTAAGAGTAAGCATAGCACGTGCTCCCGAGCATCGCAGCATCGACATATCACTGGAGGCTGTTGGTATTGACCTGGCTGGTAGGAAGAGAAGTTGGCCTGTGCAAATATTTAATCTGTGTTAGGAATTGAATGTACCGATGATGTCCATGATTCAGGCCTTGTTCCCTCTTCTTTGAAGCCTGGAAGGCTTAAAATTTTGTCTTTATAGCATGAAGCACTTAATCATTTTTGTTTTTCTGCTAATTGCTTGAAAAGAGAGTTGTTTCTTGGAAAGATGTGAATGCCTTTCTATTCACGGGCATACAGGACCTTGTCAATTTGAAATTTGAATTTTACCTGCTTATATTGATGTTGATCATTCTGGTAAATATCGATCGCTTAACCACGAATACAAGTTGGTAACATATTAATCAAATTGTATATCTGCAAAATGATATGATTCCATGGATATTTATTGTGGCTTAATATCGATAACAAATAAATTTTGATAATTATCTATCAAGTCGCCAATAAAGTAGACATTGATTAATCCAAGAGTAAAGCTGGAAACTTTGTATTAAAAGTAAAGCGCACAATTTTCATGAAATATTTCAATTTAATGTTCGTATATAAGTTTATCTCATTTAACGACATGGTTGATTAATTCATGATTATATAACATTCTAAATTTCATTATAATTAAGCTAAAATGCTCCAACTCCGGCGGCTCGAAAAAATCAAGTGTTCGCCAATTGACGAATATTTTCCAACCGATGAGTTCGGATCCTTATTTTAAGACCGACTTAGCCATTTCAATCCTTTATTTGATGAAATGTCCCACACGAGCCGTCTTTCGAAAAACGTGAGCCTACTCCGAGCTTTTGGCTGAAATTTTCCCTAAAATGAATTTCTGGGTTGGCGGTTCATGATAATTGGGCCGGTTAGCAAATATATGTCAAGTCAAGGGTCCATTTTTGCACGATTTCCACTATTTAAACAGAAAAGAAGAGAGAGAGAGAGAGAGAGAGAGAGCGAGAGAGAGAGGGGGGAATCTGCGTGGAGCGAAGTACTTGGCAGAGCGAAGAGAAGTCGAACGCAGAGAGAGTGAGAATGGCAACGGGGGGAGGGGACGGAGGAGGGGGAGTGGAGTGGCACTTGCGGCCTCCGAACCCGAAGAATCCGGTCGTCTTCTTCGACATAACCATCGGCACCATCCCCGCCGGTCGTATCAAGATGGAGCTCTTCGCCGACATCGCCCCCAAAACTGCCGAAAACTTCAGGTCGTATCAAGATGGAGCTCCTCTTCTTCTTCTTCTTCTTCGTTTTTTTTTGTCCTTCCCTTTTCAAACTCTAAGTTTGGTCGATTGAACGAGTTTGTGTTGTGATTTTTCCAGGCAGTTCTGCACCGGGGAGTACAGGTAATTGGGCAAACTCGAACTACTTCATCGTCCTGACGAGAAAAAGAAAAATCTTGAGGATATGTCTAGTTCACTGAAGCTTTCCTACGTGATTAGCGTCCCATATATTGAATCTGCCTCAGAAGAGATTCGGGTTATTTATTTCGGTCCGATATGAGAGCCGGAGTGCGCAAGTTTGTTTTTTGGGGCTTTAGTCTCCCGCTCTTGACAAGTCTTTGTTGCATGTTATGCGTGTCCTCCGTTGGATTCCTAGATTCGGGGGTCGGTAACTTGTCATGGGTTTTTCAGTCTTCTGGCTTGGGACCCGTGACTTAGAGTGAATAGGCTCCTTTTGCAAATTAGCCCCTTATTTCCGGGCACACGTTTTTTTTATTAGCCCAAATGGCTTTTGAACTTGGTGGCTTGGCCAGGTGAAGCTTAGCTCTAGTGACTCGTTTGCTTCAGATGATCGCTGCGGTGGGCACCATTATCGGTTTTAGTTGGGCAGAGATCCATTGTTAATATTTTTTTGGGTTGGCAGACTATTGTCTTTCTGATGCTACTTTGTTGTCGCCACTTGCCATTCCATGTTTGTCTTATAATTTTGTATTAGCCGACTGCTAGTTCAATAACTTCATTCAATGATCAACTTTCTTAGCACTGGCTCAAAATTTTGGCGAATCATCTGCGCATTTATTTGGACGGGCAAACTTGAAATTTTAAGTCCATTTATGTGCTGATGGAGGATTGTGTGTCAGTGGAATTGTCCTTTTACTTATTTGTCATCTCCGTGTCTTGTGGATTAAAATTGGCAGAAAAGCTGGTCTTCCTGTCGGGTTTAAGGGATGCCAATTCCATAGGGTTATCAAGGATTTCATGATTCAAGCCGGTGACTTTTTGAAGGTAGACTCAAATATGTTTTAATCTTCAACCTTCAGTTTGACTGATTGAACTGCTTGGCCAAGACTAGTGTAACTTGTTTCCGGGATGGCTTTTTTCCTTTGCTTCCTTTGTATATTCCAAGCTGACTATTCAACAATAAAGACCAGCATGATGCTATAGCATTTGGGTGTGTTTGTGTGTATGGACATGCATAGCGTATTACTCTGAGCATAAAGGAAATGGCAAAAGAGATAGTATCCTCAAATTTTTCTTTTTATATATTCTTGTAATTGCTACACATAGAACGTTGTTTAAATTTTTTATGAATTAGTGCTTTGGAGTAGTTCCTTACTGCCATTTTGAGCTTTAGAGGATCCTTGTTATATTTGAATGTATTTCTTCTAACCTTGTGATAAAGAAACATAAACCACTTTTTACCATTTGCAACGAGAGTGGAAGTTTGATTTTCTCTGTAATTCTTTGAAAGCCAATACATTGCTTTGCAGGGTGATGGAAGCGGATGTGTTTCCATATATGGACACAAGTTTGATGACGAAAATTTTATCGCCAAGCACACCGGTCCTGGTTTATTATCAATGGTACTTCCATGGCTTTAACTGTGTGTTGTACTATTGGCTTGTTTTCTTTTATAGAAGATCCCATGCAATTCTCCTTAGTTTTAGGTGTTTTGCCATTTTAAGCAGATTATGTGTTCGGAATTTCAATCTTGTTGCATATCCAAGAACCTTTTTCTTGTTTTATTTTCTGATTCTGGTGCCTGATCTGAGAAGTTCTGCTCATCAACATCTAGATCTAGCATTCAACACATCATTGTGGTGGCTCTTTCAGTTGCATGGATCTTCTTTCAATTGTAGTCTCTTTTGTAGTCCTTACATTAGGTTCTCAAGTTTTCTGGCTGAGCACATGCGATAGTCTTTTTGGATAGTGGTAACAGCAAATCTATTTCTTTCTCAGGCTAACAGCGGACCCAACACTAATGGATGTCAGGTAAATCTCTTTCTCTCTCTCTCTCTCTCTAGCACTTGCACACCCTCTCTTCAGTCTTCATAAGGGAAGTAATCGTGACAGTAGTGTATGTTACTGGTCTGTGTGTTGTATCAATCTGCACACATTTTCAATGCTTGTTAGGGTAGTAGAAAATTTACGATTGCAACTTAAGCTTATCTTGCTTTTTGTGTGCACTGGATATTATCTTTGACGTGTACGTCTTGCTACAGTTTTTCATAACTTGCGCGAAGTGTGATTGGCTGGATAACAAGCACGTCGTCTTTGGGGTATGACTGCCAAAACCACCCTTAGTTGTCTTTTATTTCTTTTCCTTGCCAAATTTCTTGAGTTATTGATAGGATGCTGAATCTTTTTTGTTTTTGGTCTTGTAGAGAGTGCTCGGCGATGGTCTTTTGGTTGTGAGGAAGATCGAGAATGTAGCTACAGGACCCAACAACAGGCCTAAACTGGCATGTGTTATTGCTGAATGTGGGGAAATGTGAATCTCCAAATCCAGTTTGTTCCATTGTGCATCAGTATCTATTAAAAAGAAGGGGGTATCTTTATCATATCCGCACTCGCCTTCGGTGCAGAATGCTTGTTTCCTCTGTGATATTACTGGAATCCTGATGGATGGAAAAATGGACTGCAGATTTCTCTCTCTCTCTCTCTCTCGTGTCCTTACCTTGATGGGCAATCTTTTGGGTGCCGTTGGACTTACACTGGAACCTCCAAATGACCATATCTAGCTGCATGCCACAAAGCAAAGGAACCTCTTAGGCTTGGTCGCATGAAGACCCTCCGATGCATAAGTTAGTGGAAGAGGAATGGAGAGGTGAGCAAAAGAAAGAGACATAGGTGGAACGCATCCCTTTGAGACAAGGGTGTATTTTGAGAGCTGAAGTCTCGTTAGTAGGTGAATTGAGCTTGCTCACGCGCTGATCGGGGGTCTGGCCCCGCTCCAGGCTTCCGAGATCGGGGTGCATGAGTGTCGAGGACCTCTAGTCTGATCTCGTGGATCGAGCCTTTTGGAGGCGATGATCTCTCTTGGGGTCGACACCCTTGCGAGTCGAGTCGTTGCTAGGCCACTCAAGTGGACCTGAGCTCATGATTGGAAGTGAAATATTACTGACAACGACGTATCCAATCGGAGGTGTTTACTTCCAATTTTCGCTTTTACTACTCCAATTTTCGCTATAAAGTAGTAAAAGTAAGATAGAACATATTGATTGTTTCTCTTGTTCTACACTTCACATTGTCTAACTTCATCTTAATCTCACAAAGGCTAAGGGCTAGACAATACACTATGGAGTCTAAGATACCAGGAAGAGAATTTGAAGTTGCAGATAGTGAAAATTGGGATTTAATTTTGAAAATAGTATTGTCAAAGAAATTAGATATTGAGACTATATAATTAGGCGAACATTGATAGAACTCTCCCCCCTCTCTCTCTCTCTTCGACCCAGATCCGATGCCCTCACCGGCCACACTTCCTCGCCAGTGGGCGGTGACCCTTGTCGGCCCTCAGGCAAAAAATTAAAAAAGAAGAAAAACAAAAAGATTATCAAAAAAACTCGAAGACATTACTAAAAAATTAAAGAAAAAAATGTCCATATCAGCGCTGGTTGTATCATATAGGATGACCGACTTTTACGTTAGCAATTTTCACCCTAAATCGGCTGGATATACCAAATTGATATCGATATGAAAAGATTTAGGAGTAAATTGGTCCAATTGAAATATTTAGAATTAAATTGATACTAATACAATATGTTTAAAACTTTTTTGATACTTAAACCCAAAACATCCGGTTCAAAAGGCCTTGCCATAACACTAGCGCAAACCCGGTTCGATCCGAGCATTAAGTCGGGCGTGGGCGTGCCTCCATCTTTTGTCTTCCGCTGCTGGTGAAGAAACTGAAGAAGCTCAGGTTAAAGAGCGAGCGAGAGGGATTTTGACTCAGTGTAGTTCGGTGGGGGGGGGGAAAGAGAGAGAGGAGGGAAGGTCGCCGGAGAGCCCAAACTCAGGTATGGCGTTCACGTTGAGGGCCGTGAAGGTGCCGCCGAACTCGGCGAGCCTGGAGGAGGCGAGGCACCGGGTGTTCGATTTCTTCAGGGCCGCCTGCCGATCCATCCCCACCGTCATGGACATCTACAACCTCGACGACGTCGTCACCAAGTCCCACCTCCGCTCCGCCATCTCCGCCGAGATCCGCAAGAACTCTCACGTCACCAACCCTAAGGTTCCCTCTCCCCCTCTTTCTCTCTTTCGCTGATCGTGCACTTTTACATTGCCCTGGTCGGGGTGGTGAATGGCGAATTGAAATGCTGCGTACGTATGGTTTTTGGTTGATCGGGCTTATTAGATTACGGCGCAAGATTAGAGTTTAGGGGGTGTGGGTTCTGGAACTGTCGAAATGGGTATTCGTAATCGTTGTTTTGGAGGCGTTATTAGCTCCGTTCCTACCTTTTTTTTCCATTTGGCACCGGTGTCTAGTTGCGTTTTTCGGCTCTCTGCCGCTTGTTCGATTGCTCATAGATCCTGTGTTTTTCGAACGCAGCTGTTATGATGTTATATTGAAATTCGAGTTGCTAACGGTTCGATAAACCTTTATCGAGTCTTCCTATGAAGGCATAGTCTTCTGCGGCTGCTGACAGGGATTTTCTCGATATACGATACTGTTCTAGAAGTACGAAAACTGTTCCAATTTCAGCCTAAATGCTGTTGCAGAATGCCGTGCTCCCTGCAAGTATTTCAATCTATCTTAGTGTTTATGGAATGGTGTTTGTATAATTGGTCGGCTCTATGTATCTAATTAGCTGGTATATTTACCAATCGTGCATGGATGGGCAGGCTAAAAAAAGCCGGCGATGGTATCTCTTCATTTGATTCTGGTAGTTCCTGATTGGATAACTGCAGAAATTAACAAAGTGTCGATCAGGAGCACATATCAGATTTAACGGTTAACATTGAAGCCACAATTTCGAATTTCTAGAAAATGGCTGTCGTGAATAAGTCTTTCTTAACTGATTGCTTTGGTGCCTGTTGAAGTAAAGCATGTGGTGATAGTACTCTTAGGAATTATATTGCAAAGTGCATTCAGTCCTTTCTTTACATCTAATATAGTCGTAGAAAGGAGGGGAATTCTCAGTCTTCAATACTTTTAATACAAAGAGTACTTGTTCACAGCACTAATTTCAAAAAACTCCATCAAGACAGGAAGTGAATGATGCTTTAAATTAAGGTAGCATGCAAATTAAGCGCTGCTTGCTGAGTAGTAGTCATATAGTTGGCTATTCACTCAAATGTTCGTTCTGATTTTTTTTTATCTTTGATGATGCTGTCGATACTCACGTTTCTTATGCGTATCAAATGATTTGGATGACGGTGTGATTTTGTCAAGACTTAGGCTGCAAATTATAAAGCCAAAAGTATTGTCTTTTTGAGAATAGATCATGAATGGACTTTATTGCTCATATAGACTAACAACACTATCAATAAAACTATCGATTAAAAAGATGATCAATCATGTCGACTGTTTCCTTTTTTGTCAGTTCTATTTCCAACTCTCTCCCCCTTCTCTCTCTCTCTCTCTCTCTCTCTCTCTCTCTCTCTCTCTCTCTCTCTCTCTCTCTTTCAGACTTTTGCTCTGCCTCTTTGCAGAGTGCGGGAGTCGAACCCTGCACCTATGATACTAGCGTCCCTACCCCCTCAATTCCCTTACCACTGGGCCATGCCCAGTGGGGTATTACCTGTTGATATAAAAGTCAGTCATTGTTACCTATTGCATCCAATTCAGCTATGATAATTGGCTAAGAAAAATGGAGGATGTTTTGGAATAGCATAGTCAAAGTTGGATATGAGCTTCTGGTTGAGCAGGTTGCATATTGCATAGTGGTGACAGAGTCGCCAGCTTTCTGATAGTAATAAGCTGCAGGTGATTGACATGCTTCTCTTCAAGGGGATGGAAGAACTCAATAACATTACAGAGCATGCCAAGCAGAGGCACCACATCATTGGCCAGTATGTGGTGGGAAATCTAGGGCTTGTGCAGGATACAGGCACAAAGGAGAAGGGCATGTCTGATTTCCTGAAAAGTTTTTATAAAAGCAACTACTTCTGAGCTTTCATCATGGGTATGTCTCGCTAAAGATTGTGATTTCAGGTGCAAACTTCTGGAATAAAATTTGTACTTGCAATTGCTCTTCTACCTTGGGGGTAGTCACCCTTTTCAGTTGAAAACTCGTTAGACTTCATGTGTACTATATTCTTTCGGTTCTATTTTTTAGTCAGTCAATTGAATATGTGAATTATATCAGCTCCAGACGTGCTGGACTAGAACTGAGCGGGGAAGTCGAGCATATTTATGTGTTGCAGTTTTGCTTGGAGAAGCTCGTCGATTAGAGCTCAATATTACCCATCGAAATTGTTTTGAGTCTTGAAATAGGAAAATCAGGGAATTGAGGCTATTCTGCTTTTAAGTCTCTGGGAACGGGACCGTTCGTGAATTGGTTTGACACGTAGAAATCGATACATCAAGTAATTGTTTGAGTATTGAAGGATCTTCTTAGAGCTCGAGTCGAAGAGCCTATCTCCTGCGGCTTCTACTTCTCTGATGACTTCTCATTGAAATTGCCCTTTAGCTTCAAAACCTGACAACATATTTTTGTCTTTCTATATCTTATATAGAAACAATTCTCAAATATGGTATCCACCCTTGAAATGAGGAGAATACCCTTCATTTCAATTTTCAATGTAACAAAAAGTGAAGAGTAAATTGATTATTGTTAATGAAAACTCGACATCTTTGAGCGGTTGCTTGTTTTCACTTTTTTGAGCGACATACGAAATATGACGAGAATAGTTGTGAAATATGGGAGCTGGATATATTTTAGTCTTTACTTATATTTGATCAAATACAATGCTAACAATTTGCAAATTACAAGTAAAATGTCATGTTCAAATGGTTTAGGTAAAATTCCCATTATCCCTTCACGTTTCACTCGCAATTCAGTTTGTGTCCATGGTTTATCCTTGAGCTCTTTACATAAAAATAAAACCATCTTTCGCATCTCACAGAGTAGAGTAGCTGTGAAAGCATTCCGAAAGAAAATTGGCAACTTGAAAGAATCGAATAACACCTTGAATGTTTTGCAAGTAACAGGTGAGAAATTAAAGAGGATATTTGTATTTTTTCTATAATTGCAAGGCGTCCTAGAAAGGTGGCTAGGAGGAAAACAGGTTAAAGGCGACACATCAGGAAAATTTGCTGCTTTACCGTTTGTTCTATGAGAGCCATAATGATATGTCGAAAAGAATATATTATACATATCGTGCATTGCCGGGTACCCACAATGTTTTCATTAACAAACTTGTGATGATTAGAGAGCAATTTTGGATGATCAGAATGATTCGAAGTGCTTCCTTTAACAATCTTACCACATCATTCCAGAAACTACAATGATAGTTGCACCAATTATTAGATGACTAATGAACAGGAGTGCCTACACAATTAGCAGTATCCTCAATGATGACAATCCAATCCCAACCTATGATAGCTTAACATACCATCAACCAATTCTCTGTGACTTCGTGTCTAAGAAAGAAAAAATAATTATAGCCAAAAGTAGGAAAAAAAACTGAAGAAAACTAGAAATCAACCAGTTCTAGGTCCGAAACTACTTCAAAACTGATAGGTTCCTAAAGATCACCAATGTACATGTCAGCCTTCGTGGACCATGACCTCTTCATTCTCTTGGACGGGCGAGCCAGAGGGAACTAAGGGCCCGAAGTCGGGAGAAATAATCATGAATTGCAAGGAGCGCACGAGCTGACTGACGAGTCGTTAATAAGCGATTCATTTGTTGTAGTGTCTGTTGCCGCAGGTTATCAGCCTGAGGCCAGCAATCGGAAATAATTAAAATTTGATTCAGAATAAAGCAAAAAGCATAGAAAAGCAATACCCCAATGAAAATGTTGCAGGAAATACTTGGCAGCGCGAGATACTAAAATCAGTTTCTTAGACCTGGTCACTGGTTCTTTCTAAGGATAATAATAGCTTGCAATTGAATTGAATAGCATGTATCATAAAAAGGCCAAGTTACACTGCAAGTTTATGAGATTCGTCATCCCAATCATTTTTACATGCTTTGCATGCAGGAAACATGAGATTCAGTTAATACTTTTTTCCCTCTAAAAATCTACAGCAGGATCTAATGGGCTTACTACTAAAAAAGTGATCATATGTCTTATATGCTGCCACTATCAAATCAAACTAATAGTAGAGAAAAATCCAGAAAACTCGGTCCGACTTTCTATTATGAGCTATAGGAACATTCTGAAATAGTTAGACATCAATTTGACAGCAAACTACGCAGGAATTCTAGACTTTGAAAACTGACATGCGGTCAAAGATGAAATGTTCTTTCCTTCAATCGATGGAAAATTCATTTTGAGAGGCCAGGAATAAACTTTTCTCGAGTGCGACACCAAAGGGAAACCCTATGAAACAACTCTAGCGCCCAAAGAGAATGACCCAATCCAGGTTTGTGGGAATTCAATATGAACATCCAAAGAGATCAGAAGATTGATGTTACATTACCTGGCGGATAAACCCATCAAGCGTCCCTAGCTTTCCCATAGCCATGGCCATTTGACCCATGTAATTTGCCACATTGCCTGATGAACCCGAAGAGCCCAGAGATCCGCTACACAATGTCTCAGCAAGAGATTGCTGCAATGCATCCATCCCCTGAGACAATGCGTCTTCTGCCTGCTGGGAGGATTGCTGCAAGTTTCCGATACCAGTCAGCTGCTGCTCTGTCAGCGGCTCCAACTGGTTTGCGAGAAGCTGCACAAACAATGCCATCAGGGTAATTATGCAGGTGGCACATCAAATGCTGAACATGCAAGAACATTCAATCACATTATTCCTCTCAACCCGCATGCCAGAAGTTAACAAACTACTGTCTGACCAGGGAAACAAAAAGGGTACTGCAGAAGTAAGGCAGCTTAAGTTCTAGTCTTGCTTTCACTTGGGGGAGAAAAGGGCAGCATGCATAGGTGCATGAAGCGCCAAGGGAGCGGTTGGCAATGCGCTTCATACACAACGGGTAGACAATTGTCTCATCAACCAAGTTTGGCGATGAGTGATCCAAGGGAGTGGTTGGCAAATGCGCTTCATACACAATGGGTAGACAATTGTCTCATCAACCAAGTTTAGCAATGAGTGATCCAAGGGAGTGGTTGGCAAATGCGCTTCATACACAACAGGTAGAGAATCGTCTCATCTACCAAGTTTGCAGATGAGTGATTACTATATTCCAAGAGTGAAAAAGGGGAGACGAGGGCAAGTCATGTACTTTCCCACCGTCGAATTTACTCGAGACTGATTGCCTATCTTTATTTTCATCTCGGACAAAATATGATAAGAAAATTTACCAGGTGTGAGACCTCTTATTCCTGTCTACTTGATAGTTGTATATTTGGCTGTGAGATGGTCAGATGAAAGAGTCGGCAGTATCAGCAGGAAACTGATTTCCCCGCGAAACAACAATATCTAAACTAATGACATCATAATTTGACCAGAAAAGGGCAATGGAGTGCCGTGTCACAAAACGTTACAACTTCAGAGCATTTGCTAACTGAGTCCCCAGAATATATTTTAGAATCATCCCAATGAGGGAAAGAAAAGGTTCTTACCTTGAGGAGCTCTGATGGACGAAAACCGCCAAGCCACATAAAACATCTCTCAGCTGGTGTTTTCCACATTCCCGACAAGAGATGGAAAACATCATTCTTGGCTGCATTACTCTTCAGCCTGAAGATTTCATCATAGTGTGCCATGATACCATCAACAATGATACGGAGTTCCCCATCACCGGCATGGGCAGTCACTGCTGACCTCAGCTCATTGATTTGCCGGTTTTGCTCTTCTAACCACCGGGCATATTCTACATCAAATGTCATGGCCCCTTCAAACAATGCAGAAAAAAGAAAGATCAAGATTTATAGATGAACTTAACTAAGAAAAAGGCATGAACTAACCCAAAGTAAAAGCATTCCAATTTGGAACTCTAACACTAGAGTAAACATCCTGTCTATACGGCTGGAGCAATTTGACAACTAAAATGCATCATCTAGAAAAGGTTAGTACATTTTTCTCAAATTTCTGTAGAACAAGTCGACCTTCTCCTCAGATTGTCAGAAGAGAAGCCTTCAACATGTACTCCCAGCTTACCAGCCAATTTTCCCAAAGCTGTTCGTTACTCAATGCATGGACGCGTGTATGAATGCAAAGGCATAGCAAAATCCTTGTCGTTGCAAACCTGATACCTAGACAATCATCTATTCAGCATCCACCCACCCCCAACTATTACCAGCCAGTTTGCATAGCAAAATCCTTGTCACTGCAAACCTGATACCTAGACAATCATCTCTTCGGCCTCCACCCACCCACCACTATTACCAGCGAATAACTGATCTACTGCCCTTTCCACCAAATGGAATGGCATAAGGTTTCATTAACTCTGACCATGACTTTTTCTTAAAATTCTCATATCATTAAATCGGTTGAACAAATCATTTGAAACAGCAAGTAAGCTTTCCATCAGACTACTAAGTCTAATCCACCAAGGATATGTCGACTTCATGCTCTCCTTTTCTGTCTTCCATCGTCCCCTCACTGTTCCTCTGTTGCTAAATGCATACTTTTACTACTTGAAATTGTGGGAAAGAGGCAGCAGTCTCATATCGAGGGAAAGAAATTATTGGTCCTGCCATCTTCACTAAAGTTTATAAGAGGTATTGACCAGCATAATGTTTTACAGGCATAAGCAACTCAGAGTAACCCTACTATATCTAACCTGCATACTTCTCTCAATTAACTTGCAAAGCAGTGCGATACTTGTTAACTAGTATCCATGAGCTAGCTATGGAAAAACCGCATCTAAATGACACGTGGATAAAAGAATACCATTTCCACCAGCGGAGTGAGCTTGGTCTCCTGAGCTTGATATGAATATCCCCTAGAGGAAGAAATATCAAGTTGCATTTCAATGTACAGATGACTTTTACAGGAGAGTCTGAACTGTAGATATCCGCTAATATTACCTGTTGTCTTGCTCGCTGGAGTTCCTGCTCTAGTTGAGTTAGCTTCAAGCGGCTACTCTCCAGTTGTTGGACATACGCCTAAGAGATAGGCAAAAGAAAAGCCTTTGGTGAACAAATAGAAGAATGTAAACAGACAGACACATACCGTGACAGATGATAATCTATAAACTTACTTTTTTCCTTAATCGGCTTTTTCTTGCCGCCTCACGGTTTTGAGCAAGCCTGCGAAGAGTCTGCATGTCGATTTGGTGAAAGAATCAAAGACTTCATCAGCTGGCTAAAACAACAAATTAATCTCATATGCTCAAACCAAATTATGCTGTATGACCTTTTGATCAGTCTTGTCCTTTGATCTGTCGCTGGAATCATAGGCAACAATAGCTGTAGATTTACCCCTGTCGAACTGCACTATGGACAGTTAAATGTTATATCTCCGTATATGCTGGATGACACCGGGACCATTTCCAAAGAAATGAACACTCTTCATGAGACATGTTAAATATACAAAAGCACAGACTGAAAACATATAAGAACTATCTATAGTTTCTTTACAATCAGAATGAGCAATTTTGTACATTAAACTTGTACGGAAGAATAAATGATGAAGTGGAAAGAGAGTCACCCTCTGATTCTTCTCATCTGTGTCATCAGTTGAGATGTCTGTTCTCGGACTGCCATCGGCCATTTTGATTTCCACGATTCTTCTGAATACTCTATATTAATGCTGGTCTCAACGCAAGATTTAGGGGCCAATCCTTTTCCAGCGGTGTGCTCCGAGACGTCAACAGAGTAGTTGCACGCCTATTGTTAATTGTTGTCTGACTGTTTACACCATAACAGCATATATTAGGAGAACAAAAGGAATCGAGATGATAATTTCTTATCGCCTTTAGTTTGAATTAAGGTCAGACACTTCCAAGAAAGCTGCATCGCATTGCAGTTACGGTAAAATTAGAGAGAGAGAGAGAGAGAGAGAGAGAGAGAGAGAGAGAGAGAGTATTCCGGCGCAATAGATCAGGAGACAAGAAATTTGGCATATAAGGGACATCTAAGTGAGGACATTAAAATATGCACGTAAATTCACCAATACGTGAACAGCTAGCTCAACAATAAGAGGAACACAAAAATTGAGATAGATTCTAGATCACTAATTGCAGATCAAAGTCAGCATCCCACTCACTTCAGGCCTTCTCATTCTCTTCACCGAGCTCCGATGTTTCACAACCTCCAAAATTACATCACTTTCTCATTGCTCGGAAGAAATGTAAAATTTATCAGCTCAATGTCAGCTCAGGATTCTTATTATGGAGAGGACCCAAAATTTGCCTCACAACAACTCAAAAATCACGAGCAGATCCTTTCACTGTGGAGTTGTCCCGTTCTTCTACTGCTTCAAGCAAATGAGAATTTAATGATCAGAAGGGTGACAAATAAGGACATTTTACGAATAGAAACCTATCGGGATTAGATACGTAAAAGAAAAACAGATAGATAACAAACTTGTCAGCACCAGAGCAGATGCCAATTTAAGCAAACAAACCAAGAGAAAATTCTCCGAGAATAAACCTACATACCAACCATCCATTAGGATGGCACAAAACAGCAACTCTGTTAGAAAACTTAACAGTGCCTGATTCATTCACGTCAACGGTATCCGATTATCGATAAACAACGAGAGCACAAGAAGTCCTGACACGTCCATTGTTTTGATAGACATCATTACACTCCAAACAAGTCGCGAGTGATATCTATTTGCATCTCAATTGAAGAGCACGAAGATGTAATACATTGGAAATCTCTCTCTGAGACAACTCACAGCCACGACCCACGACACTAGGGCTTAGGAGAGTACTGTTGGGACTTCATAGACAAGTTTAAGGAAATAAGGATACAAACTCTCACATCAAATGAACAAACGATAATCCCATCACAAAGTATTTCGGAACATGTGTACAGAGAAAATTGAAGCGGCTCGACAAGAACCAGAAGACAAATGAAAGGACGACCCACGAAGACAACAAAGTAGGCTTCGCCAAGTGCACAACTTTGAGGATCACGCCTGTGTACAGGCAAAGATGGACCAAACCTTAATCTAACGTAGAGCAACTACAACTGAACTAAGAAGAAGATCTGCGAATTGCCCAGATAGAACACAATTTCGAGCATGCAAAATCCATTTTCCAGTATCCACGAATTGATGTAAATGCTGTGCTTCACAAGACGTTTGAAATGAGCAAAGCCGAAGCTGGGACGAAGAAACAAGATTCAAGAAACAGATCTCCAACTTGTGGAGTCAAGAATGCTCTTACCCTCTTGCGAGAATTCGATACTCGAAGAACCCCCGAAGTCAAAATCAACCCGAAAGACAAGCAAAGTCAGATCAGAGTCCAAGTCCTTTGACTTCGCCAAGAAATAATTTATAAACTCCCCTCTCTACAAGATGAAATTTTGAGCCAAGACCCGCATGGGATATTGATGTTAGAGGACGATGGAGTGATGATTCGTGTTGGGTTAAGTGAGCGAGCGAAATTGGAGGAAGGGGGGGAAAGAGGAAGAAGAAAAGAAAGTGGCGCTGGGCTCAGCTCTACCCAATTTTCTAGGCGTGCTCACTTTCTTCCGTTGTTTCTTTCTCTGCCTTTTTCCAAAGACTGGCGATTTTCTTTTCGTTTTTGCTTTGTTTTTTCTTGCTTACTGGTTGAGTTTTAGTGCTTTGACAATTCGTGGTCGTTTTCTTGCGTGCTTATTCTAATGGTCTTTCCTGTTGGCAGTGCCAGATATCCAGAGGATTCGGACATCCTTGCCACCTGCAAGAATCCAAAAAATGGCATCATCCACCGTTAATTTTTTCATCTCTCGACCACCGGATCACCACCAATCCCCTCTCTCTCTTTCTCGTTTTACAGTTTACTACTTGTGTAATCACCACTTGCTGTTGCTGCCGAGACGCAACGACATGAATATATATCAAATTTAAACAAAAAGCACGTAGAGAAAAGTAGTTATTCCGACAAAATAGGAAAGAAAAGGGGGCAACTTGATATTAACTTTCGTCGTTGATAATATACAGTGCTGCCCTTTTATTAATAGAATTTTCAGTAAAAAAAATTTATCGGCTATTGTTATTTTTCCAAATGCTTGATTTTGAAAGGGGGGGGAAATCAATCTTTGCGTGTTCTACTACTACTTAACGCGATAAATTTTTTTCTTCTAGCTACTTATACGGTTTGTGGCCTTAGACACGTGCTCTTTTCATATGGATTAATATGATGAAATTCGGTGTATATCACGCTGTCGAGCTTCATAGTAATCAAATCAGCAACTAGAATGGAATACTAAAAAGTTTGGACGATATTCTACGTTTTTCAACTATTGTGTTCGACAAACAGCGTTGAATAAAGATACGTATTTAAATTCTTAATCCTCGAGAGAGAGAGAGAGAGAGAGGGGAAGAACCGTATCTTTTATTGATACTCTTATAATGCGTCGTTGATACCCATATAATTAAAACTTTAATGTCGCTATTAAATACTGAATGTGAATAGGAATTCTTTAAATGTCAATCGAGATTTATGAATCCCTATTTTTTCGAAAGAAAGATCTATACATAGATTTCACGATAGATGCGACTCTTTTCAATATCGTTAATTACGCGTATCCTCTCTCCCTAAGTAGTCAATTCGGTCGCATTGGAACTCGTTTTCTTTCTCAAACGCTAAACAGAGAAATGGGTAAAACAAACGTAGGTTACCTAGGAAAGTACCCAAAGAAAGACGGAGACGACAGACGACGACGACGACGACGTCCCACTCGTAACAAGTCGTGTTTTGTCGTAATCCCCGAAAAGAAATGGGAAAGAGGTGGGTCGGGACTCGAGCCCGAATCTCAAAACGCGAGCTCCGAAAGCGAAGCCCAAAATTGCATCCGTTCGAGGCCTCTTTCTTCAAGACCCGAGCCCAAACAAAGGCAAGAACCTATATACGACGTCGTTTTACAGGAGCCGTGGCCGAGGATCCGACGTCGTTTCGCAGGAGTCGTGACCCACATGTGCGGCATCGTTGCCCAATTCTGCACCGCACACACACGACCCAGCGGTCCGCAAATCCGGGTCAAAGCGTCACTTGCGTGGAAGGAAACGCTCTCCCACCCGCCCTCGAACGACATCGACGCCATCGCCGTTTCGCGAGATTCTCAATTTTTCTCATTTTCCCGGATTCTCTCTCTCTCTCTCTCTCTCTCTCTCTCTTTCTTTTTTGGGATGAAAACGAAGAGAGAGAAAGAGACAGCTTTTTGACACGTCACGGGGGGTGGCGTATCCTCCAAACTGCACCGCACCACGCGACCACGTGCGGCCCCACTTGGTGTTTTGATGGTTTTTTTTTCTTTGGGGTCCGTTTCTAGAGGGGGGGAGGGGGGGAGGGAGGGAGTGAGATTTGTCAAACCGGCTTCTTGCCTTGTTTTTCAAAAACTTTTGCTAGTCCTTGACAATAATAATTGACATGACAAGAGCTTTTGTCTCATTAGAGAAACAACAATAGATTGCTCTTTGCTTTCCTCCCTCCTAGTCCTAATGTCCCCCCATTGATACCTGTGGCTTCTAGATTGTAGTGCTGTTTCCTGCCCTCCTTCCTCCCTCCTTTCCTCTTCCCGCGAGGTTAGGACGCCGGCCGGCGCGACACCCCCGCGCTTCGTTTCGGATATGAGCACGTTTCATGGAGTGACTGCACTCGCGCGGATTCGAAAATCGAACCTAAAATGTGTCGCTCGCCCGCTCCTCCTCCTCTGATTTTTGTCGTATCTCGAGTACTCCTTTTTCGTCACGTCGTGTATTGCGCTGGTATATATTGCTACCAACACGGAGTTAAATACGATTCCTCTTTAAACTTGCCCGGCAAATGCATCAAAGGGCGCCATTGATTACTTACTAGCCTGATCGTAAGCTGATTTTTTGTCCGAGTTCAAGTCATTGCGCACACGTCAGAATCGGATTGTTTTGTCAAATAAACATGTGACATCAATTTAAAGAGTGAGCTACAAGCAAGGAATTGACAATCTTCAAATCTCTCGCATCCCTTATCTACTAAACTATGGATTTAATTGACAAACACTCTTTCCTTGGATCGAAGCTTATTCGAACAAAACTACAAATAGGATATAATTCTCAAATGGATTGCGCCTTTTTTTTTCTCTCGATTAGTTAATTCTTAAGCAGATTACTAGCAAGGATTTTTTTTCTTTTCTTTTGTAGTTGTTTATGGGGGATCGTCAATTAGCGAACAACGATGACGAATCGCGAAAACCCGCGAAACAAAATCGGCCAAATCAACAGCGCCATCAACATTTCGTAGCCTACCCCATATAAGAAAATGTTAAACTCCACTTCACTCTCCGATGCGACCATTAACGCCCCAATCTCGACACACAAATGCTCCACCAACGAAAGCTTAAAAAACAGACAGGATAATAGTCGCTCTTGCTTAGATCACGATCATTATTAATCAACGGCATCATAACAAGAGACATCGACGAACGTCCAAATACGAACCGCGACATCATTTCCGCACACTGTTTCGACGAGGCCGAGGACGAGGACGACTCTAATCGAAGAAAAACTTGTGGCCTACGAAGATAATCTCGGACACGCAGACAAAGAGATTATGATTAAGATTTAAAACAAAACGTCCCGATGCGTCCCCACATGGCGCCAAGTTCAATGTACGAACGGCTCCCCCATCTTCCTCTCTCGAAAGCGACGTCGGGGAAGGCTCTTTCACACACGAAAAATCGGGGTCGTGCGGACGATATTGCCCTCCCGTCTCGTCGTCATCATGGGTAATTGACATAAATGAACGAAGAGCTTCTTCCCGGAAGCTCCCCCCGCCCCCCCCCCCCCCGCGAGTCACCCAGCCAATGCGGTCGAGCCACGTGCGCCGTATTTTTTTTTTTTTTTTCAAAGGCTGCGTTTGGACTCAAGACCCTCCTGCGGGGGTCGCGTGTGGCTGCGCACGTGCGTTATCCAATAATGTCTGAACGCAAAACCCTAGCTAAGGTTAAAGGTAAGGTGGCACCGAACGAGCCGTGCAGTTCCGGGTCGTTTGAGCATCGTGTCTCCCCAGTAGAATCTTCCATCGTTCCCTGTTTCTTCCCCCGCCCCTCTCGAAACCCATCATCCATCAGCAGCTCCTTCGCCGAAACATCCTTAAAACCTCACTTTTCCACAGCCCTCTATGCCCTTCCATCTTTATATAACCGCTCCATCCACACCCTTCTCTCCTTGCTCAAACACCCCCGCCAAGCACTTATACACCCTTTGTCGTGGGAATTCGAGATTCGGTTGAGAATCAAAAATGGACGTGCTCGGTGTCAGCCACCACCAGAAGAAGATCCCCGGCGGCCGGAAGCTGGGCGGCGGCGCGGCGCGGAGGAGACCGTCCGCCGATAAGGGGATCAAGGTCGTGTACATATCGAGCCCCATGAAGGTGAAGACGAGCGCGGCCGAGTTCAGGGCCACCGTGCAAGGGCTCACCGGCCGTGACTCGGACGTCGCTCGGCTCATGGACGCCGACGGCAGGGGCGGCGAGAAGGCTCGGGGCCGGAGCGCCGTCGACGAGAGAGGGTTCGTGCCGGCCGGTGATTACTACATGGGGGGTAATAGTAGCATTGGTAATAACAATTGCGTTTTCGGGATGGGCAGTGGTAGTAACACGAGCTGCGAGTCGCCGACCGAGTCGGACTCGGTGTTCGAACCGTTCGAAGGCGGGTCCGTGCACGGCGGCGGCGGCGGCGGCGAGAGAGGGATGGTGTTTCCGTCCAACTATTTCAATGAATCTACGTTGTTAGAGGTGCTTAGCTGCTTTGATGCTATGGCTTGATTTTTTCCTTCTTTCTTTTCTGGATGTTCGTTGAAGAGTTCGATGCGGGCGATCGCAGCTGCATACCCCACCACCGCTCACCCTATGTAATTACTCATATCTGCATCTGTCTGTATCGCTATTATTTGATTTTTGGGAATCCAGGAATAATAATACCACCGGTGCTACATGTAGAAATATTTCCATTCTGTTTCTTGATCGCTTATATCCAAATCGATCGTGATGAATACAAGCTCGTGGAGTGAACATGTCTATTTTGTTGGTGGTCAGATTGCTGATTTACCAGATAAGACGTGCGAGTGAACATGCCTGTTCTGTTCGTGGTCAAGATTGCTGGCAAACGGCCTGACCATCGTGCAAGCGAACGGGTCGGAAGTTCTAGTTCATGGTTCGCATGAAAGATGGATCTCGAATTCATGAGACGACAAGACTATATTATATGTCATGCACAGGTTCGGGCCTCATTTGAACGGCCATGTGATCTTTACGACGCTAAGTAATGGGAAAGACTTCGTGGGCACTTAACAGTCGCTACGCGCCACATATATCTTAAGTACCGTTTTCCTATTTTTTGTCAATGACATCGTTAGTAAAGTGGAGTTTCAGGTTTTTCTTCTTCACATCGCATGTATGGAATTAGTTCAAAGATGAGCAGAGAGAATCGCCGCCGAACAAGATATTGGCTTTAGATAGCACTGAGGGTTTGCTCTTCTTAGGTTTAAATCTTATTGGGAGTCGGAGACGAGGGAGCACCCCTTCAAGAATCCGTTCATTTCACGGAAAATGTTACGTTTGTGAAAAATATTTTCGCGGAAGTCATTTTCCTGAAAAATGACACAATTTTCCGGTGTTCGATTGAAATCTGAAAAAGTTTCGAAAAATATTTTTTAATTTTCCTGGAAGTCATTAAATATATTTTTCTTTTTCTTTTTTTTTTCCTCCTTCTTCTTCCTTATTCTTCTTCTTCATAAGCCTTTGGCAAGGCTCTGGCTAGCCTGATCCAGCGCGAGTGAGCTCACCCAAGGCCGATCAGGCGAGCTCAAGCCTCGTCGGATCTAGTGAGGCCTGAGCTCGGGCGAGGTCGACAGATCCGACGAGCTCGAGCTTCGCCAAATCTGACGAGGCCCCGAGCTCGCCCGACCGGCCTTGGGCAAGCTCGCCTGCGCCGAATTAGGCAAGCAGGAGCCTTGCCACAGGGCGACGAGGCTTGACCTCGCCGGAATCTGGCAAGAGCTCGAGCCTCGTCGGCCTATGGCAAGGCTCGAGCTGGTTGGCGACCGGCTCAGGAAGAATAAGGAAAAAAAAAGAAAATATTGAAAATAAATGGTGAAAGAAGAAGAAGACGGAGGAAAAAAGAGGAAATCATTTTCCTCAAAAAGTGAAGGCATTTTGTCCATAGGAAGGAAAATATTTTCCATGGGAAGTTATTTTCCGTGAAACGAACACCGGAAAATATTTTTCCGGAAGTTATTTTCCGCGAAACTAACAAAGCCTAAGATAGCTCGGGGAGATGAATTAGTCACGTGTGCAAAAGCCTTAAATGTGGCCCAATGAGAGGTGGAGCATCGAATGAAAACATACGGGCCCGGCTCGGCCCGGCCCACTTAGAGCAGGCTTGTCTTGGGACAAGCCCAGTTATAAGCCAGGGCGATGAGCTGTGTTTGATGCAATGTCTTTGTCAGAAATAATTGGGGTCGCTAATATCAAACGCTGTCGTTAACCACGGTAAATTAATTAAAGTATCTTGGAAATCTGATACCGGAAAAAGGACAGAATAGTCAAACTACTTCCCGCGGTATACTCTTTCCTTTTTCTATGTCTTTTTAACTAACCGCCTTAATATTAGCATACTTATTGATTTCGAATTTCACTGGCTTAATATATAGTGACTTTTTTCTCTATAATTTACACATACCGTCTCTTAACATGGCTATGCAATCTCAATGATTCGAGGGACAATATTTTACGAAGAAAGCCTTATTACAAATGCATTGCAGATAAAAATTTACAATTGAAATAGAAAAAATGAAGCAAGGGTAGAGAAACATGAAAAATAGATCTGTTTTACAAAACTCACATCCATAGCTGATGATATCGTTTGACCTATAATCTATAAAGGTTTAAATTTTTGAAATTAAATAATTGCATTCACGGTTCTAAGTTGGTATTCAATTCTTCGTGCCCATTTTCATAATGATAGGTTCATTTATTTATATATCTCGAATGATAATCTTTCGGTTACAAAACTCATGCATTGGGACCCATGCTCAACCTATCAAAATAAACGCGCCCTTGAAATTAGTTTAAGCTAGTAACTCAAACTTTTAAATCAAATCGGAGCAGTTAACTATTCAAATCAACTGTGATAAAGGCGCCTGTATAAAAAACTAAGATTTGCGTATCCTATAAAAGTCCAAAAAATCATCACTTAAATATACACACATCCCTTATCCACATATTCGAATGACCGTTTTTTATACCAAAAACATATGTAGATGCAGTAACTCCTTTTTATTTGAAGTACACACTTTACGAAAGAAGGAATAACAAACTCTAGATTTTTCAAAATGAATGAATCTATTATCCGTTAACAGTGGGATGCTATGATGATCTCATGTATCTTTTATAAATATTCCCATCTCTCAACTGCTTGGATCATTTTCTAAACAACCTGATTAATTTTTCTATTCCTTAATTTATTTTCTCTTTCTAATTTTTACAGTGATTTTTTTGCCAGTAGCAAGCATATACATTTTAATTTAATTAAATCCATGTTTAAGCAAGCGCTGAAAATGAAAATCAGTCGTACTTTACAGGTGGAGGGAGACAGGTTGGGGGGGGGGCAGCGTGGACTCACGAACAAAACAAGCAGCTTCTCCCAGCCTACCTTTGAAAATCGAAAAGAAAAAAGAGGTTCGGCAAAAAATCACTATAAAAATATCCTCCGAACAAACATAACCGGAAAAAGGGGCAACCAAAAACAAAGGAAAAAAGAAAAAAACAACTCTCTCTCTCTCTCTCTCTCTCTCTAAAACCCTCACACATTCTCTTTCTAGAGCTCTTCTTCTTCTTCTTCTTCTCTAGTCCGATCGATCCCTCCCTTCCTCCTCCTCCTCCTCTGCTCCTCTCCTCCGTCGTCTTCTCCGACGGATCCGTCCATGTCGCCGGCTTCAGGTTAGCTCGTTCCTCTCCCGATCGCTTCGAGCCTCGAACGCAATCCCTAATCTCGCGGCATTCGGGCGCTGTTTCCCACCCTGCTCGCTTCCGACTTCCGGGAAGATTCTAGAGAGAGAGAGAGAGAGAGAGAGGGGAAGAGGGGGAAATCGGAGAGGAGATGAAAGTGCCTTGCTGCTCCGTCTGCCAGACGCGGTACAACGAGGAGGACCGGGTGCCCCTGCTGCTCCAATGCGGCCACGGGTTCTGCAAGGAGTGCCTCTCCAGGATGTTCGCCGCGTCGCTCGACAACACCCTCCCCTGCCCCCGGTGCCGCCACGTCTCCTCCGTCGGCAACTCGGTCTCCTCCCTCCGCAAGAACTACGCCGTCCTCGCCCTAATCCACTCCAACTCCACGATGCCGGCCAACTTCGACGTCGATTTCACCGACGACGAGGAGGACGCCGACGGGGAGGCGGACGGCGAGGACTCGCGGGCGCGGCGTGGGGCCCTGGCCTCGAGCTCCGGCGGATGCGGACCGGTGATCGAGCTGGGGACCCACCAGGAGCTGAAATGGGTGAGGAAGATTGGGGAGGGGAGGAGGGCTGGAGTGGAGGTGTGGGAAGTGGTGATCGGCAGCGGCAGTGGGGGGCGGTGTAGGCACCGCGTGGCGGTGAAGAAGGTGGCGGTTGGGGACGATGCGGCAGCAATGGATATGGAGTGGGTGCAAGGGCAGCTTGAGAATTTGAGGAGGATGTCAATGTGGTGTAGGAATGTGTGCACTTTTCACGGGGCTGTTAGGAATGAAGACGGTAGCTTATGCCTTTTCTTGGATAGGTGTCACGGGTCGGTGCAGTCAGAGATGCAGCGCAACGAGGGGAGGCTGACATTGGAGCAAATCTTAAGGTTCTGTTGAGAAGCTCTTTCATCTGATTCTTCTCTATGCTGTAAAAGAATTGGTACTTAAGAGAAAGCGAAAAAATAGTCCTACCCTCATGCTTGGGGTTCAAAATTGGTACCTCTTTAGTGGGGTGTGGTGAGATCTGGGGATTTCTATCTCCTGATGTTTGATTTGTGTATAATCTTTCTTGGCAGTTCTTTGTTAGTACGTTTTGATGCAATAGGTTATGGAATTTGCGTGATTGATCCTTCTTTTCTCCTTTTGCGCCGGAACTCGATACCTTGATCTTTTTAGTCAAGCAAAAACGTACTACTGTGCTTTCTAGACTCTTAGTATAATTGGGTTCTTTGTTGGAGAAAAGTTAGTCATTGTGCTTCCTTCCCTTTGGATTTGGGCTTTGCATGGCAACTCGTCAACATGGGGTTGTGGCATTGTTCTTTCTAGTCATTCTGCTCGTGTTGATTGTCCATGGGAAGATAGAACATGCACCTGTGTCTGCAGACCTGCTCGTGTGTATGCCTATAGATCTCAAGCTACATCAATTAGGGCTACCTATGAATACAAGTTATAATTCGATAATGCAGATTGAATTTCAGATTAGTTTCTGTCGACGAGTGATGCGCCAATAGGACATTACTTAAACGCCCTTCCTGGTTACATCTCGGTGATAAAAATCATTGTCATGTTTACCATTTGTACTTTCTGAGCTGTCCACCTCCATTGCTGAATATTGGCTAGAGGGGGATCTGAAAATACATATTTGGGACTGCCATGAACTATTAAGAGGAAAAAGGGTGAGAGAGATTCCCAACTGAAATATTAGCAGCTTGATTTGGGGATTTCAAGGAGTCAAGCTTTCAGTGCCTAAATTTTCCTGGAATAAATTGAGTAAAGCCGAAGGATGATGAGTCCACCTTTCTGAAGAGAGTAGTTTGCGGATGGAAGATGGCTTTCGTGGTGTCACTATCACGTTTAGGCACATGCATGGGCTTTCGTGGCTGTCACTATCACTATAACCGTTCCTAATTTCAGATGTAAATGATGCCAGGACATCCTAGGAGATTGGGGAAAGTTATCAAAATTGTGAAAAGTATGGAGATGTATCTTTTTGAAGATGGTTTGTTATTGTTGGAATAAACTTGCTTTTGGTTTCGAAAAAAAAAAAAATTGCTTTTGGCTCGTGGTGTTACTTGAAAACAAAGGTTGGCATCTCCTGTGAAACCATATGCACGACGCACTAGAAATGAGGGGGTGAGAACATAGAGAGACTTGATTTGAAGACAGTATATTCTGGAGTTATTTTGTTATCTTTGGATGTAAATTTTCTGGATAGTGACTGGATGAGAGGGATATTGCATCAACAGATTTGAAATAGCATTCTGGAATTTAAAGAGGTAAAACACACCATCAGGTCCCTTCTATTGTGTGCTATTTGTTGAAATTCAGGAACTAGAGTAAGGATATAATGGTTCTTAAGTTAGATCATTGTGCTTTCTGTAACGACTGAATTATCATTGAAGAATGCTGTAAGCCGCAACTTTTAGTGGTACTTTTTCGTTCTTGGTGAAAATGCTATATCGCATAATGTTATCCGCCAATGAACCCCGTCCTGACTTGGTGTGCTCTCTGCAATTGTAGATATGGTGCGGATATTGCACGTGGCGTGGCTGAACTCCATGCAGCAGGAGTTGTTTGCATGAATTTGAAACCGTCTAATCTTCTTTTAGATGCAAATGGCCATGCGGTAGTTTCTGACTATGGACTTGCTTCAATCCTGAAAAAACCTTCCTGCCGAAAAGCTCGATCGGAGTGTGATTCAGCCAGAGTCCATTCTTGCATGGATTGTACAATGCTTAGCCCCCAGTATGCTGCTCCAGAGGCATGGGAGCCGGTGAAGAAGTCTTTGAAGTTCTGGGATGATGCCATTGGTATTTCTGGAGAATCGGATGCCTGGAGTTTTGGTTGCACTTTGGTGGAAATGTGCACTGGTTCTGCCCCGTATGTAGATTTCCATGCGTCATTTCCTATCGCTCCCCGTACAAAGATCGCTTTAAATGTTTTCTGAGCTGTAGAAAATGACACTTGCTGTGCAGGTGGACTGGTCTTAGTGCGGAGGAAATATACCGGGCTGTTGTCAAGGGTGGGAGATTGCCTCCGCAATATGCAAGTGTCGTCGGAGTTGGAATACCGAGGGATTTGTGGAAGATGATTGGTGACTGCCTCCAGTTTAAGGCGTCAAGAAGACCATCTTTTAATTCAATGTTGGCAATATTCCTGAAACACTTGCAAGAAATACCACGTAGTCCTCCTGCAAGCCCCGAAAAGTAAGTTTTGCTTTGACCTTTGCTTCTTGTATCTTGTGATTTCACATATTCAGACTGTCCTTTTTTCTTCCTTTGTCACGACGGGTGTCTAATACGAAGAATCAATTTATGAGCTATATCTGGACTGGTCTTCTACTTCTAGCACTTAACAGGATGTCTTTCCTGCACTGTCAATTAACTCGTAACCTCGACAACTCTGATTGGTTTGATCTGTTATCATATATTTTACTCTGTATGTGCCCTTACAGTGACGTCACCAGAACTTCCGGTTCAAGTTTGACAGAACCACTTCGTGGATCTGTTTCCGATCTAGTACAGGATAACACTGGCCTTCTCCACAAGCTGGTATCAGAGGGTAACGTGAATGGAGTTAGGTTAGTAAGATGCAGCCTTTTTTGGTCTCTGTCAGACAATTACGGGGACGAGTTTTGACTTTGAGTTCTGTCATCTGTAGGGATCTGCTCGCAAAGGCTGCATCAGGAAAGATGAACAACTCTATATCTTCACTTCTGAAAGCACAGAATCCTGATGGCCAAACCGCGCTGCATTTGGCATGTAGGCGTGGTAGTGCAGAATTAGTTGAGGCTATTTTAGAGCATCGTGAAGCATATGTAGATGTTTTGGATAAGGATGGCGACCCTCCTCTTGTTTTTGCGTTAGCTGCGGGATCCCCAGAATGTGTCCATGCTCTCATCAGAAGAGGTGCTAATGTTAGATCGAGGTTGAGGGATGGCTTTGGGCCTTCCGTTGCTCATGTATGTGCTTACCATGGCCAACCAGATTGCATGCGTGTAAGTCATTGTTGTTGGTAAACTTTATATTCACATAGCTTTTGGGTTCTTTGAAGATCTAGCTCTGATGGTCTTGTAATACAGGAATTGCTATTAGCTGGAGCTGATCCCAATGCTGTGGATGATGAAGGTGAATCTGTTCTACACCAGGCTGTGGCAAAGAAATACACTGACTGTGCTGTGGTCATTTTGGAATGTGGGGGCTGTCCATCCATGTCCATTGCGAACTCTAAAAATCTTACGTGAGTCAATTTGCTTTTCTTCTTTGACCACTCGAAATGATATGTATGAAAAAGACAGCTAAACGAAACTAGCAATTTAAGCTGAAGAATCTGACTTTAGCGCATCACCTGTTCATAAAGAATTGATGGTTGTGGTACTTGATATTTGGGTTACTGAAAAAGAACTTTCCGATTTGGATCAGTTTGAGTTTGTAGAATCTCTTTTCATTTTAATTTGTGGAGATCTCCCCCTTACCCCCCTCACCTCCCTTTCCTTCCTTTAAAATCTCACATGAATACGTGCATGCACACCCCCCCTTCTCCCTTTCCTTCCTTCCTTCAAAATCTCACATGAATATGTGTATGCACAACTATCTTTTGGTTAGAACAGCGTGCTAGTACCTTAATGGTTTTTCCTTTAAAATGTCATGTGAATCATGTATTGAACAATTCTTGTGACTCTCCTCTCACTTGCAGTCAACCTTCTCTATCTAAAAATCTTTGTCGATTTTCAAGTGTTCAGTAAGGATCTGGAGCCGGAACTCATGTTGGAGTCATTGCTTTTGTTTATATGCTTCATTGTGTCAAAGTGTATTGAATGTGTGGTCAACGAGTACCATCGCCATTCTTTAACTCTCTGTTATGATTCTTTTTTCCTTTTCTATGGTATGCTGTTTGAATCTGAAATCTCCTAGCTCCGTCTCTTTTGTTCAATATATGTTCTCAATGGCCTTGGAATGATTGCAGCATAATTTGTCAGTATAAAACTGTTTCTTCTTTGCTGCATTTGCAGACCATTGCACTTGTGTGTGGCAACGCACAATGTCACCGTGGTGAGACGGTGGGTGGAAGTTTCTAGCACTGAAGATGTTGAAAATGCGATAGATATACCCAGTCCAGTTGGCACTGCAGTATGTATGGCGGCTGCTCTAAAGAAAGACCGTGAATTTGGTATGCTAGATTGTATCCCAGGTCATTTTTTATTTATCTTCAATGCCTACTCTCTTTGATATCCTTGGCATTAATATTTATTGTTCCACTTGGAAACATAATTTGTTACAATCTCTCTAGAATTTTCTTGGTACAATTACCTGGCTTTTCACTCGTTGAACATTTCTTCCATTGTAATTGTGCTATAGAAGGGAGGGAGCTTGTTCGATTGTTGCTTGCTGCTGGAGCAGATCCAACTGCTCAAGATGCCCATGGGAGAACAATTCTGCATGCAGCTGCTATGGCTGATGATGTTGACTTGGTCAAGGTTACTTGTTTACTTAATACATGAATTTGATTTTTGTCTATTGCTGGATAATTTCATCCAAATATGGAATTTTGAAGATCTTCTTGATTTGTGGCCACTTGGAGGAACTATTTTGTTACTCTTTTCCTGTAAACATTTTGTAGGCTATTCTTGATGCTGGAGTAGATGTGAACATCCGGGATATGCACAACATGATACCTCTTCATTCAGCCTTAAGTAGTGGGGCCAAGTCTTGTGTCGGATTGCTATTATATGCTGGGGCGAATTATAATTTACAGGTTTCTCTTTTCACTTCCTTATCTATTGTTGTGCCTGCATTGGTGTTGGTCTTGGTCCTTCCTTTGCTGGTGTCAATGCTTCCCTAGCAATGAACTGTGGCCTGTGAGTGTATATACTCTTATACTATCGTGCTTTCCTTTTCTTTTATTGGGTGAAATTCTTGCTAGGTGTCACAGTCCCCTCTGCTTAATGTCTCCTTACTCTCCGGTCTGTTGATCTTTATAAATATTCGTTTATGTATCCATAAGAAGCTGTTGCCTCATTGCTATTTCTAGCATATGTTACCCTTTGAAGTATTGACTTTGAACTTATGGATAAGATCTCTTTCCTACAAGCAATTGTCTCTTCAGTCTTGTATGCTAATGTCATATCATGGGCGACATTGGAAAAGTGCTCTTGTTGGTATCTGCAGTATATTTGCTCAGAAGTATTTACTCGTCTAGTTCTTGCACGGATTTCTTCAAGACGAGTTCCTGTTTTAGTATCATCTGGTGCTCATGTTTGCTTTTCCTAGAGTTCACTGGTCATCAAGTGGTGGTTAGACCAGTGGAATTATTTTGATTATTTATGTGTGATACTCCCTTGGTGTATGCTTTGGAAAATGATATATGTGATACCCCCTTGGTATAATTCCTGTTTTAATTATTTTGATGCTAATGTTCAAATCTTAGGCCTCGTTTGCTTCCACTGACAAGGCGTCCATTAGTGGATTTCCATTCCAAGTAATCACTTTCCTTATAATAGTATTGTTTTTTTCAGTTGCGTTAATGACTGAAAACTTTATGATATACATTTACAAAATTTAGGTTTTTTTTTGGGGAGAATACATTTCAACCATTCAATACTTAATGGCTGAGCTGTATTCTACTTCTTTTTTTTTCCTTTTTCTTTAATTTTTAAATTTTTCTATCATTTTCTATCCATCTCTGGTTGTCTTCTTTTAATTTTTAAAGTATTATTGAATGACAATAAGGCGGACAATACTCTATGTCATGGATTGTTGGGCAATTAAATGCAAATATGTCCACTAATTGAATTTGATGATGAGTATGCTTAGTTGGATCTGCTGGCACCCAAGAAAAGACATAGTTGAAAATAAACTTATCCAGGGAAAAGTAGGTGCCTCTCCAAGCAAGGATAAGATAAGCTCGTTGGAGATGGTTGGACAAGTTAAACGAAGGCCTTTGGATTTTCTAGCCTATCTGATTGGGTTTGGGGGCTCGAGGTTACGGGGGCAGGAGAAGACTTTAAAAATGTGGAAGGTGAAAAATAAAAATATGAAGCATGTACAATAGCTTAGAGAAGGCTTCACACAAAATCAAGTGCAATTGGAAAAGATGATTCATATAGCCAACTTAAACTTCTGGTTTGACTTGTCATCGTCATTTTTGTATATACATAGTATTTGGTGCTGTCCCTAAAAGAAAAGCCTGAAATTGCAGTATAGCTACTATTCTGACCTTCAAATCTTGATCTGATGACCCAGTTTAGTTACTGGGATCTTATCTATGCTCTTTTTTCCAGCCAACTTCTTTTTCTTAGCTTTTGACAACCTCCGAGTCCTGGATCTCCATATCAGAGGATCTGAGCGACTCATTCTCATTAATCATTCGAGTAGAGAGGGTTGAATGCAAACTATAGAACACTGGATGCTAACATTACCTAAAGCTGCATTTGGATGCATGGTTTGATCTCTACAAGCATGTCCAGTGCTGTAGTTAGTTGGATGACCAGGCAATTAGCCTGTTGTGATGTCCACTGGATAATATGTGCACATTTCCTAGAAGAGAAGTGGGAAGGGTGGTAAGTAAATTAGGAGTGATATTTTTCATGTTCGCTCTAATGTACTCGGTGACCGTAGGTAAACTACTGCTTGAATCCCTACCATGTTCGAGCATTTCCTTTAATTAGCACAGATAAAGTATTCCCTACTACAAGCATTGTGAGTGCCCAATCCTTCACAAGCTAGAATGGACATACCCCCATGAAATGCCCATTCGAGCTTCTAAAGGGTCACTAAGTCCAGAAATGGTAACTCCATTTCCGTTCCATTTTTGTAGACAAACACATGTACGTAGCATGATAGTGATTCCCCCCGTAAAAAAAGATGAAGAAGAAGTGAAGGACCAAAAACTAGAAGTATTCATTCAGGGTTCTGAAATTTCCTTCTTTGCTTTGCTGACATGCCTTGGATAACCACTTCTCTGCACCTAGCAGATTGTATGAATTTCATATATTGAGTTTTCTAGGACATTGGCTTTTCTCCTTTTTTACTTGCTAGAGTAGATAAATCTACTTTGCAATCTTTCTACTTGTCTGATTTCTTTGTATATCCTTCGCAGGATGATGACGGTGACAATGCATTCCACATAGCTGCTGAATCTGCAAAAATGATTCGAGAAAATCTTCAGTGGCTCATAATAATGCTTAGAAGCCCTGATGCTGCTGTTGAAGCGAGAAATCACAGGCAAGTTCCAATACGAACCTACTTCCTCTTTGATTTTACCATATATATGTAAACTGATGATCATAATTAGCTATTCTTCTACCTTCATACATTTTCATTTCTGAGATCTTGCACTTAAATTTGTGAGAAAGTTTGAACCTGATGACCTGAGGATGATATTTGTTCTCTTTATTCTTAACATAGACCTGTCCTTGCTGTTTGTTGGTAGTGGTAAGACATTGCGCGATTTCTTGGAGGCCCTTCCTCGAGAATGGATATCAGAAGATCTTATAGAGGCTCTTGCAAATAGAGGAGTTCATCTATCTCCCACAATGTGAGTTGAAAGGTTCTGCTTTTTAAAGCAATAATTATCTATCCTTAGGAACATTTTTTGATTGTTTGCTTCTATATGTTTAGGTATGAAGTGGGAGATTGGGTAAAGTTCAAAAGAAGTGTTAAAAATCCTACATATGGATGGCAAGGTGCAAACAATAAGAGTGTTGGGTTTGTACAAGGTGTTCCAGACAAAGAGAACCTCATTGTTTCATTTTGTTCTGGAGAGGCTCGTGTATTGGCAAGTGAAGTTGTAAAAGTAATACCCCTGGACAGAGGACAGCATGTGAAACTTAAAGCAGACGTTGAAGAACCCAGGTATGAATGAATTGTTGCTCATCTTCCATATGCACGTTATTAATGGATCATATCACTTGATGGAGCATTCTTTGTAGACATGGAATTTTTCATGCATTAGTAAGAAAATTCTCTCAAACTGCTTCAGGAATGTCCCTAAACTCATCCATAAAAATTTAGTAAGTCTCATTTGTTCAGTCAAACTCGAGCTGTTGCACCTGTCCTCTGAAGTCAAGTTGGTTATTCTGTCTAAAGAAGTAGGAGTTGCCCACTTTTTATGCAGAATTTTGATTTATAATAGGGTAAAAGCCACCAAAAATCTCAAACGGCCCTCTGTGACACATTTAATTGAAACTTTTTTTTGTAACACCGATAATCTCAAAATTTTACCCGTGCGACATCTTCACCCCGAACTTTTACTTGTATGACATACTCCAAACTCTTGTATGCATTTGACACATTTATCCCAAATTTATTTTTTTGTGACACCAAAAATCCCAAACTTACACCCAGGCCACACATTTATTCTCCGTCTAGATTGTTTTTTTCCTTTTCTTTTTTCCTTCCTCCTTCCTCTTCACCGCCGCCGTCCTTATCGTTGCCATCGCCACTGTCCTCACTGTCGCCAAATCAAGGAAGAAAACAAAGGAGGAAGTTAAAAAAACTTAAAAAGAAAACGAGAAAAGAAAAACATACAATGAGTTTACAAAATTTTTTCCACGAGTGCCACATCAGCACCGTTTGCTTTCCGTCGTCCATGTAGGCAGCCACATAATATTTTTAGGGGCGTTTGGTTAACGGAATTTTGACGGAAGGTAAATGTGGTGGCAAGAGTGCAAGTTTGGGGTAAATGTGTCACACGGGTAGAAGTTTGGGGTTTTTGGTGGCATAGAAAAAATTTGGGGGTAAATGTGTCACACGGGTACAAATTTGGGGTATATGGTGTCACAAAAAAAAAGTTTAGGGTAAATGTGTCACAATGGGCATAATTTGGGGTTTTTTATGGCATTTTTTCTTTATAATAAGAAAATAGCGATATCATCAGGAGAGCAGGAAATTTCTCGTGGAATTGGCTTGATCTGAGAGGATTTGCTATGTTGCTTTGAGAAATGTTATGGTAACATCAGGTAGATTTATGATTTCACTCTTGGTAACTTTACATCATGTAGTATTTTGGACAAATAATGTTGCATAGTACTATGCATATAACAATGGACATATTCTGGCATTGATTGCTAATTGTTGTCACTTTCAGATTCATGTTTAAAGTTCATGATAAGTTGATGAATTGCTTAGAACAAATATGCATGTTCTTCATTGTCTTGGGCTAGTTCTGGAAATTCATTGTTCCAGTATTGTCTAAAGGATGTAGGACCTTGCCTGATATTATTTCTTTATTAGCAAGGCTTGCCCAATATTTGTTAAAGCATTGCTGTTTAGGCATCTGGAATTGATCTCTGCAGTAGTCTATCTAGTTGTAGTTACCTTTAAAAACTTCCATGTATAATCTGGTTCAATGCTCAGGTTTGGTTGGCGCGGTCAGTCAAGGGACAGCATTGGCACTGTTTTATGTGTTGATGACGATGGCATTCTGCGTGTTGGGTTTCCTGGAGCATCCAGAGGATGGAAAGCGGACCCGGCAGAGATGGAAAGGGTTGAAGAATTCAAGGTTGGGGATTGGGTTCGCATTCGTCCTGGTCTTACCACTGCTAAGCATGGATTAGGTGCTGTTACACCAGGGAGTGTCGGTATAGTTTACTGTATAAGACCAGATAGTAGCCTTTTTCTGGAATTGAGCTACCTGGGCACTCGATGGCATTGTGAGCCAGAAGAAGTCGAGCATGTTGTCCCTTTTAGGGTGAGCAAAAGTCTTCTCTTCTTTAAGAATGATGGCTTTTTTCGCGTCTTGTGCTTTTTTGTTGTTCTACAGTTCCATTTTCTTAGTTTACATATGAAATGAAAAATTATATTACGTTTTTGACAGATTGGGGACCGAGTTTGTGTGAAACGGTCTGTTGCAGAACCGCGATATGCTTGGGGTCGTGAGACTCATCACAGTGTTGGGAGGATATGTGAAATAGAGAATGATGGTCTGCTGCTAATCGAGATACCAAATCGCAATATGCCATGGCGAGCCGATCCTTCTGACATGGAAAAGTTGGAGGATTTCAAGGTAAGATCACCACGTTATTTTATATCCTATCCCTTCGAATGTCTTTTGCTAAATTGAGCTTTGCTCTTTCCTAGGTTGGTGATTGGGTTCGAGTGAAAGCTTCTGTTCCATTCCCCAAATATGGATGGGACGACATCACACGAGACAGCGTTGGCATAGTGCATAGCTTGGAAGAAGATGGCGATATGGGGGTCGCCTTCTGCTTCCGCAGTAAGCCCTTTTGTTGCTCAGTTACAGACGTGGAAAAGGTTCCTCCTTTTGAAGTGGGACAAGAGATTCGGATGAAGCCGTCTGTTACCCAGCCTCGGCTTGGATGGTCAAATGAGACCCCTGCAACTGTTGGAAAAGTTGTGAGAATAGACATGGATGGAGCTTTGAATGTGAGTATATTCCCTTTGCTATATTGGTGCATGCTGCCTCTAGACACAACAATCTAGGAATTATTTGACTGACCAAGGGAAAACCACATATTTACCTGTGAACACTTGTTTTCACTAAGATTAGCAGCGGAGTTTTAATGTCAGCTGGTTAAGTTACTGCGTGTGATCCTCAGTTGTGTCAATTAGCACTCGTGTCTTTGGTATTTTCTTGGCAGTGCATTGTTCTGTTTGTCATCATCAGGCTCCTCATACCTGGGGACATGCTATTGATCACTGTCTGTTGATAGGTTAAAGTGGCCGGTCGACATAGTTTGTGGAAGGTTTCCCCTGGAGATGCAGAACAACTTGCTGGATTTGAAGTTGGTGATTGGGTACGGTCAAAACCCAGTCTTGGGACTAGACCTAGTTATGACTGGAACAGTATTGGGAAGGAAAGCCTCGCTCTTGTGCACAGCGTGCAGGAGACCGGTTACCTAGAATTAGCATGCTGTTTTCGCAAGGGGAGGTGGATTACTCACTATACAGATGTTGAAAAAGTTCCTAGCTTTAAAATCGGCCAGAATGTTCGTTTCCGGGCTGGTCTGAGTGAGCCAAGATGGGGATGGAGAGGGGCCCAGCCTGATTCACGAGGTGTTATAACTAGTGTTCATGCTGATGGAGAATTGAGGGTGGCAATTTATGGTTTGCCTGGCTTTTGGAGAGGAGACCCTGCAGATTTTGAGATAGAGCAGACTTTTGAAGTGGGGGAGTGGGTGAGACTCGGAGAAAATGCAAATAGCTGGAAATCCATTGGACCCGGCAGTATAGGTGTCGTACAAGGATTAGGATATAATGGAGACGAGTGGGATGGGAGCACAATTGTCTCATTTTGTGGGGAGCAAGAAAGATGGGCGGGGTCCACTTCCCATCTGGAAAGGGTTGAAAAGCTGATGGTTGGGCAGAAGGTGAAGGTAAAGCTCTCAGTAAAGCAGCCAAGATTTGGATGGTCGGGCCATGTCCATTCGAGTATTGGAACCATCTCCGCAATTGACGGTGATGGTAAGCTGAGAATATATACCCCAGCAGGCTCAAAAGCTTGGGTGCTAGACCCGTCAGAGGTGGAGATTGTGGAGGAAGAAGAGCTTCGCATTGGAGATTGGGTAAAGGTGAAGGCATCAGTATCAACCCCAACCCATCAGTGGGGTGAGGTGAGTCACTCGAGCATCGGGGTAGTGCATAGAATAGATGATGAAAATTTGTGGGTTGCGTTTTGCTTTATGGACAGGCTTTGGCTTTGCAAAGCTTTTGAGATGGAACGGGTTAGGCCGTTTAAAGTCGGTGACAAAATACGGATCAGAGGAGGACTGATATCTCCACGATGGGGTTGGGGAATGGAGACACATGCTAGTAAAGGTGAGACCGTGGGGGTGGATGCCAATGGCAAGTTGAGGATCAGATTTCAGTGGAGAGAAGGGAGACCATGGACTGGAGACCCTGCGGATGTTGTTTTGGACGAATGCCCAGTAAGGACTTGTGCATCATGAGACCTCGCGTGTCATTATAACTCAAAATGCTGTTCTTGGCTGCTCTCTGCCATGACGAAGCCGGTGCTGCTGATGTTATGCATTCTTGCACATGCAAACCGCCGATTCCATTGATGTGGACGGGGGTGGGTGTGGTAATTGCGAAGAACGTACATGATGCAAAGCCGGATAATGTCAGTGCCAAATCAGAATGGGGGGATTCGTCTTCACTTGCACAGCCATAGGAGATCCGGGTTCAGCTCTCACGGCAGAGGTAGTGATAGGAAATTTGTACTCTATGGACTTTCAATTATTGAGCTCTGAGGTATATAATTCTGCTCTCGTTTGTACAAATTGGACTGTTATATATATCTGTGAATTATGAAATTTTGGTCTTTCAGTCGGGGCTCTTCAGATAGCTTTCCCATTTCCCAATCGGTAGAAAGAATTTATTTTGTTCATCCATGCGTATAATACTCGTAATTAAAGCTTGGATTGGTGGTTGTTTTCATTATGTTCTGTAAATTTCATTGATGAACATTAATAAAAAAGAAAACTCGCGGGCTCGGCCTCAAGATTTGATGGCCTTGAGGTTGGGCTCAAAGTCGGTCGAAGTTACACACCGAGTTGGGCTGATCATTGCTTGGGGTTGGGCCTATTCGAAATTTGGGCCCTAACTCTCGGCCTTATGTGGACCATGCATGGGTCTCAGTTTGGGCTAATCTAGGCCCATTTTAATATCAAAATTTGGGCCCAAGGTCGAACGGCTATGGGCCTCAAATAGACCCTGATCTGGGCCTCAGTTTGCGCTTATCTGTGTCCATGTTGGACCGAAAGTTGGGCCCTGACGCCGGGCCTTCTTATACAGCTCTTTCTGACCCTCGGTTGAAGCTGGTCTGGCTCATACCTGGGCCCTGTTGCGCCCGTTTTAAGCCCAAAAATTTGGGCCATAGGTCGAACTTTGCTGTCTTAAGTTTGGGCCCAGGTTGGACAGAAATTGGGCCTTAAGACCGGTCTTTATATGGGGCCCATCGATTTGGGCTTTTCTGGGACTAATTTGGGCCCATATGCTTGGCCTCTTTTTGAGCCGATCTGGGCCCTTACTTGGGCCTTGTGGGGCCATTTTAAGCCTAAAATTTGAGCCGTGATACAGTTTTCCTCGGCCTCATAATGGGCCCTAAACTGGGCTTCTCTGGGCCCAGGTTGGACCGAGATTTGGGCCCTCTCGGGGCCTCATTTTGAGCTGATATGGGTCCATTTGGGCCAAAATGGGCCGAATGATGATTTTCTTCTGGGTCTCGGTATGGGCTTTCTAGCCCAGGTTGGACTGAAATGTGACCATTGAATCTGGGCCTGGGCCCAATCTGGGAACCGATTTGGGCATATCTGGGCCCGTACTTGGGCATCGTTAGGCCTATTGTGACCCAAAACGTTGGACCGAAGACGAGTTTTTTAGCTGGGTCATATCTGGGCCTCGTTTTGGGCTTTTCTTGGGCAGGTTTGACCTTTGTTGGGCCAAATTTGCAGTTCCAAAAATGGGGCCCAATTAAGCCCAGGATGGTATTGATCTGGGCCCAAAGTTGGGCTTTATAGGGCCACTTTTGAAATCCCAAAAGTGGGTAAGGTTGGCCGATTCTAATCCCAACGTCGATTTTTGGGCCCACGGTTGGGCCTTAGCTGGACACGATTCGGACCTTTCTGAGCTTGAGCTGGGCTGGGCTGGGATGGGACAGAGCTACGTCCTAGTTAAAAATGGTTGCAGATTTTACAATGGTCCGTCATTACAGAGATGTACATGACAAAATGAACATGCGAAAAAGGATCTCCCTTCGGTAGTTAAATTAATAGCTGCAAACAGTTCCTGATCTAAACCCACAGTCCACAAAATTAGAGTACATCCAAAAATCCCATTTGACGAAGCTTCTCACCGTGAAGCTTTCACCAACCGAAACTGATGCTGAGCAAAAGAAAAACAAGATAAAGGGTGAACTGCCCTTGGGTGGATAAACGGTAAACTGCTGCAATGAACATCTAAATGGATTGGGGAAGTTGATCAATATGCTATTTAAATGGACTCTGAATAAATGTAATCTGAGATCAGTATGAAGAGACCTACGGGATGGAATCAGACCTAAAATAGAGAGACCTTCTAAAGCGGCAGCAGCAGCAACAACAACAAAAGATTTGCCCAAGGAATTCAAACAGATTCACGGGGTTAGAAGCTGATTTTAATGCGCCTCTACTTTTGTAAATTATGAAGTCAGGTTCAATCGAAAACTTCCTCGCTTTTCTCAGCATGCCAATTGAGGAAGCCCTGCACGAGTGCATCTCTCATCCACGGATGCCGACAACTCTCAACAGCTTCAGTAATAGTCAGCCAGCTCCTCTGTCTGATACTTTGCTCTGGCCATGATTCAAGCTCCTCCCTTACAAACAATGCAAACATTGCTGCCTTACATAAACCTTCAGGACAAAACTCGTCTTGGTGAGTTTTACTCTTGAAGTCATAATGCCCTAAAAGATCCTGAAAACAACAAAAAGACTTGGTTGCACAATCTAAGAAAGATCACGAATGTATATCCCCTTTTCATTGGTGGAGTAAGAGGATTCAGAGCACAGAACAAACACATAGCAGCTGACTAGAAGGTCTTGACCTAAAAATAAAGACATTCACAACAGATGTAGAGAAGATCCACAGTACCAAAGATGCAGAGGAACAGAGTGTAGTGCCCTGCACCTACATGCTACCACATGGCCTCAAAAAAGAATTTTTTATCAAAAGAGCATAACCACCGCACCCATACGCGGGGGAGAGAGAGAGAGAGAGAGAGAGATGATAACTTTTATTGTCATGATGATCATTTATTTCGCACATTCACATACACTGCAAAACTCGGCTTAAAAAGGATGAGGAACGCTCTTTTTCCCCATTCAGGACAAGAAGAGTTCGTGCAGTTAAGAATGACAACATCCACTGTGCACAATATCATATTTACTCATTTATTTTTTTCAATAACTGCCCTGCAACAGCCAATGTTATCATTGTAATAAAAAAACATGGAATAGATAACACATATGGAGTGAAATTATCTCAAGCTACAGTTAATAGTCCAATATGAGTGACCTTGACCTACTCCGCTCTCCAAAATTTTACCAATGCAAACTGAAAAGAAATCCAACAAGTCACATAATCTTAAGGTAACTCTTAGAATCATAAAGTTGATTTTCACGCAAAATCTTATTAAAGAAATAATGAACAAAAGATAAGAAAGATCAACAGAGTCCACAAAATTTAATACCTTCAAATCTCCTTTCACACCAGCTTCTTCAATTGCTTCCCTCACAGCGGCTTCCTCAACAGTTTCATCGTTCTCCCAGCCTCCCTTATAGAAATAAAATAAGCTAGTGAAAAAGAGCAAAAACCCAACACAAGTGAACAAGTGATGGAGCTTCGCAGGATGATGAAGAAACATATATATTTTTATAAAGCAATAACTCACAATCCAACAAACAGAGCTTCCATCAATTCACAACTCACGAGTAAATCTAGTGAGAGCTATAATGACATATTGTGCAAGAATTCCAGTAACCGAAGAGATAAAAGAACATCACTTCCCAGAAGACAGTATGCATGCTCAAGCTATGTTCTCCATCTCCAGGCCTGAAAGCCCCAAACTACATACAAGTAACCTGGAGTAACTATTTGAATTGTAAATGTTAATCTCCCCAAAAACGTGAAGCAATTAAGTGATGAGCCATAAAAATCTATGTAAATCTGTGGCATGCTTGCAGACAAGTCCATTGTCCCCCCAACCAAGAAGAAAATCAAGTGACATAACCCATGTCCTGTCTTTCCCATATAAACTTCTGTTGTTTATCACTTAAAGATGTTACTGTGGACCACAATTCATGGCTTATGAAAAAAAGCTCAAATAATCCAAGAATGGGATTCTAGTGAGACAAGTTCGTCGCCTAAGACGTAACTCCATTTATGGAATGGAGAACAATAGTTGGTTCTTAGTCATTCAAAACTAGGTGTTTGCAGTTCAAAGGGCTTATCACAAATATTGGGCATGCACTCAAGACCGTGACACCAATCATGGTACATAAAGCTATAAGTCAGAATCAACAGCATGCCCATCAAATTCATCATAATACTAGTCACATAAGGTGATAGAAATGTGCATTTTCAAAATGGATTAGGAAGTCAATAAGTGATCTGTTCAGCAAATTCCAAATTTTGAGCAACGGAAGTTCTGGACACATACATCAAACTAGTTATAGACCAGAAGGAACAACTTAAAGTAACTCTGTACAGCAGTAGAAGTGCTTTCCCTTTCAACAAATAGCACACTTATGTAAATCTGAGTAGTCTATACACATTAAGAGTCTGAACCAACAGAAACAAGAGAAGATGAGGCTATGTATCCTTTTCATTTTAGTCTTACATCAGGTGCAACAAAGAAATTGGAGAAGAAAAAATTAAATACTTTGGCCAGATGACCATTTTCAGTTCAGTTTGAGCTTAGCCATTAATGAAGCCTAGAAGGCTTAAAGAGGCATTTAGCCATTTCTCCAAACTTATCGTGTCAAACCAATAAAACCTGTTCTTTTGAGTGAGAAGATGTGGTCAGTAATATTCTTAGTCCCTCACTTGGAATGTTACACAACAAAAGCATCTACACAACCAACAACAGAACATTTTCCATCTAACACAAAGCTCTAGATACCCTTATCAGGATCAATACACAGGACGACTATATTCAGAAAAGAATATAATTAGCAGTATACCTTTGGAAATAGAAGACCTGGTCCACTAGTTGAATTGATCATGAGCACCTCAACAATCTTTTCATCGGTGTCACTGCTACAGTCTATAGATTGTCTATACCTATAAGGAATACACCTGGAAAAAGAAACCACTGAGTTAGTTATCCCTTCGGACTGATGCACCCAAAAATAGGAAAAAATCGAAGAAGAATCTCCTCTACGTTTTCTTTTCTTCCTATACAAAACACTGCAGAAGAACGAAGGGCAATCATCCTAGAATTAACGGCAATGCTGAGTGAGCATATGACAATTTTGTATGATGAACATATAGTCTCAACAAAAAGGAGTGAAGAGAAAAAACAAAGAAAGCAGGATAAATAACCGCCACCTCAGAAAGAACTTCCTAAGTTCGATCCCACCATTATTACTTAATTGAAGTTATGAAAGGTACAGAGTGAGTACAATCTTACATTTCCAAGTAAAATTCACATAAACGCGAATTAAAAAAAAAGAATTATCCTCTTTTCTCTGTTCATGGCACTTATCCGCCTTTAATCCAACCTCCAGCGCCAAAAGCCCCACTGGCGAAGAAAAAGGACAAAACAGAAGTCTTATGAAGTGCAAGAAAAAAGTTTAGGAAAAGCAACAAGCGTCCACCACATAAGAACTCATATTCAGTCATGGATCAGTCTTCAGAAGCACACTTAATATGAAACATTTAACCGACCTTCTCTAGCTTCCCATATTCATCCTTTTTCTTTCCTTTTGCAAAAGAAGAATGTGCTTTGCATCAGTCATAAGGATGGTATTTTATGCCTAGAAAGAGGCAGAAGCCGCATTCACTGTGTAAAAAAGGTAGCACTTCCCAATTCCCCAATATATCCTTCATCTAAGCAATAGCCCAACGACCACATGTGAAGCAGTCCACTGTCCATGATATGCACCATAATTCGGTAATAACAAAACCTACCATAACCATCTTTTAACTGTATCACCAAACATAAGATGGTCCATAGACTCGGGTATGTACAGACTCATGCGGCTCACATATTCGCCTTCCCAAGAGTGTCGACCTCAACTAGATCAACCCGTGGGGGTGGACTCTTACACACTGATACCAAAGAAGATTTGCTATTAAAAAATATATGTTTCACTGGACCTCTCTTGTAAAGTCAAAGCACATGTTAACCTTACATAAAGGTGGAACGGCATAAATAAAGAATCGCGATACTCCAAAAAACACGATAATTCTCTAATCCACAATTTACTAAACTCGAGGATATTTTAAAATCCAATTCGTGACTTTTCCACCAAGAAGCTAAATTGAGCAAGCATCAGAGATCCTCAGAAGAAATGTCAGCATCTGTGATGACTGAAACGCTCATCCAATCACAATGAATAGTCTGGCCCAAAAAAACGGAAAAAAAAAAAAAGGCAACACAAAGGACAGGAAGAAACAAACCCATCACTTGAAACCACGGACCCAGAAACCCACCAATATCCTTCCCCCATCTAAGACAGACTCAAAAAGACATCAGGACAATAAAACTGCACAATATCACCATCACGCCTAGGTCTGCCGTTAATTTAAAGTAAATCACATCGATCAACACGAATTAACATCAAAAAGTCAAAACAAAGCATTGCGGGGCGCATCAAATCAAAAGGAATTGAATCTCGACAAAGGCCAAAAAGGCGGGGCAAAACCGAAAACGACCGTCATCGACACGATAAGGGCCCACTCATTCCCAATGACAACGACCACGACACCAAAAAACACAACTACGGAATCGACACCAAAAACACAACCTAATGCAAGAGCTAACGAAAAAATACAATGCGAAAACAAACATCCGCCGTCGTCCAACGAAACAACACGAAAGCATCACACTCGTACGAGATTCGCGCACATCGAGGGCAAAAAGGCCAAAAAGAAGGGAAATGGAGAGGGCGAGCTTCGATCGTACCCGGCGACAAGGCGACAACCGGCCTCGTACCGCTGCTGATGCCGACCCGTCCGCGCCACCAAATCGCACATGCTAAGGATCGGACGAACCACGAGAAGGAACTGGAGAGCGTCGCTATCGAATCGACGGGGGTTGCGAGGGGGGGGGGTATTCTCAGCACCGATCCCAATCCCTGCTGCGCCTAATCGTCGTCCTCATGCTCGCGGCGGGCGGGGCGTACGTGATCCCTGCTGCGCCTCTCGCGACGGTTTCGCTCAACGCGGGCGGACATTATCCGGAAGCTTCGAGGCGTGGATGCTCGCTAGGGTTTGGGAGGAGTCCCGTTGTTCCTGCGAATGGGACGGACGCGAGAGCATGGGAGAGAGCGAGAGAGGGAGAGAGAAGGGATGGTCGAGAGAGAGAGGAGGAGGAGGAGAAGAGCGCGCTGGGAGGCGAAGATCAGACGGTGGGGGGACGGTCAAAGCCACGTCGGTGGGGGGGAAGGGGTGGTGGTGATGGGCCCCGCGCGGGTTGGGCACCGCTTTGGGATCCGTTAGCGAGGCGGGCGATCTCGTGGGTCGGAGTGTATCGTGCATTGCGTGAATCTCTCTCGCCTACAGTATATTCACGGTACTCCTTAAAAGCGGTGCATTGTGTGATCTATATTCTATAGTCATTGCGGCGGCTATATACAATGTATATTATACATATGGTGGTGCCAAAAGAAATAAAAATAAAGAATTCTATTGTTATGAGATAATAAGTATTCAGAATAAAACTTAATTTTTTTCGTTCATCAATATGACTCGAACTTGTGATCTCGTGGAAAATAATACCGGCCCTTATTGATTCTTTTCTCGACGATACTCATATAGGTGAAGTTTGGTACATAGAAGTTTCATATGTTTTTTTTAACAGACCTTTGAGGAGATATAAAACTCTAGGAGCACGTGATCAAAAGGGGATCCACTTTTCAGTTCTCTAGTTTTTTTGTCGCAAAGAATCTTAAACCGCTTTGGGCCATTACCGCCTTAGTTCACGACTTGAGGAATGAGCTTAAGCATCGGCCCCTGTGGCGAATAAAATAGACTTGAAAAGAAGGCAAGCAGGCTGCTCACAATTTAGCTACTACTTGGTGTTTAATTAAGAACTAATCATGATCACTTTTGGAGAGTTAAAAGTTAACGCGATATTGTCTTTGAATTTGTATTTGGATTTAACTCTAAGCAAGGCCGATCATGAGAAATAAAAGGTTTTCCTTGTAAAAGAAAAAAAAAATGAGACATCCAACGGTATGAGACCTATAGAATCGATATATTAAATAATTCAGTACACATGTATTTAGACAAATAGATCATATTCAGTATCATTATAAAATCAATTATGATTTGAAAATCCTTTTCTTTTTTTCTCAAAAGGGGAGTGCATTGACAATTAAGAGGTTCGGAGCTATATCCACACTATTTTCCAGCTGGAAAGACGATTTTTTCCGAGCTGATCCAACACATCAGCTTTTAACTTTTTCGATAAATTGGCGATTCATGTAATAAATTGTTGTCAATGCGGAATATATTCTTTTTTTATCATGTTTAATGAGTTCATTATGATTTCTTCGAAGGATCTAACAAATAGATGTAAAGAGGATGTCCCGAGGTATAGTATGGGTGGACTTACGGTCGTCGATTCGAGCGTTGGTATTAAACCAATCTGCGAGAGGGGAAATCGACGTGTCTAGATCCAATCTCAGCCGTTCGTATGGTGAGTAAAGGTCGCCACTACCAAGCGTTTCGATTGGGTGGGCGAATGCTGCTCCGTAAACGCGGAAGCAGCAAATCAAGAGCGATTGGTGATTCACAAAAGGCACGCTTTGTCGGTGCTTGTCTCGCCAAGTGGCGAGCGAGATTTGTCAAAAGAAGAAAAAGAAAAATAAAAAAGAAAACGAAAGAGAATGATGATTATATGATTCTAAAGCTAAAGCCCCGCGCCTTTTGAGGACCAATAGCCTAATCTAGATATTAGGATTTGCAATTCTAGGATCCAACTTCTTTTTGGCTCTATAAGCCTATAATCCCACAGATCGATCTAATATTATCTCAGACAGTGGAATAAATCCTCCCTATTGCGTGATAGAAGAGAGCATAATTCATTGAAAAAAAATCCATAGCTTCAGATACAATCTCAATTCTGCTCCGAACTTTTTTGTCTAAAAAAAAAATCACAAACTTTCACTTCATTCATAAATTTGTCCCGCATCAAAAAATCGCCACCGGTTTCTTCAAAATTATTTGCATCGAGAGGCTGCTATTGTTCCATGCTAATGTGAAAGTATTGGTGAAAACATGGGTTCTAATAATGGACCTATAACGAACCATAATATTGATGGTTTTGAAGACACCAATGGCGATTTTTGGAGACAGGGTAGATTTGGGATTATAGTGAAAGTTAGTGATTTTTTCTTCAGATCAAAAAAAGTTCGAGGGCAAAATTGATAGTGCACTTGAAGCTTGGGTTTTTTCAGGGAATTATGCCAATAGAAAATGATGCCCCTTTTTAATAATCGTAACGCCAAATGCCCAGCTAATCTTTACTTAATCAAGCACTCCTCTCGTTTTCGCAACGACATATATGCACGCTTGCATGCATTAGAAATTACGATTCCCAATATTAGAAACGAGAGCGACATTTGTGTAGACACGACTAATATTTTAAACTAATTTCCCAGTCTTAAATAAAACTATTAGCAGTGTTTTTGTGCTCGATACGTTTTATTGCGAATTTACGCCTTTTTAAAAAAAATGCCTAATGTGAATATAAATAAATATTTTTGTTGTAATTGGATGCTCAAATTTAGCTTTTAGACTCCTAAATTCCAATTCTTTCTTCTCGGCAAATTGTCGCGCGTGCGTGCACGTGTTTGCCTTGTCGCTCCGAGGTGGGCCCTGGCAAAACGTTGATTGGGCCTCCATAAAAAGATGGAAAGAAACGTGAACGTCATTTTCCTTCTATGGAGCCCAAATCTAGAGTCCAGTGATATTGAGTCAACCTAGTTTTCAAGCAACGGCGAATTTGTATGCATTCTTAAGCGGCAGGTTTCATGCTTCTGACAAAAAGAGAGGTAGTGCCTTACCAATCACAAGGAATATATGATGGGTTTAAGTCGGGATAAAGCGGACCGTTCGGGTTATTTCGTATCGTGAGCAAAATCTAATATAACAATCAATTCCTACTGAAAATGTGTAGTGTCGCGTCATGTCGTGTCATGTTGAGGTTTGAGTTAATTATATTATGGTCGGATTTCTCCGAATAGATCCGTCTAATGCTCGGGGTCGTGATTTGGCAAGGCGTGGAAAGTTCTCACTCTTATGTTCGAATCTCGTACGGAAGAGGTGGTTGAGGAATAAGCATACTTATAGTGGATGCCGTGGACAATGGATGGCATCGAGCACCACGTACTGAGCAAGAAACACGACAAGGGAGAAAGCAAAGGGAGCACGTGAGAAACGTTGAAGAAATGCCCACCATAAGAGAAAATGCGCTGGACAAGGATGTTTTACCTTGTCAAATATTGTATGTTTTGTCTTCTCCGTGGGGTTATTTGAACGTGATGCCTCCTGTTTACAAGATGGTTTTGTCTCCGGAGTGGATCGATTCTTTTCACACCGCATCGCATCCACACCTCGTTGTGTGTATCCAAGATACACATGGGCATGTACATACATACATATATACACGCACTAGACATTAAAGAAACAAATCATTACTAATGTTTGAATGCCTCTTGATCAAGGTCCTGGAGGAAAACACTGGGCTATTTTATCGCGCGGAAATAGTTGCGGAACATGAACTGGGTGCTCGTTACGCGTATAGTTACGGAATATGAAGCAAGGGGAGTCTACTGCTGTAGGTCCGGTATCCTTTCTTAAATTTAGGTGATACTAGTTCTCATGCACATGCGCGCAACATTTGTGTTAAATTAGTAATGTGCATTTGATTGTGGAATTTGTTTTGTGCAAGAAAATGAAAGCCGTCACATGTAAATGGAGAAAGAACGAGCAGTAACCAGAAAGGAAGTTACCAAAGGAGAGGCGACAATCAAAGATAGATTAGCAACTCGTCTAATGATTACAGTATCCTATAGTTTTTAGGGGGTAAGAATGGCATTTGCGATGCGTAGATTTCCCAAGCTCCCCTAGGTCGGCTTGAACCCCTTATAGCAACTCGAACTGCACATTACAAACAAAGAAATCTCCTAGGCTTGGTCTCTGGACAACCCTCCAATGCAAGGTGCATGGCGGCCTGGCCATGATCATCGCCCTTTGAGGCTAGAGTCGACTGCATTGGCTTGAAGTTAAGGATGTGCAAAAGGAACCGCCCGGATCAGAAACCGCTTGGACCAGACCGGACCGGCCGGTTCTAGGCAATTCCCGGGGGCATCGGTCCGGTTCCAAGTGTTAATCGCCCATCTGGATCAGACCGTTGTTTTTTTTTTTTTAATTTCTTGCAAATCCGTAAAAAGTCATAAGCACGCACGACTCTTACCCTCTGCTTGTTTCCTATCGAGTCACTTTCCTTTATCTATGAGTTCATTACGAAACATCGAGATCAATTTTGCACGGAACATGGTCCATAGGCATTTTCTTTTAACCAATACTAATTCCTATGAGGGGTTTAACATCCTCCTCGTAAAGATCTTGTCACGAATTATGGACTATATGCTTAAGAAAAAAAAAAAAAACAGAACATGCCACCGGTTTCAAGACTGGGTGGTCCGGTTTCGGAAATCGGGAACCGATTTTTTTGATTTGATTTCCGGTTCTTAGGTGGCAACCATACTATTCAGGAACTGTTCACCCCTACTTGAAATCCAAATCCACTCTGCGAACCAACACGCCTTTTGGTTGCGCAGTCCCCTCTCGATGGGAATTCCTTCCAAGATCTCTCGCTTTCTAAGGCCTAACGAGATGGACAGAGGCCCAACAGAAAGGGCGAAAAATTTTGGCCGCAAAAAGAAATCTAAATTAAATCTCAATCCGGGTCATGAACTGACCGAGACCCGAATCTCGGAATCTCGGAATTTGAGGGAATTGAATCTGTTTTTGGACTTCTCAACACGATCCCCCACCAAACAGTACCGAGCCGCACAGAGATTTTTTGGGAAGAGAGAAACGTAGGAGCTTTGAACACACGAAAAAGAGGAGAAGAAATCAAGATACATTGAACACCGAGCGAACAGAAAAAGCGTGCCTAAGTGCAGAAAGTGCAGTCGCACCAACTTGCACATGTTCTTCATCTAAAACTCAGCCACAAATTGGCAAGCATGGCGTACCAAACTGCCTTTGTTCACTGAATCGGGATGCCATGCGAGCGCCGTCCTATCCGTGATGATTTCTTATTCCTACTCCTACTCTAGGCATTCTTGGAATTAGGGAGAGAGACATTGAATGGTCGTTCTTTATTCCCAAATTTTGCAACCGGAGATTGCATCGATTGCCCATCAATGTAGCTGCTTTTTGGTCGACTGGCAACAAAGTATTGCAGCCTCTGGCCAAGTACATTGAAGTTTAAACCCTCGAGGGAAGTAGTTTTCTATTCTAAGCTCATATTTGATTCACCGACCAATCTAGATGCCCAAGATTCAAATGTTGGGAAAGTCAACACAAGAAAACAGAGAACGAGAGGAGAAATCAAATGCATCTGTACATAGTAAAGCCACCGAGGTTTGCAATTGCACTGAAGACAAGTCAATCCGATGGAATCTGTAAAAAGTTTGATGGTCCACTCTTTCATAAGAAGTAATGAACGGACAGAGGGCACATGAAATTGTACATTACGCTTTCTCCCGCATGGTTTTGTGAGAGGTAAAGTTAGGAAAGAAATGCACGACGATGTCGCACGTCTAAACCACCACCCAAAGAGATAGTTCGTTCATGGGTAGGAATTTCAGCACCCACCATTTACGATAAAACCCTATCCCATGTTGCAGCCAAGTAAAATTCTTGCTCCTTTTTCCGTTCCTTTGGAAAAGCATCCTAAGCAAGCAAGATCAGAAGTTGTCATTTTTCCTTCCCGATGTTCCGCAAGTCGTGATCAACTTGTCTACATTTGCATTTCGCACGTAATGTTAGGGTACTCCCATTTCTATAAACCTCGCTAAGTCCAAAAAAGACCAGTATCAAGTTGCTCTTGTTTTTGTTAGTTCTTTTCTACAGCACATAACTTTAAAAAAAAATGATTTCTGTCGCCATAAACACAGCTCTGTCACTCTCGTCTTATCGTTACCGAGACAAGGACCCGGTCCTCTTTTTATATCACCATATTGCTGGAGAACAACTTGTCATTACACTCGGTATAAATAAAGAAGAAGAAGAAGAAGAAGAAGCCATGCCGAGAAATAAGACAAAACGACAGTACCGTAGAAAGTAGAAGCGAGAGGGGATTACGTTCTCCGATGCACTGATTAAATAAAGCTATCGAAGATATTATTTCTAAAAAAATGAGAGAATCAATATAGGTCAATTATTAAACTGACGTTGATACGCAACGTATCGCGAACGAGATGGATCCCTGGGGATCATGAGCCCCGATCCTGTCCGATTCGGACCATTGCACGATGCCAGGTTTCCTGGCAATTGACCCAACCGATGAATCTCTCCCTCCCTCCCTTTGGGCCCCACATCCTTTTCTCTTCCCTATTACCGTTGATGTGTCTGTCATTGGACATATCTTAATCGAGATTTTGTTGATAACGTTTCCTGAGCCATCGAATATATTATTTTTTTAATTTTCAAAAAAGGACCATCCTTTTAGGTTATAATCGTAATCGTTAGACTTAAAACTTGCAAAAAATTCAATAAAGTTCTAAAATTTGCTACGAAAGTATAATTGAATTTTAAAATTTTCAAAAAATGCAATCAAGTTGGTGCAATTAAGTCTTTCTATTAACTGCATCCAACTTTACAAGCGAAAAATGTTAACAAGTTTTAGAACTCGATTGCACAAACTTGATAAGTTTTATGACTTAATTATACTTTTTGAAAATTTTAGAATTCAATTATACTTTTGTGAAAGGTTTTAGGACTCCATTGCATTTTTCGAAAGTTTTAAGACTCAATTGTAATTTCGTGATAAATTTTAGGACTTATAAGGCACTTATCCCTTTTTATTTTCAGGTAATAAGAGAGTGGAGAGGAGCTACCGAGATTAGCAACCATGACTTCACTATTGGAGTTTCAAACTCACCACGAAAATCCAATTTGAATTATTGAACTTAGGTTCTCATAGAAGACAAACGAACATGGGAATCCCTAGATTAATCGCGTTAGGCGGTTCTTAGAAACTATTGGCATATCGTAGGTGCGTTGAACCAACCTATTTTATTGAGATTTACGTACTTACGTACCAAAATCGAAAATATCAAAATGTTGAAGAGTTGTATTGCCAAGCGAGGGTGGAATCAAATATATTATGCACCCGTCCTCTAGAAGATAAACTAAAATACGACATTACAGAAATGAGGGAGGGGCAATGGTTTACTTTTTACAAATAACTTAAAATAAATTCCGTGATTGGAAACCTTTTTACAGAAATGAGAGAAGCATAAATTCCGTGATTGGAAACCTTTTTACTTTTGGGTTTATACCACGAAAAATCCCAAACTGATATACTTGTGATAATTTTATTCCAAACTAATTTTTTGACCTCAAAAAATCCCAAATTGGTATACTTGTGACAAATTTATTCTCAGTTTGTTTCCGTTAAATTTTACTATCAAATTACTTTATTAAATGACACGCGACAGTTAATTGATGTACCAGTTTTATGTTTTAACCTCCATTTGTCACAAGTGTATCAGTTTGTGATTTTTTGTGGTATTATTTTAATTTAATAAAAACTAACGGAGGATAAATTTGTCACAAATGTACCAATTTAGGGTTTTTAATGGTCAAAAAATTAGTTTGGAATAAATTTATCATAAATATACCAGTTTGAAATTTTTTATGTTCAAAAAAATAATTTGAAATAAAATTATCATAAATATATAAATTTGAGATTTTTCGTGGTATTAACCTTTTTCCTTTTCATGCAAAAGCGTCACGCCACCATCTATATATACCCAAGCCAAGTCTGTCCTATTTCCACCTAAAAGGCTGCCTACTTCTTGTTCTTGCTTGCTCTGAAGCTCTTCTTCTTCTTCTTCTTCTTCTTCTTGTACTTTCTTGCTTGCTAGTTCTTGTTCTTGATTGCTCTGTCTCTCTCCGTCATCGACAACTTGACCGGAAAATTAAACCCATTGCGGAAGGAGAAAGGAGGGGAGACGATTTCAGAGACGGGGGATGGTGGTTGGAGGAGCATGGTAAGGTGCGCGACGGGCTTGGGGACGGTTCTGGTACTGGCGGCTCTCGCGGCGTTCATGGTGGTGCTGCCCCTGGTGTTGCCGCCCCTGCCTCCTCCGCCGCTGATGCTCCTCCTCTTCCCCGTCGGCATCATGGCCGCCCTCGTGTTCTTGGCCTTCTCCCCCGCTGCCACCGCTGTCCACACCTTCGTTTGACGAGCCCATCTTTAGGAACTCGCCGCACAACTTTGTATTTGAGAATACGTCCCTTGACATTTCTGCAAGCATTACGCTCAGAATCGACTCTATTTGAGGTTCACTCCACAATTTATGACAGAGAGACTCCCAACTGCGATTCCATTTCACTTCGTTATTGAGACTGATCGTTTATATCGTCTTGTACAGAACCAGAATGGCAGAATTTTTTCTTTGCACTTCTTCCTTTCTTTTGTTTTTCTGAATCATCTCCACTCCCACTCTAGTCCTTTCGGCTTTCGATGAGAAGAGGCACATGGTCCTCGCTTTCGGCCGCGAAAAGGAAACTCGTCCCTCCCTCCCCCTTTCTCATCAATGTGACAGGAGACGGGACTATCCAATCAATCAATTTAAACAGGAAGAGGAGTGGTTTCGCATCTTTCATGCGTTGGAATCACTCCATGTTCGTTCATATGCAAGTGGCTTGACTGACGCCCCCCACAAAGGGTCTTCAAAAGCATCTATCTTTTCCAGAAAGTCGTGGGGCTGGGTTCGTGTGCCGAATGGAAGAATAGCATTGCATCGAGAGTGAGTGCGTACTGTTTCAATGAGTCCCTTCACATCGGGAAACATGGGTATCCTGGAAGAGAATATGACCACATGCTTGTCCCCGAGAAAAATGCAGCTTCTGCTCGAATGAATGTGAGCGAGATTGTCTGCTGATACTTAGCAAGTATGGACGCCACATTAGTCGTGTATCCACTCTTTCATCATTTAGATGTCAAGTTTCTTATTTTTTCCGCAGCCCTTTTCTTTCATTTCCCAATGACTTAGGACAGAGCAGCAGGATTCATAATGCAATCGTGACAAAGGTGTGCCTTCCTTCATCCTAATCGTGGGAAGCATGGCATGCTGTGCCCAGCTGATCGCCAAGAACTAGACTCGTTCGTATTGACTAAAGGCACACGTGCACCGTACATCCGACAGACTTTAAATATGGCAACATTTCAATCTAACTTACACTTTGATAAGCAATATAGTAAAATCTACCTCACCAGTTCCTACATCAGCATCATCAGGTCTGGCACCTGTTGAAATGTGCCATTTCCCCTGCTCAGCATACAACTGATCTGATACTAGATGGAGCAATCCATCTACCCGGTTGATTCCCCACGGAATATATGGTTGTCTAGTATTAATTAGAACCATTTGAGAAACTCACTCTGCTCATTTCGAATTAGGAAAGTCATTTCCAGTGCAAAATAAGCAGATCTGTATCCATGTGCTTTGGTATCTGCCAGGAAAATAAAGCAAACAGAGAGCACGCTTTATCCAGCATCTGCCGGGATGTAAAAGCAATCTTCCGATTGCATATTAAACCATCCGAACTACATTAAAGACTATTGCCGTCCCTAGTTACTAAATACATCTTAATGGCCAAATTCAAATTACAACCGACCAAAATTCATGTGCCATGCCTTCCACTGGGCTGAACGCCCAGACCTCCGAGTGCACTATCTAGTTTCAAGTATAACAACAAAAGTTGGCCAACTCTAGACTGAATGGCCTATAACCACCTTCATAGTAAAAGAATACCACGGAGAAAAATTCCCTGTCCTCCAAATCCTGGAAGACTTTTTATCACTTCATTTTGCAATGCCTTCACATCTCATTGTCCAGGATATCGCGCATCATCTGAATTGGGATAAGACCTTCCGTTCGAATAGCCTCTTTGTTGGGATCTGGACTGATGAAGTACAAAGTTGGCAGGCCACGTACCTGAAACGTAGAGTTTCAAATTTCCATTCATAAGCAGCCAATTTTTTATTTTCCCTAGAGATTAACAGGCTTAACTTGTCCTGAATTTTGATGCATCATAATTTAAATTCATTTCTGAAAAACTCCAGCAAATTTTGATTTCGTTTGACTTAACTGGAAAAGGGGAAGAAAGGAGCAGCTTAAGAGGAGGCTCACGACCGAGCAAGGTTTTAAATTAAAAGCTGTTTCCAGTTGTCATTCACCAGCATTCATGGACCCAGACAAGAGTACCAACATCAAGTGTGTTATGATATCACCGAATGATGGAGATCTCAAGCCAAGAGTTTGAATGCAACAATCATGAGAAAAGGTATCAGGCTAGTATCATGTGCAACAATTACCTGCATATCTCGGGCAAAGTCATACTCATCGTCCGTATCAACTTTCACAATCATGGCATTATTCTCATACTCCACCGCAAGCTGCAATAGGAAATAAACCTAAGTATTTGGATCTGACCCATGAGGTAACTTGTAGCAAGCATCTTATAAACTATACAGCAAGCTGAAGTAGCTTGAGTGTAAATAAGTATACTATCTACATAGCGTCTTGTCCCCAAGGCTGTCAAGGAGAAAACTATGGGGGAAGACAATACAGCAACTAGAGATATCGACAATGTTGCTATACTAATGGGAGCATGTCAATCTTGAGACTGATCAAAAGCAATAATGAAAGCCAATTGACTGATTTCTGATCAGAGTGTCTCTCGATTCAGGTCTATCATGAATGCTTCGAGCTATTAGCAAGCAAGCCTGTTAGAGATCTATATCTTGTACCCCACTTAGGATATACACTATGGATTTCTGCTAAAACTACGTTATCTTTAGCCCCGCCAGTCCTCCTGTTGGTATTTAAGTAGTTCTATCTCAAGCCAGCGAATAAGCTAGTTCAAGCAAGGCAGTTATTGAGTATAAGGCAGGCTAGAATAAAGGCTGGGGCCTAATGAAAGAAACTCCCAATAGTAATCAGTTCATTGAAGAGCATTTCCATTCTGAAGATCCGGCACTAACTTGCTCAAGATTTCTATACTTGCAGCATCTACATCCATCATCTCCCTTCTTATGGAGCAAACTATTTCCCTCAACAAAGATACTACGCAAACGAGAGAAATTAATCAAAATAAAAACCCAGAAATGACACGAGATTAAAACCAACCCACAACAAGACATGAGATTTGAGCCTACCATTTCGAGTTCTTGGGCCATCAAAATACAGGGTCCACACCATGTTGCATAGAAATCAATGATAAGGGGCACGTTCCTTTCTCCCCTCACAAGATCCTGCACCTCCTGAGCCGACAATTTTTTCTTCCGAACCAAAAGAAGAAGCATATCAATGTAAAAGATTGTACAGTCTGCGGAAGAACAGGGACATGAATCGCCTCCAAGCCCAAGCAAAACTAACCATACAATTTGAATGAAAACACCGCGATACACCAGCTCACTAAAGATAATAACTTATCCTAAACTTCTTTTCCTCCATTTTCATAGGCTAACAAGGGAGAAATCCGAAGTTCCAAATTCCATCATCAGATAGCTCCCCTACCCACTCGTATTAGCCTAATTCCACATTCAAGAATATCCACTTATCCACTGAAAACATCGAAATTACACAGATTTACGCACGCGTTAGTAGGAACGAAGAAGACCCACAATCGAACATGGCAACATACCACAAGATAGTCTTCTCTGACGTGCTTCCCTTGAGGTGGTGCGCAGAGCAGCTTTCTGGGTACAGTGGATAGCGTCAAGAGCCTGTCCCTAATCCCAGGAGAAGACGAAAAAAGCGAACTTCGTCCAAAATTCTTGGTGGAATCTTGGAACGGAGGAAGACAAGGCGGTTTAGAATGGGAGGACGAGACTGGTTTGCGGAGAAACACCGCGATTGGAGAGTGTATTTGAAGAAGACCCATTTTCTATCTTGTGGAGATAGAGAAGAGAAGGAGCTGCGGGGGGTTTTGGTGGGGGTTTTCAGTTTTTCATGGTTATCCAATTGGCCGTGTTTGGTTGCAGTGTCTGGTCTATGCCGCGCGAGGAAAAAAGAAAAGTCCCGTCCACTTGTAAAGGTCCCCTGAATGATCAGACAAGTATGATTCTGATAATAACAGCTGCTGGTCTGATAATGGTTATTTAGAACTGGATTCGAACAAACCGAAAGCTGTTTTTCGTTCTTACCGAAAGCTGTTTTTCGTTCTTTCCTTTCGAATCAGAAAATCTGGAAGATTTTTTTCGGACTTTCCCTGTAAAGACCCAGAATTTTGTTTAAAAATATTTAAACTAACGATTACCAAAATGATAGTCTCAGCAATTTTTGACTCATTTGGTTTTGGTAGATGAAAATTGATGATATACTTTTAATATTGGTTTTGAAGCAATTGACAAGTCTAATACAGAGCAAGATTAGTAATAGTACCAGTACATTTTCTCATCAAAAACTAGCACGCCTTCTTTTTTATAGATATTTGAGAAGTGTTGCATGATACAGGAACTTGTGTGGCGTCAGAAAGCATTAAGCATTAGCTAAAAGTACATTTTTGTCCATCAAGTGCCCTGATTAAGCAAAGAAACGACTTGGCAATTTAATTTCTTCAAGAAGACAGAAGGCTGAAAGGATGGCTTTTGCTCTATCTGAGGCAGAGATACCGAAAGTGACTCAGAAGACATGTTGAAGCAGTGATCAATCAAAAGGTGAATGAAGTCAATTCATCTGTTAAAGTCCATCCCTGTATCTCTCTCTTCCTAGTTCCCTGTTTTATAGAATGCATTTACATCAGTATGACTAGCCAGAGAGACTCGGAAAGATGTATTGCAATTTTTATATAGAATGCTTTCTTATAAAACTACATTGCAGATAGGAGAAAATCTAGGTACTTCATTCCTCATCTCTGTCCGTCAATGATTTAACGCGCAATCCAGAAAATACAAATACAAGCAGAGTCTCTATGAAAAGCAGGAGAATCCAAAAACAACAGAGCAAAGATGAGAAGTGGAAAAATGGAGGCAATATGTTTCATAGCAATTCTTGACAAAATTCGTAAACTGTCACAGTTCAGGAAATTTGCGTGTATCGAGCATGTTCGGCCTTACGTGTGTTTCCACATTTTGCTCCCTCTGGCTAAATGCGTTATCTTGATTTCACACAGATGCAGGCAAAAGTATCAGCATGAAGTTTCTTCTTTTCTTTTTAGGCTTATGTTGGGTGCTTCTAAATCAGTTTACATTGGGTCTAATATACACTGCGATATGTCGTTGAAAGAGAACATGAAGATGAGGCATAGAATTTTTTACACCAAAAGAGAGGTACAATGCTGAGATTTAGGCAATCATCACCTCATCTTCCGGTCCTTCTAGCCATTTTCACAGTGTTAGTACACAAAGTCTAGGTGATCTTTACACACATTACCATAACACAATCATAATTATCATCATAAGCTTCACATAGTCCACCTTAGTTTCTTCCAATTCTTAAGGAAGAATCAATCCCTTTATTGCTCCCAGCAAAGAGCTTTGCGATTTCCAACTGGGTATTAGCGATGATCTCGGTTCTTTTGAGATCCATCTCGCCTCGCCTCGCCTCGGCCTCGATCCTCATTTTCTCCAACTCCTTCATCGTCTCCATCCTCGATTGCTCGGATCTCACGATGACTTCTGCTAACCACCGGATGCTCTCGGCAATCCCGTACTCTTCTCTCTTTCGCCTCTTCTTGTTCTTTTCCATCTTCATCACCGTCTTATGTTTCTTCGACCTTGACGACTTCTGTTTATCACTGTAAAGGGCCGGCGTGCTGCTATCTGTCTCCACTGGATTCTTGTCAGATACTTGATCTGATAATTTGGTTCCCGCTCCATCTTCCTACATGGACATTAAAGACAGTGCAGCAAGCAATTATCTTAGTCATATATCAAAACCAATGAGCCTGACTTGAATCCATTTATTAGAGGCAATGCTAGAGAAAACACAATAGTCAAGTGGGCCGATCTCTTCATTTACTCGGTTGCTACCTCAGCATAGTTACAAGTAAATACTTCAGGCATCAACAAGTTCATTAATTTGCATATATTCAAATATTATCATGTGTACATGTTGTTACTGCAGACGTTTTGTTCTAGATAGAGGGTTAGATATATATGTGTGTGTGCATAGAAAATAATCTTGCAATTATTCTGGGCTGGGCATTGATCCCCATGATTAATATATTCAAGTCAAATCATGATAGCACTATCCACTGGAAATTATCATCATTTGGGTTCTATTTGTTTATTAGCCTACCAGTATGATAAATCATGCAGAGCTAGAATGAATTCAAGTTTCCTGGGTACAACAGATAAAACGATATTCACTCGGATATAATAAAATGAAAGGAACACAAGCGAAAATAAAGTGGCCTCGCACTCTTCTTACCTTGGGCAACTTGTCAACTCCATTGGATCCATGAGAATTCTGGGCATTACCAGGCGGCGGCGGACCCGGAAGCGGCAGCAGTTGTGGCGCGGCTGCAGCAGAGGACGGCTCTAACAATATCAAAGGTGGTGGATTAGGGGCCAGCGGCTGAGAAAACGTCGGCGGGGGCAAAGGCGTCTGCGGCGGTGCGGTGCCGCGCAGGAGCATATCGAGACGTGGATACAACGGCCAGGAGGACGTGTCGGCGGCGGCGGACTCCGTCCGGTATCTCTTCTTCATGGACTCAATCTTGTTCTTGCATTGCGTTTGAGTCTTGGGCGACTTCGTGCAATTGCCCCGGGACGAAACGAAGCGCGCAACATCTTCCCAGTCGTGACCCTTGAGCTTGGCCCGGTTCCTGAGCACCCATTTGGCTTCGTAGGCCTCGAGAAGGCTCGAAACCGCGCCTTCGCTCCACTCATCCCTCTTCAACCTATCGCCGCCGCCACTGCCGACCCCGAGAACACCGCCAGCGGTGGCTGATTTCCTAGGGGACTCTTCCAACTTGACGGTGCTATTGTTGGGGAGGAGAGATGGGGTTTCCTGGGTAGCTTCTTTATCCTCCATCATCTCTCCCCATGCTAAAATTTCCTCGGGTGTTTTTGACCTTTTACTTAGCTGCTAACATCCTAAAGCCAGGACCCCCACCCCCCAGAAAAAAGCAGCCCGGGAGGCCTTTGTATGGTAGTGGAGAATAGAGACATGAGAGACAAGAACCACTAGCATTATTAGAAGTGGGAAAAAGAGAGGCTAGCTCTAGTGGCCAACCAAAGGAGGAGAGAGAGAGAGAGAGGGAAAGGAAGGAACCACTAGCATTAGACAATAGGGGGGGGAGGAAAGATCCAGTGTGAGTGGGCAACCAAAGGGAAAGGGGGTCACTTTTGTCAAATGAGTTAATGATAGTAACCTCTTAACTTTTTCCTTTCTTGCTTTATGGGTGCGTTTTGATTTCTCCATATTTTTCAACCCCCTTTCCTTCATTTTTTTTCCCAGATAAAGGAGAAATATTATGTACCCACAAATCCATGCAAGTAACTCTTTTTGACAACCGCGGTTAATCGATTGATCAAAGAATTAGTTTACATTCTGAAAATTATAGATTTGGTTTCTCAATCTATCCTCGATTTTCAGAAAACCTTGATTAATCTATTCATGGATTTAGGTATATCGCAGATATTAAGCTTAGGTGTGATATTGTTCCCTGCTCGCACCTGAACCCGCAATGCGATTGCGGTGACGGACTTGCCTAGTGGGCAACTGGTGTTTCGTTGGCTCCTTAACCCGAACAGTCCAGCAACGGGATTTTTTTTTTAGTAAGAAAAAGAGTGACTCTATGTGAACGCGTTGAATGAAAATAGCGAGAAACGCATATATCAGGGGTTGAACTTTACGCTATCTAAGCTGGCCCGGACACCTCGGTTACAAAAAAAAAAAAACTTTATGCTATCTAAACGTGTGAATTTAAAAGACATTATCATCTAAAATTAGGGTATAACTGCATAATTACCTTGAGATGTCAACATATAACTACATGTGCTAGGGTTATGTGCTAGGCACATGTAGTTATGTGCTAGGAGTGCGCAAAACTGATCGCCCAAACCGGAAACCGCTCGAATAGGCCGGTTTGGTCCGGTTCACAAGAGTGTCCGTTTGGTTCTTAGTTCCTAAAAGTGAAATTGGTGCCCAGGCAGTCCGGTTCCCGATTCCAAGGGAGAACTAAATTGACTACATATACTTTTTTTATTATTTTTTAAATTTCTTCAAAAAATTAGTAAAATATTAACTTAACCCTAAGTGGAGTACTTAATAAAAATACTTAAATTCTCTCGACTTCTCAAGTCTCGTCAATTCGCCTCCGCAAGGGGGTATTACTTAACACCACCCATTAGAATTAATGGATGTCCTAAACTTACCAATGTACAACTAAACAAGGGAGTAATACTTAACACCAATAAAATTGTTTCTGATGGGTCTCTCTCTCTTTTTTTTTTACTTCCATCATAGACGTTAGTAATATATGTGTAGTCGACATGTTTTGATCAGTCTACATCGATTCGTCATTGCATTGGTTCGAATTGCACACTTATTTTTGTTATTATGTTTAGTCGGCATGGGGAACTAATTCCAGTTTCATGACACATGATATCAAATAGTGGGAAATAAAAAAGTGACCAGTTCAATTGGATCAAACCGGGAACCGATCACCCCTAATATGTGCAATTTAGGCGACTCAATTTTGTTTTGCATTTCTCTTTCTTTCCATTTTTTCCCTCATATTTCTCTTTTCTCTTATGCCCTTCCTTCCTTACTTCCCGAGACATGCACCTGCTGCAGCTATCTTACCGGGAAAATTGTTCAAAAAGTCTTAAATTTAGTGTACTTTTGTCAATTAAGTCTCAAACCTTTTAAATTTGCCAATTAAATCCTAAACATTTTCACGCTTTGCCAATTGAGTCCATCTGATCAATTTTGGTCGAAAATTGCTGACGTGGACACTAGCCGCCCTATGTGGCACGGCCAATGTACGCTGACATGGATAATTTTTAATAATTTTAATTTTTTATTAATAATTTTCTTTTCTTTAAACTTGTAACCGGCGACTCGTCCGATCGACCATCGCCGACCATAAGCGGAGACATCGGGCCCTCGCGCAGATCTAGGCAAGCGCACTCACCTATGGCCAACGAGGCAATGGCAACCCTCGCCTATGGCCAGCGAGGGCATTGTGGCCCTCGCTAGCCAAAGTTTTATAAAAAGAAAAGAAGAGAAAAGAAAAAAATAATAATAAATAAATAATTATTAAAATATTATTAAAAATTGTCTACATTAATGCCATCCGTGTTATGTAGTAGTGTTGCTGTCCACATTAGTGATTTCCGAATGGATTGAATTAGTTGAAGGTTTATGACTGAATTGATAAAAGTATAATATGTTTAACACTTTTTGGGCAATTTTCCCCTCTTTTACATGTCGCCACCCCCTTCGTCACTGCTAGCTCTGTTTGAACCACGCACCGTTATTAGTCCGTGTTGCTTTGGTCGCTTCAACCCTCTCTTCCTAAGCCTCATATCAAGGCTGGTAAGTGGGATCTAAATTGTGACCTCAAATTCGACTTTGCCGGCCTCAGGTGACCAAAGATCTAGAGTCACTTGAGGTCAGGTCATTACTTGCGGTGTTCGCAACCTCAATGGTCACAAAGTCGTGGCCATTGCGACCTCTCTCTATCTTCATTAAGAGAGAGAGAAAGAAGGCGCGGAGTGACGAGCATAACAATGACGGAGGCGCCACACATCGGCAAAGGCGGATGGAGAGGCTGAGAGAGGAGAGAAGATTAGGGTTTAGGTAAAAGATATATCGACATAAGGCTTAAAATGATAGTATGTAACGCATTTTCCTTTTAACTGCAATGGAGCCACGCCACTTCAATTCTTTCACGGCATACTCAATATTTCTTTTGTCGTGGGAAGCCTTCCTAAACCTTTTGCCTTTCCATAATTTCTTTCGCAATTTTTATATTGAGAATCCGCGAATACGATGATTCAAAGTTGAAATTAAAAAGGAGAAAGAATAAGCACGCACATTACCAGAGCAAGCGAGGCAACTTTACGGTGTGGGATGGTGGTGAGGTGGGAGCTGTTTTGGCAGTTAGCGTTGATATGAAGCGAGGGAAGGAAGGAAGGAAGGAAGCGCCTGTGGTGGTGGTGGTGGTGGTGGGCCACTCACGTGGGCGTGTCACCCACTCCGCACGTCCATATCACCACCACCATCGGCCAATCCGGTGCCGCCACTCGCTCTCTCTCTCTCTCTCTCTCGCTCCTCTGCTGCCTTTTTCCACATCCACACCCCTCTTCCTTTTCCTTTTCTTTTTTCTCCTTCTCTCTAAGCTTTGCTTTTTATTTGATTGCCTTTTTGGCACTTTTTTGAATGCTTTTCTTCTTCCCTTTGCCCTTTTGGTGGATTCATCGCCACTAAGGTTAACAGGACGTTTTTGGGGGGGTCCGTGCGTGGGAGTGGTGGCTCTCACCCTCGCCAATTTCTTGAACCGCCATTGGTCGCTTTCATCGGCCAATTGGAAAGCACCATCTCGGCTTTACATTCTTTATAGTGTGCGCTTGCTAAAGTTCTCCGCTAGCAATGTGTTATTTTCCGCTCTTTGGGTCCCAAAAAACGAATAGTGAAACAAGTTCATTTGAATTGCCCTCCTGGAGACGAAATTACACGTCTTTTGGTGGCTTACCTATCATGAAACTTTTTCCTCTCTTTTAGGAACAAGATTTTGCCCGACAAATCTTGGAGTTTAAGGAAGGAGGGACCAAACAACAAAAAGAAACAGAAGAACGCTAGAAGGAGGGCTTGAACCTCCGACCTTGTGGTTAACAGCCACACGCTCTAACCAACTGAGCTATTCCAGCTTGTGGTCCTGTATTTTCCATATAATAATAAAATAAAAACCTATGAAACGCTGACTTAGAACTCTATTCAATAAACGTAATATTTTTCTTGGTGTTAATTTAATAAAATGGAAATCTAAAGAAAGAAAAGTTGCACTGATGCAGCAGCAGAATAGGTTTTCTTCGCATGGTTCCTTTTCGCACCACGAAGAAAGACCGTGAGTGATGCTGCCTGGGACTGACCGCGATTGTAAGCGCGCAAGGCGATCGATTAGCAAAAGATAAAGTCAGTACAACTGTCCGTTCCCAGACAAAAGGCGACGGAGAATTGAATGGAGCGAGAGTGGGAATTGAGGATCTTGGCATTGGTAAAGCGAGAGGTACTTGAAAAGTCCATTGAAAGGTGGTTGAAAAAAGGAAAAGTGCTTGTGGGGACGCCCTTCCTAGTCAATAATGCAGACAAACGTGAGACGGGCAAAGGTCATAATGGGCATCCCCTTCGTGGGGTCTCTCGTTGCGAGCATGATTGATCGATCCCGCCTACGTTTTCAAGCTGTTTTGACAAGAAGCCGAGGGCACTGTACAACTACTGTAGGTCTTTTCCTTGTAATCTTCAACTTCAGGAAGATAGGAAGGGTTTCGTTTGCAGGAACACCGTTTGTGTCTATCATCTCCCAGTTCCTTTCTTAAAAGGTTCCAGAAACCCGTCTCGCTTACGACTCGAAAGAGTAAAGAAAAGATAATTGGTGGTCGCTCATCGCCGCGTCGTGGGTCCAGGCGGCATCAACCACCGCTTCATTTTGAAGGTTTCAAATTCCCAAACCAGAGCATAATAATCAAAGTCAACAACGTGGCTACTCAAAGATAAAACAGCCAATGGGTAGCCAATCTGTTGAATCTGGTGCCAAGTATTCCACTTGGACCAAGTTGATGGATTCGGCTCCTATTCTATTGTTCTGCCGCGTGCCCAGCTCGGTCAAGGCCGAGAAAAGTATTAGAGAGAAACAATCTCCACAGTTCGATTAATCTGCATCTTTAATAGCCACAGGAGGATGAATTGATAGGTAGATTGATATCGTAATCATCCCCCCACCCTTGTCGACTCATGCCACCAGAACAGCCCAGTTGACAGGATGTCACACACAACTCACAGCAGTGGCTTTCCTTTTTGGAAGTTAATGCAGGGGAACCAAATAGACGGGCAAATAAGTCGTGCGCGAAGATAAGATGGGTCCGTTCGCAGGAGACTAGCTGTATTGCCTTGTCGAGGATGCGCCCTGAAATACCAATAAAAGTTTGATTTTGAGAAGACAGTCTACAAGCATTATGTTCTTGAAAATTTCCTCTTGACAATTTCTGTCAACTGCTGAGAGGATCGAATAATCTCATAAAGAGGCTGCTGATCTTCTCGTGACACACACGTGAGTAACCTGAACACAATTCCTGGGGTTTGCAAAGTGGTGATCAGCAGAGGAAGACCCTATGAAACAATAAGCACCAGCCAGGCTTGTAAGCTGATGCTAGAACAAGCACACTTAGGTTACAGAGAAGCAAGAGCATCATCATTTAGAAAAAGAACTAAAACAGAGGACCCATTGGTCTACTTTTGGTAGACATGAACCAAAACCAACGCAAACGATTCAGATGCTGTTCCTAGTCAATACCTGCAAATATTAACAGGACAACGACTTTCTACTGCTCAATTAAAGTGGTTTTCCTCATTGTCCTTTGCTTATCTCCATGAAAAGGGAAGAGAATAAAATTTTAAGGGTCCTCTCTCTTTTCACTACTAGCCTTATTGATTTCTCATGTTAAACAACGCCCATCACTTGAAGAAAGTAAACTATTGACTCTATAAAATCCTATTTTGTTGAGAATAAAGTTAGAGACCATGCCATCTGCACCGCAAATGCAGAGAATATATCAGAAAAGCATCTGGTGTGCCGAAGGGACCATGAGAGACCCATACAGTATGCCAAAATGATGCTAACGTTGACCACAGCAATGAGAAGAAGGACAAAACTAACCTGAACACGTTAACATTATAACTTTATGCTCCCACCTGATGAAATACCTTTTCTCACACGACAGGCCATACATGAAGACCGAAATTCTCTTTTGAACAGCTTCAGAACAATTAAGCAAGATAAGCTGCCAAATTTTAGAGCTTGTGACATCCATATATATATGAGAAGAATATACCCCTGCCAAGTGATGAATAAGCTTCCCGTGATGAACCTCTAGCCCTGCTGCTGCATGTTCCAAGGCCAATCTTTGAGCAATTTATTACATCATGTACGCAATACCGATGTACTGCACCGCCCTCCATCTGGCAACGAAACAAAGAAATTGCATCCACCGTCCTGTCTAACGGCAAAGGAAGTACAACTCACACAAAGTTCTAATAATAGGTTTGCCAAACCGAATCTGTGACACATTATATATGGTGACAACCAGAAGTTGCGAGGGAGAGGAGGGGTTGGGGGTAGGATGGCCTTACCATTTTTATCACATTGACGTATTCCGACTGGATGATCTTCCGATTAGAATTATAATCAGAAATGTAAAAGACTGAGTTAATTGTGCAAATTTTTCTGGGTTGTGGGTACTTAACATAGCAACTAGCCATGGCAACGAGGGAGTGGCCTCGGCAAATGGAGCATTCTGGAGCCTCAGGCTCCATATTCACTTTTGCTGTGGCACACTGCAATGGACAGGCAAGGCCCGTTCCCCAAACCAAGCAAAATCCCTGCTCAACACATTTGAACAATGAAATTTACCATAGAGAACAGAAGCTGCGCATAATCATCTTGAAGACGTTCTCATGTCTTTAATCTACCCAACGTATCTATGGTCAAACAGTGAAGTAAACTAATACATTCATCAAATAAAATTAAGAATTTGACTTTCGTGGTATGGAAATGAGCTTTGAAGAACAGACTTACAGTAACAGACGATACTGCATCACAAGTTGTGAGTTTGGAAAAGAACTTTTGAGTTTGACTTGGGAAAGATATTAGGAAGTCAAAGTCAGAATAGTGCAAGCTGAGGATTGAATAAACGGGCGAGAACATCACATCCATTAAAAAACAAAAACAAGCTTTTCAGCCCTCAAGTAGATTCGATAAGACTTCCCCGTGGTAAAACCGTACAAATTGAACCGAACTCTACACCCTCAAGCACACACAATTTCTTCATGCTGCATAAAAACCTGTTGTTACCTTAGGAGGGGCTGATCTTCAGTTTCTTGCTGTTGAAACTTCCCCTTATCTGCTCGATAATGGCTGCCTTAACACAAATCAGATTAACACCTTGGGTGGCACGTGGTCGGTCACTACTAGACACCGCCCAGCGTCTACAGTTGCTTTAATGGTACCATTTCGACAGTCGAATCAGAACATCGAGGTTCTTTCATAAAACCTTGAATGAATTCGATTCACTGAAAGAGACATAACTACATAGTATCTAATTCATACAAACATAGAAAGCTCCGTAGCCAAGGGTGGATTCAAGATCAAAGAAGGGCCAACTGGCTCAAAACTACAGTATGGATTTCATATATTCAGTATCAGAACTATTTACAGAACGAACCGGAGTAAAAAGCTAAGTCATCAAGGTGAACCAAATTCAACAATGGCACCGCTCAAGAGCCTCTAATTATCAGCATACTCCACGGGCTGTACATTCATTTTTTCCCATATGGCAAACACAAAGGCACACGGGCATCACGGTTCAATTGCATAAGAATCCAAATCACGAAGAATGATGAGGGCAAGCTGGCTCAAAACTACAGTATGAATTTCATATATTCAGTATCAGAACTATTTACAGAACGAACCGGAGCAAAAAGCTAAGTCATCAAGGTGAACAAAATTCAACAATGGCACCGCTCAAGAGCCTCTAATTATCAGCAAACTCCACGGGCTGTACATTCATTTTTTCCCATATGGCAAACACAAAGGCACACGGGCACCACGGTTCAATTGCATAAGAATCCAAATCACGAAGAATGATGCAGTAGATACTCGAACCGCGAATCTCTGAACAAATTCTCATTGCTTCCCTCGCTGCTGCCGCTGAGACCCCGAGCATCGAGCAAGTTGAGCAGCGCCACGGCCTTGTTCTTCCCTTTGGCGCTCCCCTTCTCGACCACGTCGTTGATCCCATCAAACACACCCAAACCCATCCTCCTCACGTCCTCCACCACTCCCTCTCCTCCGCACCTAGCCAGATTCAACAAAGCCGATACCGAATTCTCCTTTATTCTGATGCTCGAGCCCGTCGCGGCGTCCAGCAGATCCACCAAAACCTCGACCCCCGACACCCTCCGGAACGCCTCTTCGCTCTCTTCGCACCCCGCGATCTGCGCCACGACCGCCGTCGCGTCCTCCACCAATCCGACCCTCCCGTCCTTCAGGATCAGTCCAAACAGCGGAGCCACGATGCCGAGCTGAATCATGGTGGATCTGTTGAGCGCGTAGAGCGAGGCCCCGAAGAGCGCCTTCAGAGCGTCCTTGATGGACCTGGGGGGCGAGTCGGGGCTCTTGACGATGTCGATGAGGGCGTAGACGATGTCGCGCTTGGCGCCGATGATGGGGCGGTAGGAGTCGACGATGAGGAGGCTGTGGAGGGCGGCGGCGGCGGACTGGACGGCGGCGTCGGGGGCGGAGCCGGGGCCGTGGTGGCGGAGGACGTGGGAGAGGGCGTCGAGGAGGCCGCGGGTGGACATCAGGGCCTCCTTGGCGTTGATGGAGAGGTTGAGGAGGGTGGCGGCGGCGTTCTCCTGCGCGTCGGGAGCGGACGAGTAGAGGGTCTCGGACAAGTAGGGGATGGCGCCGGCGTCGGCGATGAGGGGCCGGGCGTCGGGGTCGTGCTTGGAGATGAGGCGGAGCTCGCAGAGGGCCTCGGTGCGGGTGAGGTCGGAGACGGAGCTGAGCTTGGCCACCAGGGACTTGGCCGTCCGGCGTTTGACCTCCATGTGCGCTCGCTCTCACGGCCGGCGATGAAGGATCCTATCCCTTCGAGAGGTGGCAGGCGGCGAGGAGGAAAGCGAGAGGTCTACAGAGGATGAAGATGAAGATCAAGACGACGAAGAAGAAGAAGAAGAAGAAGCGGGATCGCAGAGAAGAGGTGTGAACGCGGGACAGAAGGGGAATCGTGTGGCGACGAAAATGATGAGGGTCAAAGGGATAATCACCTAACTCTTTGCTTCTTCCTCACTTATTGCTTCTTGCAGTTGGAGTCGCCATTTTCTGCCGCTTTTCTTTTGTGTTCTTTCCGTCGTTATCCGGATCTAAGGACACCAATACCAATTGTCCTTGAACTATTTTCGTACGATTCACATGCTAAATTAAATATTTAATATTATAACTCTTAACGCACTTTCAAAACTTTACTGTGAAAGTCGAAATTTACATTCAAAATTAAATATTCCCACTCTCGACTCTTGAGAATGTGAGAAATCGAACTACCCATCTTTCATTTCTAAGTAGAAAAGGTAACCATTAGGACAAATCTTAATAGTTTAAAAGTTTAGAGATGACTTTAAATGTGAAGTTAAAATTTAGAGATAATATTAAATAAATTTAAATTTTATAAATTATATTATATATTAAATCAAAATTGAGAGATTATTAGTTTCGTTATTTTGTTTCGAATTTTGGATTGGGAAAGAAACGTGGGAGGCGGGGTCAAAGGGGGAGCCGCCGTATTTTTTTATCTTGGTCACGTGATCGCGGAGGGTTTGACTTTTCAAGCACGTGCTGCGCGGCGGATTAACGATCCTTCCCCCGCCGCCAGGTTGGGCCCGCGTTAAGGACCGATCAATTTCACGTTTTTTTAGGTTCAGAAGGGTCGATGAGAATAATCATCCCCCATTGCACTCCCACGTGAAAGAGACGACATTCCCTTCTTCTTCTTTTGTTTTTTTTTTTAATTTGCCATACTCTAATTCTCATCTCAACTTATTCTCGGATTTTTGCTTTGAAATTACATATCCCAATCCTTAACCCCCTGAAAATGTGAGGATTCGAACTCTCCACCTTCTCATTCCAAGTAAAAAGGGTGAAAGAAAGGTGGCCACCGGAGCATTCTCTTCTTTTTCTTCCTCCTTTTTTCTTTAGACTTATTAATCTCAAAGTTGATTGTTTCTAGAACTTAAAAATGGAGACCATTGCTCTAAATGTGTTTATAAGATTAATCGATAAAATTAATTTACTAATAAGTGATGTGGCATTCTATTGTAAGGTGTCGACAATGACCCGTTCACTTATATGTCCATTTACGACTCATCATATTGTTCACGACGCTTTTCAACGTTAACTAAATCAATTACAATGCGTGAAAAAAATAAAAGGAGGAGGACTCGGTACCAATGTTGGGCTGTGTATTTTGTCATACAATAAGGCAATGTGTAGATAGTTGGCCTACTTCCCTAAAAAATTCAAACTTTAGGTCCGATCCCAATTTTACCCAAAATTTAGATCCGACTCCAATTTTGCCCCAAATTTCTTTTTATCTTAAAAAAAAACCTAAACTTTTGGTCCAACCCCAATTTTGTCTCGGGCTTTATTTTGTTATAAAAAAAATTACTAACTTTAACTTTAGTCCCAAATCTGCCTTGAACTTTTTTCTGTCATTAAAGCTGCCAACTTTCAATCCGGTCTAAAATCTGTCCTAGTTAACCTTTTGTCCAAAAATTGCATTAGTTATTTGACATGGGATTTCCACACCCGTAACAAATCCACATTAGCAAGGTGAAGTGAAATATTATCTCCAAAACGAAATCGTTATTTGATACGAAAAAATAAGGGAAATTAGGGATGATTAACGGCGATTTTTTAACGAAGAGCAAACGTGGGCAAATTTAGGACTAGAGTCAAAATTAGTGATTTTTTTAAACAAAAAAAGGTCGGGGCAGATTTAAGTTGGACTTAAAGTTGGGAGATTTTTGTAGTGGATTAGGCAGATTGATTTTTTTTATTTTTCGATTGTTCGTGATGTACGAATGAACGAGTAACTACCGATGATCAATGGCAATTAAATGATGATCAAGTGGGTGCTCTGAAACGGCACGAGTCATATCAACCACGAAGCATCAGTTATTGGACAAGTACGTAACATGAACAATTGACAAAGGGCGGCTTTGCATGGGCCTAGTCCGTGTTGATTACTAATGGGCCGAGTTATGGGATTTTAGTACCGCTGGACCTGATATGCCAAAGCCATAACCGACGAGTCCAGTCCGGTTCTCGGATCGGACCGGGACCGTTGCACACCCCTAATTGCATTGATGGACTTTGTACTTTTGGTACTCTAATTTGGCAGGCCCAGTATAATAAACTCAAAACACATTTGAAAACCCAGAAGGGAACTTGTTAATCTCTCATTTTTCTTGCAGACTGCTCTTTTACCGTAACAACATGCCGCACACATAAACCAAAGCGGTACAGCAAGACGAAATTGGAAGCATCATTGGATGAAATTGAAACCACAATGTTCCGATTCGAAACCCCCACACCGAAACAATTAATCAAATGAACCGCTAGTAAATTCATGACCCATCCAAACGACGTGCCCTTACACAAGACAATATCATAACGCCACCAACACATCGAACCTCATATCGCAAATCTAATCAGCTACAGCGCTCGCGGGCCACTCCGAGCCTCGAGTTCGGTAAGTCGTAGAGCACCCTGTGGTTCTGCTGCTGCATGCTGGCGATCACGTTGAGCACGGAGTTGAGGTCGCCGGGCGACGCGGCCATAGCCAAGCACGTGATGCTGCCGGCGGTGCTGTGGATGAGCAGGTTGTCGGCGGGGAGCGTCACGTTCATGCCCGAGAACATGAAGGTCAGGGTCGGCACTACGATGGGCACGGAGTAGCAGGTGTCGAAGCCTCCAAGGGAGGTCACGGTCAGGTTCCTGCCGACTCGTCTGCGGAACTCGTCCCTCACGGCGGTGTAGGCCGGCGCCACTAGCCGAGTGAAGACAGTACCTACATTGTTACAATTTTGGAGGAAAAAACATTGAAAAGAGCGTTAGGCAAATCACATAAGAACAGAAAACAAGATACAGTCCAGTGCACAAGCACAGCGTCAACCTAAAGGATTCACGAATCTTCTTCATCTATCTTTCTAAAGGGTCGCTCATCATCTCGTGTATATGGATTCATGAATCTTTACACTAGGCTACTTGGACGCAAAGACTTAAAAATTTTGACTTTAGTCCAATTTTTCATGTCCCTCTTTGCTGGTCTTCAGGAGAAGACAAATGCCCAACTGGAGGCAACATGCGAGACATTGGAAACATTACAGATCCGATCAGTTACATCACAGCTGAATACAACAACATGAACAAGCTACTGAATCCGAAAAGCGAGATGATGCACGTACCGGAATCGAATATGGTCCCTGAGCCGGTGGTGGGGTTGAAAGCGAACGCGCTGGGCGGGATGTCCACGATCTTCCGGCCCACCCGGATCGCGACCAGGTTGACGTAATAGAGGGATGACCGCCTCGGGTTCTTGAGCAGAGGGGTATACTTGATGCGCAGGGGCTGGCCAGTCGGGCCAAGCCGCAGCGACCCGGAGAAGTTGAGGGACTTGAAGCTGGGCAAGCAGTAGGAGAAGGTGGACTTGTAGAGGTTCTGGGACTGCGACAGCAGCGACAACGGGCCTCGGCCCAGGCCCAGTAGGCCCTGCGGCGGCAGGGAGCTGCCCGTGGCCTTCTGGATGCACCCGAAGGTGTAGTTGGGGATCGGGTCGGAGGCGAGGGTGAAAGTGTCCTGCGAGAGGTTCGCCGCGATGGTGGAGCTCCCGTAAGTCACGTTGAAGAGGCACGCCCAGCCTCCGCAGGTAGGGTTCGACACCTGAAGATGCGCAGTCATTCACGTGAGCTCGTGAAATTTCACATTGAGCGACCGAACACACTTTTGGACCGCGAGTTCTTCTGACCGAAGTGACCGCACCGCAGTGCAATTATATGAAGCCCCACGCGCACCGATGGGGATTGTGGACAGAGAAAAAGGTAAAGGAGAGAGCCTAGATTATGGCGCCAGTCACGGGCTGAAAGAGCGCTGAGTTTAACGTCTTCCCCTGAACTGCAATCCAATTAGTTTTCAATTAACAATCTTGTCTAGGAATGACCGTCCAGGTGACATTCATTCTTCTCCACCATAGATGACAAACTATTGTTTGGTCCACCGTCCCCGCATTTCTGATTTTGTCCTGCTTAGGATGCAAATTCTACCGCGGTGAAAAGTTACTATTTCCCCCCGATTCATATCGAACCTGTTCTAGTCCTTCGTGGGTACGTAATAAATTCTTCCCTGCACCCTTAAGAAGGCATTCAAGAGAGTGTCCTCTTGAGAAGAAACATGTGACCGAGACTTTTCATGTCCTGGACGTATATACCAATAGTAGCTACAAGACGTAAACCCAAAATGTGAGATATGTACCTGAGAGCACTGAGGAGACTTGCAAGGGAGGTTCTTGTAGGTGGTGGACTCGGCGGAAGCGAACGCCACGGACGACGGGCAGCCGACGCAGCCAGAGCAGGGGACCCAGGCGGCGTCATTGCTGGTGTCCATGGCCATGAGCAGGGTCTGAGGGGGAGTCCCGATCTTGGCCCTCAGGATGTAAGTGGGGCTCTGGATGATCTGCCTCCCCGACGCCACCGGCACCACCGACCTGCGCACCACGAGGCTCGACAGGAACTGGAGCCTGGCCTGGTCCTTCTGCTGCATCTGCAGGATGGACTCTTCCCAGGAGAGGGATGGAGTGGAGGGCCTGAATGGAGAGCAGGGGCTGTATATGTGGAACACCTCCAGGGTTGACCCCTGGTCTTGGACGCTGCATTTTGGGGTTTGGGCTTGTGAGGAGGTGGAGAGCAGGAGGAGGAGGAGGAAGGAGAGGAGGATGGAGAGAGGGAGCTGTGGGGTTTTCATGGCTGGTTTCAGGTTTTGGGGTTTAGAGTGGGAAGTGAGTGTGTTCTTGGGTGATATATATACATGGAATATATACTAGTGAGATGACATGGAGAGTGGGGCATGTGTATGAATACGAATATGGTATCGAGCTTATTAAGCTGTGAATTAAATTTTGTACTGATTAATCAATAAGGGTACTTTAACATTTGGCCAAAAGAAGAGTATACTAATTATTTTCTTTATTTATTTATTTTTGGATCGGTCCTCTCTCACGAACAGTGCTTTGTCATTCTCAGTCTAGTGAAATGACACTGGCGATTCTTTTGTATTTTTTTTTATGTGAAGCAGTTTGTCTTTTTGTAATGTGCGTATGAGGGTGGCGGAACATGACATGTCTCCACTTCCTCGAGCTTCATCTCTCATGATGAGAATGAGATTTATCCTTTTCTTTTTGGCTGAATTTTTAGCTGATGCACTGTCCAATTGGTTTATATGTCCCAGCAGTGACACCATAATATGTTATCACAAAGTTTTCATCTGCTGCTCAAAATGTGAAATGTTGCAGATTAGGCAAATTGCGGCAGTAGCATGAAGCATCCTGTATATAGTCGAGTCTCGATATTGCATCGAGTCGGTCCCAGCCAAAACTCTAGGACGAGAGAGACGAGCGAACCATTGTTCTTCTTAATAGCATACAAAGTAAAATTGGCATCCTGTTTCCCAGTTCTAATCATATTGGAAAAGAAACGAGGTATAGATTCCTTGCTTTTTCTCATCATACACAGTAAACATGCTTATACATGGACCAGAAGATTCATATCCTCTGATATGATTACATGTATGAGAAACTCGCATGTTCACACTACACTACGATACTTAGTATCTTTATCTGACGCCCCACGTGGTATGAAACACATGGGAATGTACTTCTGTCGGCAATGCTAAAAAAAAGTTGCATTATACAACCAAGGTCCATATGTGCAGTAACCCTTCAAGTCATTCCAATGATTACATTCCAACGATATTAAATAATCAAGACACAAATCTTTCATCTTTTTCAAGAACATGCCTTTTTCATTAGACAATCCTCGCGTGGGATGAGAAGCTGCCAATCATCCAGGAAGCATCTCTATGCGAGCCAGTGAAGATAAAAAGAGAAGGTCACACGCTAAATGAGCGACACACCCGTTACTGTCTGCTTGCATATGTTTGTTGCTGTGCCTTGATTCTTCGAGTCTAAGTGAGATCTTGATCTCATTTCGTTAATTTACTGAATTGCTTTTAAGCACTATCATTATGACTATAATAGTCGTCGAATGGGGGGAGAAAAAGCAGATTCACTTTTCAGCATATTGCTGTCCATATTGAATAGATTACAAACAGAAACAAAATTTTAAGCTTCAAGGTCAGTGGTGAACTGTGAATACAGCGAAGAAATGGGGGGTTATCTTGTCTCGTAGCCATGCACATCACATCCAGGGCTGGGGTTTCATGTGATGGCACTGTGTGTTGACCGGCAGAGCGACCTTTCTCCAACGTTCCTTTATATAGCTACAAGACAGAGATGCCTCGACGACAAGGAACGAGGGTGGAAATTCTCCAGGAAAACTCGAATCAAAGAATGACCGGACCAAGAGCATCCGATGTAAAAACAAGGTCCAACTCCAAATAGATATACTGGACTTTTTGTTTGTGTCATTCGGCCTCGCAATTAGAGTCACCGATTTCATGGTAGCCTGCTCAATGTGAGAAATCGCGTGGATCGAACCACCAAAAAAAGATTATCGAAAGGTTTGCATTTGGAGCTGGGTTTCTGACTTGATCTAGCCCATCGGGTACCATGTAGAGAATCCAGTTATATTGTCGTCATCAAGTTCCATGATTGCATGGTTGAACAGACAGCTCGGTCCAATGTTGAATTCCAATACCCAACACACTAGGCCACAATGTCAGTTGCCGTCACATCTGAGACGGATATGATCGAGATGCTAACACTGTACATGACTCGTGTATCCATATGATACTCGATGGCACTTCTACCATATGCAATGACGAAATCGAAACTCATCTCCCTCTAGTATTATTATATAACTCTTCTAGGCAATAATTAGAAGCTAATCGAATAAGCTAAGGGTGGCCCGATAAAGAACAAGGAAAGCAAAGGGAATATATGGGTGAGTACCCGCATATATAAAACAAACGAAAAGGCTGTACATGTGGGAGTGATGCAGCTCACAGGCTTTTAAACCTGGGGTTTTGTCGAGTTGTTCTTATGACTTGATTCTCATCCACCGAAGAGGTTCGGTTCAGATGCGTACTGCATTGGAATGGTGTCACGGGCGCTGATCTTGCACTTTTTACTTGCTTTTTTCTGTGGCCGACACCCCACGTCTGCACACACTGCTCCTTCCCATCGCTTGATTGGGATGGTCATCATCTTTCCTCATACCCTTGTTGAACTTGACACCATAGGCTGTTATATCTTAGCATCTCCATTTCCTTCTTCTTTTTCCAACGAGAGAGCATTGCACATCTTGCTCAGTAACTTAATAGATTAGGCCTTAGAGGGGATTTGCTGTTGTTATAACTCCGCGAGTGATCGCCTTTTGCGGTGGCGAATACTCCGCAAGTCCTCGAGCACTTGCTGTTTAATTAAACATCAGTGATTAATCAAGGGCATTTGATTAGGACGTATGTAATTTAAAAGATCAAGGGATAGGGTGGAGGCCACTCATCATTGGGAGAGAGTGGCATATTCTCTGGAGCAAAGGAATGGGGACCGCAACTCATGACGTTAGTGATGTTTTCGTTCCTTCCTTTCCCAAGTGGTCGGACCCAACAAGGATTTCCCACCATTCTGTGCCGGGATTACTAAATACTTTTCGTCGCGAACCAGTGACCTCGAAGCACCCACCAATCCGTCGGTGCTCCGGTTTAGCATTACGAGATGGGCTCGAATGGCCAATTTTCCAAACAGTGGCGTCGGCAGCGGGTCATTGCAACCCGTGACCTTGGGGAGAGAGAGAGAGAGAGAGAGAGAGAGAGAGAGAGAGAGAGAGAGAGAGAGAGAGCGAGAGGTCCGTGACGAGTCGTCGTCATTGACGTGAGAGGGGCACTTCGGGATCACGGGTTAGTACTACTGGCTCGAGAGCCTTTCATACTACTGGATCTTTCGCTCGTAAACCGTGCACGCGAGGTGACTTTTACCCCCCTTCGTTTTAAGTCGCTTCCTTTCCTTCCAAGTGCGCTGTGTGTGTGTGTGGCCCCGAAGGGAACTTCCTAGATCTCGTCAAGCACATACAGGATATGCCCGTCATTTCACTGGGTTCTTTACACTGTTACCTTTTACAGATCGTGTATGTGTGTGGTGCGGTTAACGTTGGAGCCTTCGACTGAGCTGCATGTCGAAGGAACTCCATGAGTGACCCCAAGTTTTACGACTGGTCAGTGTCTCGGAAGGTCAACATCCAAGATAACACCCCAGCCATTTTATCTCCCCGGTTCTGACCAGAAAAGGAGATGAGATTACAGCCAGCCAAGAAGTTGAATCATGATGTAGGCGGCAAAGCATACAGCTGCTGCCAACGAGCCCTCTTCTCACTCGTCGTGTTACCAACAGTTGTGTTTAATGTAAGTCATCTGACTCTGATAGACATCGATATCGGTCGCACCGATTTCATGATCATTTTGTCACCCGACCATGTATAGATATTGCACCTCAATTCTGTGGATTGTACTCAACTGGATTCTAAATGGACAAGATTGTATGGAACAGCAAGTATGCTCGGCCCTTGAGGAAATGGCACCTTCATTTTGAATTCCTAAACGTATGATGCACCCAACTCATCGCGTAAACTCTAAGCGATACAGTTGGTGAATGACAAGCGATTAAGAAGATGCGGAATCTCTAGGAATGACAAAGAAAAGGGGATTGACCTTTTTAGTTTACAGTTCTTCATGCTAGGAAATGAGGTGAATCAAACATGACAAGGTTAATAATCACTTTGTACTTTTGTTGGACAAATTTGATTAGTATTCCCGATTCCTCATATTTGCCAACTCGGAATAAAGAACTTATTTTGGTACTCCTAGCTTTTATTTTATTCATTTAAGAAAATTTAGGAAACACAGACAAATACAATTTAGATAAATGTTATTTTGAAAACTACCAAATACATATCTGAATTTTACCTTAGACTACTTTGCACCTTCACGTAATTATCCTTCTGTCACTACTTACGAAAATATAATTTTCTTTCCAGATATATGCCCATTCCATAATCTTTAATTCTCACAATAACCGAAAACACTCAAAACCAACTAAACAACAAATCATCCAAACCCTAAATAAGATGCTAAAATTGAATTTACAAGGAGGGCAATTTGATTTTTTTGATGTGGAACGCCTTAAGGTATGTGAATGGTAGCCGTGAAAATAGAGGTATGTAAGCAGTCATTGAGTAAAAAATAAGGCATGTTTTTAGTATTTTTCCTTCTTTTTAATGAATCGCTGGCCATATATATGTAGGAAGTACAAGAACATACCAATCCTATCTGTTGTGTCATATTGTTGTTCATCGATCTAGAGAAATATGCAAATTTTCATATTCACCTCTCCAACAATTTCTTATAGTCGCGCTCTGGTTACGTCTCGCCTTAATAAAGAGAAAATCCGTAAATGATCGTCAAACTCCGATATCTTGAAGCATATGCCAGGAAGAATCTTTGTTTATTGAGGTTTCCCATATTGATGCACAGCTAGTTGTATGCAAAGACAGGCAATTCTTTTGTAAGATGCATTGAGAGAACGGTATACTGAAACAAAGGTAGCCTCAAGGAGTCGGCTGTTTTCAAAAAGCAAATGTCGTGTATACTAAGAAGATTTACAAAATTTGGTTAACTAAATGGTGTGATCGGCTTGTATGGAGTATTTAAACAAGTCCATACAGAATGGACAAGCTCTGCTCTGGACTCTGCAATTCTTTTGGGGGAGGTGGGGTTAGTCGACCCTCACTTTGCGTAGAATCCTTTCCAGACGCTTCAATTTAGATCAAAATTTCAAAGTGTTTCCCAAAGGAGTCTCGAGGACTTACGCTCGAATCGGAACCTTACTTAGTCCTTAAGATGTATCCCAATTTGGAATATTAGCTGTAGCTTCGTTCACCATCTTGACAAGAGTGACCTGCAAAACCAGCAATGAAGAGCATCGAAATGAAAGAATTAACAATCGATGTTTTCGAGATTGCCACAAATTCTACCTCATGATTGGCAAAACTACCCATGCACAATCTATTCACTCTAAGCAATTATTCTGTTTCCTTGGAAACCTTGCTAATAAGCTCTTCTTCAAAGCCCACATGTGCAAAATGCATTTTAGATGCATCTGCCAGATATGATCTTAAAGAACCGTGATACACAATTATTACCTCCCAAAAGTTCTGTAATTATCCAAGATGGAGGATGATCATACCACTTTACAAAGGCCAGGATCGTGGCAATGGCCTAAAATTTTACAAATAATGCAGTGGTACTGTGCACATCTCTTTTTTTGGTTAGTAAATTTTGTCTGGAGCATCTCGAATTCCTTGACAACAATACATTATTTCATTCGTAAAGGATCGTGGCAATGGCCTAAGATTCTAAGAATAATGCAGTAGTACTGTGCACATCATTATTTTGGTTAGTAAATTTTGTCTTGAGCCATCTCGAATTCCTTGATAACAATACATGATTTCATCAGCTCAAGGTAAACAAGACCCTATGGGGATGGTAGTTAAAGGAACATTTTACATGACCTATAACATCAAATTGTGGACGTGGACATTGCAAGCAAACAAGGCATACAAGGGCAATGCGTGACATGAGACGCAATCATATGAGGTGTGACGCAAAGAAATGTCTCCTACAAACCAATATGACATTATCCAGGAGTCCGAGGATGTATCTTTAGGACATACCACACTTTCAGGAACTCCAGGTGGAGGCAGGGAGAGGTTTCTTGGTGGAGGTCCTCGAAGATGTGATCTCTTATCAAATCGCCATTCGCCTATCTTCCCATACGTTAGCTCACCCTAGAAGTCTTGAAATGTCAGATATATAGTTGTTTTTATATTTTAGTTCACATAGGAATGTGCACGTTCCAGTATCCTAAACTAGAGAAAGTTAACAAATAACCGACAGAGTCACCTAAGAACGTACGTTGTAATCTATACTTGGAGCAGCATATACTTATTGCCTACCTAAGTAGATAGAAAAGGCTATACCTTTAAGTTGTAGTCGCATCCATAAGTGTAATGGATGATGAACTTCTTTCCAGTTTCCAGATCCCATGGAGGCTGAAACAAAGAAAGAAGAGCTTTACACAAGAAAATTCGTAGGGTGCAGCATATAGCCGAAATGGGAACCACGGAGAAAGAGATCAGCAAGCAAGCATAAGAGTAGAGTAGCAGCACAGACCTGCAACATAAAGTCTTTACGTAGAATGTGCTGCACGCCATGCAAAGCAGATGCCACCGCGTAAGCATACCTTAGCTCAAAGCAAAAAGCAGAATCATCAGCACATTGCAATGAAGTTGATGATTGATAAAACAAAATTAAATACGAGTGACATTCATGTGTATGTGCACGCGCTCAAGCATTCACTTTCGCTGCTCACATTTCTAGCACCCATCCAAATACTTTATCAGTTTCTGGATCCTGCTTCATTTTTAGAGAGACATTCATCCATGTAGGAGCAATCTTCTCCAGTAAATCCTGAAAAGAAAGACAAGTAAACTAATGAGAAGAAGTGTAGAAAGTGAAAACTGTTGGGTGAAGGAAAACTGCAATGATGCAAGACAATCACCCAATCTTCAACTGTATTTTCTGGCACATCAAGCATAACAATTGTGATTTTCAAATGTCTAAGCATGAATTTACTTCGATCCAAGTCTCATAAGTAAAGCGACAGCAAGAACTCTTACTTTCCTAATGATAACAGGTGAATTTCCAATTGGATCAACATTTGTCACGGGTCCATGCTCCTCAGGATAAAACTTCCTCACAATTTTCTCATTTTGCTCCGGCTTGATGTAGAAAAAGGGGAAGGCAGCAGGATATCTTTCATGAGCCAGATTTGGTAAGGGTCTAATAAATATATGGTCAGGTTCTGCCATAAGTATATATCTGCAGTTGAGAAGGAAAAACAGGGAAATATCTTTAAAATGTTAAACATACTTAATTTCATGCCCGTGGAAACTTTCTGGCCCAAGGAAGGAAAAAAATCCATGGAAACTCACTCTTCCTCAATTGTTGCCTTCTCCAGCCATTGCACAAAGGCCCATGGTCTATTTAGGACAACGTATCCCTGATCACGGTGCACACAAATGGCATAAGACAATCTCAAAGTAATATTGAATAACCACAACTACACATCCCAGTATATTACTGAAAGATGGTTATATTGTGTTCAAAAGGGATGCAACTGTGAAGAAAAGTTGTTCCTTTCTTTTTTTTTGGTCTGTAAGAAAAGTTGTTCCTTACATGCTGGAAAATTAGAATGAGAATCGAGCAAAATTCTTCCGACTGTACGAATCACATTTAAACTGCTGCAATTCCAAGATTATGGCACTCGTAACAACAAATCATATTTTGTCAGTTAAATTACAAGGATTTTCTGGACTGACCGTTTGAGAAATCCCACACCAGAAAGCTACTGTAGACCTCCGCCATACATTGGTCTGTGAGCAACTTACTTAGCAACTTAAAGAAATACTTGCACCTGACTCCTTGAGGGAGTAGATTACAGGTAGGTTATATCTCCTTACTGTGTGGTCAGACAGCTATGAAGAACATATAGCTAACTCAAATTCCTTTCAGAATGTCCACAATACTGAGAGAAAGCACACCATAACTAGCACAAAAGTTTTATGTGTAAGTATGGTGTGCATATATATACAGAACACAAAGCCAACAAACTAGAGTTTTAGTATCTCGCAGGCAAAGAGATTGAATAACCAGCACTATCAGACAAACATGAGCTATTGGACAATTGACATAGAAAATGACTTACCCTATCCAGGCCTTCTGGAAGAGGATCCACCACCATCGTAGGAATCTCGTCCATCAAGTTATCGGGACTTCCAGAATGCAAAATCCGAGTAAATCCTCCCATCTCTGAATCTGGCGAGTCCTTTTTCTGCTTATACCAGTAATACATAATGCGACACTGCCATTTGCTGTAAGGAGCGTCTGTTGCTGTAAGGGCGACATGGAAGGGCGACCTTACATGTTTTGGTTTTTTCACATTCTCGGGCATCTCGATGATTGGATCTGGTACTAGCACACCATTTGTATTAGCACCCACCAAATTTTTAATTATTCCGTTGTGCCGTATCATGGTTAGGACATTGTATGTAGCAAAGCAAAACAGTAGAGCCAAAAGAAAGAGTAAGACTGGGGATGCCCTTCCCATGGCTTTCCTTCCGCACATAACTCCAGATGACAAAACAGAGGTCGAACTCGCGGATATCAATGTCTGGAGTGCCTTCCTATTTGAAGTGGATTAACAAGCTTCTCAATACTCCTAGTGAATTTCTCCGACTTTCCCAGGTGAATTCATGATGAACGCCTTCCTATGCGGTAGCCAGTAATCAAAATCAGAGCTGCAAAATCAGTTTTATTCACAGAAGACATGAGAGAGGGAGCATAACTACGAGCATATCATCAGTTGATAAACTTCAAAACGCCAAAGAAAGGACTGTGAATCACTAAACCATGCTTCAGCCGAATATTTAAACTTTTGAAGCACGCAGAAGAACGAAAAGAAAAGGCGGTCTTCTGTTTTTAACTGTTTATCGCAAAAATTCAACTCAAGGCAAAAGAATGCAGCGACATGGAGCCACGATCATGATTCAAGAAAGTGCAAGACGAGGAAATTCAAATTCAGAATAACCGACATTGTCACTGTATAGCCAAAGCCAGACCAACATATCCCAATGACAGGAACGCAGCAGTAAATCGCAATCATCGCAATCGCAATCATCATGATCGTGGAGCAATTAGACGCCAGTTCGAAAGTCAAATGAGACGCGCACGACATTCAATGAGGACAGAAAACAGAGAAAACCGCGGGAGGAAGACAACGTAACCCAAGTAATGAAGTAGTCAGACAGAGATGTCACTTCTCGGCGACTCACCTCGAATTCGATTTCGATTTCCCAGAAGAAGCGAGCTGAAGATGCGATCTGCACGCATGAACGAAGATATCTTAGGGATTCTCGAGACTCGATCGGGCACGTAGACCCACAATTCGCGCCGCGCCAGATGGAAGTCAACGCCAATAAACAAAAGGACGCCGCTAATCATCACGCACCACCACGAATCACATCCACCAACATTAAATTAAGGAGAAAAACTCAGTCGAGAATCCAAATACAAAACACGGGAAAACGAAATTCTCAGAGAAGAGAGACAGTCGAGTTCGCCGAACCGGAGCGTCGCGAACATAATTAGCGTTAAAGAAAACCTCCGGCAATGGAAAAGCTCGTCGGAGGAACGGAGGAATGCCGGTCGCGGCGGACGAATTCCGGCGTCAATTCAGCGACGGAGGGGGAGGGAGGGAGGGAAAGAAGGGGCCCCGAACATACCGACGGACGGTCAATGAACGAACGCAGCGCGAGGAAAAGCATCATAGGAGTGCGAGCCAATCAAGGAATAAAGCAGCGACAAAGCAAGACGACGGAGGAAAGGAAAGTGTCGACACGAGAGCAAGATCCTCCATAGCCGCCGGTCAGGAGGAAGATTCAGAAAGGTGCGAAGAGAGAACTCACGAGATCGACGTGGCCACGACACGACACGGAAGAGACAGAGAAGGATTGGTTTTCAGCTCTTCTGGGCCTTTGTCGTTTTCAGCTCGCGCTCGCTCCTCGCTTTAAGAAGTGCACTCCGCTCCGCTGTGCACGCCACGGCTTCATCGTTCCGTCAAATGTGACGACGATGTTGTTTCGTGAGTCCATGTCGGTTGACACCTCATCGTAGCGCTCAAGGCTTTGTCTTTTCCCCCCCCCAACCTTTTCTCCTCCTCCTCTTTTCCGCGATTTGGGGGGGAAGAATATGCGCAAAAGGAAAAGAGGTTCGTAGAAAATATTCAGTGATTTATGATCATCACATCATCAATTTACGTGAAACGTGCGAATCTAATCAGCTTCACTTAGACGGCGTTCCGTCTCATGTTGTTTCATAAGTCCTCATAAGTCCAGTCGTAGCGCCCAAGGCTCCTTCTTTTCCCTCCCTTTTCTTCTCCTCCTTCTTTTCCGCGATTTGGGGGTGAAGAATATGCGCAAAACGAGAAGACGGTCCGTCCCGTTGGAAAAAATATTCAGTGATTTATAATCATCACGTCATCAATTTACATGAGATGCGTTAACCTAATCGGCTTCACATAGATGGCGATACATGTCAATTGACATAAAACAAAAAAATTGAAACCGGAAGCCTGTCTTTTCTATCTCCTCTGGGCGGTAATGACTGAGCACGAGCAATAATAAATTTTCACATTTTAACTCCCGCTTAAAATAAATGTCCGCTTCGATTAACGCGAGGTTCTCGAGAATCAATCGTGGACTCGTCACGGGAGAAGCTCTCGCATTTGACCAAAGTTCATGGATCCGAAATTTGTTACGATCATCCATCATGCGAACGATCTAACGGCCATGCCGATTCGATTCATATGAATCCGGATCTAGGCGAGCTCGTGCCATAATCCATAGATTCTGTAGACCCACACCGCCGCTTGCCCAATCACCTAAAAAAGAGAATCATCTACCTAATCTATCAATAGAGTTGCCCACGGAGAGAAGATAAAAGTTAGGTATTGCAGTTAATTGTAAGGAAGCTTGACATGAAGGAGACTATAATTAATAGACAGCGCTTCTTTGTAGAGTGCCCGGACTACAGTAGATCGCACTAAGTTGGTTGGCCATTAACTTCAAATTTAGGAGGAATTTCGTCTCAACACGCATGATGCTGGAATCGGGAGTTGTAGCTTTCGTGGTTTCCCCTCGTCTATTACCGATGAAACCACCCAATCGTATTTGGCCTAATTCGCAATAAAAAGAAAGATGAGGTCGAGGATTCTGTTGAAGAAGTGACTTCGGAACATTTGTTAAACATCCAATCAAAGAAAATTTATTTATTTCCAGTGCTCGGCCTCTATCGTGTTGCGTGTAATCGGTGCATTCAAAGTCAGAACGTTTCCCCCTATCGAGTATGGTTTACGGATGCCCCGACACGCTCATCAATAACATCTGTATAATAAGTACTTTGAAAATCGAACTTTCCCTTGCCAAGCATGTTCAATAAAAATGCCTCGGGTGCATTCATCAATCAACGTGGCCCGGTTTCTGCTGATTTGACTTATCTATTCGGCGATATGTCTGACTACTTTTAGGTAAAATTTAATGGCTTGCTATTCATTGGCTTTCCTTTCGAACAAAAGAGAAACAATTATGAAAAAGTAACGTAATTATTTCACACGACTTCGGTTCAGACGACATAAATATTTGTTATTTGGTCATTTGCTAACCTGGATTGAGTCTTTAGACTCTATTTGTTTTGCGAAAATGAATAATTTGAAAAATATTTTCATAAAAAACGATCGCTTGTATCACTTGAAATAATTAGTCAATGAAAATATTTTCATTATAGATAATAATAATTATCTAGTTATTTTCGTGGATAATAAAAAATAAAATTTCGTTCATTCATTTTTATAAGCGATCTAAGCGATTATTTTTAGAAAAATATTTTCTAAATCATTTATTTTTCGTGAAACAGACGGATAGTGGGTGGACCGAGAGGTGGGTAGCTTGTGATCAGATATACGGTCGACCAGCAAGATGGATGCGGCATCGAGAGAAAAGGCTCTTAGAATTGCAGGGACGGAGGGGAGATGAATGGAAAATTTGTCAGAAGAGTTTTAAATCTACTGTACTTTTGTCAATTCGATTTTAAACCTTTTAATTTTGTCAACTGAGTTCTAAACATTTCGCATTTTGACAATTGAGTTCATCCGGCCAATTTTGACCGGAAATCACCGATGTGGACGTTAGCCGTCTTATGCGGTACGGCTAATGCCAACATGAATAATTTTTAATAGTTTTTCGAATTATTTTTATAATTTTTTCTTTTTGATTTTTGTCTTCTTTTTTTTTGGGCCCCTTTCTTGTTCCTTTTGCCGCCTGTTGCCGAGCGAATTGGCCTCACCTGGGTGAAAGCTCCCGTCGCCTAGGCTAAGGCAGCCCTCATGCTACTACTACTACTCCTCACTTTCCCGCAATCCACCTTCCGAGAAAACGAGGAATGTTTTGGCCAACTCGAGAAATGGAAGTCGACACCTCGAAGCTGTCGTCCCCGAGCAACGTTGGGAGCTCGTTGCATCCTAGACCCTAGACTTCAACGCCAACTACACCTTTCAACTCCAAGTGCAAGAAGCCATGGGCGCTTCTCTCTCTTCTTCCCAGCCCTTGGCGTCAGGTCCTTCCATAGCACCCGCGGAAGGTGCCGTGTCGGCCGAAAACGACGGCGGTGGTGATGGTTGATCGTTGGCGATTGCTCTGATGCTGGAGGAGGTGAAGAGGTACATGCAAGAGCACCGCGATTGCAGGCAGTGTGAGGCGAAGTTTAGAAAAAAAAGATTATAAAAATTACAAAAGTATTAAAATATTATTAAATCCGATGGATCTAATTGGTAAAAAATGAAAATATTTAAGATTTAATTGGCAAAATTAAAAGGTTTACGAATGAATTGACAAAAGTAGAATAAATTTATGACTTCTTGGACGATTTTCCTGCGGATGAACAGGATAGCAAGGAAAAGAAAGGGAATTCAGACAGAAAAGGAGAAGAATCCAAGGAGGGGAAAATTGAATAGGAACGTACTCAATCGGGCAAAAACCCAAGCACAAAAGAGTCGCCAAATCCAGTATTAATTTCACGCTTAATAATATGGCATTGGGGACCGTTCACTGATAAAACTAAGTTAAAAGTAGTTGCCATCGGCATCGTCAGGAGCAATACCGCCAGACAATTATTTAAAGATTGCAAATCGATCCGTCCACATGCTGACTTTCGTCTTATTTGTCGTGCGCTCCCTTCCCCGGAGATTCTCCGACGAACAGCAAGGTATCAATTTCCCTCCGGCACGAATTCTAGAGAGAGAGAGAGAGAGGAGAGAGAGATGGCGGCAGCTGCACCGGCCATCAAAGTTGCAGCTCTCTGCGGCTCTCTTCGCAAAGCTTCCTACAACAGAGGCCTCATTCGTTCAGGTAAAATCTCTGTCCCCGTGCCTCTCTCGCGCTCCGAGAATCGTGCGGTGTATCGGGGTTGATTCGGTTCTTACATTGGCTGTTTCGATTTGGTTGAAGCCATGGAGATATGCGAAGAGTCCATCCCCGGTATGCACATCCAGTACGTGGAAGTGTCGCCCCTCCCCATGATCAACACCGACCTCGAGGATGGCGGCGGATTCCCGGCCGCGGTCGAGGAGTTCCGCCGCAAGATTTCGGGAGCCGATAGCTTCCTCTTTGCCTCTCCCGAGTACAATTACTCCGTTGCTCGTAATTCACTCTGTCCTTTTGTCCTCCCTCCTTTTTGGCCTTGTTGAATTGCTCCCGTTATACAAACCGCTGCGAGTGAGAGTGAGAAATCGGGTTTTGTTTGTGGCGGTGATATCTGATATGGTGCTTGATTATCAAGCTCTCGAACTAGTTCTTGATTCAGGAGTATAAAGTTGAAAAGACTTGTTATTACGCTGGCCTTCGTTGAGGGTCGAGGTTAAAAAAAATCGCCTTACATTGAGGAGACCAAACTATATGTGAATTTTACGGCCGGGCATTTTACCGAGCACCTGGTGAGTGGTGGCTGTGCGGTGACACTGTGACAGACCGCACTAACTCCTTTAGATCAGCCAGTCTTGACATGATTGAGAAGTCTTCTTTACCAGCTTTGGAACTTTACAGCTACTTAAGACCATGAATGAGCATGGAGTCGAGTAGATATGAGAGTTTAACAAGTGGGCAGCTGCATTTTTCTTGATCAATCTGAGTTCTTGCATGTGGACTGTAGCAGCTATGAATCAGCTGATTAGACGAACGTTTCTTGTGTTTTGCCGAGTTCTGAAAACAAAGGCACAAAATTAAAAGGAACAATCAAAGTTATGAGGGCAAAATAGAAATTTTTACTTTTTGCAGAAAAAACTTAGTTAATGCATGATGCATCCCATTTATTGAGATGGTTCTATTGCTGTACCAGCGCCTCTCAAGAATGCAATAGATTGGGCATCTAGACCACCGAATGTTTGGGCCGATAAAGCTGCTGCTATAATAAGCGCGGGAGGAAATTTTGGTGGCGGAAGAGGGCAATATCATCTCCGGCAGACAGGAGTGTACCTCGACCTTCATTTCATTAACAAGCCCGAGCTTTTTGTATATGCATTTCAACCTCCTGCGAAGTTCGATGCCCATGGAAACTTGATCGATGCAGAGGTCAAGGAGAGGCTAAAGCAGGTTCTGCTTTCACTGCAGAAATTCACATTGCGACTCCGGGGTCAGTGCTGACATGAGATCGCGGATTCTGGCACTTTGATAATGCTGGTATTGCATATCATCCGTTTGTTGTCCAGTGACTTCAAGTTGATAGTGAATTGGTGATTGTGGAGTAGGGTTTAAAGCTTGTATTGTTGTCTAACGACCTGAGCAAACCGTCAATGAATTTATGTGATTGTTACGTAAATGATGCCATGCTGGAGACTTTCGATAGTGTCCTTTATCCCCTTTGTTTCTCAAGACTCAATCGACATTCCGCTTTCCAAGAGCAGTTAGATCCAAATCAAACCAACACAAAGTTGCATACTCCTTTAAATCGTCTTTTCTGCACTTTGCTGGTCAGCTGCTGCACCAGAGGAGTCTTCTTACCACCTCAAATCTGATATAACTTGCATTCTCGATTAACTTGTTAGTTAGCCTTAATCTGATTATTCTAGAGTTGAGATCACACTCTCTAAAACTGCAAGTCCATAACAGCAACTCGTGCTTGTATTCGCCTGCGTGCAAAACGAGTTGGCATAAATTCATGCTTGTTGCCAGTTGAATCTTTGTCGGTTCTGCCGCGTGTTCACGTTGAACAATATGCATTCTCTCAGAGTTTATACCTAAAATTGTATGTCGATAATCCGCACATTTCTTCTCCTTCTTTTGTATAATTTTCAGCTTCTTATCCTCGACAAAACAAAATACCGTGCATTTTGCCATTCCTTTATTCCTAAAACAACGATTCCATAGCAAACCTATGTGTATTTGCCCCTGACTCATCATCTGGCCCTCAATCGACAAACCCTTTTTAATTCCGTCCCTTCGCGAATTGGATATTCTCAGAGACCGGCTACTTGTCCTCTTCAATTTTATTAACTCGCTCAGGTTCCCTTTATTTATTCTTGCTCTGTTTTATGCTTGGCACATAATCATGTAATGGATTCAGATGAACGATTCCAAGTCGACGACCCAATAATGTGCTGCATTGTTTAAAAAACAGAACAGGGAAAACTCTTGACTGGACTTGGTCCAAGTCCACTAAAACAAAGGTGTGCTAACGACTGCTAAGGGTGCGCATGAATACCATTCTGTGCCCGGGCGCTATTTCTGAACAGAAATGATTTTTTTTGATTCTGTGCCCGGAAACAATTTCTGAGTATTTGAAGGCGTTTGATAAATGTCCAAAATTTCTATTCCTAGAGTAGAAAAGAACAGAAATGCGTTTGGTAACTACACAAATCCCAAATAATATTTTAATAATATTTTGAATTGTTTAAATTTTTTTTTTCTTTTTACTTTCTTCTTTGGCCATGGCCGGTCGCCGGTCGCCGGCGACCGGCCACGGCCCGAGGCCGCGAGGGCGTCACGGACCTCGCCGGGCCGCGGCGAGCGAGGGTCGCCCTCGCCGGCGAGGGCGAGGGCGGACCCTCGCCGCCCGGGCGAGGCTCGGCCTCGCCCGGATCCGGCGGCCGAGCCTCGCCGTCGCGACCCACGGCGGCCGACCTTGCCGTGGGTCGCGACGGCGGCCGGCCAGCCGTGGGTCGCGACGGCGAGGCCGACCATGCCGTCGCGACCGACGGCGAGGCTCGGCCTCGCTCGATCTGGGCGAGGCCGCCTCGCCCGGGCGGCGAGGGTCCGGCCCTCGCCCTCGCCGGCGAGGGCGACCCTCGCCTCCGCCGCGGCGGCGAGGGCCATGACGCCCTCGCGCCCGGGCCGTGGCCGATCGCCGTGGCCGGCCATGCCGTCAGGTGGCCGGCTCGACCAAGAACAACACCACAAAATAAGAAAAGAAAAAAAAGAAAAAGAAGAAAAAAAAACCGATTCTCAAAATTGTGCAGAAACAAGAAGCAACTTTTTTTTACTTCTTGTTTCTCTTCCAAAACTGTTTCTCGGCACAAATTTTTGCAAAAATGTGCCGAGGAACAAAAAATTTACCAAACGCATTTCTGTTCCCAAACTATTTCTGGGAACAAAAGAACAGAAATTTTCACTATTTGGCACGTTACCAAACGGGCCCTAAGCATCACTATCTCCGTAACAGTGGTTGGGCGGCCAGAAGTCCACAACATGTGTTTTTGTTCCCCACTTCGCTCGCTCATGTTCCTCTTTTGGGTGGAATTAGGGAACAAGGTATGCTGGAGGTTAGAGCATGCAGATGGAAGCTAAACAAATAAAGAAAAAAGAAAGAAAGAAAAAGAATGAGGGGGCGGTTTACCTTTGTTATGGTCTTTACTGTTTTATCTCAAAAGTTCCCATTTTATTTTGGAACAAGATTTAGGAACACTAAAGAAACTGTGGACTCTGTCTGTATAAGTAAAGATGAGATGAGATGAGATGGATTCAGTCCGGCATTTTAATGCTCATAGCCAACATAGAATTCAAAATCTGTAAATCTAGCTTAAGTCAGCTACTATATCATGCTGTTGGTAGCTAGATGAGCGTTAAGGCAATGGACAATTGCGCCTTTTCCGACAAGCAGGCTCCATTATTTGTACCTTTTCTTAGTGGGAGGTGTCATAATAGCTTTCTCTCTTTAGCATCTGCAAAAATTTAATTATAGCGAAGCAATCGACAAGTGATCAAGGCCGAGGGAGATGGAATAATCTGGTGGCGGAAGAGGCAGAGAAAGGCTTTCCCATTAGAAGAGTACATCAGCATCAAAGTCTCTGGATTATCATAGGGCGAAGCATCAATTTCACATTTTCAACAGTGCAAAGGAAGATCGGATCGATAGGAAGCTGGAATAGGAATTGAAGACGATTTAACCCAGTGATCATTTTGAAACAAAGAGCTGATGAAGTGCAAGGGAAGAATCTCTGAAAGACCAATATCGAATCTCACCATGCGAACGAAAAGAAATTTTTATGGGTGAGGAAAAGTTTAAACCCGAAGAGAAAATGAACGAAAGAGGCGAGAAATGCTAAAGCGAATCGGGGTTGGATCTGCAGCTCTGCAAAGAAAGAAAAGCGAAGACAGATTCTTTTCACAAGCAATTAATAACTGTCCATAATTGGAGAAAATGCCGGGTTGGACAGGATCAAGAACCAGCACTGCTTAGCTGCTTTTGAATACCGTTCATCATTACTCTCTAGTGTGTACGGATCACCAGCCTCATTAATGAATGAGAGAAAGAGAGCCTCGTGGCTATGGCCTTCTCCGCCGCCTACTGCACCGTCTGATCCGAACACTCAGCGGATGGCAGGTGGGGTTGGTGGTGGTGGTGGTGGTGGTGGTGGTGGAGGGTGGGACGTGGAAATGTAATGATGAAATGGAGAGAGAGAGAGAGAGATTCATGGTTTTGGGTACTGATGAAAGCTGAACTTCGGGATCCAAAAGGCCAATGTGGTTTGCCATATTTAGCGTACTTGTCTAGCAACCTTTCTTGGCGGCCTCAGAAAGGACGCTTTCTTTCAACCCCCCACACACTGCTCAAATCGTGTGCTCTTTTCTATCCCTCGATTTAATGCTTGGTCACCGTCTCTCTCTCTCTCTCTCTCTCTCTCGCTCTCTCTCCCTCTGTGGCGGATCGAAAAATGTCTTTTTTTAAGGTTTTTCTTACCTACTCAATTCTATTGAATCGGCGGAAAAAAAAAATTCTATTGCATCGTCTGACCAAAGTATTGATTTTTTTTTTTATGGATAAAAAGATGGGAAGTCAATCGATGCCGGTGACCTCTTCTCGGCATTATCATCATCGTTTATATTCGGTACGGAATGTTCGGTTTGAGCCGTAACTATTTCACATCGTCGGCGAACCAAAATTAGTGAATTTATCACCGCAACCCTGTCAATATGCTAAGTCTCGATGATAAAACTTACCGATACTAAGGTATTGCACATTTTAAGATGAGCCATGTATTGAATTATCACATTGGGATAGTTTCGGTCGCGAAACTATCAAGTTACACAACCTGGTTATTGATATGATGCTGCTGCCTATGGAGACTAACGTAGAATTGAAGGAATTTCAATCCGATTTGTGCTTTTGAACTTTTAGAGAAAATTCCACGTGTCTTTTTGGAGGGAAGTTCACAACAAGCTTAATATGTGTGAACATACGAAGTCCCGTGTGATCTCGCACGTGCATTGGAACGAGAACAACCATTTTCCGATGCTTGTTCTTCGTGCTAATCCGAGTACGCCTGTCAAACGCTACTACCAACGTAGAGATAGATGGGTACCTTGCATTATACCAGAAAACATCAATTAAATGTTCTCTCTTCATTCCCAACTTGCAAAAACAAAGCACGGGCGTGTTCAATCACCCGAAGTAGTTGGCCAACCCATGTGCGAGGAGATTAATGTGGAAGGTGAAGGTACCTGAGCAACTGCCAACAATGCATGGTATTCTAGATACCATTACATCAACAATGAAGTCAACGACAATATAAGATCATGATTGGCTACGCCGTCATATTTTCGTGAAATTGATGTTGTTGTAAACGGATGCGGAAAAACAAATACAGAACACAAGGATTTACGTGGTTCGATCACAAGGTGATCTACGTCCACGGGCGAGGCAAGACAAGATTCCACTATAATCAGAGAGAGTACAGTTTTCAGAAGTCGAAACAACGACTTGACAAAACCTCACGACTCGCAAAACTCTCCGAAAACAAAATTCTCTCTCACTCAATGAGGAAACCTAGCCGCAGTATTAATAGTGCTCCCAAAAAATTTCCTCGGGGGCTACGCCCCCGAACCCCCCGAAACATTAATTCACTTGCTCCAGCTTGGGCGATTCGCTATAGAAATTTGTTCACTTGCTCCAAGTTGAGCCTATCGGCTTAACCCTCCACATCGCAAACTAAAAATCTCAATTTTTTTTCCACTTTTTTGTCACACAAAAATATATGTCGGGTCGAATCATGAACCGGACCGAATACATAAAATTCAAGACATATTTAACAGATGTTTTGAGGCGTTTTGTAGGAATGGTGGCCGAAAACTAAAAGCCAAAATGATGTAGCTCAATATATATATGCGTGCATAATTCGTATATCTGTACAGATGTAGCTCAATCAATCTTCATTTATGTAAAAAAAAAATTCTATTCTATTGATGGTCTAAATTAACAGATTGCCGGTATGAAATCATTTGGTGAACACCCACCTGCATAGTTAACACAAATCATTGCAGAAAAGCCAAGTCAGATCTAATTTCTATTCCGATTTGTTGTTTTTCTAACCTGACCTAAGGAGAAACCTAACATTTTCGCAAGATGATAATTTTTTTTTGGCAATGTACGGGAACAGTGTTGCACTTTCAAATATTAGATCACATCTCCGATGAAACGTAGCTTTTCAAATCAATCAATGGTTAGTTTTACAAAACTTCAACACAATATCGAGTCAAGAGACAAGTGACTCAATTACCTTCGATTCTTTCATTTGTCTTTTCAATAATCGATTTCCATTCTTCAATTTTATGCCCAATACCATTAAAAATTATTTTTGTGAAATATTTCTAATAGATATCTTTCGGGTGCTACGCAATAAAACCCATTTACATTTTAGGCAAAACACGTTGCAGTTGTTAGCCAAACTTGGTTTACCTCAATGATTGGAATACGAGCCGCGTTAACAAGTCAACTTAGGTAAATTTTAATCGTACCTAAATGAAAAAGGTTTAATTTTCAAAATATCAAAATCATATATTATGAGAAAAAATCGGTGCGCCGAAAGAATTCCAAGCACTTCTCTGATTAATTAGTCCAAAATGAGTGCTTCTTTAGCACTTTCTTAACAAAATGTTTATTTTTCTACCCAAAAAAAAAACAAAATGCTTATATCATTAATTTTTTTTTTTTGCTAAAATTTATTTTAGATCGTTATGCAGGGTAATGAGGGGTTGCCCACCCTTGTAATCATGCATTAATGAGTGGCTTTGCTCCAAAGGGGACAAGTGTCGCTACGACATTGAGCCAATGCCACGCTTTTTGTGGATCCCATGATAGTTACGTATTAGGTTTGACCTTGTCTGATTTTTATGTAGGCATCCAAGTTCAGGGCGGCACGACGAGGCGCTAAAGCCGCATCGAGCCAATTTATTTTAATCAAAAACTAAGACGCTGCTCAATTAATTTAAGGATCTTAGCTCAACAGGACTTTCAATTTCGAGGACGGATTGTTTGAATATTTGCATAGAAGGACATCATCTATCGTTATTGTCGTAATTGCCCCCATCTTCCATCCTACAAATTTTCGTTCGGCCACTTTTAACCCTACCCGCCTCTCAAGATTAAATGACATTATTATTATTATTATTATTATTGTGCCATTAGTATCATAATGCCTTGGATTCGAGTTCTTGAGTCGGACTAAATCTTCACTTGCATAATTTCTCTGCGTCGTCGTTATTTCACCGATTCATTAGTCGAGATTGAAAATTGCCTCGCACCTTTGGTTTTGTTCGGTGACTCGGATAATCGAATTTTTCTATTCGGCAAATTTCCACGGATACACATAAGTTATCTCGCTCACGTATGTATCAAATAGGGATTGCATCCATAAGATTGCACGTGAATTGAGCCCATGAAATCATTTCCTTATTGAAATTCATTACTAAAAATGTGACTAATCATAAGAACGCGACCGGGGGGGTGGTCTGAAACATCAAATCACCGAGCCAGAAAATTAAGAGAAGAAAATAAAAGGATAATGCAATCGCATAGCACCAAAACGATGCTTTAAGATATTCGAAGAAAAGGGAAAGAAATTAAAGAAATGAGAGAGGGGTCAATGGCGACGAGACACTAAAAATGGCAAAGACATCATCTCCACCACCACGTCTCTCCTCCTTCCAAATGGTTGGCCTGTAAGTGGTCTTTTTGCGAGCCAAATCCGGAATCAAGAACCAACCCTCTGCTCTTTGAATCTCTCTCTTGTCCCGAACGCAACCCTTCAAGAAATATTTCAAGAAAACACAAAGAAAAGAGAAGAGAGAGAGAGAGAGAGAGAAGAAGAAGAAAAGAAAACAAATTTCTCGGAAAAACAGAGGAAAAGCCAGACATACGTAGGTGGGTCATGGTACAATCCGAACTTTTGCTTTGCCGTCGTCACTCCGACATTTTCATCGTTTTGTTGTTCAAATCTCACAGCTTCGTTCCAGAAGGGCAATAAAACAGATATCTTCTTTTTTCTTTGGCGTCTTGTCCTCTTTCCCTTCCCCTGCCCGCGACGTCGATCTTGTTCAAGATTGCCGTCCCCCTGTTCCGAGCTCGTTCTTGAAATGGTTTCTCGGTCTTGAATAGCGACGACAGGGGAGAGAGAGCTTGATCTTGATCTGGGTGCCGATGGGTGGGGGCGACGGGGAAGAAAGAATGTGAAACGGAGAGTGCCTTTCCTCTCTCTTGCTGGATAGACAAGAGAAATGAGCAAAGAAAATGTTGGCATTGTCAAGGCCTGGGAATTAACGGTGCGCAAATCACAAGCTGCTGCTGCTAACAAAAGAAGGGCAAACAGCATTTTTGCCGTCATGTCCGTGGCGCACGTCGACGAGGAGGAGGAGGAGGAGGACGGCGACAATGCCGGCTCCGGCGAGGTCTACCATGCCGAGAAACTCCTCTCCAACGGCGACTTCTACACTGGCCAGTGGGCCGATAACCTCCCCCACGGTCACGGGAAGTACCTATGGACTGACGGGTGTATGTATGTTGGCGAGTGGCACAAAGGCAACACCAATGGGAAAGGGAAATTTTGTTGGCCTAGTGGAGCCACTTATGAGGGTGATTTCAAGAATGGGTATATGGATGGTAAAGGGACTTACACAGGTCCCTCAGGGGATACTTATAGAGGTTCTTGGACCATGAACTTGAAACATGGACAAGGGACCCAGAGTTATGCCAATGGGGATGGTTATGAAGGAGAATGGCACCGCGGGTTGCAGCATGGTCATGGGAGGTACCGATGGATGAATGGTAACCATTTTGTTGGACAATGGAAAAATGGGGTGATCAGTGGAACTGGCACGATGATTTGGAGTAATGGAAACCGGTATGATGGGTTATGGGAAGACGGTTTGCCTAGAGGAAATGGGACTTTTAGATGGGCAGATGGGAGTTTCTACGTGGGCGTTTGGAGTAAAGACCCGAAGGAGCAGAGTGGAACGTACTATCCGTCCGGCTCGACGGCGGGTAATGTTGATTTCGATCCACAAAAGGTTTTTGCAGTGGATTTAAACGATTGTAAAGTATCGACTGGTGAAAAGGTGCCGGTTTTGCCTTCACAGAAGATGCTAAACTGTCCTGTTGTTGAGGGGGTTTTCAAGCCCTCAAAGGGCAACGATGGAAAGTCAAGGCGAGCACTGGTAGATGGAAGGGTCTGTGATTATAGCTGGGATTCTGATGGTGATAGAAATGGCGACACGACACCTAGGAGTATGGTCGAAGGGCTAGACAGTTTTAAGCTTGATGATTTGAATACGAGAATAGCACGCACAAGGCTACGGGCTTCAAGAATACAGCCAGTCAAGAGACAAGGGGAGACAATATCGAAGGGGCACAAGAACTATGAGCTAATGCTCAATCTTCAACTAGGAATCAGGTATTGGCGAATGCAGATTCCCTTTTTTAAGGCCAAAACGATTTTTGCTTGGTGTGGTCTGTTCTGTGTTTATCATGCAATACATAGTCGATCCGGATCAAGCCAGTAGTTTTCACCTTGGTATATGTAACGACAAGCTGTAATAACCTCTCGAACTTTTGTCTTCCTTGCATTAACGGACTCAGCATCAATTATGCTTAATCCTTTTCAAGGTAAGGTCATGGTTCAGTTCTGTAGATCAATCTGATGCTCCTTTTTTTCTGGACAGTTAGACTAGATTCTAACTCTTCATCGTAAATCTAGTCCTTCCAGTCAAGTTTCTGTTGTAGCTTTCGCAATCTGCAGCCTACTCTATCACCGACAAGAAGCTTCATCTCTATTTTGGCTAGAAATTTTGTAAGACTACCAGCCCAACAAACCAAAGAGTGCGATTCCATGATGGCCTTTTCTAAAAAAATGGACGCAACTAATGGAAAAGGAAATGAACAGACGATTAGATTGGCAACAGGAAATAGTATATTCTAGGAAGATTGATGTGGTTATATTAACTGATGCGTAATCTTGTTGACAACGCTATTCGAAACCTGCAGGCATTCTGTTGGGCGGCCTGCTCCAGCTACCTCTCTGGATCTGAAGGCTTCAGCTTTTGATCCTAAAGAGAAGGTGTGGACAAAATTTCCCTCAGAAGGATCTAAGCATACTCCACCTCACCAATCTTGTGAATTCAAGTGGAAGGATTACTGCCCAGTGGTTTTCAGGTTACACCTCATAACATTTTCACTATTAAAACGATTCATTCCTATTAGCTAAATTTTGTGATATGTGTGCCAATCAGTGCTGTGGTACACTAGAATTTTGGGAGTACTTCATACAACACACACTCTGATTTCAGTACATATTTCTTTGGGATGTTGACAATACCTAGATGTACTCTTGACATAAGTTGCAATTTGACAGAAATGTCTTCTGAATTTCAGATGCATGGACAACAATTTCATGGACAAGTAGCTAGTTGTGTTGCCATCCGTTTCTGAATTCTCCACTAAATAGAACATTACCAAAGTATATTCAGTGTCACCAACTATGATAAAAGTTTAGTTCCAGGTCAACTGCGCTGATACATCATCCTGCATTATTTGTACAGGACTCTCAGAAAGTTGTTCAAGGTGGACGCAGCAGATTACATGATTTCTATATGTGGAAATGATGCTCTTCGTGAACTTTCATCCCCGGGAAAAAGTGGAAGTTTCTTCTACTTAACCAATGATGACCGCTATATGATTAAGACAGTGAAGAAAGCAGAAGTGAAGGTCAGTTTCCGAGCTTGCATGAAAATATGAAATGAATAATCTGTACTCTGTTTGGTTTATTGGGAAAAAAAGAGCTTTATCCAATTTTCATGAAATTATGTTGAATTTGGATGCCTTCCAAAATTTCTAGTGTCTTGGAAGGAAGCTCCTGTAGAAAAAAATGGCAAAACTTCTAAGGTAAAATTAAATGACATCTAAATCTAACTGAGATCTTGTCACAATTTGGATTGTTTCCCTAGGAGAGAGACTTCCCTGGCTTAGTTACTTCTTTTTTGCCTGACTACTTATTATTGAAATCAACTCTGCTCTTCTAGGAAGTATCTTTTTCTTATTGGACAGACTTATTTTAAGTGTCTGGATCGTGTTTTATATAATACTGTGCCTCTTGATGTGATCCAGGTGCTCTTGAGGATGCTACCTGCCTACTATAATCACTTTAGGGCATATGAGAATACTCTAGTTACCAAATTTTTTGGCCTACATTGCGTCAAATTGACAGGGGCTTCCCAAAAGAAGGTAATGTGAGGTACTAAGAACCAGACAGAACCTGCCGTTATAATAAGCTTCACTGAATTTTGATATATCTAATGCACAATCCTTAATTCAGGTAAGATTTGTCATAATGGGAAATCTGTTCTGTTCGGAGTACACTATACACAGACGCTTCGACTTAAAAGGTTCTTCACATGGTCGTATCACTGAGAAACCAGAGACAGACATTGATGCAACCACCACCCTAAAAGACCTGGACCTCAACTTTATTTTCAGATTGCAGAAGTTTTGGTTCCAAGAATTTTGCAGGTAAAAATGCTTTTCTGAACAGTTCTCCTTCATTTTTCGCAATCTCTCTGTCTCTCTGTCTCTCTCTCTGTCTCTCTCTCTCTCTCTATCTCTTTCTCTCTCGACAAATCCTGAGACAGAAGATCTGCAGTCTTTACCTTTGTTGTTCACTTTCTAAATACTGAGATTCAGGTTTAAAAATGCTGTTAATCATGCAAAGATCTCTCTAGAAAGTGAGAAAGTGAGATTACGCACAATATATATGATGCTAATTCAGTTAAGTGCTACCCGTGCAATCGGAATAATCAACTTCCACTGGTATATACGTTTGCCAATGCATTCACATATGATGTTTGAATATGCTTCCACCTTCTATATTGATACGAAGAGTTCATTTCTGCAGACAAGTGGACAGAGATTGTGACTTCCTTGAACAGGAGAGGATAATGGACTACAGCCTTCTGATTGGTCTTCACTTTCGGGATATATCTTATAACAAAAATTTGCATGTGGCGGAAGCTCATCCTTCCACAGCTCAAACTCCTAGAGGTTGTCTTTTCTTTCTCATTGCTACTATCATTAAGCAGTTGAGTGTATGTCCATGCCTCTTGATGGAATTAAATTGCTGTGAATGCTTCTTCAGGGAATGGGGACACTGGCAGTGGCAAGGGACGATTTTCTAATGTAGAGGCGGACCGAAATTTCTTGGATCCTACCAGGTAAATGAAAAACTTTGGGGAAATTCTGAAATTGTAGAAGATGTATAGCATCAAAGGTAGTTTAAGACTATTTACCAGTTGCTTTGTGAATACATAATCCATTCTCATAGTCAATGTCCAGATTAGGGAAAAATGGTTGCAGCTCAATCCCTCTTTTCTAATGGGACAAGAGTCACATGTACGATACAAAGCGTATTTTCGCTGACTTCACTCTTTAATGATGATAGTTTAGATTCACTTTTTTGAATGAGCTTTGGTAGATATAACTCATGCTCTTATCCAGAAGTGGATTCCCTCTCCCTGCATTAGAGCGAATCACCCAATGACCCTAAATCTCCAGCCTTGATTTCATTATTCATTTTTCTTGGATGAAGATATTCTCAGATGTTTGCTATCAATTGATCTTACTCTTTGTTACTCCTAATCAGATGGGCTTCCGTTAAATTGGGAGTAAACATGCCTGCTCGGGCCGAGTTAACAGTGAGGGAAACCAATTGCGAATCTCAGCTGATTGGAGATCCTACGGGAGAACTGTATGATGTTATCGTCTACTTCGGCATAATAGACATACTGCAAGATTATGATATTAGCAAGAAGATTGAGCATGCGTACAAGTCGTTCCAATATGATCCGACTTCAATATCTGCCGTTGATCCGAAGCAGTACTCTAGACGCTTCCGCGATTTCATATTCAGAATTTTCGTCGAAGATACCTGAAGGTTCAGATTGACCAAGAATTTCATCAATCACACAGTGTACAGCCAATTTTTGTTTGGGAAGGTGATTCTCATCTGCATCAGATCACGGCCCTAAGTTGTTTGAGTTAGAATTATGAGCGAGACATTCTGACTCCGTGGCAACCTGTGTTTCGTGATCAGCTCGCGATTTTTCAGCAGCGGCTCATTAAGTTAACAGTTCCAAAGGCTCAAGGTTCATGTTGAAGCAAAAGCGTTGGCTGGAGCCATGAAGAGAAGTTGCCCCCAAAGCCTATTTCAAATGTAAATGCACTAACCAACAGGCAATTGATTATGGGAAATTCGCCACTTTTTTGTACCGAAGCATTTCCGGGGAGATGAGGGCGTGTCTTGAAATTCAGGACGAGTTAAGATGTACAGTAGATTAATGAGAAGGAAAGTTCTGTAAATGGTACTCAGATTCGTGCTGAATGATCTTAGGCTCGTTCTGGTGTGATTTATTGTAGACTTGGACTGAGAAAAAAAATTACGATAGCCACTATTGAAGCTTCTAAGTCTGCTTTTGAGCCCCAAATGGTTGTAAATACCAGTTTTGGGAAGAACAGGAAGGGTCATTATAAAAAATCTTCTGTGGACAATAGTTGATGAACTGATTAGTCCTTCTTCGTTATTATTTATCTAACTTCGCCAACGAAATTAAAAGTATCTCAAATTACGTAAATGAGCAAATATTGTAGCATTGACTGTTATTTTTGTTCTGTTCCACTTCTTTCTTGGACCAGCTACGATTCTCTTCCATTGAGAAAGATTCCATGCACAGGGCTATTTTGCCTAGGTTCATGCCTAATTGCTAGATGATGTTACCACGTTGGAATATTTTATATGCAAATCCTCTAACCTACCCTTCATCCCCTATATCCTAGGAAGTTGACCTTCGATTGATTTTTCTTTTTTTCTTTTCTTTTTTATTTTTGGGTTGGGGACTTGGGGAACTATCTTAAAAGAAAAAAGATTGGAAAATAAAGTAAACAGAAGACGTGTGTACTCTTTGGCATTGTGGAGGGCACACAGCAAGCGGCGGCGACCATGTCATGAAGTAGTAGTAGCAGTGGTGACCACTTTGCTTATATTGTTTATCTTTGAGTTTTGAGGTGGTCTACACACGGAACAACATAATATCATGGTTATGTCTTCATGTGCAGATGGAGAAAGGTATGTTCGAGCTTGCCAACACAATAGCAGGTGAAAACCCAGAGGGGCAATCAGTACCATACAGTTTAAGGCTACGGCTCTGCTTGATCCAATGGGGAGCAACCCCCTCGTACATCTTCACGAATAAAAAATGAATCCTCTATCCCTACTCCAATAGGCTTGCTGCGAACAACCATGAAGTTGCTGCAAACCACTCTTTCATTCCATTGAAAATTCAGTGATTGAGGATCAGCCACAACCACGAATGATAATGCTCATGTGTCCGACGAAACTCTTTGATGTCACAAATTCATCAAATCACAGAGAGAGATCAGAGTGAAGAGTTAGAATTGACCCGGTCAATTTATTTCCAGACCTAAAATATTTTATATAGCTGAAAAGTTGCCGCTTGAGTTGATTCATATCATACAGCGAAAATAAAGTATCATACATACTACAGCAGATAATCTCGTACCATTTACAAAGGTAAAATCTAAAAGTACTGCCTTCTGTCCCGCGATGCATGTTCCATTACCGTGCTTCACATGCAGACGATGTCCATAGCATTCCTATACAATGAATATGTTCCAGTTCTGCTCTTCTTGCCCTGTTTGTCATGCCTATCATATCATTCATCACCAGGAACTGCCAAATGAAAGAACTATTTCAACTTAGTCTGAATGGAGAGAGAACAACCAAAATAAGGTAGAAGAAAATACCAGATGAACTGACAGTGAATCAGGATAGCATGAGTGTTAATTGGGAGTATAAGCAAAGAGCTTGACTTAACAGGAAATAGCACCTTCCTCAGAAAGAAAGAGACCCAAGCCAACAGATCACACTTCAAAATTTAGTGGTTAGAGAATATCATAAGAATCCTTCTTCAAGCATTAGCTGGAGGCCCCTTTCTAGTTTGTCAACGGCGCGGAAGGGAAAGCAAAAAGGTACAATCTTCTGGCCACACATTACTCCAGTCTCCAAATATGAAGGAATTAGTCAACCACGCTATGTTCTTTCGGTTAAATGACCGGAAAGAATCTCATTATAGCTACCCAAGATCATGTAACACTTTAGATGGTCCTCGTGGAGAATGTCAAATCACAAATGCGAGATTTTGGTGGGACCATAGCCAACTGTTCTAAAAGCTTAAACTGTTAGATGAAGATGTAATTAAATATTTAATTGTTCTAACGCTCCCCCTCACGCTTAGTCTGATCTTTTTGCTTAGTACTAAGTGTGGACATATTTAATTGGGGAGGAAATTGGGGCCTGAAACGATTTGAACTCAGGACCTCCAGCTCTAAAATACCATGTGAGATTTTGGTGAGACCACAGTCAACTGTTCTAAAAGCTTAACCTGTAAGATGAAGGTGTAATTAAATATTTAATTGCTCTAACAACAGATAATCCTAAGTGGCTGAAGAGCAATTAAAAATTACAGCAACCACATGAACAAGCCACCAACACCTTGATATAAGACAACTGAGGCCGAATTATCCCCCAAAAAAGAAAAGTGGCGGAGTGAGCTTAGACTGTGACAATATTTAGATGTATTCAGCATTGACTGATTATTCTCAAAACTTGGAAAGACATAGTGACGAATACATGCAGACATACTTTATCATGACGAATACCTCTCAATCGCTGGCTTCTACATGATATGTTAAACATGGAGTCTTAGGCACCGTAGGTCGAAAAATGGAAAAAGCACTTCTTAAGGATTGCATAGTTCACATCACAAGTGATCTTTTATCATTAGACATACATGAAACAGGCTTGTCCACGACCAATGAAATACAAAAAGATAGAGCTCATCAATGAATTCTCTGCAATCACTTTATGTATAATAGAAGCTCATGTACAGGGGTAATCATCTTAAGAACTGTATGGTAGGATCAATGTGGATTTAATCATGGAAGAGCAGTTGTGTGTAAAAAAATCAAGAAAGGATAGGTACTTACTACTTACAAGGACAATACTTTGTTTTTAAATTTGGAGAGAATTCTATAAGTTGAGAAGGAAGAGGTTACGCCTAACATTGCATGCAACCAGATATTACTCTCCATCTCCAATTACTCAATGGCAAGGAGGATCTTCTTAACCCCGTTTCACAGGATATATAGATTTCCTATAAATATCTCCTCTCTTGATGAGGGATCTTTACACGTGCCATAGTCATCTAACTTGAATGATCTTGAAAGGTACTATTATTCATGTGTGAGGCTAACGGTCAGTAGGCAGTTCCATTGAAAAAGGAAACCCCAGCAATTTCCTTATTCGCTTTTTATCTGAATAGTAACAAGAATTGACAAGTTAACTGCAAACGGAATCACAGGATACGGAGTGGCACTATAGTTTGAAGATAAGCTTTAACTGATTATGGCATCTCAAGAGACATCTTGAAGGGTAAATACTATATGGTTCTGGCAGGGATTTCATATAGAAACGATTGATATATCATGTCTATATACACTTTACAATGGAGAAGTGACTTAATTCCCAAAGAAAATGCATATGAAATCAGATTGACATTGCAAAACCTAATGGAAGAGATGAGAATAGAGCTCTAATTGTTTTAGTAAGTTAGCATCTAGCAGCAACAGCAAGAACAAGGACAAGCGCATGAATCTAATCATGAGCAACTTGCACAAAACAGATGCACAAATTTATTCAGAAATAGATCATTGGAGTGCTCTGTCTGCTCATACATCTTGCCCCTTTGAGACTGATAGTGACATCCACTACCTTATTCATCAATCTTCAGAACTTCCTTGTTTTCTGTTGATTTTTCATTATATAACTTCCACCAACGTATAATAATTGAATGAATTAAGCATCAAATAATGCCCATCATAATATGGGAAAACAAGGTTCGTCCAAAAATACAATGAAGTATGAATTTCAAATTTTCAAGGGCGGAATGGTGCACTAGTTCCCCAACCCCTGCTACATCCACATTATGCTAAATGAGTAATTGAGGCGACGTGCTAATTCATATGATGTCATGTAATCAATGCCTGAATGACTAGATTAAATTCATGAATTTGCTTGCACGTGACATTAACTAAAGAAGAATGTAGAGCACATAGTTGATTAGTCCTACGAGAGGCTATACCTTCAAGCAATCTGCGACAACCAGATGCTTCATAAGCATTTGGCGGGTCGACGATTGGAGAAGAATCCCTGTTCCTCATGCCGGCTACTCCTCCGAATCGAAGTTCGGAAATACATGGAAACGCATTCTTCTCATCGATCCCCTGATCATAGAGGAAGCCTCTGAATACATGCCCGCTGATACTAACAGTAGCTTGATAGGCAAATTCAGCTGCATTGTCACTAATTGCAGTGACTCTAATGCACCTGAAAACTGCCGGAGCACGGACTTGGCCAGGTAAGGACTGCTTGAAGCTAGCATCTGGAATCCAAGAAATCACTACATCGATCTTAGAATAAGATCCAATAAGCAGATTAGTCGATCAATCAAGAGGAAAAAAAAAATCCCTTTAATTATCCACATTAAGCAGTAAAAGACAACATAAATAAGAAATATCCAAGCTTTCCATCATCAATTACCACCCTCTGGATCAATCTGCTTTTCCATTTTCAGTTGAACATTCGCTCTTCTAACACATGGGGACTTAGATCTTCTAAACTACTTAGCTTTCAGTCAATTTTAAAATGTCATTTAAAGATGCCCAGATGGCGCCTTCTCTTGGTGGCCCCCTAATACTCCATCTGGAGAGAGAGAGAGAGAGAGAGAGAGAGGACCTTGATGATGACAAGAACTAGTATCAAAGCTCCTAGGAGTGGTAGCATTCGAGGTGGAAGAAGCATTAGTTGCACCGTGATTCGATGACCCATCAATTAGTTTTGGTCTCTTCACTCCAGAAGACGACCCCGAAGAACCGCCGCCGCCGCCGCCGCCACCACCACCTCCTGCTCCTCCCTCACCACAACCGCCAAAGCCAACCCCCACCATGGCCATCTGCCGCTCCCGCCTCCTCGCCGCCGGCACCCACGTGCTCCTTACGTGGGTGGAGCAATCGTACCCTCTACTCTTGCAACAGGTCCTGCACCTCCTATAACTACACTCCTTCTTGGCTCTATTCCCACAGTCCCTACACACCCTCAAATTGCTATTGCTCAACCCATTGATCTCCTCCGGTTTCTCGCCTTTATTGCTCTCGTCTTCACCACCGCCCAGCGCGTCCTTCTTGGCAAAGCTGGACTGATCATCGCACCTCCTCCAGAAATTCGCGGTGTTGTTGGCCTCGCTGTTATGGTTGGCGTTCCCGCAGTCTTCGACCACGTTGTAGGGCGTCGCGGTGAGGACGGGGAATATGCTGACGCCGACGCCCAGGGCGGTCGACGAAGGCAGGTGGAAATTCGGGTGGTGGGGGTGGGCGTGGTGGTCGGAGATGGGGGGCGGTTGCTGGGGTTGCTGGTGGTGCAGGGAGGGCGGCGGGGCAATGAAAACGACGTCGCGGAGGCCGAGCATGTTGATGTGGTCGGCCGAGGTGTAGTTGAAGTGGTGAGTGGTGGCCATGCACGGAGATGGACACACAGAGAGAGAGAGAGAGAGAGAGAGAGAGAGAGAGACTTCCGGAAGAGGAAGAGTTGTAGTTGGGAGGGTTGATGAGAATCTTTTGAGGTTTGTGTAACAAGTAATAATTGCATGCGCTGCTAAATAATACCAGAGAGAGAGAGAGAGAGATGGAGAGATGTTATTGTCGTGGTTGCTTGCTGGTATTGATGATGGCGCCGGGACGGGAAGTTTCCATCTTTGAAATTTGTTTGGTCTTCTTGTTTTTCTTTTGGCACTAAAGAGAGGCAGGAAACGAAGAAGGAAAGAAAGAAGGAAAACGAACGCCCAGGAATGCAGGATGTGTTTGCAGGAAATGGGAAAGTGAGGAATGATGGAAACTGAAATTGAACCACCCGCTTTCTCCACTTCCTGTCAAATTATCAATCGCCCCCTTGGCCCCGGAAGTGAAAAACCCACCGAGGCTCGATTTTTTTAATCCTTTTTAAGAGGAAATGCTTGGAGATTTTCAAAATGAAAACTGCCTTTCTTTTTCTTATATATATATATATATATGTGTTACTTTTTTTTGAAGAAAAAGGGAAATTTTGACGCGATATGTAAGGTCGTCGCAACTATAATCCGAACCAGAATTACACGCTAATCTTTGGCTTGCTTACCTTGATTCGTCGGGCTAAACGGGTCATACAATTAAGCATATTTTCACGCGTAAAAACTTTTTTTTTTCTGTGATACCAAAATGTAGAGTTTACAGGGATTTGATAGTGCTTCTTCGAGTTGTAACCCATTTTTAATAAGCAAAACTTATCTTGCTCAGTGTTACTAATTATATTTGGTCTAGACATGAACTACTGAGTATTTGTAAGTATTTAGACATTGATCACACGTGTTTGTAAGTATTCTTATTGGTTGCTAGTTCATGCCGAATTTGATGAATTGAATTTCTAGTCTTCCTTATATTTTTGTGGCCAAACCAATCACATCATTATATTTTACGTTAGCGACCAAAAGGTCATTCGTCTCGAGGATATGTTAGCTAGGCCTTCATCCCAACAGTCTTTCAAGTAATTCTCTCTAGCAGTCCACAATCGATCTGACCCTTATGTCTATCCATCTTTCGAACTCCTTCACACAAATAATTTCTTGAAAATGAAGTTTAAGCGTGATAAAAAAACCAACATGGTACGATGCTGCATTATACACCAACTGTCAAAGAAAGCGAGGAGAGAGAGAGAGAGAGAGAGAGAGGGGGGGGGGGGGGGGAAAGCCAATTATATCTCCCCTCAATTCATGAATGAAATGGATTGATGTACCAAAATAAATGTAAGGCAAGCAAATCATGGGCTGCTAGTGGCAAAATTGAGAGAGCGAGAGGGTGTCAGAGAGAGAGAGAGAGAGAGAAGAGAGAGTAGCGGTTAACGAGGAGAAGGCATGAAAAAGTGAGTGTGACGGCGACAGGCGGCCGATAAAGGTGGAGAAGAATTGGAGGGTCGTGCAGGCAAATGAGGAAGGCGTAGGCATAGCCCCTCACCACCAGCAGACCCCCACAATCAAAACTGCTAGTCACATTGAATTCCTAATGCAGTCACACTCACACTCACTGCCTCTCTCTCTCTCTCTGTACTGCACACTAGAGTAAAAGGAGTAGGGTAGTGGGTTCTGGGACCAGCCTTTTGCTTGCTGCTAGGTGTCTAGGATCTAAGCCTAGACCTATAGCTAGACTAGGCTGGACTAGGGCTAGGCCCTACCAATTGGTCCACTAGCCACCCTACTGAACATAGGTCGTAGCCCCCTATTGCCTCCCCCCCCGCCCCCCCCTCCAATTGGCTGTACCTCACGATTTGACACAGGTGCTTAGAAAAAGGAGGAGGGAATGCCAATTATCATTTAATAAGAGGAGAAAAGGGCGCATGATAACTACTTGCCATTATTGGTGTGGCTAAATTGGCGGTGAAGGGTTTGGGTTGGGAGTGTTTTGTGGGGGATCATTGGCTAAGAGGAATGGTGGGTCAAGAATTGGGATTTTTGCAGGAAAAAATGGCTTACAAGCCACCCTACCACTCCATCTGCTGCTGTTGTTTCTCTTCCTCCAAAGCAAAAGCCCCACCAGGCAACGAAATGTCAATAACTAAAGAAATAATTTTTGACATGTTCGGCGAAGGAATTGGAATCAATCACGAGAGCTTTTGTTTCTGTTCACCTTGTTCATTAGGTGGTGGAGGAGGCTAGGCTGGGGAGCTATAGATGGGCCAAGGAGGTTAAAGAAAACAGTGCCGCTCTAGTCTGCTTATCTGCAGAGCTTTGGACTGACAGTGGAGGTAAAAGAAAGTTCCTTAGGCTGATATTCAACACAAATTCTTTGAGTTATCCAAAACTCGATGATGGTCAATATACAAATAACCTAGAGTTCTAGGGACCGCAATTAGAAGGAAACGAAAAACGGGGGGTCAGTGAAAAGTTTTCTGTCTTTGTTTTCATTTTTCTCACGAATCGTGGGAGAGAGTGCTGTTTAATTTGACCATGGGTGTAATTGAATAGATATTTGAAGCAGACACAATAATGGTTTCTTCAAGAAATAGTGCGCAACATCATCAAACTTTTCTTCTGAAAAATATTTAAAAAAAAACAGAGGACGACCAAGTGCTAAGAATCAATCCCACTTGCATTAGAGTAAGGTAAATCCATCAAACTTGCATTATGTAATTTCAGGGCAACGCAAACTTTGATTGCTCCGTTAATTTTTCAAAATAAGAAATCATGTCAGATTGTAGTCGGTTCTTTCATACTACTTAGTATTTGGTTTTGTAATTGCGGGTTGTTCATTTGCACAATTTGAGAACTTTATGACTTTCCAAAGAGTTCATGAACTTTTATTTTTGTTTAGTAAATATAAATTAGGAAGGCACCCAGCAAAATCAAAAGGTCCAAGAATCTTTCCAACCCTTTTTCTCCAATCCGGCAAGAATGGCAAAAGAGTTGGCTTCTCAAGATCTTTCTTTGCACCCTTCTTTGGGTAAATCACAGTGCAGATCTATATCACATCGCTTGCCAATTACTGCAGCATCTGCGAACGGAGTGACCTCCGAGGACATAGGCCTTAGGGTGCACGCGTGTCGCTTAGCAGTTGGCCTAGGGTCAATTTCACCTCCTTGGATTTGAACAAAACTTCAACATCACAAGGAGTTCAGCAGCTAATCAAGGGTTAGCTAGTAACACCCACAGTCTTAGGGGGTGTTTGGTTGGGCTTTGTGAATGAGTTTTGAGCCTCCAAAGCCTTTTGGGGAAATTATGGAGTTTTTGGCAAATTATTTTTTGGACTCTTTGGTCAAATGTTGACCTTCTCAAGGCTGAAAGCTCAAGGCACCCTAGGGCACCCCCTGGGCTGTCTTGAGCTTTCAACATTCTCGGAATGCTAATACCCAATTAATGAAAATATGTTAGTTGCCTTTTTTGCCCTTAAAATTTTTTTAAAAACCCACTTTTGCCCCTCGTGTGTACTGTTCATCTTCTTCTTCATGAGGTGACCGGCGAGGGAGGCCGGCGCCGGATTGGGCCGGCAAGAGGCCAGCGGCCTTCTCCCGAGGCCGGGCGACCCTCGGCGAGGGTCGCGGGACCCAGGCAACGGCCACCTGAGGTCACACGACCCAGGCGCCGGCCGCCTGGGTAGCGCGACTCAGGCGGCCGCTTGGGTCCCGCGACCCTCGCCGAGGGTCGCTCGGCCTCGGGTGACGGCCACCGGCCCCAGATCTGGCCCGCCAGCGGTCGCCCGACCTCAGGCGACGGCCGCCGGCGCCAGATCTGGCTCGCCGGCGGCTGGCCAGCGCCGGCTCCGGCTCTGGCGAAGGGTAAGTTAGGTTTTTTTATTCCCAAATTCCATTTACAAAAAAAATTCACCAAACACTATATTTTGGTCAAAGTAGCTTTACAAAATATTTTTACCAAACACTATTTGCATTTCCCCAAAGGTATTTACATTCCCCCAAGTAACATTTTCAAAGTCGAACCACACATGTCCTTAGTGGACAGAGAAAACAAACAGAATTTCGTTATTATCATCTTTAAATGTATTATGTAATTGCCAAAGCAGCAATAGCCGATGCAATTGGTCTGAAGTTGTCGATCAAAAGGATGTCCTGGCACATCTCCACCATCCTAGGTTGAACCTGACTTGCAGTGGGCTTGACAGAAGCGCTGAAATGAATCATCACGTGAAATCTATCGTACCATTTACGACTACAATTGGTGGACTTAATTCACCAGGTCAATAATTAACGGGTCTTAAAAGAAAAAAGGATAACAACACAACCATTTTCTTAATTTTGACTCAATATACAATGTGATTTTTAAACTTTTAATTTATTCAGTATAATCCAGAATTTTAGTTTAATGGTCAATATAGTTCTTGAACTTTTATTTTGTTCAATGTGGTCCGTAGACTTTTGATACACGTTCATGAATCATTCCGGGACTATATTAAACATTTTCATATAGTTCAAGGACTAAATTAAACATGTACCAAAAGTTTATGAACGAAATTGAACAAATTAAAAGTTTAGGGACCATATTGCAGATTGGTTAAAGTTCATGGATCACATTACACATTAGGCCAAAGTTCAGAAACTATTTGCGTCATTTTCCCCAAAGAGAACTAGCAACTACTAACACTTGCTTTGCATGAGGCTTCACATCACGTGAAGGCCTCTTAAAGTGAGCGTGACTCACATGATGTTTTATTTCAATGGATAGTTTCAATACCCTACGACTGTTTCTTTCATAATGATATGGTTCATAAGCCAATGTGCTAGGTGATAAATGAAACGTGCTTGAGATGGTAGACAGCATCGAGGCATCATTGATTGTTTTTCCGGCGGAGAAATTACCAGACAGCTGCACATCGCTTGACGAGGCTCGAAAGGGACAAAAGGATCAAGACCTTGGCTGATAAGTGATAATGTTCTTCAACTGAAAATGAGTGACCTTCCTTTTGTAGCCCGGACCTGAGTCTCCTAAAAATTAAAGGTAAAATGAACCCATCCCACAAAATTTTGCTTACCTTGGATTTGTTTTCCTTTCGTCTAGAATTCATTGATCTGTGATATTTGGAGTTGAATATAACAGGATAGGATCAGAAACTATACACAAATCTCATAGCACATCCTCTGGATGGGTATGGCCAAGCTGTTGCTCTATTAAGTGCTACCATTTGACAAAAACGAAGACACAGTAATCCGGAAAGCAGTGATGGTGTTAGCAAATGGGGTGGAGCTGTTTCAGTTAAGCGGTTGGTGTTTGGTGAAGTGCTGCCCGTATTGGGAGTGGAGGTGCACGGATGAAGTGGAGGAAAGGGCATCGATGGCGGTAATGGAGACGGAAATGTCAAACGTGATCTTGTCGGATATATAGTGGTGGGAGATGGTGGAGAGTGATTGCCTAGCAATGTGGACTGAGCTCGTGGAAGGGGCGAAAATGGTAGCTATGATAGGGATGGAAGTGTTGGAATTCTGTGGCCTGCAGTTACGCCATGACCGGTGTCGAAATGGTAGGTACTGTGGGGCTGAAATTAGAGAGCTTGGCAGCGTCGGTGGTGGTGACTGGTGACAATGTGTTCATGTTGGCTGTATAAGTAGTGGGAGTAGAGATGGTGGAGATCACACAAGCAGCGGTGTTGGTGATAGGAAAAGAACTGAGATTGAGATCTCGAACTCAGAATTCCCATACATCATGTCAGGTGCTCGAAAATGCATTTCGTACACACGGGAAAAATCTCAAAGCACTATACCAGAATAGGGTACAACTTAGTAGAAAACTGAAAGTGCAGTTATGTGATCGCCGCAATATACTGATGTAATCGTTGCCATAGAGATTACTTGGAATATACAGAACGATTTACCAAAATTTACAAGAGTTGCCAATGACGTGAAGCGCACACAATCCACAGCAAGGTACATCAAAAGGAAGCTTTTTGAGCTTTTCCACCAGGCTGAACGATCCTTTTTGGACCTGAATTTCATGCGATTCACTTGATGATTGAGTCAATTTTGCTCGACCCAAAGAACCATGCTCCAAAAATTAGTTCAAAAGCATCAATTCCAGCTTAAACAAAGAGTTCTCAGTCCCCTTGACCTCGCTCCTCTTCCCCAAAGACTACAATGCTAACAGTCCTTCCAATCCTTGTGGTTGCATGTTCGACTCTAGTCAGTTGTTCCTGGGGGTTCATTCTAGTTTAATCATTCACAAACCTAAATGGTGACAGAAGCAGCTTCCATTGTAACTGTCCTCTAACACTATAGATGAGACTTCACCATGGTTCAGAATTGTTACTGAGAAAATTCCTAGCTTGTGTTGGCCTTCCCCAGCCGTCCTCCATCAATATGAGATCGAGGCGTACCATGAGTTTCTCTTCAGCATCATCCTCCATTATGGTGGATGGATCACTTGGTATGTCTTTTAAAGAGGAATTCTGTAGCAACCGAGATAGCAAAAACTAAATAAGAAGACAGATCACTTACCAGGAAAGTCGAATTGTCTCTTTCAAAATTGAGCATATTTGCCTCCAAATCCAGGTAGGAGCTATCTCTTGCTTCGTACATGGAGATTTTTCGCACTTCTATCTCAGGTTGGAGGCAAATACTTGTATATAGAAAATTTACCTTTGTCTCCTTGTACAACTTGAGAAATTCCAGAGATTGCTCGTATAGACCACAGTGATAGAGAAGAATGCTGTAGTCTCTTAGTTCCTTTGGATCAAACTCAAGAAGAATAAGACGCTCACATGCTGGAACAATGAAAATACCGATTAAATTGCCTTCTTCTAGAGATCAGAAAAGCTAAATAAAAAGACACTGAAGTACACTCAACAATGGCATCACAAAATCCTTGGTTCCCCGATAAGTACAGATGACACAAACTAGTAGAAGGCATACAGAAAACACATGAAGTATTTGACTAAAAAGCAAATCCACTGTCAAACATAAAAGACTTCATTGGTGTCCACTCAAATTATGGAAATATATCCAAATAAACCAGTGGCTAAGTTGATGTGCATAGAGAGGAGTCTAAGAACTTGTCTTTTGCCAACATAGGCCATTGCCTCCCCAAAACATTGAAATCAACCAAGAACCTTACAAAGAAGAAAAACTATTTAAGACCCGGATCATGTTCCTAAAGAGTCCAGCCTATGAAATTCATTCCAGAACCTATGGCCTTTCAGGAAGACAAGCCCGAAGCCACAGGGACATGTCGTGTATATCATTAGGATACACATTACTTTCACACTTCCATTGGCAATTTCCAGCAGTAATGATGCAAAAACCAATAAACAAGAAAAACTCACCTTTTACGCATGGGCAACTAAAGCAGCACAAATAGTGTCTATGACTCAAGAACTTGAGTTCTAAATGCGGCAGTTTCAACACTAAAAACTTTTCATTGCTATTATTTTTTTGGCCAATGATGGTAGGAACTCTTTCAAGATGCACATTACGCACCGGCTAATGCACGCCTCATATCCCCAAGACGAACAGTAGTCCAAACTCCGCGATCCAATCTGTATTGAGCTGCCTTGGTAGATGCAAGCTGAAAGCCACTGTAACATGCCCAAAATAGACATAAATGACTAGAACAAACTTAAATTGCAGTTTTATAATTGCAATTAAAAATATATATATAAACTGCACAGAGCAAACTCAATTATCTTCACTAAGATCAAATCTATCAACTTGATTAGCAGCATGTGCTGCCCTAATGAATAAATAAAATGTAAAACCCACAGAAGCACACTCGACTACCTTTCTTCACTAACGTTGGATCTGTCGGAACAATTAGCAGCTTGTGCAGCCCTTAAGAATAGACTCTCATTACGGTTGTGTTGAAATGGCCAGAAAGCACCCTTTAAATCTCTCAAAATCTGCATAAGTTATCAGGCAGAAAGCTCCATAAATATCCCCCTGTAGTTGCAAAGGAATAGCCTAATATAAGACACTAGTTATTCAATCAAATCAATCCCATAAATACTATGCCACAAGCCATACCATGAAGAACCACATCGAGAAGAATGGATCCCGAATTTGTAATACACCATCAAAGTGATATGAACACAAATATCAAGTGAATATCAATTGGGATTTTAAAACTGACACTGACAAAATTCCTTCTAGTCAGTTTTGTTGTTTTATGTGTTCATATTGGCTTTTCCCCCTTCTCTTTCTTTGTGTTAACATTAGAGATCACAGGCCCCATGGCATGGGAAACATAATTCAGCTTTTTTTTTGGTAAAGGTAAGATGAACATAATTCAGCTTTCGTCCTCACAAATTGTCAAAATCAAAGAGGAGCATCTTCAGTCCAAGTAACTAAGGACATGTTTGTTTGCATTTAAACAAAAGCAAAATAGTACTATTCTTTCCCAATAGAATTAAAATATTATTCAAATTTCAGAACATTATGAAAAAATTTATATGTGAATCTATGTGTCAACACTCTAGTGTTGTGAAAGTTTCAAAGAGTTTCAGATTTGAAAAAAGTCAGGTCCTGTGAGCGCAAGGTTTAAATTAAGCAAAAAGCAAAAGTAAAAATCAATCCAAACATGCCCTAAATCATAGAAGATATGTGTTTGAATGACAGATGGGTGAATATGACCTTTTGGCATCATAATTAGAATCAGCATAATCTTTTGTCGAACATTTCCTGACATCATTAAAATAAGCCAAATAATGAGAAGATGAGAGAAATGACCTGCACAAGTAGGGCTTGTGAAGTCATTATGTGTGGTTGATCAGACTCTTTGCTTTGCTGTTTATCATAGCCTCTTGGAAGACCCTCAAGATCATGTGGAAAGAATATTTCCACATCAAAATTCAGCAGACCCCAAAGTCTGAGCATTTTTAAGCTTTCTGAATAGATAAGGGAAAGCATTGCAGCTGACCCTGAGCGGTGCGTTAAAACCTACTCAGAACAGCAAGATATGATGAATTATTTGAAGAAAGGCCCACCTCTGATTCTACTCATTCTCTTCATAAAATGGGCATAAACTCAATAATGAAGTATTTACCGAATGAAGATACAGAGATCGAAAATCTAGCAGACTCCTGGCACTGCTTCTGCGAAATCCCTGATCAAGACGGTATCATGGTTAGGCAACCCATTATTGTATTAAGAAAAATAAAAGATCTAAAACATAGCAAAAATTCATACGAAGCGAAGAAAGCAGAGCATCAGATTTTGTCAAAAAATGCCAACACAAGGAGCATCGTTAATTTCGGCAGAACGCAATATTTTAGTAGGAAATGCAGAAAAATCGATAAGCCTTTCTCTCAGTTTCTCGTGACCCTCGGAATCGGAAGATGGTGGGAAGAGAGAGAGAGAGAGAGAGAGAGAGAGAGAGAGTACCAAATTTGCAAATTATATATAAAGAAAAGATTAACTATTGGAAGAATAAAACCATCTTATATTATCAGGGTGAAGATCTGTGAAACATTAAATATTCTGGAAATAAACTTTTCTGTGAATGCCTCCACCGATAGACAGAAATAGGGAGATATACAGGACTGTGCGTAATACCACAATAGATGATAATAGAGGACCAAATACTTACATCAGTCTTAATTGCAACCAAAATCCCCACCACAACGCCTTGGGCTCATTTTCTAATCATCTAAAATCTATGGAAACATATTCCAATGAAAAATTCTTCGTTTGATCAAGCAAATATGGAACCCTCTTCCGATAGAGGCATATCGACAATCGAAAACAAAAATAACAAGCACAAAACTGGAAAAAGAATAACTCAACGTAAGTAAAACAAGCTTTGCATTCGGATACCTTCCTGCTGTATAAATACTTATCTAAGCTATCCAAAAAAGTCTGTGGTGATGACTTGAACCGAGAATTGTAGTGCGAGCAGTATCCCATCGAGAGGTCATCCAATCTTTGAATAAATGCCTCCACAGGGAGAGGTACTGAAGAGTGAGAAACAAGGGAATCATCCTCCGCCGCTATATAGAGAGCAGTTTTCCCCAAATCAACACCTCTGTTGATGCTAATGCTGGTTTCTCTCTCTATATCAGAAAATTTTCCAATCTGCGAGCGGAATTCCTTCCTTGCCTCCTACGGGACATCAATCAAGCACCAATTACAGTACTGAATACGCATCGGCATCAAGTTTACCAGGGAAGCATGCAAACACGAGCGAAAACCACATGTAATCAATTACCATATTGTATAACCCGATCTCTAAAAGGAGCAAGGAACCGACATTCCTATATTTAAACAGATCCACATTTCAAACTGAACCGACTTAAGTCGCCAAAAAAAGGACCTGTCTTACCAATTAGTGGGATTTAATCAAAACATTTCTCAAGAATTTCACCTGACTTTCCAACAATAAGCACAATAATATATTCAATTTTCTGTGTAGGAAAAAAAAGCGAAACTTGATATTAAACAGAAACCAAAAACATCCTGTAATCGTAAAGGAGAAACAATTGGAACGCCAGAGACCGTAACCTGGATAAACGATACTATAGTACTTGATTAGCCTAGCCATGCATTGCGCATGCCTCGTATGACATATCGGTTTCAATTATCAAAAAAACTAAAGAAAAGGAGGACATCTCAAATTCAAACAACGAAGCAAAATAGCAAGACATGAGCATTACAACGAAATCAAAATGGCACAACCCTGGCCGAGCAAGCTTACATCCGATCAACGCATTGAATCGTGAGATTTCTCATACACAAGCTACGCTCACAAGCCAATGGTTACTCACTTTGGCGTGGGTCGTCTCGACGCCCAACGAGTCCAAAGCGTCGTGCAACGCGAACTTGAGGTCGCCGGCCACAAACCGAGGGCTCCGCCCGGCGCAGCAAATCACGCGACCACGGCGGCGGCGGCAGCAGGATCGGTGGTGCTGCGGCGGCGGCGGCGGCGGCGGCGATCTCGAGGATTTCGGAGGGGGAAGAGGCGTCCTGAACTTGACGCATTGAGAGGGGGAAGAAGGAGAAGGAGAAGGAGAAGGGGTAGCAGCAGCCGTTGCCATGGAATTCATCATTTCCACAGTCGCATCGAGAGAGAGAGAGAGAGAAATATCCACGGAACGAGAGTGGATGTCGTTCGAGGAGGACGGAGAGAGTTTATATTTCGGTTTTAGATTTTTTTCATTTTTCTTTCTTTTTTTCTTTTTTTGTGTAAAAGAGTTCAGATCGTAATATCTCCCAAATACTCGGACTTAATTAATATCATGATTTTTTTAATTACTATTAAATGAGCCGCTGGCGTCATAATTTCAGCACGATGAAAATTAATTTTTCCGTCTCCATCTAATAAAAATGTTTTCGCTAAGGTGTTGTCAACTTGTGGTAGGAAATCGAATCACGAGAATAGATAAAATAAAGGATATGTATCTTATTTCAGTTTCGTACCTAACTTTTCTTTTTGTCTAAAAAGAATGTCACAAACTTACGCTATAATCACAAATCGTCTTCTCATCCAGAAATTGCCACTAATTTCTTTAAAACATCAACATAAAGAGGCTATGTTCATACGAAGATGAGAGTGTTCGTAGTGAAGACACGGGTTCTGATAATAAAGCCCGAATTGGCGCTAATGTTAATAATTTTGAAGAAATTGATGGCTATTTTTAGATGGGAGTGCAAATTTAGGACAATAGTGAAAATTTGTGATTTTTTTAGACAAAAAAATTCGGATCGTGCTTTTTCCACTCATCCTTTGGCTTTGACACTCCTTTTCTTTGTGTTTTGACCTTACCATCCATTGTGGGACTCACCACTTCTGGTACAACTCTAGAAGAGTGATTTTTTTTAATTATTCGATCCTTCTTCTTTTTCTTTGCGGGTTCCACTTTCCTTTTTTTTTCTTTCTTTTCATGTCTCTGACATCTCAATTCTTCGCTTTTTCAAATCGTCTTTATATTTTCTCTTTGACAAGCCATTCTCTTAGGCCTCCCACTCCTCCTTCTTCTTCAGTAAATCTATCATGCATTTGCAATCCCCTAAAAACTGCTTACTTTAGCAATCCGCACACTCCTCATTCACTATTGGAGGTATGGTTCTGGCAAAAGCTTGTTTGTTTTTTCTTTTTAGTTTTCTTGTTCTCGATTCATGCTCATCCCGGTCTCTATTGAGTATTTCTTGATAATCTTTTCTTAAAAGTGAATTTGACTTTTAGATCATAGAAATTCTTGATTTTGTGATTCAATTTTGCGTTTAGAGTATATTGTGCATCAAAACAATGTTTGTGAATCAGTTGCACAATTTCTTTGTAGTCTGTAGCATACTTATGTCTTATAAACTTTTTATTCCTCTGGGTTCAGTTTCTCAATATCGTTTCCATAAGTTCTTCATCCTCAATTTTGTGATGCTGTTGTTGCTTCTCATTAATTGACTTGTTGGAAACAATGATACATGATATGTTTAATCTGGTTGTTTAATCTTAGGAGAATTGAAGTAATCTATTTTCTTTGACAACAATGGAGCCCAAAGGCGATTTGCAAAAGTGAAGAATTAAGATGTCAAAGGCATGAAAAAATGAAGAAAAAGGAAAGTGAGACCCGCAAAGAAAAAAAAAAAAGAAACGATATCCAAATAATAAAAAAAAATCACTTTTGTAGAGTTATACTAGAAATGATGAGCCCCTTAAAGGATAATATGGTCAAAACACAAAAAATAGGAGTGTCTAAGTCAAATGAGGAGCGGAAAAAGCACGGCCCAAAAATTCAGGACAAAATTGACATTCGGACCTGAATTTTATCCGCTTACCTTCGATCATCACTAGCTTTTCGTGGGTTTGCGCATTAGAGTTCGACAAGGAGAGCATCCGTGACAACCACATTGATATCTCCCATCTATCATCTCATCCTGTCGATGTATTCGGCCAAACAATCAAAGATAACATGGAGAAACAATCCATGTCCACACTAACATCTACTAAGGTAACAGGTATGATGCGGAGCACATATTGAACATAGAAACCTGCGACAACCCGCAGATCACTACAACTTTGAGCGGTTTTACTACGTATTAGTTTGTATGCGCCTTCTATGTCAAGAGCTTAGTCAAGACCTTCTAAGCGCACTTCCAGCGACCTTCTCCTATACTATGTGGTCCGTGCTCGTGTTGGCTTGGCATAATACAGAGGGTCATTTCTTCTACCTTTGTTTCTCCATCTGAGCCGTCATAGTTTAGACACTCATGGGAATGACCTGACACCGCCGACATATGTTGCAACAACCGACGCGGATCCTCCTGCTGCAAGGTGATCCCACGAGTTGGTGGATAATACGACAAAGTCTGCCAGCTTTCCAGGAGCTAAAGAGCCCAAGTCATTGTCGAGGAAGCATGCATGCGCAGCTGAGATGGTGTATCTGCAGAGGCAAGATTTGTGATCAACAAGCAGAGAAGGGCTTACAATAGAATGCAGAACAGGGCAGAGTGGTGCGAGGAACAAGTATCCATGTGCAGTTGCTCGTGCACATCACAGAGAGAGATGGCCAATCCGTTGGTAAATAGAAAAACTTTCATTAACAGCTTTCAGATTCATTATGAACAACTTTCAGATTAGTGGGAATCGATTGGTGTAAACAATAAAAGCATCTCCTTTGCACCCAAAAAGTAGAGGAATACAGGGAGTTACGGCACAAGCGAGGTGCCAACTGATAAAAAATGGTAAGAGTCGAGAGAAAGAAATGTTCCCAGAACAAGTATAGCAGCTAATGCTTCCTAGGCAGCCCCTCCCATCAAATCTGAGCAAAATCATCCTCCATTTTATATCCTATAGCCCTCTCCACATATGCCATTGCCAATTAGTCTTTTTCCACCACAGCAATGGCCCTTAACCCGATAGCGGACCCCTCATATAGACTCTTAATTAATATGACTTTGCTGGATAGAACTAAATAAGTGTTCCAGCATATACAGTCTCAAGAGGATGATGTTGAAAATCGGCAATCTGACCAACCCCCGGAATTCTCCTTGTTGGGCTAGCAGTCCAGCAAAACATACTAACGATGGTACTCGTTTTGATTAACTGCTAGATCATTTATCATAATGTGTACTTGAATAGCAGCAAGCATGACAACCCATCAAAAATGGAAAATTGAGCTTACGCATGTATGGCATCTTTCAATGTAAGACATTCCGTTGGACCCCAAGGATCTTCCCAACCAGGTGGTATTCTTTTAATTGCTGTCCCGATACTATGTAAAGGATCAATATCTATAACCTGAAATCAAATCATCGCAAATGCATCAAAGTAGAATATTCTACTCTTAAGCAACACATACATAGCAGTTGGTAACATAATTCTTACAGGCCAGTCAGAACCAAAAGCCAAGCTTCCGTTGCTGCCTGAAAGTGATCGAAATAAATAAGATCCCAGGTCAGCCCTTTCCTTTCCAAGCTTCTTTGATGCAGAATCAGCATCATCAAGTAAGTGGTCTGGCTGTAAAAAGCAAGCATTAATCTGTGCATTGACAATTCATACGTTTAACCAGATCAAAAGGCAGAAAGGTCATTGGACCATTAGTTGCATCCAGCAGAAAGCATCCCATGTAAAATGCTTTACTCCAAAGAGCTTTAGATTGAAATCGAGGTGCATGTAAAGAAATCAGGAAGTTGCAGAAGACATAATTCAGAAACGACCATCTCCAAGATCACCACAAACCTCTACTTGTAAGCATCTCTCAAACAAGGTTTAAAGTGGAAAACCCAAAAGGTAATAGTTTATGTACCTGCACTGAGGCAATGATCCCTTGCTGACTAAATCGAGCTGCTGCTCCCATCGCCAAATGTTGAGCATGTTCAATCTGCAAAAAGCCCACATTACTCATCAATAATATGACGCTACAAAGTCATCAACTAAAGTCAAAACTTAACCCTCCACAATCTGTGACAAAGTCTAATGAGATAGCACAGCTAATTCTGTGCTTTGGCCAAAACATCACCCTGAATCTGCGATCTCTCACTCCATTTATAGAAGCAGTTGACTGATACACATCCAAAACTAAATCATTTGCTTTATCTCCAATAGCATGAATAGCAACCTGAAAACAACAAAACAAAGCTTTCAATTGTCAAACATTAGAGAAGTATATCAATTTCAAGCAGCTTACGTTGAGAAATTACTTGAAGCCCGGATTTATCTGAAGTCACAGTCATGTTGAGAAGCCTCTCATGTTCTATAAGTTGCAAACCGCGATTATGAGGCTCATTTACATAAGGCTGTGAAAACAAAGCACACATGAGCAATAACAATTACTAGGTTACATGAATAGAATTTGTGTTCTTGTCATTCATCAATACGATAGATTGTCGCTACCAACCTACCAACAGGCCTGCCTTCGGTTGAAGGTAATGAAATAGAGAAGACAAAATTCTACAGCTATCCCACTAAACAAGGGTAAATGCTCCCACATTTCATAGAATATATGTGAATGGTTGTCTCTCACCTCACGAAAAAGTGCACTACTAGAACCCAAAGATCCATCAGCAAAAGCCTTAACGCCACCCAAGTAAATCCATTGGCTGAAGGCTCGACCAAATTTGTTAACTTGATCCTAAGGAACAAAATCACAGTTTTAATAAGTGAAAGGGAAGGAAAGAGCAGAAGCACACCATCAATTTTACTGACAACCATGTCCACAAACATGTGACCTCGACAGTTGCTTTGATAGAAGAACAAGAAAACAATTGACACAGTTTCTATTGCAAATAAATTATGTAAACGATAATTACGGTGCCCAAGAGAGTGTATATTGATGGAGAGACTTACAGATGATGCCAAATCTTATAACAAGTATCAACTGAAAATGCAGAATCTTATAGGAGACTTGTCACTTATATTTGGCAAAAGTTCTCCTAATTGATGCGCAGATACAACATCATGATTTTTTTGCCATATTTTATAGAGAAAATGAAAGAAATAAAAAATTGACAGACCATGCAGAAAATGTGATCAAACAAACTTCAAATTGTCTGCCGAAGTAATATTTTATCATTTACCTACACAATAGCTCATGCACATTTATTAGAAAAATGAATAAAGGTAACATCCACTTGACTGAGAGCATTAAGCAGCACGAATATATAATAAACATGCAGATTTCAGATTATAATTCCTACGACAACGTACAAGCAAAAGCGACCATGTCTCCATTGGAAAAAATAAGCAAACTCTCATTATCATCCTCCCTGATGAATCGGCCCACTGATAAACATCTGCAAGAGACGGCAGGAAGTCATAATCCTGATTACTAACACATGATGGTTCAGATGCATCATCTTTTTTCCTATCATTTACGAGATACCTTATTGTTGTCTTAATGAGGGGTGCCTTCCCTCTTATAAATACCAGGTTCGAGAGCATTATTACTCCGATAAAAAGTTGAATCTACAGGGGATACAAAGAGATAAATATTTTCCTATGTATATCATATAAGACTGGTTGAGAAGAAAGCAACTCAAATACAAAACTTTCGACAGGCAGAATCAATAAGGGAACAAAGCATGTCCACATTAGAAGACACAAATCATTCTATTAGGGAGAAAGAAGCAGATAAGTCGAATCTGCCGAGATTTTCAAAGTAGAAGACAGCATTAAAAAATTCACATAGTTTATGACAAGATAATCTTCACTTAATAATCAGTGCCTGCGGCAAGTATTATTCCCTGATACCTGAAAAATCCTGCCAAGAGAACTCCACTGGAGCCCCAGGAAAGTATCTTCCAAAATCAGCAACTGTCGTTACACCCTTTGTCAAGGCATATTTGCTGGCTCTGAAAAGAGCCTCTCTCCTTTCATCCAAAGAAACTTCCGGTATGGATGCGAGAAGCAGCTTCATTGCAGAATCAATCAGTAACCCAGTAAGTTCTGCATAACGATGCAACGCCAGATTCAGAATTGCCCTCGTTAACTTTGGATGAAAGTTACATATACAGCACATTTGGTAACAATGAGGAATTCCTGACGACGTAAACCAGAATCAAGTAAAACATGACATGAAATACTTTGAAGGAGAATCAGTCTGTTAGTTCCCCACAACAATTTCAAGTGTCTGCTATGGATTTCTCAGGTAACCAGCAACAATCAGTAACCCAGTAAGTTCTGATGCCGTTGCAAGTATAAGGGGAACACTGTTGTAGTTTCAGCTAACTTCTAATTTTGTATCAAAATGATTGATATCCTGCCAACAGACAATGCCGTTTCCAAATACAATAGTAGTTGAGGTACTTCTTAAAGAAACCAAAGCTCTGTAGGGAGAATATTAATAGAGTCCCAACCCACTCGCCACCCTTGCACCATGACCAGGAATATACTGGGAATTACAACCCGTACACACTAATAGAGGCATCACCAATTAAATTAGCTACTCAACTCAATAGCTTCTCTTAACTAGCGACGATTATGTCCATTATGTGCCATCAAAAATCATGTTCTGATCTGATTTGATTCATTGAATCTTAGGAACACTTGGACAGTATCAACATTACCTCCATCAGCAGTTCTAGAAATAGTTCCCCCTTCAGGATCTTCCGACAGCTTAGAAATACCTGCCACCTCCATTGCCACAGAGTTAGCCAAGCCCATGTGACCATCCATCCTTGTTACCCAGACCTGTAATCATGTATACAAAAGGACCACTGAAATTTCAATCTGGCATTTATAATCGTATTACAAGAGCATCTTAATCACACAAAGTATAGCTCCTTACAGGATTTGCAGGTGTAACTTCATCGACCCAGGAGGTTACAGGCAATTCTCCTCCCCAAAGGTCATTGTTCCATCCACCACCCAATATCCAAGAACCAGGTTTGGAATCTGAAATAATTACCATGAAAGAAGCCTTCCAGTAGGTTACAAATCACATGAACAAACACCAGGTATTTGATTTCCAAAAATTAAATTGAGCTAGAACTACCAAACTATATAGCCAGTGACAATTCCTTCTTTAAAAGATGTTCAAAAGAAAAAAGTATGCAGGAACAGAAGAAACTCTTGGTGCATGCTGTGGTTGATACAGCTCTAGTAACGTCTGCTTCTAAGAAATAAGTAATTGGACAGAGAAGGAGACAAATGGAAGGAAAGGAGTAACCCTTTGCTGGGCCTACAAGTCTTCATGAACTGAAGTTTTCACTTCATCTGCAGCATCTATTTTCAAACTTCAGGATGCCTTTACTTTTCTATAAGATCACAGACTGAAATAAGACTAGGAGTCTATTTCTGACATGATCATTCACAATCAAAAGATTAGATGCCGCTGTGACCTTATTGAGGGATGACATCACAATAAGTCAATAAATCAGTAGCTTGTCAAAGCCACGGAAGAAAAGGAAATGAAAAAGGTTATAGGTGAAACACAAAATTAAGCTATAGGAAAAGGTATGAAGGAGAATGGAATGGCTGAGAAAGACCTTAGGAATCTTTCCTGGTATAAACCTCAAGTATAAACACACACAGTGAGATCTTCAATGGGAAATCAACCGGCCATTCGAAATATGCACAAAAAATGTGACCTACAGGGCTACAGGTATATGTGTTATTTCACTATTAGTTAGGTGAAAATCAGGATCGGATTTACTTCTTGCAGCTTCTTCAATCTTCCTCACAAACTCTTCTTTACGATTAACACCCCGGAGTTCCACCCGGCGCATCTGTTTTCCATCAACATCAACAAGTACTCACATGAAAATACGGAATGATCAGATGGAAAAACCAAATAGACAATGGAAAAGAAGAATCATTCTTTGTAAGTTTTACAAAAAGGACAAACCATTGGGCAAAGTTATGTTAGATAATGCAAATGGTCATAATTTGTCTAAAAGCCCCATGTTGTGTCCTTGTTGGGGGAGGGGTTAGACAGAAGCCTCAAGCAGAAGCTCACATATTATATGCAGCCACTTAAGTGAAGAATGATGCTGTTCATCTTAATATTAGCGAACAAATAATCCACGCTCAACCTACTACTTTCATAAAGTCTACCAGAAAGGAAGGACGGATTTTGCCAAATTGGAATTTCTCTCTAACTTGGAACGTGATGCATTTTTTCTGTTCAAATGGGGCTTACAGCAGGAATTGGGCTCCAACTGATCAGTGATTGATTGCAGGATAAATATTACTTTGTTCTTTGCATTTTGGCCAGTTAACCATTGCTAAGGTCCATACAAATTTTTCTATCACACTCTGGAATCTCATCTAAATACCATGGAATGAGCCTTTAATCCTGTTCATGGGCTAAACAACTCTCAACAAAACGCTGAATACTTATTCTTATTGAGGAATGTCAGAAAAACCCTTTATTTTGGGATAAGGAAGGGGGTTATTGGATAGAAGAACAAAGTACCCTCGACAGCTTTAGCGGTCACCAGAGAAGTGTACACAGAACCGTGCTGAACATACACTAAGCCAGAATCTACGGACCCCATATAATGTAAACATAACGTCTGCTCAACCCCAAAAGAAAAACCATAAATTTATCGAGCCAACTTGATATGCCTGTTTTTTCTCCTTTTGCTCTTTTCCCCATCTGCGTGATTTGAGAGCGTGTCGCAGCACATTCGAATTTATAAAAACAAACCAATGCATTGTAAGTGGGGATGGTTTGTAGACCTGCAGTCCTCCAAAAATCATGTGCACATGGGAATCGATGAACCCGGAGACCACAACTTTTCCTCCAAGATCCAATAGTTCGGTACCGGAGTGTACCAACTCCTGCATTCACACAGTCCATGTATGTAAAGAAGGCATCTATCTGAGCTAACGAAATTATGATAAAGCTAGAGTTAAAGGCAGCCCCTGAGTTTATCACAACACAACCAGCTCTAAGAGGCTCTCTCCGTATACAAGGAACACACTCCAAGGAATCCCTAACCACTTAACGTTTGCACATACTTAAAGCATGGAAACACCAGCTCATTCAAGCCATTTCTCCAAAAAGAAGAGGAAGAACCTTGAGAGACGAGTAGCTTCCGACTCGGAGTATCCGCCCGCTGCGGACGGCCATGGAGTCGGCGAACGGCAGGGACTCATCGCTCGTGTATATCGTGCCGTTCCACACGATCAGGTCCGCGACCGGAGACGACCGGGTGAAGGGGAGCAGCGACCGTACGCTCGACCAGTCTTTCACCAACCAACAAAAATCCAGCTGAGCTCGCAATCAAAAAACGAACAGAACCCGCGCGTTCTTGCGGGCGAACGAGAAGAAGGAGAAGAAGAAGTCGCCGAAACGAGCGGCGGAGACTTACGGTAAGAGTCGAGAAGACGGAGCGAGAGGACCGACAGGAGGAGGACGGCGGCGGCGGAGATGATGGGGGAGAGATTCATGCGCTCGGGTTTCAGCTGAGCTCTCACTGCTCACTCTATCACTCTTTCACCCTCCAAAACCAACAGTCACCGCCACGGCCACGGCCACGGGCGGAGAATCATCGGCGGTGGAGATTCTTCGACGGTGAAGAGAACATGAGATTTGTGAAATGGGCCGAACAACGTTATTCATGGCCCAAAAAGTTGAATGATCGGGGACAGGCCCATAAGAGAATGTCGCTTCCGTGAGGCCCAAAATTTCCGACCCGAATTAACACGTCTCGACCCGATTTCTAGACAAATTCTACGAGGTTTGTATGCATGAGTCTTATAGCATGATTATAGGAGGACCAAAAAACTAGCATGAACCCAACGTGGTCGCAGAACTGATCGGCCCCTACTGAACCTTTATGGAATGAGCCACTTTTACACAATCCGTTCGATGAAGAAGTTGTGAATGAAATCCTAACTGCTCCACTACCAACTACCCCGAAGGAAGACTCGCTTGTGTGGTCACCATATCAGTCCGGTTGCTATTCCGTTAAAGCAGATATAATGAGCTACGAAAGAATGAGACCACACACGGCTCTAGGCAGCCCTATGCCCTATTCTTCCTACCATACACCCAATGCTCTCTGGAGCAAAATTTGGAAGCTGAAACACTTCTAAAAATCGGACTTTTCATATGGAGTGTTTACCAACATGCATTACCTACCAGGGTAAACTTGTTCAAGGGAAGGGTATTATCTGAGCCGTTTTGCCCTTTGTGTCGAAAAAAGCCCGAGATAGTCGAGCATCTATTCCTCCTCTACGACAAGACAAAGCAAGTTTGGTCAAATCTCTAATTCAACATCCACTTATTTCACCAACAAGTCACTAGATTTGAGGAATGATTGCTAAACTACAATGATATGACCTAGAAGAACATATCATTCGATATCATCACAGTCACCCTTTGGAAAATTTGATTAGCGCGTAACTCCCTTGTCATCCATCATGAGCAGCTGGACCCAATCAACATAATCGACTCTGCTCTATGCATGCATTGCAATTACATGAAGTGAAATAGAAGCAACTTAAAGCGCGAAGCAGTATCGCTAAACTTACAATTGGGATAGAGACCACCGGACCTTGGTTTGCTAAAGATAAACATTGATGGATCTCACCTCTTTGGGACGTGAATCCCTCGCCTTGTTTTTTACTCTCTTTCTCTCTCAACTTCAACAATTGCAAGAACCAAATTCCTATAAGCAACCACGTGGTTATGCTTGCATTTGGATTCCCGATTAAGAAGCACTATCCATTTTTTTTTGTAGAAAATGAACAAATTAGAAAGTATTTTCCTAAAGATAATGGTTTATTTCGCTCGAAATAATTAGTTGTTTAAAAATATTTTCATTATCGACAACAATTTACGTTTAAAATTTTTTGTGAACGGTGAAAATATTTTTGTCCGTTCATTTTCGCAAGCATTTATCTCGCAGCAGGAAGTCATTTTCTAGGAAAATGATTTTATTTTTCGGTATTTGGCTACAACCTGAAAATCAATTAGAAAATATTTTCCGTTGCATGGTGTGCAGAATTTGATTTGATTTTCCACGGGAAAATTACTAAAAAAATTCAAAATTTTAAATTATTTTTATTTTTAATTACTTTTCTTCACTGCAGGCAAGCCCGAGCTAGATCGGCCAAGTATTGAGCTCGCCAACTTGCGTCTTGGCCAGTCGTCGAGCTGCCGGCTATTGCCGAGGCACGCGTCTAGAGAAGGAAGGAGGAAAGAAAAGAGGAAAAAAGAAAAGAAAAGAAAATTTAAAAAAAAGTAAAAAATCAATTTTTTTAAATAAAAATAATTAAAAATTCGATTTGTTTATAAAAATATATTTACATAAGAATAAACGTTCCATTAACCAAGGATTTGAGTTTGAGCGCTGAGGACCAGCGTATGGTCTTTGTAGACATGGGCCTAAGGGTTGGGACTAGATTTCGAGCATTAGGGACTAAGCACGGCCTTGATGGACTTGAGTTCAGATGCCAGAGCATCGAGTACGTGTATGGGCACTAGGGGTTTGGGCTCGCCCTTGATAGACTTGGGTATGGGCGTCGAGAGCCTAGGCCTGAGCACTGTGGTCCCAGGCCTAGCCTCAGGAGATCTAGTCTTGAACGCCAAGACTCGAGAGCTAACATTGGGGTTTTCATGTCCAAATATAGAGTTTCGGATTCAAGTGCCGACACCTAGTCATATTTTGGAAAACGTTTTTTTAGTTCTTTCAAAATAGAAAATCATTTTCTTGAATTTAAGCTTTGATAGTAAAACTTTTTTTTTCAATTGACTCGTTCTCCAAAGCGAACCAAGCGCCGAAAAATGAGAAAAATGTTCTTTTTTAAATATTATCCGCGAAATAAACCACCCTAAGTGTGTGCTTAAGTTATGGTCCTTTGGAGAGATCGGTCAAGCTAAGATTACGATAAAGCATTGTTTTTGTTAACCTTCGTCCTTTGAGAACGTATGTTGACTGGTCTTTACAAGGGAGAGGCTGGTCAAACTAAATTATGAGAGGGGAAAAAGTGTGTGGAATCACTTTCAGCGACCTCGAGCGATGACGGTCCACGGCGGCCATCTCATCCTGGAGAACTAGTTTTATTACTTTTGCCAAGTTTAGAGATTCTTCTAATTTGTACCCCCAACAAATTGCAACTTGCATACGAAAAAGAAAAATTAGACATTTAAAAGATTTCACCGTACCAACTCATTAAGAAATTAAATTTATTAATTAACGAGGAAAATATCTTCGACACGGTATGGAAAAATTCTACGTATACACATTTACCAAAAAAAAAGGAGATAATAATATAAATGATTTATGAACTTTCGTCCAATATTCAATGTGATCCATAAGATTTTAATTTGTTCAACATAATTCCTGAACTTTAGCCCATTGTATAATATGGTCCATGAACTTTTGGTACATGTTCAATTTAGTCTCTGGAAAGGATTAAATTGAATATGTGAACCGCATTGATTGCACATTTGATTAAAGTTCAGGAACCAAATCGAATATATTAAGAATTTATAAATCACATTGCACATTGAGCCAAAGTTCAGGGATCACATGTGTCATTTTCCTCAAACAAAAATGTTCGGATGTGAATTTGCCTTTCTGTAAGATTAGAAAATTATCCAAATTTTCTAAATGCACGGAAAAAATTATTACTTTACGCATCCGCGCGTCCCTTGAATATTTTGTAAACTAACTTATCGAGGATATTTCGGGATAGAAAAGTAGGATTATAATTCCATAAAGGTAGGATATCACTCTTCGTTTTTCTATGTAATAATACAAAATGGACCTTTATTAGTTTTCCCACTCCTTCTTTTATCTCTTTGTCCGTGTGATTTTCCGCAAGAACCACCCAATGCAAGTTCTAGAAAAAAAAAAGCTAACATCTTTCGACAGCGGTGTGGGGGTCGGTACGTCGCGTGGTCAGAAAAAGGAGGAACCCCGCGAGAGAAACGTGATGGGAAATTACAGGGGAAAGATGGTGGGACGATTCTTGCCTTCAAAGCTCCCGACTTTTTTCAAACTTCTCTGTTACGAGTCTCCCTGGGGGTGTCCACCTCACGCGGTCAATTGAAGAGATCTTCCCTTTTGATCTGTATATATCTCGGAGTGGTGGAGGGACCGAGGGAAGATTTTCGGCGACCGAGGAAACCACCCTCATGGACGATACAATGTCAGCAAGTCAAGCACGACTTGACTTGGTAGAAAAGTTCGCGTATCTGATCGGATCTGGAGATGGGTTGGCGCTTGCGGACCGCGCTGTGAGCAGTAGAATGAGAAAGATTTGATCTTGAGTTCGAAACGTGAGAATACTCTGTATATCTCCCGTAGTCTGTACAGGGATTGACTCTGTCTCCTGCATCAACAGTCTTGGGTGAAGCTAGGCAGGAGGGTGGAAAGTGAGCACAAACCGTCGTGCAGGAGAGAGGGAGGCGACCCTTTTAACTGTAGCTCTAGCTCTGGTCGAAAGGTCATTAGACGCCCCTTAAAGGGTTGCCGCCATATGTATAAATATTAATCAAGAAAGGGTCAACAGAATGTGATGATTGTCTAGACGCGCAAAAGTCGTGAATAGAATAGTGAAGCCAAGCACCTTCTTTGCTTGTTCTCGAATTCAAAAATCAACACCCCCCCAAAGAAGATCCTGCGGATTCTGGATGAAATCTGTCGGATCTCGCTTTCCAAACTGTCAAAGATTTTTCCTCCCCCACCAGGGGATTCTTACATCTCTCTCGCACTCCAAAATGGGTTCCCATTTGAATATTGACCCACCATCTTGTTCTCTTCGTTCATCCTTTTCCCCTCCTCCTCCTCCTCCTCCTCCTCCTCCTCCCTGTCGCTCCTCGCCGTTGCTCTTGATCAATCGCCGATCAAAATGGGTGTTACCACCGAGTCGCAATTTCACGTCTTGGCTGTTGATGACAGTCTTATTGACAGAAAGCTGATTGAGAGGCTCCTCAAAACCTCTTCTTATCAAGGTAGTCGTCTTTGACGGGTCAATTTGATCGAATGAATGAGCGTTGGCGCTGATCTTGTTCAATCTTTTTCAATTTGATTGGTTCATATGCGTTTGCTCATATCCTTGATGGGTGACAGTGACTGCAGTCGATTCTGGAAGTAAGGCTCTGGAGTTCCTGGGTCTGAACGAGGAGCAGCCCAGAAACGCAAACACTACCTCTGTCTCTCCAAACTATCATAATCAGGTGTGCGTCAGAAAAATCGTTGTCTCGTATTTAGTTGTACTTTTTGTTCTGGCAGTATTAGAATTTAGAGGGATTTTCTCTTGTTCCTGCAGGAGATAGAAGTGAATTTGATCATCACAGACTATTTCATGCCAGAAATGACAGGCTATGATCTCTTGAGAAAGATCAAGGTAATATGGTTTTTTCCGGTCTGGGTTAAGTTTCTTATGTTTTAAATGTTCTATTGTTGATTGGCCACACAAAAGTATTGTGGTTGTGCTCAAGTTTTGCTAGATCCAGTATAAATTTCTCACTTAGTTTGGCAATACTTAATGCAGTATTACTCAAAACTCCCAGCAATTAATATGTACTTCCCTGAATCTCAAAATTCTGAACTTTTTAAAATTCTTGGCAATAGTTCGTCCAGGGACATAAGGATTTGAGAACACGTGTTGAACTTGTGGCTAATTTTTGAGTTAACTTCTTGATAGTTAAGATCCTTACAAAAATGTATTTAACGAGCAGGAATCGAAAAGTTACAAAGACGTACCAGTTGTGATCATGTCTTCTGAGAATGTTCCCTCGAGAATCAGCCAGTAAGGGGAAATTATTCGCTTTTCCTTTAATACTTCAAAGTTCAATTATGTTCCATGACCATGGAATTTGACATGACTTGGTGGCAATGCCTGATCAGATGCTTGGAAGATGGGGCTGAAGAGTTCTTTCTCAAACCAGTTCAACTATCAGATGTCAACAAGCTTAGACCCCATTTGTTGAGAGGCAGATCTAAAGAACACCATCCCAACAGCGAAAAGAGGAAGGACAGGGAAGAGATATTATCACCTGGGAGAACAAGAACAAGATATGATGTCCCTGCAGTGATTTAGTTTAGAACTAGATACAGCTGATGCAGGGTTCTTGTGGCGAACACTCACGGGAAAAGGAAATTCATGGTAGTTTGTTGAGATGTGGTCTATGTAGATACTCTTGTCTTCTCTCTCAACTATAGATCATACAAACTTTATGGTGACAAAGAATTCTGTTTAGAGAGGATTCTCTCTAAACGAAAATTTCAGGGCCTCATCTCTCTCTGTCTCTCTCTCTTAATTGGGCATTTGAATCTCCTGATGCACTCAAGACTTCTTTTTGAAGAATATAGAAAAACTCGAATGACTATACATATATGCGGTTTCACTCTTTGTCCAAATTAAGATATTTTGGGAACATTGATAGTTTTAAGTAATCTGAGGCTCTTCACTAGACAAACTGAAACTGATTCTGCATTAACTTTTAGAATTGCATTGATGACGACTCAAAGAAAAACTTAGTAATTATCGCATCACCAAAAGTGGACAACCTCCTCCCACATGAATGTGGGTTTGTATGAATGGGGATCCATACGTCGTGTTACTGGAAGGATAGACTCCGGAAGCACCTAATAATGTTTCAAATGAATCCATGCTCTTTGAAACCCCAACAAGCCAAACAGACTACTTGTTCTTAATACCAGTATTTCTCTACTCTGGACAAGAAGGGAGAAAGCTTTCTCTTGAAACAATAAATTGAGCATCATCTCCAATATATAATTGCAGAATGTCATCGACAGATGTTGAGTAGTTATTGAACAGTTGACGAATCTAATCTGCTGATAAACCATACAATAGACTTCTGATAATGTTAAAGGATGCTGCCTAAACCGGGCTAATTTTTTTTAACCGGGCTAATTAAGCCAATGGACAAAACGAAACAGAGAAAACAGAGATATTAACTGTGGGATAATTAGTATCAGAGTTGATTACTGACCAATCTCAAATTTACGGCACCTGCTCCCCTCACAACCTACATTAGTGACTTAAAAATCTTAGTTGACTCAACCCAACCTATATACTACAAGATTGATAATATGATCCATATTACCAAAAATGAGGGACAAGGCATTAAGGATGCGACCTTTGGACATTTATATAAAGATCTGCGTTTGGTGGGGAGAATCAGCCCGAGACCAGCTTTACCACTATGCTGATAACGTTTAAGATGATAAGCGGAACCCTTAGGTATTGGGTTGCATTGATGAGACCAAGAACCTGCCCTTTCAGTGACTTGACCTTGCCTCCTGGAAATTCTTGAAAGGTCCACCCTTGCGGAGTGAGGAAACGGTCCTCGTTCAATATTGCCAGTGCATTTGCAAGAAGCAAAAGGCCTTCAAGCAACGTCCACAAACCCATTCCCTGTATCAGGATATTTTATGAATCAGATGGTGAAATTGTAGGCTTGCATCGACAAGAAAACTTAATGAATATCAAGGCGAGTGGTTCCAAATCCAACCTTCCAGCGTTGCTTAACATTGTGGTGCCCCACTTTCCAGTTAAATAAATGAGTAGCAGCTAATTAAAGCGAGGGGAGGGTAACAAAACCACATTAGTCCTGAATTGCTATTACCAGCAGATACTCTAACATGGTTCCATCCATCGCCACATTGGGAAGAAGGCATTTAATCTGAGATGGTCATCGAATCGCTGTTCTTTGCATATGCCTCTCGTCAAAAAATGAGCACAGCATCACGTAATGGAAAATATCCTCGAGGGGATCGAGGCAAAACGCTGAATTTTTACATCACCAACCGTTTTATCTCTTACAGTCCAACGAATTTTACAGGTATCGCCTTATTCAGTAAAATATCCGGAATGTTCAAGCGCCAGTGGCAGGATTTATCGAAATTTGCAAAATGTTTCCTTTTCTTGGATGAGTTTCATGAGATGTTTTCAAACCGATGGCTTAACGATATCTTGTACATTTGGTTCTATCAAGATCAGACTGAGGGATACTACTACACCATACAGGATCAGAATAAGGAGGCAAACGGGATAGCCAGTTTCATCAACAGATACCACAAAGTCAAGACATCGCATGCAAAAGCACTGAGGTGCCACCTAAATTGAATGCAATAAAAAGAAAGCAGAGTTTCAGAATTTCCTGTTAATACCCAAAAAGATTCTGCAAATGACTATAGCTATACGATTTGCGTTGTGATTGAAATGAAAAGGAAGGCGACTCACCCTGATTCTTGAAACCGAAACGCGCGAAGCAAGCAAAAATTGGAATGTCGAAGAAACGAAACAGAGCAAGCTATGACAAACGAAGCAAAATCAGTTTTGATCCGGCGACAAGACAACTGCTTTTGAGTCCGATGGTTGGAGTCGGGACAGTTTTCATCCTTTTTTACAAGGCTGCGCCAATTGGCCGCCGATGTTTGAACTTCTTCAATATCCACCCCTACATTTTGGCATCTGCTCTAATGTGCCCCTGAAATTGAGTCCGATCAAATTCTCGTCAAATTTTAATGGAAGAATAACATAAATAGTTCCTGAACTTTGTCGCAATGCGCAATGTGGTCCATGAACTTTTAATTTGTTCAATATAGTATCTAAACTTTAGCCCAATATGTAATGTGGTCCTTAAACTTTTAGTTTATTCATTGTCGTCCCTAAACTTTTGGTACATGTTCAATGTAGTCTCTGAACTATGTGAAAATGCTCAATATAGTCCCTAAACTTGAATTAATAGAAGAACTGAATTGAATACTTTCATATAGTTCCGGGACTAAATTGAATATGTACCAAAAATTCATGAACAACATACACGTTGGGCCAAAGTTCACGAATTGTTTGTCATTTTCCCAACTTTAATTGCATGCTCTCACATGACCTTTATGATGGTGCCAGCTATGAAGGGCAAGGATGTGCAGGAAATTCAGGCTGAGTTACATTTTGCCCCTAGGCTTTGCGATTATTACAGATTATCCCAATACTCGGAAACATTTTGTCGAGGGTAACTTTGTCCTGAAGTTGATGACTAAGACAGGTACTTTGTTTCGGGGCAGGATTCGCATGGACGGTCCTTCCGAATAACCTCGAATTTCTCAATAAAGTGCCCAAGTAAAGACTCAGCATAGTCGGCGACTTGGTAGGGGAGCCAAGATGCATGCAAGTTTCACGCACCTTGGTCTTAGGAAAAAAAGAAAGTTACAGAAAGTTCTAATCTAATAGCTTCATTCCATCATATTCTAAAAGGTTAAAAATATCTTTCATAGTAAAACTACAATCTATAAACTTATTTTTCGTATCTATCACTTGGCCAATAGTTACGAGAAATTAATTAGTAAGTGAACATTATTTTTATTACCCCTTTTTTTCAACTGCGCAGATATAAAACTACCTAATCCTCTAAATCAATATTCTTCTTGGCGCCTGCCTTGATTACAAGTCAGATGACTCAATGTTCTCCATCCTCCTATAGCATGGTTCGTCCGAAACATTCTATGAGCAAGTCACCAAGATAATTGTCTTGCTCATGATGGGTCTGTTTTTTTTTGGGGGGGTGGTTGGTTTCGTTATCAGGTTTTGTCTCTTGAGGTTGTGATCCTTTCCGATGTGAGTTGAATTAGAAAAAGAAAAGTTGAAAAGGCACCCTCGTTACGCTCGATCAGTATGGCTTCTCCAGATTCTCTTCCATATATAATAAACACACACATATATATCATGGCCAAAAATCAATTTTTCAAAGAGTTCCCAAAAAAAAAACATGCACGCCATAAGATGAATAATAACCTGCTTCTGAAACAGTCCATAGGAAGGCAAAAGGCTTTTTGAACATATTACGGTAATAATATGAACTTTGCAGATATTCAAAAAGGTTTGAACAAGTCCATCAATTTATTCACAAAACTCTTATCAATTCCAAATTTAAACTCGACATATGTACATTTCAAAGATCCAATGCACGAGCCTTAACTGTTACAAAAAAGAAGTATCACATAAAATTTGTTCCGAACAGATCTTAATTTGGATTTTTTTTATATACAATGACTGACTGGCATGACCCATTTTAGTATTGCAAACTACACTTTTTGAGGGGATTACCATGCGCAAACAAACCTAGAATATGGCATTAAAATGCATTATACAAACCAAATTAATGGTCATCCCCTCACGTTTATGTCTCTCACCTAAAATCAAAACTCTCTTAAGAAACCATGAACATTCAAGAAATTTTTTTTGTTGGACTATTATTTGCACTGCAATAAAACATCTTCAGAATCACTGTCCCATGCCAACAGATCATGCAACTAAGAACCAAGAAGATATAAATAGTGTTTTCTGATGCATTGCCACATAAAAGAGCTGGATACATGTTTTACAGAAAGGAATAAAGAAAGAGAAATAAAAAAGAGAGACGCCAGAACTACAACACTAGAAGGGAATAAAAAATTAATGAAGCCCCTTCGGAATGCGACAAACTTCGACACAACAAGGAAGTCATTGAGGTGCTTGACCATGTGGTGGACCGGGAGGTGGTGGGGGAGGCATACCAGATTGACTTCCAGGCTGCAAAGAAAATACAGGTCAGCTTCTGCCGAATTAGAATGGTGTGCTTCTTATCATGGGGATCGCTATTTAAGAAAAAGACCAAATGCATCTAAGTCGCGGCGAAAAATAATACTACTGACAACAGAATGAGATGATTATCTAGCCACCCAGCTATTTGTTGAAAGAATAGGAGTGCAAATACAAGCTTATAGAAAGAAGTGCTTCAAAAGAGAAATAAAATGTTCTCGCAGCAGCAGCAGCGCCAACAAAAACCAAGCATTTTTGCATCATAGCCTTCTGTCTTGTATCGAATCTTACTACTCAAGACTCTTAAGTACTTTAGAGTTATTTGGTCTAATAAACTGAGAAAGCTCACTCATGTGTTTTTAGAATGTAATCAGCACTGAAGTTCTAACCTAGCTTCTCTCATGAGAAGGCCTCGAGTCCTTTCACCACTACATGGAAGTATCTGAGGTCATGGAAGTGCATCCTCAAGTTACTAACCAAAACTCCTCTCTTACAATGAACATTAGATTCAGCCAATGACAGAAAATTCTGAAAGGCATCCCAGTCATGAATCAGAAACCACTGAGAATAGTTCAGCAACTTAATAGCGACTCGGCCTTTTTCTAACGGCAGATTCAATTATCATACCTGAAAAGGATTGAAACCTGGCATCATAGGCATTTGTCCACCTTGTGGACGGTTAAATGGACCACCTGCTGGATACATTTGTGCCCCACCTCCACTCGATGGCCCTTGCATATTTGGCAAACTACCAGGAAAACCCCCAACTGGAGGAGGTCCGCCACTTGAAGGTAACGATCCCGAGTGCATTGGGTTCATGCCCATATAATGGCCTTGTGGCATGGGAGGAACCATCTGATTCATCGTACCTTGCATGCCCTTCAATTAAAAAATAAATACACTCGCCTATTAATGCTTCTGGGAACAAACATCAAAACCAACAATACAACTCTTGCGCAATATCCTTTTTCCTATATATGCATTCGCAATGGACATGAGGTGGTTCCTGAAGACAGAACAAGTAAAGACGCAGGCATTGAAGAAGGTACCTGTGAGGGCATATTAAGTGGAGGCAGCTGGGGTGGAGGTCGAGGTAAATGAGGATGAGGAAGCAAAGGTAAATGTGATGGAGGTTGTAACTGTGGCATATTCGGAGGTGGCATAGGCAAAGGAGCCATTTGCTGTGGGAATGGTTGATGTTGTTGCTGTTGCTGGATTTGCTGAGGATTTTGTTGATAAGGTTGCTGCTGATTAACAGCAAGAAGGGAGGGATGTGGACCAGGTGGTAGAGGAGGAGCTCCTACAGGCATTGAACCTAGTGGCTGCTTCTGCTCTCCCTGAGAAGAAAAATCTAACGAAGGAATTGACAGCGGCATGGCAACTCCTACACCTGGAATGGTCCCATCATTTCGAGACAAGCCCCCGCCAAACGGTCCTGGGGTTGTTGGGGTTTCAGGTACAGGAAAATTGCCAGGCATGCGGCCAGCAAGAGCAGGGTTTTGTTCACCATAACCTGCTATAGATCAATCAATGCTTAGTTTCAAGAGAATATCTAACATCAGCTACATGCTAAATCATGCCTAAAATAATTAGCATTTTCTTGTCTCTTTATGATAAAAGCAGCAAGTCCACTGTATTCAAGAAGTGTTCGACTAAATTTAATACAGTGGGTCCACAAAACAGAGCAGAAACTAACCTTGGTTGGGTCCCACGTTAAATTTATCACGAGGAGTATCACCTGGCCTATTTCTGCACCAAAACCTGGTTGTATGATCATTGCTACCACTGCAGTAAGAACAAAACACAGTTAGTAGTTGAGAGCAGAAGTCAGTTACATTTAGACTACTGACGAGATCATACAAAATCCAGGTGATTTGCAGACAATATAGCACCAGATAGCAGATCACCCACTTACACCTTTTCTAGTAAATGAAAGGAAGGGTTTGTTTACTACGACCCAAAATTATTAGTTTTAGCTTTCCGGTCTCTTAAAAGTTTACAGTTTTTTGTTTTGCTAAAATGACAAATTAAAGGATTTTGAATGTTTATGTCCATGTGTTTTTAAAGATTTGAGGTTGTCAATATCACACAATTTACAGATGCTAGAAGCACAGGAAAAAGCAAAAGGCCAGAAGTATAAACCACCCGAACCACACCCATAAAAATAACTCAGATTTACCTGCAGAGCAAATAGCCAATGGGATGCCATGCAAGGTCCCATACACTGTTTTCATGTACATTGGATATTTCAATCTGAGGAGTTTCATGCCTGATAAATTGTTTCTGACAGTTAGAAGACACTAAAGACAGCCAAAAACTGAAAGTACAAAAGAAAATAAAACAAATAACAATTGTTGGAATTAGCCAAGCAACAGGACTGACTAATTAACTAATGTATCCATGCAGTCCATAGAAGAGTGGCAAGAAAGTGAATTACACGTAATTTATAGAGTGACCCCAGATCAAGTCTCACTAAATATCTCACATTTACCTTGATCCAACTATCAACTACAGTCCGTCCAACAAAACCCTACCTTTTCCTCTTCCTGTTCAAGGTAAGTGTAATTTAAAGGACATGGTAAATTCCATTTTTACCTTGCTTCCAGATGTCAACTTTAGTCCATTTGCAAGTATCTTTTTCTTTCTCATTCAAGATAAGTGTACTTTGGATCTTCATGTGCGAGTAGAAGAAACCCTCATATATCTACTAGACATACATTCTACAGAGGAAATGTTTCCTCAGATGGCATGGAAAATGACGTTCCAATTTTTCACACCTGCTTAAAAATGTTTAGTTTAAACCTTCCCTACTTAACCTCACAGAGAGCCCCTACGGACCTCCAGGAAAGGGCAAGTCCATTACTAAATGTTGAGTCTTGTAAACAATGATATCAAAAGCTACTATTCGACCAATCACCTTTTCCACTTCAACTTTGTCTTCTGCGACAAAATTATGTTAATCTAATGGTGATGCTATGTATACTAAGACTAGCTTACAAAATTAGTTTGCAAAGTGATATAGCAAGCTGTGAAAGGATATTTGACAAGGTGGGCCAAATGCTATTAAATATGTACCCGACAAGCCAATGGAAGATGGATCCATCGAAGCTCCCACTGACAAAGTACTCCTCATGGAATGGATGCCAAGCCAATGCTATAAAATTTTGAAAAGTAAATGTTTCAATATGAATATCAAACGTAGCAATGAGGTTAAATAAGAGACATTAACTTTAGTCCAACACACTGAGAAGCTAAGAGTGGATCTTACTCGACTAACTCTAACTAATAATTGTAACTATAGCAAGCAACAAAATATTTGGTCATCACTCACCAGTGACATCCTTCCGATGACCACGGAAAGATTCAAGCTCCTTCATAGCCCTGATGTCATAGAGCTGCACTCACAAGGTACTATCTTAGACTATAATCGATGGCGGACAAACCAAAAATATATATCAAAAACAATGAAAGGACAATGCTTGATGGCAATCAAGTATCAAGCCCAATCCTGCCATTTAATGACAGCCAAATTGAAAAAGTAAGCACCTTGATGATTTGATCCTTAGCAGCAGTTAACACCCAGTTTCCATTTTGGTTCCACTTGACACAAAGCACTGTATTCTTGTGGCCATGACTTCAAGAGACATGTATTATATCTCAGAAAGTATGAGGATAAACTAACCCTTCAAAAGTTCAAAGATATAGAGCACTTACAATGAACAAAGCTCCCTTCCTGATTTAGCATCCCATAGTTTTACAAGATTGTCCTTACCGCCTAATAAGCGACAAAAAAAATGTGATGATGGTGCCCGAGAAACTTATGAATCTTAGGGAAAAGATTATGGCAAAACTTTGTAAACCTGAAACCAACAACGATTTGGTAGGGTGCCAATCAACGCTCTTCACATCCCAACCATGACCTGCCTGAGTTCAACCCACACATAAAAAGAAGTCTTGGTTCATTGTCAGCAAAGCTGGCATGACACATATACACACAGACTATTCATATTTCACAGCAAAGGATTCAAAAGATAAGTCTTCCAGCCATATAATCTATACGAGATGTAAGTGACATTACCACTGGGAAAAAAAGGAAACATAGACATCCGGTCATTTCCAAGTGCAAAACAAGGAGGAATACATCACATGTGTGAAAGCTAGTAAATAGGGAATCATCCTTAAATTCACATGAAAAATTCTAATGCTCTGTGGTTATGTGACTTTATTGTCTCAAAGTTTTAAAAAACAAAACGTCAACAACAATCTGTAGATTCACCCAAGTAGGCATGACGACTGTCGCAAAACTAACAACCGACAATTGTCTTAGAGCCATGGCTTCCTTGGTGACAGTAGCCTCCAAAACAAGACCACTGATAAATGAGCACACCAGGTTAGTTAATTTCCAAGGAAAGTCAAACTGTTACTTGAAAGTTATTCAATTGATGGAAACACTTCTACATCCTACTGACTCATAATTGGAATACACTCCCTCAAACTGATTCTTTCAAGGGACTGATTATTTTCAAATTATTTCCTTTTCATGACTGAAGGATGAACTTATTCAATAAATACTGAAGATTTTGGAAAAAAATACACAGTTTTCGGAACTAAATGGCTTCGATGCGCAAAAGTTTTTTAAATATTGTGTTCTTCAAAACCTATGTCGTCTTGCACTACTGTTGCAACAAATTAAAAGATGCTATGCCATTTAACTCTCCTTTTTGGACCTAAAATTAGTCAAACACTAAACAAACTATCCATCTCCATGAACATGATGTTAGACATAACAAGACGGTTAAAATATTGACCAAGTAAAAGAATATAAGCAGTAAGCTTTGTACACTTGAAGACACTCCCAGCAAAATTCTACAGTGACATTTTAAGTGAATTACTATCTTTTTTTTTTTTTTGTGTGTCCTAAAGAACTCCAGAAATTTAAAGCATCTACAGCCAACAAAAGGTGCAGATAAATTCATGCAACTTCACCAAAGGTCAAATTTAAAACGAATCATGCGAATTCTCATGACTAAAGTAATACGAAAAGGCAAAGGAGCTCCATGCTGACTATACAGCAAAAGTGACACAATCTTGCAATAGAGTTTGGTCACATTACCAGATAACGAACGCTCTTCTTGGCATCGAGCAAAGTCCCAGACTTTAACAGTAGTATCATCGGAGCAGGAACAGAACTTCAAGTCTGTCCTACAGAAGCTGTTGCAAAAGTTCAATCATGACATGCCCCATATAGCTAGGGTGCAGGCATAAATATCGGTGTTCGTAAGGCTCACCTTAAGTCTCGAACTGATTCTTTATGAGCAGATTTATTAGCCTTCACATTGTTCATGTTGTTCTGCCAATACCTGAGAGATATTCCCGGCAAACACAATAACATGAGCAATAAAAGAAAATGCTGAGATCAACACGTTTGTGCATCCATGAGAGGCTTTTTTTTTTTTTGGGGGGGGGGGGGGGGGGGAATTATAATTTAAATGTGAAAATTTGTCCTCTAAAAAAGGGAAATATTGAATGATGTACTTTATAGATCCTCCATCATCGCCAGAAACCATCCAATTGTCATTGTGACTCCACACCATTGACCTAATTGCTTGATCATGTGCCTAGAAATCAGACAATGCACCAAACCCTATTAACTAAACATTCCTCCCGGTTTCTCAAAAACAAGGAATAAGGATTTAGCCACTTATTACACCTGAAGAATCATTTCAAAATTGAAGGACTGTCCATTCCAAAGAGTGAATTCGCCGCTATGAGAGCCTGTAATGAGACGCCGCCCCGTAGGAGTCCACTTAGAAAGACAAAGAAAAGGTCAGCAAACACTTAAATGAACTTAAATGACATGGAAAAGAACTTAAATGACAAGTACTGGTCAAGTTTGGCAGTGCTGTAGAATTTTATATGCTAGGGCCGCAAGATGTATAAACTCAAGAAGCCGGTTCTTTCTCCCTTTAGAAAAGATATTATGTTGCTGCTTTATAGAGAAAGAGCGACCCATTCTAAAAGATGGTTCCTCTCACCAAAACTCGATTGATTGAACAACGATTCTTGTTTACTGACGTATGAACAAACTTTGCAGCAAAGCTTGTGGAAGGATTATCTGAATATGCAACAGCTGGTAACATCTGCATGAAGGATAGGTAGATAATAAAAGATCCTCAAACAGTATCAATTCAGTATATAATAGGGCATGATTAAAAAAGCACAGATGATGCTCACATCAATGGCTGCAGCTGGTGTAGGCTGCAACACCGTCCTGTCTCTAGAATCCCTCTGCCACATACGAATCTGCAAAACACAATTACAAGCTTCACAACCAAACTCAAACAGACTTGCACAGCATCACAACTAACTAACAGCTTCAGAAAATTGAAAGCATCCAAAGGTAGGTCGGTAATAAATATACAACCAGTTCTAAGAAAAGAAATCTATAGGATAGAAAGAGCCAAAAAATAAAATGCATGCGATTTCCTGTGAAAACCAAAAAGTAACAATGCCACAAGCAGATGTTGAACCGCTTTCATTTAGTGTAGCATGCACAAGATGGTATGAAAGATACCTGCATATACCGCACAACAGTGCTAGTGTAGTCAACTGCCCTCCTTTGTGTAAGCTTTCTCATTCTTTTCGCAGCAAAATTATCGGTATGAGCTGCATATAAAGACAGAAAGAAGAAACTGAATGGCGATTCTTCTATCATTCTCCTGAGCATACAACATAATTCATAACAGTACGAGGACCCAATTGATCGATCCAAAATTAACTAATATTAACCTAGTCATTTCTTACGAAAATTTGTCATTCACGGTATTGTAACTGGCTACAATGCATAGCTCCATGAAAATATCAGCAATCAATATCTCAATCTATTTTTTATAATATTGCAGAAGAACTTCTAAATTGTCCATGCCAGCGTGAAGAAGAGGCAAGGCAACTTTTTAGCAATGGGTCAAACCCTCCAAAGTTTTGGACACACACAGGCACATGCTACTAGCCAGGTAAAATAGAAGCTTCTAATAAAAGATGTGATAAAAAAGTCGTGATCTCAGTAATTCCTGCAAAGGGGAAGCTAAAAGAGGTACAGGAATGGTGAGGAAGCTGAACTAGATTTACACTTGCCATTTCTAAAATGAGACGGTCCACAAGTCGTTAATTATGCTCTGTTATGATTTGATAAACTGCAAAATCTCGATTGCCAATTGGTGAAGGGGAAGACAATACTATGCCCAGTACAAACAATACCGAAAGAAAATTTGAATTGTCGCCTCCCGACACCAGTGATTCTTTGCTCTGTACCACTAACTCTTTCTACACATAAGTCATTTCACGCACAAGCATCCTAACTTAAATGCCTCGGAAAAAGCGCTACGACTAACATCAAGGACCGCACCCTAATTCGGACTTATGAGCAAGAATGCCGACAGCTCGATAGCCAAATCCAATAGGAAATGAATACAGCATACCCTTGGCCAACCCCTAGGACAAGACATTTCTCGACGATATCATCCGATGCCACGAATGTACATATTGGTGCAGACACTGTACCGTCGTAAGGATGAGCTTGATGCGGAGGAGGCGGGCCCGGCTGGTGGTGCTGATAATCCGGAGGGGCGAGGTTGGTGGAGGAAGCGGAGGGTTGCCTCATCATCATCGGAGGCGGCGGCGGCGGGGGGCCCCGGTGGAACTCGCCACCTGGCTGCTGCTGCTGCTGCTGCTGGGGATCGCCGTACATCATGCTTGCGGACGCGCCGCGAACTCCGATCTCCGGCGACGGAGAGAGCGAGGGTGGTTCTCCGGCGGAGCGTGGCTCGCTCAGGTGGACCCAAGACCAGGGGATCGGGGACCTTCGAAACCCTAGTTCACTTCCGTTCTTCGACGGAGCAGAAGAGGAAGAAGAAGAAGAAGAAGAAGAAGAGCGGGAAAGGAAAAGGAGAGCGGATAAGCATTAGGCCCATATAGGATCCCGTTTTGGGCCCGGGAAGAGAGTTTCCCCACTTTTATTCGGGATATTCTTTCTTTTCTTTTGACAAAAATTGGGATTTTATTCTCTCTTTCTTTTGACCTGACAGTCCATTTATTTCGCAGAAAATGTACCATTTCTAATAAATATTTTCCATAAGTCATTTTTCAAGTAAATGATTTTATTTTCTGATATTTAGCTGAAACCTAAAAATCAATTAAAAAATATTTTCCGTTATTTGATGCAAAAAATCTGATTTGATTTTCCATAAGACAATTATTAAAAACAATTGAAATTTTTTATTTGTTATGTTTTTCTTTTCTTTTTTCTGTTTCTTTTTTCCTTCTTCCTCTCCGGCGCTCATTTGCTTCCTCGCCGCTATCCTCATCTCCTTTCCTCCAGCGACGATGGTCACAAGCGAGCTCGAGCTCGCTGGCCTCGCACGAGCCCGAGCTTGCCTGGATCTGGCGAGTCACAAGCTTGTCGGCCTCGGTCAATCCTTGAGCTCACCGACCTATGTCTTGGCCAATCGCCAAGGCACGTGGCCAACAGAGGAAGAAGGAGAAAGGAAAAGAAAGAAAAGAGAAAAGAAAAGGAATAAAATAATAATATGTAATTTTTTTCAAAAAAATTATATGAATAAACGTTCTATTAACTAAGTACCGACCCTAAGTAGGGGTGTGCAAAACGGACTACCCAAATTGAAAACCGCCTAGACCGGACTGGCGGTTTGATCCGATTACTGGGAGTGTCAATTCTCCCAATCCGATCCTCGGTTCCATCTTAGAACTGGATCAGACCGGGAACTAATCACCCCTCACCCTAACCACCGATGACCCGCGGACAGTTTTTGTGGACCTGGGCCTAAGGGTTGGGACTAAAGTTCGACCGTCGGGGATCGAACATGGTCTTTGTGGACCCTAGTTCGGGTGTTGGAGTATCGGGTACGAGCACTAGGGGTTCACCCCCACCCTGGATGGACCCGAGCGTGGGCGTCGAGGGCCTAGGGTTGAGCACCGTGGTCTCGGGCCGGGTCTTGATAGACCTGGGCTCGATCGCCGAAGACATGATCCTGAACGCTGGAATTAGGAATTAACGTTGGGGTTTTCGTGCTCAGTCGTAGAGTTTCGAGTCCCAATGTCAATATCAAGTCATATTTTGGAAAACGTTTTTCTCGTTCGTTTAAAGAGGAAACTATTTTCCTAAATTTAAACTTTGGTAGGAAAATATTTTCCGTTAACTCATTTTCCAAAGCGCAATAAACATCGGAAAATAAGGGTTAAAGCCACCACTAGCCCCTTTAAGTCGCCACTCCGCTAAGCACGTGCCAAAACACTAATAACGTATTTATATAGGAAAAAAAAAATCAATTGTAATTGCGGATGCAGTTTCATATTTTTATTGGCGATGAACAAAGTTTTGTAATTTTTTTTATTGATAGGTTTTGATGGTGATGTTCGAGCCAATTTTTATAAGCCTCGACTAGTCTATCATTTCAGACAATCTTAAGCATGCACTCTCTCAAATGAAGATAACATATATAGGAATTTACATTAGGATAACTTAATAGAATACTAAACCATCTTGATGACCATTTTTTTCTTAAATCAAAAGAGTCTCTTACGATATAGATATTTTTTTTTGGCTTTGACTGTTAAATAAAATCATTACACAAGACTTCAATATGCTGTCCTACTCAAAAACCAATTGTAATCTAAAAAAATCAAAATTTTCAATCGATTCCCCTCTTCTCCTTCCCCTCGACCAGATCTTGGAAGGTGCAATTCTCGTAGGACTTTTTTTTTGTCTATTTTATTTTAATTTTTAACTCACTTTTAGACTTTTACCCTGCTTCTTTACAGAACGGGAGAGTCGAAATCCACATTTGACACAAAACGTCTTCACCACTAACTCCCGATAAGGTGGGGAATCGAATTTCTCACCTCTCCCTTCCCAAGTAGGAAAAGTGGCCACTGAGACAAACCCGAGTAGGACTTCAATTATAGAATTTGACTCACGAGACCTTCGGCAAAGCTTCCCTCACATTGGTGCCGAGGAACTTCCCAGCCACAATCGACCCCGGCTTTCTCTCTATTTCCATTCAAGGTTGAGGGGTAATATATATTAGTGAGGATAAGATTGGAATAAAATATTTCATTAAATCCCTTATTTGAAAATGCTAAAGCTCAAATAAAGAAGATTTGTGTCGAGCTTTTAGCATTTGGAGAAACTTTGAAAAATTACGCTACTTCAATTCAAGGATTTCTTCGACCAAAAAAAAAATTCAGGGATTTTTGGTCCGACAAAAAAAATATCAGCATTTTCGGAATTTTCTGAATTTTTTTTATTAATAGATTCGCATATACTTTTTCTTTAGCAATTTTATATTATTTTCTGCTTTTTCCATAGAAAATCAAAAGCGCAGCCGGAGAGAGGCAGAGCCGCAGAGGCAGGGAAGAAGAGGAATGCCCGAAAGAGAAGGTGCATTAGGGTTTCTCCATCTTCTCCGATTCTCCTGTCCCTCTTCCAAGTTCGCTCTGAATTCCGAAGCGGGATCGAACAGCGAAAGCGAACGCTTCGGTACGAGGAAGAGGAAGAGGAAGAGGACTCCATTCCAGAACGAACCAGGAGCTTGAGCTCGACAGCAATTTTCGATCCCTCGGATCCGGATCAAAACGCTCTCTCTTCTCCTGAATCGAAGGTAACTCCAAAAATTCACCAACTGCAACTCTCGACCTCTTTTTTGGCCGAATTCTCGCCTCGGCGAATGAGTCTTCCGGTCTCGATCTTAGCGCCAATGCCGGTGCATCAGTTTCGTGTTTGCTGTTCGATCGGTTCTTCTATGATGCATCGCGTCTTTCGCGTCGGGGTATTCGTAATTTGTTCGAGACGGGAAGAGTCGATTTCGCTCTGCCTCGGCAATGGGGAGAGTTTCGTAAGTCCCGTGTAAGATTCTGGTGCTGATATCATCAGGTTGGATCTGGCGATAGCATTTTTAGTTTGAGCTATCTATTTCTGTCTTGTGTATTGAAAGATCACTTTCGGTTCGATTCAAGCTAGAGGCGAATTTATCATAGCAAAGAAGAAGAAGAGGTTGGAGCATATGTGGACCATGTGGCTATAGCCGAGAACGAGTGAACTGCTCATAGTTTTCGAGTTTTGGTTCCTTTATCCAACTTGCAATTCTTGCATAGGATAAACAGGAAACTGATATAGAAGCATTTTCGAGCAAACTAGCGATACCCCTTCCTTCTTGTTGAGGGAGCCGTCCATCTCTCTTGGTTGCTTTGATTTTTAATTGGTGTTGATCACTATTTATTATGTCGACTGCAGTGAAGTGTAGATGATCAGGAAGTTTTGTCTGTTGCTTTGCAACTGAAAGGCATAGTTGTGGGGGACATGCATGCCATTCTCACTGTCTTACATCCTGTTCTGTTTGTGAAAACTGAAACTACTTTTCGACTGATTTAAAAGCAAGTGCTTTTTTGAAAGAATGAGCATACACGGGCGTCATTTGGATATTTGAGTTGATTGGAAGAGTATTATTCATATACTCGATTAACTTCTTACTTGGACTCCACGAGCTTCCTTGACTATTAAACGCAGTTGTTGCGTAAAATATAGAAGGATTCATAATAAAGCAGCATCTTTTCTGCTCTTTCCATCCTCGAAATCAATGTATAATGCCTAGATTCCTCCTTGGGTCGTCAACACGACATTGATGCTGTTGTCTGTTGAAGAAGAAATGATTAGATTCCTTGATTATTAAACGCAGATCCCATCTGTGATGTTTAGGGAATGAGTAATGAGAACATGCCTGTGCTAGTCTATGTTTCTGGATGACGTCTAACTGTACTTTGAAGGATAGAGTTCTGCAGATAGATAGTTTTGGTCATGCGCATGTCATCTTGGCTGACAATTCATTTGTAAAGACGGCTGATGATGACTACCTAAGTTTTGCAGTCAACCTTTCTGTTGCTGTCTATGTCGTCTTTAAGGTACCTAACAAAATGGGAGATAAGAAAACAGAAGTACATGGAGTGTATATGGCAGAATCAATGCATTCCTTTGTTGAATTTTTGTGTTGCTTTCCGCATACCGTGTATATGCTTGTCTTGCTTTCTCTGTTTTCTACCCCACACGGTCATTTTATGGATCACCCTGTTGACTTTCCATACTCGAGCAGGATCAAAATCAGGATAGAAGATCTTGCTTGACATGGCTGCTTCTGCCAAACCTCTTACCGTTGGAAATTGTTCCTTAAACGGAGAATGGACTGTTGTTGGACGACGGCGTGGCAAACAAAGAAGATATGTCCCGAGGATCAAACTTCCAGAAGTAAGAGAAGCATGGACTCCAGCAGATACCAACATTGATACTGAAAGAGTCTCAAAATTGCTGCAGAAGCTGGAGATATGTATGAAGAGGATGGAGACCTCTCAGTTCTACCGGCGTTTTGTGGAGCAAATTGCAAATTCAGAATCTTTTAATTGCTTTCGCCGGGTTTTGGGCTCTGAATCGGAGATGCAGGTGGTTGTTTATGGTATTGGCAGCATTGACTCATATGAAACCCCGAGGTTGCAGCTGAGTCTCTTATTATTGATGAAGAGAAAGTTCAGTTGGATGGGCGGCATAGAAGTTTTTGATCCCATACTTTCTGCAACAGAATCTCAAGTGTTACAAGCTCTTGGTTGCTATGTCCTCTCAGTTAATGAGCAAGGTCGTCGCTGTGCTCTAAAGCCCACGCTTTTTTACATGCCTCATTGCGAGGCTGAGTTATACGACAATCTTCTGCATGCCAATCAGGAGGCGGCCACGCTGAAGAACGTAGTACTGTTTGGAAATAGCTTCGAAACGTATGAGGAGTATGCATCTGCGATTAGAAATTCGTCCATAGTGCATTCTGCAGGGCATATATTGGCTCTTAAGAAATTCACATGTGAGTACAAAATCCAGATTGTGTCCGATGATTATTTTAAAGCCTTCCATGATTCAAGTTGGCATTTTTTCAGCAATGTGCATGACGCATAGCTGCTATTTGTGTAACCCTGACCAATTATTGTTGGATCAGCATTGTGAAAAACTATATGCTGGTGGAAATAGAATGGCTTTGGCGTTAAGTTATTGTGGGAAATTCATCTACGAATGAAATGGACTTAAACGAATCGTCCCTTGTGAGATAAGTTGTCATTTATCTTTTCCCCAATTCTCATTTACTTCCTAATGAGCATTAGCATTCGGAAATAAGTAGTCTTACTTTTCATGTTCTTCTTTTTCTTGGTGGCCTTTCTGTGCTGTTGCACAAATTGAAAGCTTAAGACGCTCGTAATATAAGCAACAAAATTGAAGGCCCTATTATAAGTATTCCCTTCGGGGCCCTCTATAGTCCGGTATTCCCCGACTCCCAACTTGCCAACGTTAACGATCCATCTTCGGCGCCCGGCGATGCAGCTCTATCGATGAAATCCCGAGCTCTCCTCGCACAAGAACTGGCTAATCACCTCAAAACATTATTATTTCTAGAAAAGGGGAATGGGGGTGAGGTCATCATCATCCGCAATGCCTTGGAACTTTTTAGTTCCACGGTTGGCCCAACACGGGCTTTAGGAGGACGAAACCGGTTCCTTTGACTTTTTAGTTCCACGGTTGGCCCAACACGGGCTTAGGACGACGAAACTGGTTGCTTTTTCCGTTACGCTCCGGCTCCCGTTCGTAACGAAAAAAGAAGGAAAAGCAAAAGGGCGGCCGATGTGGGACGACACGAGTCAATCACGTTCGAGATCATCGGATTCAAACCAAATGCTTTTGAACCGCGTCGCCTTTCCGAGCAGGCGGTGCTGCGTCCAGTCATATCAGCCCCCACCTCCCAAATTGAACGAAAAATCGAAAATCCTCAAACAATAATCTTTTCATCATCCTCTTCGTCCTGCCTTTGTGCCTACGCCTCCCAAAGCCAGCTCCTCCACAAACTTTTCCTCCTCCTTCCTTCCTTCCTTCCTCCGCCTCCTCCTCCACCATTTCGTCTCTCCGCCATTTTGCTTCGATCGCACGTCAGCCCCCGCGTGGTGAACTGTCAAAACACACGATTTGCCGGACCTGCTCGGTCATTTCCCCGCGCTTCCTGCGATCTTCGATGGCGAATTGCGATGCCAATTTCGATCTCTCCGCCAAGCGGAGATCGCCTCCGTTCAACCGGTCGGTCACCATGCGCGCGGAGCCCGCGGAGAAGCCCTGCGGCGGTAAGCCCTCTTTCGAGCGAGCTGGTTCCGTCAAGAGCATCTACAGCTCGATCGAATCGTTCATGCCCACCGGCGATTCCATCAAAGGTAAGGTCCGGAGGCTCCGCAGCTTGTTCGAATCCGCCAAGCCCCCGTCTCGGGGGGGCGCGGATGAGGCCCAGACCGTGGCTGCTCATGCCCCTTCCAAGCTGAAACCCGCGAAGTCGGTCGATTGTGGGTATGATCACGGCTGCTCGTTTAGGTTGCCGGGCACGGAGGATAGGATCGTGGTGTATTTCACCAGTTTGCGTGGAGTTCGGAGGACGTTCGAGGATTGTTACGCGGTGAGGATGATATTAAGGGGATTCAGGGTTTGGGTCGACGAGAGGGATGTGTCGATGGACTCGGCGTATAGGAAGGAGCTGCTGAGCGTGTTGGGGGAGAAAAATGTTAGCTTGCCGCAGGTTTTCGTTGGGGGCAAGTACGTGGGCGGAGTTGATGTGATCAAGCAGCTTTATGAAGTCGGCGAATTGGGGAAAATTCTCGAGCGGTTTCCGAAACGGGCGCCTGGGTTCGTGTGCGATTGTTGTGGGGATGCGAGGTTTGTCCCGTGCACGAATTGCAGCGGAAGTAGGAAGGTGTTCGATGAAGATGAAGGGGCATTGAAGAGGTGTTTGGAGTGCAATGAGAATGGGTTGATTCGTTGCCCCGATTGCTGTTCTTGAAGGGTCAAAGAAGTTTCCGCACTGTTTTTCTGCAAATATTCAATGCTGATTTCTCCATTAAGACTGGCTACTGTTGAGTCAGTCACAATGTGGACATGTCTTTGGATTTGGGATGTGAATCCACATAGGGTTCATGTTGGGTTTTCTTTGTTAACTAATATTTAGTTGGGATTGGTGTTCATCATCTCTCTGGACAGGGGTCAAGGGGGATTGTACGTACTACTTATATAGTGAAGACAACAACTGTCTTCTTCATCAGAATGTAAATATGTAGTCCATAACATGGACAAGGATGCAAATATTGTCACGGATGGTTGTCGAGAAAAGAGGTTTATTGATCCTCAAATTCTCAATGATTGACTGCCGGGAAGGGGCATTTCCTGGTAACCTTGTTTTCGTTAAAGCTCATGCTTTGAGTTCTTGATTTACAGTGGTTTCCACTTTCCTCCACTGCTTTACATTTCTTTAGACAACTGCATTGTATGAAGAGGTTGTATATCATAGGAATTATTTCGATGAGAATTTAACAGGAAAATGGGACACAATTTGCCGCAATTAGTTGGATTCTAACACAAGGTGCTGCTTAACTTATTGGATCGTGAGTGGCCTGATTCTTTCTGTTTATTTTTTCTGGTAGGACTTGTGTAGATAGTATGTGAGCATTTCTGTTGATACTCAGAAAAAAAGTATACTTTCTTTTGCCTATGCTTCGCGGTGTCATCTTTAATTTCTCAATGTATCTGATTCTGGTGGATGGTTGCTATTGTCGAAAACCCTCTTTCTGAAGAATAGATAGATTGTTGCTCTTAATGAAAGCCCTCTTTTGGACCAACTGATCCACTTGAACTGAAAGGCTGAAAGCTCATATCAAGCTTCTTCAAATCAAAAGTTGTTGGCACTTTAATCATATATGTTTAGGGCTATCCTTACGTACAGCAATAGATTTGCATGTAATGGACAATGCACTTTCTTGAACATTTTATCGAGCAGTAATATGTCAATGTTTTTGTATGCCATGAGGCTTTCTTTAAGAACTTGTGAGTTCATGTGATGTTAGATGAAATCTTGTTGGAGAAGGATTTTTTTTTTTTTCCATTTGATCCCAGACTCTCTGACCACCGTTTGTGAATTGTTCTTCCAGATGGGGACCATTATAGTTATAGCGTACCAGAAGAAACTGTTGATTGAGATGACATCTTGATATCCACTATGGAGGTTTCGGCGCTTACTGCTATTGTGCAGTGCTTTTAACTTGGCTTTATGAGGAATTAGCAGACGATGGAATGGTTCTAAGGGATACAAAAACTTAGTATAGTCATGATGTTGGGAATGTCGTGGTATCCAAGATCCTTACAAATTATATACCGAAAACACGGGCTAACCAGCAGCTGTTCTCTTAGTAACAATGCAGAGTTTATCCTTTGGCATACTTGTCTTCTATATATTTTATCATTTCTCTCTATGTATTCTTTGATGAGATTTGGTCGTGGAAGTAAAATGACAAGGTCATCTTCCATTTTTTGCTTGTGTCAGCATCTCCATCAGTTCAAACACGGCGCTCTGCTGCTGATCTCTCGCGATGAAAGTTGGGTTCTGCTACATGGCCCAACATGATGAAAAATTCGAATTTTGTTACAGAAACAATGTATTAAATAAGCATACTGTCAGCAGACAACGGACAGAGAGAATTCAAAAATATCGGGTGGTCCGGGCCCTCCGCGTCCCGTGAAGGGGCTTGGGATAGAGGCCGGCGGTGACGAGACCGAGAGAGAGATGAGGGAAAAATAAGCTTTTCTTTGGTATGGATGTTAGTGTAAAATAATCCGATGAGTGAGGACTATTCGCGCAAACAAGTGTGAGGCCATATTGTTTGGCTCTTATTTTTGCTCACTTCACTTTGCCGGCGAATCATCATGTCTGAAAATTGAATGGATTTTGGGCAATTTAGCAAAAACCCCGAGGGCCGTGGCCCTGAAAAAGAAAGAAAGAGAGAGAAAGAAAAGGGGAAAAGAATCAGATGTTCACTTCACTCTTCCCAACGCCACTCCATCTCTCTCCACCCCGCACGCTCCCCAAGCACCACTCTCTCTCCTCCTCCTCCCTCCTCTTCCTCACCACCACCACCACTACAAAATCAAACGCACTCCCACTTCGCCACGCCCTCGCATCGCAACGTGACAAACCCTGCAGCCCGCCTTCTTCCTCCTCCTTCCCGCCGCCGCCGCCGCCGCCGCCGTCGATGGAGTCGCTGGTCCTCCGGCTCCACGAGATCTCCGCCGTCAAGTTCGGCAGCTTCAAGCTCAAGTCCGGCATCTCGTCCCCCATCTACATCGACCTCCGGCTCATCGTCTCCTACCCCGACCTCCTCCGCGACATCTCCCAGGCGCTCATCTCCTCCGTCGCCTCCACCGCCTTCGACATCGTCTGCGGCGTCCCTTACACCGCGCTGCCGATAGCGACGTGCGTCTCCGTCTATAATGGCATTCCGATGGTCATGCGCCGCAAGGAAATCAAGGACTACGGTACTTCCAAAGCGATTGAAGGTACTGCGGTAGCCTGTCTGTACATAAAGAACGTTGCTTTTAAATCTATCTAATTGAGGACGACAGTCATTGATTTTACTGGCGATCCAATGCGATCAACAGAGGTTGTTGTTTTCTTGCCTGGCTGTTTGCTAAGCTTGGATTTTGCATCGTGTTATTTTGATGCGTCATTCATTCTGTGTTGATTAGGTGAATTCAAGAAGGATCAAGTGTGCTTGATCATCGAGGATTTGGTTACCAGTGGCGCGTCGGTGCTGGAAACGGCTGCACCGCTGCGTGCCGTGGGGTTGAAGGTGACCGACGCGGTGGTTTTGATCGATAGAGAGCAAGGAGGGCGAGAGAATCTGGAAGAGAATGGGATCAAGCTGCACGCGATGATAAAACTGACAGAAATGGTGAGGATTTTGAAGGAGAAGGGGAAGCTAGGGGATGATATGGAGGCCACTGTGCTGAAGTTTCTTGAGGAGAACAAGAGGGTGGCTGTGCCTGCGAAGGAAGTGAAGGAGAAACCTAGGTTTTTGGGGTATGGGGACAGGGCAAAGTTGTCAAAGAACGCCACTGGGAAGAGGTTATATGAGGTGATGGTGGAAAAGGAAAGTAATCTATGTGTCGCCGCTGATGTGGGGACTGCTGCCGAGTTGCTTGATATTGCTGAGAAGGTCAAGAGTTTGATACTCTCTTCTTCTTTCTTGATATTTGCAGATTAGTTTAATGAAACGTGCAGAGATATCTTTTTCTATAAATGAACCTGCATAAAGATATATAAACTAAGGGCATCATTATTTTGATTTTGAGTTGCAAACATTACTTAGACTTGTCATTTTTATATCCATCTGGCATTTGTTTCTGTTCTTTAGATTTTCTCGGACAAAAAGGGGGTCACGACATTATTATAACTTCTGGTACTGTCATTGTTATCATTGTTCTGCCCACTTGGGTTAAAGTTCTGTCAATAGTGGACATATCATATTGAATTCCCATAAACTGCCCTTTGCATCTGCTATCCTATGGCATGATTTGAAAACTTACACTATCTCCGAACAGGAGTTATAGTCATTGCTCAGCAGTATCATTCCATGGACTGGCATTGCTGTTTATAATTCCTTTTCTGATGTCTAATGACACATTCCATTCGGTGAAAATGCCTTAGATTTAGTAGTCCCTATGTTCACATTTTTTGTCTGGACTTTTTTCAGGTTGGGCCAGAAATATGTTTATTGAAAACCCATGTAGACATATTACCTGATTTCACCCCGGATTTTGGTTCCAGACTGCGCATGGTATGTGCCAATACCATACTCTGCTATTTTGATGCCATTATCGGATTCTTCTTTTCTCTTTTGTTGATATAGGTAAGTGTTTTCTTTGGTTTGTCGATCATATATAACTCAAGTAATGCGAAAAATTAGTTTCACTTTGATGACAACTTTTAAGAGCCATGCGCTCAGAAAATCTTTAAGAACCTTGTGCATATGCAGATCTGTTGGTTTTATAAATCTCAAGTTCCTGCTATTTTTAAACCATCGACGGCTGTGAATTTCTTGCTGATGGTACTGAATGGCATAACAGATTGCGGAGAAGTATAACTTTTTGATATTTGAGGATCGCAAATTTGCTGATATTGGTAATACAGTGACAATGCAGTATGAAGGGTATGACTCACTCAAGAGTAGCTGTTTCCTCTCCATCTTTATTGTTCTATGGACTGAACTCTAGAATGTTGCGCTTGCAGTGGTATATTTCGAATAGCAGATTGGGCTGATATAACTAATGCTCACATTATCTCTGGTCCTGGAATTGTTGATGGACTGAAGCTAAAGGTTTGTTCTGTGAAAGGACTGCTTTTAGTAAACCTTTTGAAACAGATCTTCTTTTTTATCATATTGATCGTTATGATGATCCTTGAACAATACAGGGTTTGCCTCGAGGTAGAGGCCTATTGCTTCTTGCTGAAATGAGCTCAGCTGGTAACCTAGCCAAAGGGGATTACACTGCAGCGGCAGTAAAAATTGCAGAGGATCATTCTGATTTTGTTATCGGGTTCATCTCAGTTAATCCAGCATCTTGGCCAGGGGCACCAGTGAATCCAGCATTTATTCAGGCTACCCCTGGTGTTCAATTGGTAACTGGTGGTGACAATCTTGGGCAACAATACAACACTCCACATTCTGTAAGTCTACACATTGTCTTCAAATGTTGAAATCAATTTGCTACTTCTAGTGGCCATTAAATTTTCAGCTTCACCGATGTGGATGGGTTGTATGTTAGTATTACTAGGTTGGTGTGCACAATTTTCTCAAAATGATTCTCTGTGGGGTGCTGAACTGGCATTTGTCTCTTTGCTTGCTAAAACAAAGAGGAAGAAAATACTTTTTCGCTAATAAAATTAGGAGATGGGCGTTAGTTTGGGACCTTTCTATAAAGCATCTCTCTATTGTGCATATGAATTTTCCTCATCTATGCATAATGTCTCCAGTATTGGCTTTAACTTGTCACCTATTTTGTTGTTAGAAAATTGTTCTATAGTAAGAATAGCTGGCCATATTGGCAAAGACTGTTTCAAGAGTAAGTGGCTGTCCTGTGGAATGTGTTGTTTAAGGTCCATTTCATATGATCAGATGCTACTGAATTGCAATAGAACAGTATTGAGTCTTGTCTGACTTAGGCTTAAGATAATTAGTACAAGAATGTCTTGCTTTCACTTGGCAATTTCTGTTTATGCTTTTTCCATTCGGAAGCCAGATGGATGAACGCCTTAGAGTTGGTTGCTTGCTTGCAGACAAAGTTCAAGCATTTCAAACTTGAGCTGCATATTATGTATCCTTTTGTTGGCTGAAACTGACTTCATGCGATTGAAAATGTACTTCCAGGTGATCCATGACAGAGGCAGTGATATCATAATAGTTGGTCGCGGAATCATTAAGGCTCTGAATCCGGCAGAGGCAGCTCGGGAATACCGCCTTCAAGGATGGAATGCATATGTGGGCAGGTGTTCATGAGACTTGAAGGCTCTCAAGTTCTGATCCGAGTCGAAGTCTATACCTTCTGGGATGCAGCTGATTTATCATGCGCTCTTTCATTGTGCTTTCTTGTATCTTTCTCATCAGATATTGTTGCGTGTATAAAGTTCCCAGATCATCTGACCGGGGAGCCCCTTTGTGCTGCTATCAACACCGTTTCGAATTCGGATTGTGGACGCATTTTCGGGATAGTATGGTGCCGGATCTTAACCTTATATCTTATCAAGAAATGGCATAATTTGCTATCTCTCTCACATTGAGACATCCTACGTAATGGACAGTAGATTGAGTCCCGAGAATAATCTCATAGTCACGCCCCATCAATTATTGTGGGAAACCATACGATAAAGGGCGGACTTCCTATTCAAAAATAGGAGGCAAATTAAGCTAACATCAAATACAGAACTTTGAAAATAGTATAGAACTTACTGAAATAAGACGCGATTGGAATCAGATGTAACATGAAAGCATAAAACTATAGATATATCGCGGTAAAGATTTCTAAGTGATCCTAATTTTGTCGTGTTAGAGAAAATTATCGCCGAAACAAAAGGCAGAATTCAAAACCAAAGAACATGTTATGGACAAAGAAATGCCAGCTTTTCATGAATGGTGGTAAACTTGATATTGCAATGGTAATATCTAGCTAGTGATTGTACATTTTTCAAGTGTTTTCTTTGAAACTTTCATTTATTTCCCCCGTTTAGTAACTTCCTAGTATTGCAGAGAGATTATGGATTTTTCAATTGTTAATCCCCATAAATAATGGTAGTCTTTCCAATGTGATAGATTTTCATAAGTGGTGGTAATTACTCGATTTTGTCGATAATTTATCAAGTGTTAATACTTCCATGTCAGTTTCATTCTACAGCGTCCTTTTTGAACATTTGACTGATTATTTCATGATTGACAAGCAATGGTAAATGTTCGAATATTTTGGTAATTTTCATATAATATTTCACAAATGACGGTAAAATATCATTAGAAATGGATAAACTTCTAAATATATTCTTAATGTCATGTTAGTTTATTTCGATGGACTGTTGAACATCTGACTTAATCATGAACTTTTCCTTCATCATTGATTATCTTTCCTCCGTGATCCTAATTTTGTCAAATATGTGGGTTCCTTTTCATAAGTGATGTTTTTTTTTCTATTAATGATGAAAATTTTTTACATGCGTTCGTAATTGCTCTTTAAATGAATAACTTCCTAAACATGTTGATAAATCATGATTTCTCATTCAAGTTCGATAGATCTTTCTTATAAAGTTCTGGCAATTCTTTCGAATGTTTTGATAATTTTTTGCAAGTGATTGTAATATTTCCAATGATGTGTTCGTTTTTCCAAATGGACAAAACATTTTCCAATGAGATGGTAAATTTCCAAAGGGAATGCATATAAGTCAAAGGTCATATTCTTTCTCTTTTACCCCTCCTAAGCAAAAGAAGTAAAGGGCATTCACTTCATTTCACGTATGACAACTATAGCAGTGATGGGATCAGGAGACAGATCTGCTTGAAGGTAAACATTATAGAACTTTTCCAGGATCTTTCCCAGAATGTTCAATTCCTAGGAATTCCGAAATCAATCCCTTAGACAGGAAGGATAGACATATAGACAAGTTGACTTCGTGCATGAAAAAGATCCTTTCAGCCGCCATATGAGAAAGGCCGGCCGCGACAAACATGGAACAAGTAGGGGGGAGTGGTGGACACGAAACAGAAGAGAAGGAAGACAACACAACACGCTTTCATTCTGCTTGGAATATACGATATTTGCTGTCTTCCCATTCATGTATTTGATGCATAGTCAAGCAAAGAGACATTGCCCCCTAAAATTCCAAAAAATACATGCCCAAGAAGACTTGCTGATCACTACTACGCGAACAAACTAATCTAAACTTTTAAGAGCAGGATAATCTAAAAAGCATCAGATGGAAATAACCCCGTCATCACTGTTCTTTCCAGATCCGTCCGGTCACCCTAAGCTTCAATTCCTTCCGGTCGCCACCAGAGAAGAAGAGAGCCATGTTGCGTTGGATGATGAGGCCATCGAAACTATCACGGACTTTGCGGTGGCTGTCCCTTATGCTCCGAGGCACACCTTGCCAGATCATCTTTCTCCCATTCCCACCGACCTCAAGACTGTAACTGTAGTTTTTCGCCTCGTTGTCATCACCCATAAACCGCAGGAATGCTATGTAGACTGGAGCCATTCCAAGCTGAAAGGCCTCGAAGTGCAGGCAGAAATACTGACCAAAGCAACTAAAAACCTGGAGATCCACCAAAACTTGATTACTATTGTGCCCTTTGAAAAACTTACAACGATAATGCAACTTGCAAGCGTAGTCTCCTATGGGCAACACAGAGACTTGTCCCAGCTAATCTGGTGTGTCACATGGCATATTAAAGACAATTATTAACCATTTAATTCATTGACATGGGTAATCTCAAAAGAAACCTTGCTAAAACTTAGAAGGAAGCTCCATTGACAACTAAATTAGATCCTTCTTAAAGTCTTATAGCCCCATTTAAGCTCCACATCTTTACAAACTTAAATCAACTAATATGTCATTGCCTGGGCTTCCAGCATTCGGCTAATGCAAAAAACTAAATGATAAAACCACATACAAATTTAGAAGGAAGAGAGAACAGGGCGAAGATAAGCAGCACTGATTAGAAAATCAAATGATCTGATGCCTGAGATATATCAATTTAACAACTTAGACCTTTATTCCATAGAACTTATCAAGAAAATAACAGCTTTAATCCAAATTTCACACAATTTCACATTCATGGGGATTCAAACTAAAACAATTCTGATGAGCAGATGCTTACTTTTGACAGTTTGACAATTAATAAACTGCTGGATAACTAAAGAGAGCCCAACATATGCCTTTGATAACTGAAACAAGGAAAGAGGGGAAAAAGTACCGTTAGCATCCACGTAGCATTCTCAACCTCATGTGGATTTGATTTGACATATCGGTGGTTAAAGGTACTGCCGTTATGCATGTCAACTTTGTGATCATCTTTGAGATGCGCAACCAGACAGGGAATGTCACCGATCACTGTGCATTCTGATCCGGCATAGGGGCAACTATAGGGTATAAAGGCGCATTGTGATTCATGCTTCAGCTTGCTGTAGTAAGGATATATGCCTACACACCCAAAACTCTGATATTTACATGGAAGTTCAAGAGAGGCCGCCACCTTCTCCAACGCAAGGCATCTGATGTTCCCGAGTTCATGCCTGCAAGTAGGACATCTGTTGTGCACCCTTGGCTTGCAACCAGAACACAGAGTGTGGCCATTCGAACACTGATGAAGAGAGAATCCCAAATGTCAACTTTTGCGTCTTCATTACCAAATAACCATAGGGATGTGCAGGTGTCTAACGTCGAGAAGTTGCGGTGATGTGTAACAAATAGGCGACTTTGACCAAAAGAGGTTATAAAAAACAAACAAGTCCCATGATGTTCATGTGCTTTAAAGGAAGAATCAATAAAAATCGAAATAAAGGAAAATTGAAAAAAAGGGTTAAATGCAAGATTAAAAATCCAAACCTGATGGATAGGAGGGTACATTGCATTCAAGCACACAGGGCACTCTAATAGCTCTCGGACACTGCTAGAGACGGTTAAATTAGGTTTAACAGCATTTTGCTTTGGATCATTCACACTTTCACCGATGTCCAACATGTCTTCGCTTTGAGGAGGATCAATAACCTCAGGTTTGTTTCGGATCTCATCGAAGAATGAATTTGCAGAAGCCATTTCGCTCGTAGAGATTTCCTAGCCTATGTAACTAAAGATGAAAAAGAGAAAAAAAACACATGAATTATTGATTAAATACAAAAGAAACAAGACTCTGGAAACAAAGACAACTTAAACAAGTGATATCTGGCATGATAGATGTAGCTGCATAAGCATCGGTCATAGACAATGCAATCAGAATACTGAGCACTCTTTCCTCAAGAGAAAAAGAAGGGACAGAAAAAGGGCACCTTAAAAACCAGATGTCCGCGCATGTATCTTAACAGGAATACGACAAACAATACGGTCTGAGGATTTGAAAGGCTCTATTTTTCAATTTCAACATATGTACTGACAGCATGAACTCTCGATGGCATCATCACAGGCCAGCTAGAAAAAAACAACCCGTCTTCAATCGAAATTACACCCACTTAGAATTGTCTTTCTGAAATCCAGAGTAGCATTATTCCAAAGTCAAACCAGCTTCAACAAGGCTAAAACTAGAATGTAATTTTCTCTCTAGAATGCTGAAACATGCAGTGTGAGGAAACATTAAAAAGCTGAATGCACAGCGAGACAACCCCTTCAGATTTTCTTTATTTTTACTTTTTACCTTTTCTCTTTTTTGCTTTTTGGCCATCACCCCTTTTGATTATTGATGATGCAAATAAATCTCACAGAGCCATCACAAGAACTGCAGCATTCCCTCTTCTCTCCAAGTACCATGCAAAGCGAGTTCAATAACAGACTTAACCTGAACACCACATCATCGTACACTGCACATGATGCTTGCACAGGTAAAGAAGATGCATTACCTGATTATAAAAGCAATTTGCTTTCAGCTTGAGAAAATTCGGAACCCTGATTTCACAGAGTTTTACAAAGAGCCCACCACTCTGCCCTCGGCAAATCTACACAACGACATAAACGATCAACAAGAAACTAGGTCAGCCAGCAGTTAAGATATTGGGCGATCACTGATCACGACAGATCAAATCTTCAATCCCCAGAAGGAAGAGGTTGAAAAGAAATCTACGGACCCCGACCCAAAGCAGATCTATAGCGTTCCCAAAACATCCACCGGAAAGATCAAAACTTTTGGCTCTTGGGAGCCCGAGGAACACGTGAATCGAGACAGAAAAATCAAACTTCGCGGCGGATACCATGCGAAAGGATGAAGCGCGGATGGAACAGAGATGGAAACTCACCAGGAATTGCGGAAAGATTTAGGAGGGTCGATTCAAAAAACCCCACTTTGACGAAGTGGGCCGAAGGAAAAGAACCAACCGAACCCAGCGGAAGAGAGAGAGAGAGAGAGAGAGAGATTCGAGGCCGACTGGGGGATAGTAGTAGATGGGGGAGACAGATTGGTATAATAAATGAAGGGGAAGAAGAATAATATAAGCGAGAAAGACACGAAGTGCGCGTATAATTTCAAATTAAAGCCGCTCGAGACAGAGGCAGATATAGAGAGAGGAGAGAGAGAGAGAGGAGCGTCGTTTTTGGGGGCGAGGAGAGAGAGAGAGAGAGATTTCTCGAGAAAATACAAAAAGGGGAATGGTGAAACGTGTAGGCCCGACTTCCCCAGGCTTGTCGTTTCTCTTTCTCGCTCTCGCGCTGTTGTCTGCGTCTTCCGTTTTTGACTCTCTTCGGTTTTCAAAATCTCTTCGTGTTTCCTGTTTTCTCTCTTGTCTTCTTCTTCTTCTTCTTCTTCACACGCACGGACGCATTTGACAGGTGATATCGGCCCCTGTGATACGCGCACCTCTCACGGGCCATCTGGCTCCCGAGAAAGCTTTTCCTGCGTTCCGTTTCCATTGAAGAATACAAAACGAAAGCAACTTTCTGTCTATTAACAGTTCATTTTCTCGAAAACGTGCTTGGTTTGCGAAACTAAAAAGATTCCGAAAAAAATTGAAATTCGAAAAAGATGGTTCGTTTCGTTGTTCTCGAATTTGAGAAATATGCGAAAAAGATGGAATTTTTCTTTCTATTTTTTACCCCTTGGATGAGTATATCTTCGAGCAAATTCATATTCAATCGACCACTAATGGAGGAAGGAAAAGAAAAGTTTGCTATGGCCGATGTTGTGTTGGCTACTACAGACCGCTGTTGAGGCACTTCTTTGGGAGGTGAAAGAGAGAGAGTCCAGCCTGCTGAAGTTCAAGCTTTTTATGTGCTAACCGGAGAATCGATGATGACCCGTTTGGTTCAGCATTTGGACTCTAAAGTCCCTTGGCAAAATGCAAATGGTGTTTGGCAAATTTTTTTACTCACTTTGGGGAGATGCAATTACATTCGAAAATACTCCCCAAGGGACCTTTGGCCAATGCTCCACCGGAGGTGCTTTGGGAAGTTGCATTTTCAGAATGCAACTTTGCACTGTTCATCTTCCCCAAACCGAGGTCCGGCGGCCAGCGGCCGGCGACCGCCGCCTGAGGGCTAGCCCGACCCCGGCGACGCCCACCTGGGGGTCGCGCGACCCCGGCAACTGCCGCCTGGTTTGGCCTAGGTCGCGTGACCCAGGCGACCGCCCGAGGCCCGGTGACCCTAGGCGGCGGTCGTCGGGGTCACGCGACCCCCAGGCAGTGGTAAGCGGGGTCGCGCGACCCCCAGCCAACCGCCGCCTGAGGTCAGGCGAGGCTGGCCGGCGACCAGATCTGGTCGTCAGCGGTTGGCCGGCGACCAGATCTGGCCGGTGGTGGTGGTCGGTTGTTAGCTTTTTTTTTTTTTTGAAATATCAGCAAAAGCCTTTTTACAAATAATTTTTACCAAACGGTATTTAGGCCAAAGTTGCTTTCAAATGTGATTTTAAAATACACATTACCAAACACTACTTGTATTTCGGAAAACTCTTTTAACTAAAAGGTTTTTGCATTTTGCCAAATACATTTCTTCAAAGCTGAACTAAACAGGCCCGATGTTTGTCTGAATGATGATTGAGGAAGCGAACCGAGGCATAGCTGCTGGGGTTGGCAGTGGCAACATTGCCAAAGACGAATCTGCACAGGTTCTGATCTGGGATTGTCTTTGGGTGTGTATTGGTAAATTTGTGGGCATTGTTGATAGGTGTGGGTTGGGCCTGCTGGCTCTTGGGTCTTGAGAGTTGGGTCAGGTCTTGTTCGGGTTCAATTGGTTCCTGGGCTTTGTACAGGGATGTGGTCTACCTTTATTTTCTGGTTCTTGTGCTCAATGACAATTTAATTACAAGAAAAGGTAAAAAAAAAATGGTTAATACCGTGAAAAATTCCAAACTGATACGTCTGTGATAATTTTATCCCAAACTAATTTTTTGACCTTCAAAAACCCCAAACTGATACACCTGTGATAAATATATCCTCGGTTTATTTTCGTTAAATTTTATTATGAAATTACTTTGTTGAATGACGCGCTGCAATTAACATATATACCAATTTTATGTTTTACCCTTGGTTTATCATAGACGTACCAGTTTATGATTTTTTGTGGTATTAATTCAATTTAATGAAAACTAACAGAGGGTAAAATCGTTATAAATGTATTAGTTTGGAGTTTTTAGTTGTCAAAAAATTAGTTTAGGATAAAATTGTCACAGGTATACCAGTTTGGGGTTTTTCGTGGCCAAAAAATTAGTTTGGGGTAAAATTGTCACATGTACACCAGTTTGGGGTTTTTCGCAATATTAACAAAAAAAAACCATAAAAAAGGCCAAATTATGCATATTGCGACACATTTAATTTAATTTTTTTCGGAAAAAATCCCAAAAACCTGTACATGCACGATGCATTTACCTTTCATCGTCCGTTAGACGAAAAAGACAAACGGTGTTGGTACGGCGCCCATGTGGTATAAACAAAACAATAAAGACGTCATTTTGGTCGGAAAATCATCCCACGGAATCTTGCTGGAGTCACGGGTACAAGTTTAGGGTTTTTAGGCTAAACGTGTTATAGTGTGCATAATTTGAGGTTTTGATGTCACATAAAACAAAAAACGTTCATTATTATCAATTAAATGTTCATAATCACTCGCCCCAACAGGATTATAATAACGTTGCTAATTACTCATGCTTATAATTCGAGAAGAAAAGATGGCATTTGGGCCTGAACCAAGCCCATGACAATCCACCCGAGACAGCTCCATGTCGAGAAAACCAGAAAAATCGAAAAAGAGGAAAAAAAAAACACGAAAGAAGAAGTTGGGGGGCGTCGGAAGGTGGAAAGAAAATATTGGAACCAGCAACTGACGAAGCGAAGCTTCAAAGCTTTCACCTTGCAAAAGAAAACCCACGAAGCCCCGTAATCGAACCTGTCCGAGAAAATCCTCGCGCTTCTGATTGGCGTGCCGTTTCGTCGATCCGCCTCCGCCGTCGAATTCGTAAGTGAATGTTGGCCCATGTTTTCGTTGTCCGAACCGCTCCTTTTCGTGAGATTCTCAATTGCTCGTTGCTACTTTTCATCATCATCATCGTCATCTTCTTCTTCTTCTTCTTCTTTTCCTGTCCAATTAAGGAGTGTGCTTGCTTTCGGCAGAATGCGAGGAAGTGTTGGAGATTGTTTGTTTTTCACTGCCAGATTGATTTTGTCTTTCGCGATGCATAGATTTTTAGGACTTCTATTTGGGTATGCTTGTATTTGCACGTGCTTCGCAATCAAAGAAATCGGGGAGTGAATTTCGAGTCGGCGCGTTGTTGGAAGGCTTGCCGGGTTGAATTTCGAAGGGAATTGTTAGCATAAAAAAAGAAGTAAATCAGATGCCTGAAAGGTGAACAGGAAGGGTGTTTAATGTCTGCTTGCCTTAGTATCGGTTTGTTGGTATGACTGAACTAATGGAATGGGGATAAAAGAAAGAACTTTGTTCTATCGGGCTGACTTTTCGGTATGGGATATGGTTTTGGAGAAGGGAGGAACAACACGGGTGGTTTTTTTAGAATGGAGGAATAATAAAGAGGAAAAAAGAATGAACTTGACATTGGAAGGAAAATATAATGCACGTGTGGGGACAAAGTTGCTTATGCTCATTGTTTATAGAGCATTTGGCTGCAATCACAGTTTGTCAATCGTACCTGTTTCACTCACTGTTTGAGTTTGCAATGGTACGGAGTGAACTAGAGAGTACAAAACTCCAGTCTTAAGGTGGTTACAGCAGCTCTTACATTGAAACTTACCAATTAGTGTCTCCTCAATGGCATTCGGTCATATGGGTTCAAGGAAACTTAGCTCTAGGTCATGTTTCGTTTTTTGTGCATGAAAAAAATTCTGAGCAATCTATATCTTTGCTGTTCAATTGAATGGATCAAACTTTTTGGGTACTCTAGACTGATCTTTGCTATCACTTAGGTGAAAGTGGTGGTGGTAGATCGGTAATCATGCCAGACGTGCAAGCCCTCGTGAATGAGTTCCTTTTCAAGCTCAAAAAACGGTGAGATCCTGTCAAACGACAATTTTTAGTTGTGAAGTTCCTTTAGCATGCTTGAAGGCGAGAAAATGAATTCATGTTCTCTATGCGGTGGCAGCAAGATTGAGGGCTCACAAGCAACGGCAAGGCAGACAGCAATACTCCTTCGATCGGTTATTTCTCAGCAGCGAATTCCATATACCCACCAGGCAGCTGCTTTGATTGATGCTGTAAAAGCGGTAGGAGAGCAGCTGGTTGCAGCAAATCCAGTTGGTATGCTACTTTTGTAGTTTCGTTTTTGGTTGCTGCTAGTTGAAAATCATCGGAGTGTCTGTCATTGCTTGATATCAGCTTGCAGTTTGAAATTGGACCATATGTCCCAATACTTTATCTGCTGTTGACAGTAACGAAATTTTCTTCTGCTTTAAAATAGCCACTGTTGCCGTGTCCTAGTTTCTGAAATTCTTCTTCCTGGTGTCGAATAAAGGTTAGAGATGATACTGCAGCTTTCATTACCATAACAGGGCACTTATATTGCACTATTTTCTTTTGTTGACACTGGCAAGAGAATGAAGCAGCACCATGCACAAGCTATATCTGTCCATCGGAAAACTTACCTTTTTAAAAAGTAGGAATTGTGGGTACTCTTGTTGTCAATATTATCACTAGATAGTGGCCGTCCACATCCTCTTCTTGCTAAAGTTTTTGGATTGTTTGATTTCTTTGTGGACTTCATAATAATGCTAGCCTACAGAAGAATGATTAGTTTTGATTTTTTGAAGTTATGCTCAATAATATTGTGTTGCAAGTTCTCTTTTAAGCTTTTGGAAAGAACCATTGTGATGATTCATGTTTAAGCATCTCTTTACAGATATTGTGGGTTCTTTGCTATATGTATTGACAAGGTTGTACTTATGAATGCAGAGCTTGCCGTTGGCAATATCGTCAGACGTGTTCTACATATTATTAGGGAGGAGGATCTTTCTCTCACGGCAGTTGCTATGGCTGGGTTGAATTTATCAGCTGTAAGTGACGACGAAGGTGAAACAGACCAAGATGATCATCCTGTGTTGTCTGCTGCTGCAGTAGCTGCTGCTTCAAGAAACAC